CTGAGACCATGGTACGGCAAGAAGACGCCATGTCCCATCATTGCCTACCTACATATATACGCATTAAATTGCACGGCAAATGACGGTCCCCATAGCCGTGCTCGTGGCCGTGCCCTCGAGCCTTCGCAGAGGGCCCCCTGGCCCACATGAGCTGCTGTTAAAAATTGCTTTGATGACTTACAGATAGAGGATGGCTAGCAGCAAGGTTCCAGGGGCAGAGCGGCGGGGATGTCGGACTAGTCAATATCAGCAGAAAGCTAGATCGTCGAGAGTCCTGCTAGTGTCGCCGTAGATCGTCCAACAACCGGCCTACCTTGCCGTCCAGGCAACAGAACTACGCCTGCTTAGTTTATCGAGATGGGATGACGGGATACGGGGTTCGAGAGCCTACGGTAAGTAAGGCACAGAGATCCTAGAGGCACAGCTGTCGTCCTATCCGGCTCCCGTAGAGGCGGCTGGGCGTAGGTAGACCAACCGTAACTGCACAATGACTCCTAACATGTCAGTTTTCCAAATATATCTTGTGGAATCCACGAAATCAACTGGTTAGACTCGAATCAGTCTACTAGTTGTAGTCGAAAAACGTTAGTCAGGAGGAACCGCTTGCCAAGGAGGGCCTCGTTCTGACACGGCGATCAAAAGGGGGGGGGGGGGGGGCTGTTGGGCTTTCCCGTTGTTTTCGTAGAGGGAAAGTCTTTCTACGCAGAACCGTTTCTATCGGGATACCCGGCGGTAGCGAAGCCGTGTTAGATTGCATTCACGAATCAGCCTCGGCGTCGAAGTGATAGAAGAAACCCGACGGAGACCCCGTCAAACCACCATGTTTGTACCTCATGGCCATCTCTCGTATCTTTGCCTACAAAGAAGTCCCCCTTCTCCTCCCTGAACAGAATCTACGAGACTCGAGTCCTGCCAACCCCCCTTCTAAGATAGCCCCTTGAGAGGCTGCCAACCATACTTAAGCTTAACCCACCACCAAGCTCTTCGCCATCTGCCTAGGATCATATCTCTCTCTCGCACATGCACCTAGGCCATGGATCCATCGTCCCTGCGTAGCCAATAGATGACTGTGGCGATGTGAGTATGGATGGATGGCAATAAAACGTCCTACCCTAATAAGTGGCCGGCGGTACCAGGGGGTTGCTATAGCTCACAGAAGCATAACCTATGTAGCTACATCCTATCAAAAGGGTGGACGGCACCTTCAGTTCACCCTCCAGGCAGATCGGGGGCCTCTGGCCTACATGTAGAAGGTAACGCCACCCCCCTTTACACTGCCGTCCAATCCATGGACTGATAAAGAGAGGGGTATCAGTTACCCGTCGTATGAACGTCAAGAAGCCCATCAATACGAGGACAATGGGGTGTTGGAGGGTAGTCTCCGGCATGAACCTCGAGAACGCCCTGCTGCTGCTGTTAGCTTCGAGACTTAGGGCCCGGACAAAGACACTAACGGAGGGATTTTAGAATGGAAATACTTAGAATAGGGCCGCAGCCTACTTGAAAAGTGAAGCAGCGGATAGATAATAGCCACACCAAGATTTCAAGTAAAAGCCGTGGAGACGACAGGCAATCACTCGGGTGTCCCATGATGACCGCCGGGCCAGGGGCAGTCCGCATCTATATTGAGCCCATCAGATGACTGCGAGTTGGCGAGAACGATGTAGGCGTAACCATTCACTCGCTCTAGAGGGGGAGCACGTTATGGTTGGTCGTCGGGCCCGTTGCAAGTCGTGACAAATCTCTGTGGGCAGAAGATAAACACACTACCAGCGAGAGACTAGGACTCATCGGGCGTGCGTCAGTTCGCCTTGCTTGGAGTCAGGTTCATCAACCAGGTCGTAACCCTGGATGCTGTGCCGCTCTTCGGGCCTGCGTCAGCCTGTAGGCCGTCCGTATGCCTCAGGCGAGGATAAGTAACTACCAGGCAGGTACTCCTGATATTGGCGTGCCTCCGTGGGACTCGGTCGAACTGCCACGGTCTCAGCTCGAGGTCCTGTAACTGCGACGATGCTGGTTAACAGAGGGCTACCCGAGTCAGAGGAGGGAGGTGCTACACTGCCCGCATACTGATCAGCTCGATCATGAACTTTGTCCATATGCTGACACATGTCCTATGCTCGCGAAAGGGTCGGTACCAGCCGTTCGAACATCACCCCTGGATGGCATGCCGCCGAGCGGCTGCCGTACGCATAGTGTAAATCAAGGGGTGTCTATATATAGGAGAGGTCATATCATAGGAAACCACCTGCCGTACCCGTAAACGGCGCATAATGATGCCGCAAACAGACGTAAAACAACGCGCCGTTACGCCAGGTCTGGCGAGATTTTCATGCTCCACGGGCAAGCCTGGCGTTCGTCGACGTCCGATCTAGAAGAACATGCCAATTCGTCGAGTTGATCTCGCCTCGTGGCCGAGAGCTTACATATCCCGTCGACCTGTCAGAGCGGGCGGCGGCCCAGGCGCTGCAGCCCTCTCCTCTCTCTCCATCCCATCGAGATCGAACCTGAAACTGCGATGCGAGAGAAGGGCTCGAGGTCGGTACGGTACGTAGCCGTGCCGCTTGTTTCAATCTACGAGAAACGGCGGAGAGCGTGTAAGCGAGCCACACACGCTCGCAGTAGATAGCGAGGTGCAGACAGACCTGTATTCCTACCTAGTATGATGCACCGCATACCAACCTGTACATATACGTGCATACAGACGTACATACGACGCGGGCCATCCTGCCTCTGCTACCCAGCGCCCGCCCTGAATCCGCCAGCGATACGCAGGGGAAAGCAGGCCTTACGGCCTGAGAGGGGTAAGTAGGTATGTAGGCGGGTATTCGGGGACCGTCTCCTCGTCCTCGAGATCCCCGCAGGCCTACCGTACATCGATACAAACCCGACGGATACGGTGCCGTGTATACCTAGGTAGGTCGGATGCACGGGGATAGTCGCTCGACCACGAGGGAGGGTGTGACAGGTAAGTGCATACATACACGCCTACGTACACACACACATGCGTATGTAGATGATAAATCGCCTTGTTATCGTGCTCCCCCGCGAAGCGCGAAGGTGGGAACCAAAAAGGGGGGGTACATTTTTAGACCGTCGAGCGACGATAATAGACTTGTTTCGATCCTGACCCCCCCTGCCGCATGGAACGGGACAGCCATATTACTAACTAACAGGTACTTCGATATGTGTGCGTGTGTGTAGACAGGCCTAGTCGATAGACACAGGCAAGAGACAGGGCACGTATGTGAGTGTGGGTGTGGGTGTGTGTACGTAGGTAAGTAGGCCGGCACGTAGCGTCTGTGTGTGCTCATAGGTGTGTAGACAGCCCGGTCGACGATCCCCCTCACACGCTGCTGCCCCGGCCGCTTTTTTTTTCTTTCCCACCCTTCTCAAGAGCCCATGGAAGACCAGGGGAGCGTGGAGAGGGGAGGAGGGGGTGGTTAGCTAACACTGCCTCAACGTCGCCACCAGGGCCGGCGGTATGTGCCTCTCGTCTACAGCTCTCTCTGTTGCTATATTTGGAACTTCTCTCCGCCCGCCCTGCCTGCATCTAGTAGGAATCGGCAGACGAGACTTTGCGAGAGAGAGAGAAAGGGAGAAAGCGGCACGGTTTTAATTATCGTCGTAGAAAACCCCCCGAAAAATCGACAAAGGTAAACAAATCGCGAGAGAGGCATTATGTAATCCCCCCTGTCCAACGGGCACAGGGGCAGATAGAGGAGAGATGGAGATGAGAGAGAGAACCCCTGGCCCAAGAATCCACCCGACTATCCATGTCTTCTTGCTTGCTTGCGTGCGACCTTTCCCTTTCTCTCTCTCTTCCTCTCTCATTCTGATACCTTCTCCTCGTTCTCGGCTTTCGGCCCCTGGTTCGATCGCCGCTAGTCTACGATTTCTATCCCGTTTTTTTTTTCCCGCCTCTCGTTCCACCTACGGCTGGGCACTCCGACTGTCTAACACGCGATGAGAAGTTGACTCCGTCGGAGGGTTTGACCGGAAATTATTCCCCCGCCACGGGCGCGCTGGTGTCCCGTCGAAGCCTTCGGCTCAGATGGCGTCTTAGACTCCATCGAAGCAGAGCCCCATTCACAATGTAGGTGGATACCTGCGTATCCTACCCGTTGTCGCCGTCGATCCTTGTCCACTGCTCTACAAACAAGTACACACACTGCCTAGAAGGTGCTGCTTACCGTACATACGTACGCGGGTGGGCTTGTGTGGAGCGAGTGCGAGCGAGAGGGGGGACGGGCGAGAGGAGGCGAGAGATGAGAAATCGCCATTGTCTCCAACTTCATCTCGGTCTTCCTAAACCTCCATGCCGCTCGGACGATGCCGACGATGTGCCCATATCAGAAGATATATACGTAAACACACGCGTGCATGCGCATGCGCATCTCCACGTGCCAGGAGAGACGCCAGAGCCAGAGCTACAGAGAGACAGACAGACAAGCAAGAGAGCGTATGCATCCCACGCCCACGTACCTGCATGCGTCGAAATTTCCATTCCTACGCTGCTAATCTTGGCGAGGCCATTCACCTTACTATGTGTAATAACCTACAGGCTCCATGCCCCGACAGGGCGAGATAGGGCGAGCCGTGCTTAGTACGCAGTCTGAACGTATCTATTCGAACCCTTTGTCGTCTAATACCGGCCCCCCTTTTTTCTTCCAAGGAAAAAAAAATCTCTCTCTATGCGAATCCGAACGACGACATGGACAAGGAGACATGGGCACGGACGTGGCATCGCGGGGACGGCCCAGTGCGGACCAAAGGGTGTGTGTAATCCGGATCCATCCCAGCCAGCCCAGCCAGCCATTATAGCAGCCAGGTTCAGGTTATCAAGCCAGGCCAAGATCGCTGGTGTATTATAGTACATACGTTTGTATGTAACAAAGCCCTCCTCCTCCTCCTCCGCCCAGTATCCCCGGCCCAATCACGACGCCCTCAAATCTGGGTGCCTGGAACGACGAGACCACGTTCGCTGCCCGTCTGTGGCGGTGACATTTTGTCTCTATCCGGCAGCGCCTTGGCTGGCCGTCGCACGTACCTACGCAGGCGTGTCTACATCCGCGTATCGGCTACGCGAGCGAGCGAGCGAGTACAGGGAGACACCAGGAGGCGATACCGTGACCAAAATACCCCAAACACCGACTCGCGCTAAGTACCTAATATATGGAGGTACGAATGCATGTGTGTGCATGCAGGATGCTTCGGGGCTCTCGGTTCGATTCTCGGAGCCCACGGGCTGGGCTGGCGATGGGGCTGGTCTTAGCCAAGACCCAGCTGGAGAGACCGTCAACGGCAAAAAGCAGCCCTACCAGTCTTCCCACCCACACGATCTCCTACGAAATGTAATATGACTTCTAAGTACGTCGACACGCGCGCCCACACACCTACGCAACTGCGTCTCCTCCGCGCCACGTGGGCCTCACGTAATACTCACCCGCCCGTCGCCCGGTAGCCAGTAGGTCGGCAGAGCAAGGTCAGGAAATAGGTGCGCTAAGGATCGCAGAGTCTATAATCGGTGGTTTTGCGGGGTGTGGAAGGTGAGAATCGCAAAGTCCCTCGCGTCTCTTGTCCCGGGATGCTCCATTGACGTAGGTATGCCTACATGGATAATAGCCAGGACGAGAGGCGCGTGTGCGAGTGTGTGTGTGATTCGTAATATAGACCAAGCCCGCGCCTGTGTGCATCACCTGCCAGCCATACCCATCCGCACACGCATACGCCCGTCTGTGCCTCAGGTAGCGCTGCCAGAGCCTCCGCCGCAAATGCTTCCCTGCCCTCGCTCCCTTCTCCCCCTCCACTCGTAGATGGGACGAGTGGCGAGCCGTAGGAGCACGGCGTCGGTCCCGCGCGTCAGACGGAATTGCATCCAGGCCAGACCGACGCAGGAAACAGACGGGGAAGAAAATTACATGACGAAAAGGGGTGGCGGTGCTACGAGAGCGCCCATAGCCTGCAGGGCCCCGGCCGTCATGTACGACGGAGGCGTCGTCGGGCGATCGAGACGGAGGCGAGGGAGGGTGTGGGATCGCGATATTAGAGTGACGCCTAGTTGCTTAATATAACAACATTAGTAGCAACCACCGCACCCACAGCAATAGACAACAGTAAGAATCGTAATAATAACCACAACAACACAGCAGGCTAGGATGAGGCCCGGTTTTTGCTATCTACTGCTTACTGGCGCGGCCGAGCGCTAAGCAGGCGTCCTCGGCCCCGGTATTCTGCTTCGTCTTCGCCGTCGTCGCCGTCGTGTCGCGTCGTGTCGTGTTGGCCATCCGGACCGCCCTTCGCGGGGAGCGCGAGGGGGAGGGCCGCCCGCGCGCTTACTACTGCCAGCCTTTTGCCTACCTGCCAACTTGCCTCCTTGTGAGGCCATGTACATACGTAGGAGCGAGGGGGCAGACACGCCAAAGTGGAAGAATGAGGGGAGGGAAGGGAAAGGAGGCCTAGCCTTCTGGGAGAGTTTTTCTTTTCTTTTCTTGTTTTGTTATTTTGTTTTGAGTTCCCCCCTTTTTGGTCTTTCTCCCGCGCCTTGGGGGTGGCTATCGGAGGCGCACACGTCTACGTATGCTGAGCCTCCGCGCGTTCCGACAGGCGGGCGATCGTTAGAAAGGCAGCGTCCCACGTTAGCGGCCTTTCTCTCTCTCGCTCAGATGGGTAGGACAGCGTCTTTGTGGGATGGGGAGACGATTGCCGCTGCGGGCGGCGAGTCGAGAGAGGTGTGTCATGTTGTGATGAAGTTCGGTGGCGGTGATCTGGGTTTGGGCTCTGACCTCATCTTTATATGCGCCCCTTATTGCCCATTTCTGTGTAGGTGATGGCCCTTGCCGCTTGTAGTCCTAAGTAAAGCACGATATGATGGCGCTGAGCGGCACGTCTCCCATGTTCTTAGCATCAGAGGGCGATGTGGTGTATGGGCCGCTCGCTCGCGGTAGAGGCGACGCCGTGTGCGACTCAGCCGTCATTACAGGAAGATTATTCGCAGCAGTGGAAAATTCTGTCCCTGAGGCACGACGACGATAACATCCTCTCCTGCTGACTCTCAATTCCTCTCGAGTGGCTTCTATACCATATTGTAGAGATTGCCAATATATGATATTATATCAGGGGAAGCGTTAAGGGGAAGGACAGACGCGGTTATCAATCGGTCGTCTTACCGGCATAAACCGCGTATGACAAATACATCTTCGTAGGTCTCACATGAGGATGCAATTCTTCTGACAAGAAGACGCAGTCCCGCGTATCATTTAGAATATTCTTCCTCGATCTGGGCACATCCGTACAGTATATCTAAATCCAGAATCTCGGTCTTTCAGTCGTCTGGTATCGGTGAAGGCACGACTGCTTCAAATTCGTATCTGCCTGTTCAACGATACCGATTGAGACTGCATGTATTATTCCATCTGAGAGTTTCATTACGTTAACCACGACAGTGTTATCCTAGTTACAACGGATATCGCTTGCCATGCAAGTAGGGAGTAAAAAGGAGTAGCTGTACAGTCACCAAAGACAACAGACGATTTCGAAAAGAATGATGACCCCTCAAGCCATGCTACGGTTAGATGAAGTTTGAAATCCCGTGTCGACATCGCCGAAGTGCGCCTACCACGCAATCGATTGCTGTCCCTAACGGTAGAATAGGAGTATGAACGCTATGCGTGAAGTTTTTCGAGTAGGCAAGTTGACATAAAGTTAGAGGCTGACTCGTGTGAAATCAACAAGGCTGTCCTCAATTCTACCGTAGAGAGGGAGAGAGAGGGAGAGAATGTGTGTGTGTGTGTGTGTGTGTGTGTGTGTGTGCTAGGAGAAGAATCAACAGTGGGGTCTAACCATCATGATAGAAACCGGCGTGTTGGGCTCCACCTCCTTGGCTAACAGAAGCACGCAGATATGTCCTTGAGGACTGTACAATATCGCAGCCGTCTGATATGGATTTCATGAGCTGCATCAAGGTTTCTAAGAGCTTAGGGGAAACCCGTATGCTATTTCCTCAATCGACATCATCGCCTTCGTCCGCCTCTAAGGGGTCGGGACTACTTATGAGACCTACACCCTACAATTCTTATTGTCACTTCTTACCCTCTCTGGGATTCGTTACTCACAAGTTGCGTTAAATGTTAGAAAGTTAATATACGAAACTAGATATACGAGTGAATGCATTGTGTATGTTACAAATGGCCTATAGGCCACTAAAGAGCTTCTGGATGACTAGCCATGACCGTGATAAGCGTGGGAGGCCGGGCCAAAAGTCGTCGTCTAACGCGTTGGTGCGCGGACCCCTCTCGCTGAAGAAGTAATAAGACCATCCATATATAAACGATTTCCATTGGGTCAGAAACCCGGTAGCTAAAGGTTATCCTCGGTCACCGGTCTTGCGTGCTGGCATTGATGAAGCTGGAAAAGGGGTAAGGGAAGCATTGAAGGAGGTAAATCGGTCATCCGCAACTAGATCGAAGTAGGCATATATAGAACATCGGCTGGCATTTTGTGTAGGTAGCAGGTAACCTCTAATAAGACTACGGGCTTTACTTTCATGATGCGACCAAACCGTGATAACGGACCGCGACTATGGGATCTCACTTGGTGCGCTTCCTACGCGGCCTGGGGCTAAGCCGAGCACCTCGAATAAGCTAGTGCTCAGCAGTGTAAGCTGCATTTGAGTCGAAATTTCAGGTTTGGATAACTAACCGCCCTATCGTGTAATCTGATTCAAGATACCCGTCCCAGCGTGATGGTGCCGAGGATGGAGTTTGATTGAGGGGTGAAATCACCGCAACGGAAGTAAACATGTCCTGCTCTCAAGAGCCCTCATATCGGTACTATATACGATATCTAGCCAATTCAACACACGCGAGAACCTCCCGCCGGTCTCTTGGGGGACAGGAGGGTTAGCCATTCTAGAGAAATAGGGAGGGCTTCAATAACCACAGTAGTGGCGGTCGACTATTCGACTCAGTACTCGTATCAATGACTGGATGGGGTCTCCTCATATTCTTCGCGCAGGTACAAGCATTCTGACGTGAGTTCCGCGAAAGCATGGTGACGATACCATCGGCATGCGTATCGTTTTGGCCCACCTTCGGTGTTAATGCCGACCATAAACAGGAGGAGGGGTCGAATCTTGCTGTAATAGTAGATTCGAAGCCAAGGATTATTTATAATTGGAGAAAAACACGCAAACTATTCATGCGACGCGACTGCCAGCATTCCGCAACCGGTGCCAGAGGCTGATACACGTAGACGGGCAGGGAGACATACGAGTCTAGGTATCTAGTTCGCGCTCGATGACGAGGCTTCACTGCGCGCGTACGCAGATGTGAGCTCTTGGGTTCCATTTTGAGATCGACGAGTAAGAATGAGACGGTTGACCCCTCGCACCAACTCTAAACGGATAGCCATGGCCGTCACCGCGTCCCCATTCTCATATTACAGTGGCCGGCCTATCGCCGTAATGGCCGGTCCAACACGGCGCCGAAATCCTTCGACGGCGGCCGACGTCGCATCCCAAGCATGCGGATTTGCGTTAACGGACCCGGAGCTCGACTACGGCTCCCCGACGTATGGCTGGCAGGTTCCCGGTGTCGATACCCACATGCCCCCAGTCGCGCCGAAGGGGTTTCCACAGTACCCACGAAGATTCTACGACGTAGAACGCCGCCCACTAGAGACGTCCTCTTTCTGGATTCGCAGGCACTAGACTGTGACTCGAGGCCCGGCGACACTAGCATTGCCAAGTGTGACGTGTCACATTCTCCGATGAAGGTAATGTCGGTTAGGGGTTTCTATGGGATATCAAGGGGACGGGAAGCTCCACTGAGGGATATAATGAGCCCCAGTAGTCTATCTTGACTTCTTTCCTTGGAGATTTTTCGTCTACCTCGTGGCGGCGTAGTAAGTTATGTGGAGGTGACGAGGTTGGGCGAAATTGGGCTCGACTTGACTGGGATGCGGACCGGGTAAAGAAAAGGGTTTTAGGAAGGGAACCCGATCCTTCGATCTCTCGAATCCCATGAGGAACGGAGAAAGACAATGAATTGAGGCGAGCACTGGGCAAAATATCACACACGTCTGTCTGGTCCCTCGCGAAGAGGGCTGACAGCGTTGTGCTGGCATGCTCAGGGACCAGTGCCATCGGCGGTACCGTAACAGCGAGTCAACGGTGGTGCCGTTAGTCCGCCATAGTTAGCAGGAGACAGTCGTTGCTTGCCAACCCTTTGCCTATCAGGATATATAGCTCATCCTATTACTTCTAGGAGTATTTCGATACGCCCTCCCTGAATGCCCGGGCTGCGCAGGCGACGTGGACTATGGACGCATTGGCAAGCGAGTTGGAAGGCAAGGCGAACACCGTTGCATGGCCAGTTTTGGGGGGCTATGGCTTTATTACGATACGAACTCGTTATAGGTTATAGAAATAAGCTGGAGAGTGGTGAATGCCATTGGTTATAGCTAGATCTTGGTTGGGAGGGGCGGGGAGAGGGGAGCGGGAGGGAGCGGGAACCGGGGGCGCTCCCCTATTCCTAATGCCTAGGGGAGAAGGGCCATCACGGATAGTGGCGTATGAGACTTTCCAATAAATGATCAGCCACATAATGCCAAATCCGAAAGATGCCTGTACTGAATTTTCAAATAATGGGGCGAAAAGGCTTAAAAACGTGTCCCTCCCCGGCGTTTCTTCCGTGTCCCCGCCCTCCCCTGGAGCGACTATACCCTTAGGTTATTGGGGTAAATATATACCTAGATCCGGCTAGGGTCCCGGGCGGATGGTACACAAAGAGTGAGCAAGGCATAGATATATGTAGGAGTATACTGCTAGAATGCCGGAGGCTTGCTGGCTCTCGACTTCGTCTCCTTGAACACCATGGCCGCCCTTGAGCATCAGCACTCGACAGGTCTCAACTATCACATTATTAGGCTTGCTGCTTTCATTCACAATCCTTAGAAACCCTCGACCAGTTGTGTTCGTATTAGGGATTAGATGTGGAGAGAGAAGAAGAGCGGCAGCTCTCAGATATTAACCGAGCGTCAGACGCCAACCCCCAGCCAAAGCTCTCCGTCTACTCCCGACCATCTCTGGAGCAACACGATACGGCTAGGTATGATAAAAGAGGAAGGCAAAACAAATCATCGAGCTTGCATGAACAAGAAAAAGAACATTTCTAAGGGTAGGTAACTGCTCTAGCGTTTATTGTTCGATGACCAACAACCGACCCTCCACCCATCCATCCAGCATGTAGGTAAGTAGGCTCGTAAAGGGGCAATTAACCCCTGGCCTCTCGGTAAGAACGGACTACCTCCTATCCCATTCAAAGCCATCCACTTACTCTTCTATGAGCCTTTATATCCGGAATTTAATCTACCTCCCTACAGCTGAAGAGCTATCTTGCCCGCAGGGAGAGAGGGGGGGGGGGAGGTCGGTAAGCGGCATACTCCCGCGAATACCTATGCGACGCTCAACTCGGCCGGCGACACTACAGCCGGGCCGGCCCTTCACCCATCACGGCCACGCCCGGGAACCGGGGAGACGGAAGAAAGCCCCGTGTACGGCGATGGGCGGCCGGTACACGTTCTCGCAACTCGGTGACTTGGCATATCCCACCCACGTAAAGAACATATCGTCGCCCCCTCTCCTTTTTTTTTTTTTTTTAGGAAAAAGAAAAGGACCAACTCTCAATCAGTTGACCGCCGCATTGCTTTGATTCCGCGCGTCCACTCGACCCTGTATAAAAGCGCGCACGCCATTCAGTCCTACCTAAGCAAAAACGGGGGGTCCAAGTCCCAGCGCTTAGGGAGCGAGAGCGTAAGGATCCATCGGTCGTCACCCTCACTCAACCCTATACCTATTAGTTAATCACGCCCCTCGTCTCCTCTCTTCATTCAACCACACACACTCACACACTATATTTATTACCAGCCCAGCACTCCCCTCCTGTCCTAATCTCCCCGTCGCCCTCCTCTACCTCCAACACACCCGGACAGGAAAGTAGCCACCAGCGCGCAGGGTACACACCTCCCTCCATCCGGGCCTCGTGTCCGCGTCAATCCATTATTTTAACACTTCTCTAACGACAGCAACGTATCCCGCGTGGCCACCGTCCTCTACAGCCCTCATTCGCCGTCACCCCTATATAGCCCAGAAAAACAACGGTGATGGCAGCGCCAAGAAGTAGTCATGAGCAGAATTAGGAGCAACAGTAGTCCCTAGGGGGATCAATGCACGAGCGGCGTATACGGTGGCAGTAATAGTATATAGTCCTATCCGAAGCATAATTATATTATGAGAGGGAGGCAAGACACCGGGCCTGTTGAAGAAAAAGATTTAGCAGAGGGTAAGGGTTGTGGGGTTCATGTGTGAAAAGGGCCGTAGGGTTACTTTGTTCTATCGACACTGTATCTCCCTCCTATTTCTCACCCCCGCTCCCCTTTTCACTCTCTGCTACTCTCCTTCAAACGAGGTTATCATAAAAAAAAATGAGGTTGTATATGTCCACTCGAAGACCCCCCCCCAATGCTCCCTATCCGTACGCAGTCAATCCCCCCTCTTAGTCGAGCCGCGATTGTTACTAAACCCTTCGATGCGTATTTATTAGGTGATGCGGCTTCTCTTTGGGATTGTTTCACACTACTTGTGCTATTGAAAATAAGACAAAATGCCCATCCTCTCGTCGTTTAGACACTCGAAACAAAGACTTGCTTTATTTCTTTTTTTCTTCTCTACTCCTCGGCGACTTGAAGGCCCTCTCGGAGACCCTCTACCTTGAGCTCCTCACCAGCGGCGCGTGCGTAGATATCCTTGACATCGTCGGTGGTAGTTTCGAAGTGTGACGTGGCATCGTAACTCTTAGATATGAAGATGTTATCCTTGGTGCCGTCCTCGAGTGGCTCGTAGAGCGGGATGGGCGGGCCCTTCATGCATGGTCAGTGTCTAGGCGAATTAAGTGGGATGGCGAGCCTAGACTTACCATGAATTGCTCTTCGATGTGACCGAGGCGGTCCAGACCGGGCTGCAGCTCTAGGTGGTGGTTGGAAGACGTCTCGGCGATCGTCGACACGATGGCAATGTAATAGCCCTTGGGGCACACGTTGTGTGCCGATGAGACGCAGGCAATATAGATATCTGGATCGGTTCAGCCAAAGCTCATCAAACCGTCTGGGTGGGAATCTTACCGTTCCGGCGGCCAACCTGGGACTGCGGGATGATCAGTTGGCAGGAATCGCAGTCGCTAGTACCGGCCAGCGGATGGTTCAGGACGCAGATAGCCTTGAGCACGTGGCCGACAACCTTGACCTTGTCAGGGAAGTACGAGGGATCACCGAGGATGAACTTTGCTTTCGTCTCGAAATTCATCTCTGGATCGACACCCGTCATGGTGGCCTTGATGCCGCTGGCCTTGCCACCTTCATACAGAATCTCGTTCACCCGCGCGTTAAGCATGTATGTACCGCCGTAGATGGCAGACAGGCGTGCAAAGCCCTGAGGCAGCTCGCCGAGGCCGTACAGGGGGTAGATGTAGGGCGACTTGCCGTACCTGGCCACCGAGTTACCGTACATCCTAATACGCTCGATGGCTTCGGGAGCCTTGCCGACCTCGTCGGCGTAGCTATCGGTAAGGTAGAGGGCCATGGCGTGGCCGACGAAGTCGCGAGTGCCGGGCTCAAGGCCAAACTTCTCGTAGATGTCATTCGTCGTGCACGTGGCTATGTCTAGACCTGGAAGGCACGAATTCTGTTAGTCTCCAGTCTGTTGCCTCGATCGACCGCGCCGCGCCTCGCGCACCCGCCGTCATCATCACTCACCCTTGTGCGTGGTGGAGTCGTTTATATCGAAGGTGCCCACCCACTCGATGAAGCTCCTCATCCGGCGCTTCTCGAAGATGCCCATCAGGGGGGAACGAAGAGCCTCGGCGGCGTCGGAGGGGACCTTAGCCACGGTGGCCTTGGGCCCAGTGCCCTGCTGGACATAGCTGCCGGCAACCTGCTTGAACTCGAGATAGCGGGTGACGTCAGTGGAGACGAGGATGTTGGTCAGCTCGCCACACGACATGAGGAACTTGGGGACCAGATCGATATTCCAGTCGTTGAGCCGGCCGTATTTCTTCCACGGCTCCTCGCCCGCGGCGTAATTGCCGTACTTCTTGAATAGCTATCGGGGAGCACACAATGGGTTAGTTAATAGTGACAAGGAGATGTGGTCACAAAAGGACGATGGCGGGGGCGGTTAGGCAGGTTTACCGTCTCGAGATTTACTGAAGCTGCGTCTCTGCGTTGAGGATGTCCGTTAGTAGACACGTCACCCACACCGGCGAGCCATACGTACCCTCCGTAGTGATCGTTGCGGTCGATGTGAAGCACCTTCTTGCCCTTGACGCTTAGCACACTAATCGGGAACTGGTTAGTTCTGCAGCCAATGCCGTCGAGGCTCCGGACGTTATCAGCTATGCATACCCGGAAAGAATGCACTCGGTCAGGCCTAGACGGGAAGGTTAGATCTCTCTGTATCTCTCCAGCTCCCGTCTCTCCCAAACTCCCCTTCCCCGTTGCCTCCCGCGCGAGTTCTGGACCCCGCCAAGGAGGCCGAGGGAGGGCGAGGGCTGGGGGGTGCGTGTGTCTTGGGGAGGGATAGAGCCCAAGGAGGAGGAGGGGGGGACTCACCAGTGCCCAAGACGATGACATCGTACTCGGGGGAGATCTCATCCATGATGGGCGATTGGGCGATTGGGCTCTCGGCGGCCTGCGGCGATGTGTCGTGTAGAGAGCGAAAGGGGGGGCTTTTGGAGGAGGGGCCGAGTTGTGTCGGGAGTCTCGCAGCGATGGGTGCAAATGGAGGATGGAGATGGAGAGTCGACCTCGAAGTTGAAGGAAAGAGGTAGGTTGGATGGCGAGGATGGTTTGGGGACTGCTTTGGATGGCCTGGTTAAGGAAAAGAAGGAGAAGTGGAAGGGAAGAAGAGAAAAGTATCGGTGAGAGAGGTTGATGTGGTGGATACCGTTTGGGATGATGGTGTTTCTCTGGTTCTCGCCTGGAAGCTCTCGAGGTCAACGCCCACTGAAAAAGACGACAAAGCTGCCCGAGTACCGCCAATCAACGCGGGCAGGCCACCCCCCGACCCCGCGCTTGGGCTACGTACCCTTTTTCCCTCTCCCCTGCGCCAGCCGTCCCGCTGGCTGTCCATCTCTCTCTCTCTCTCTGGTCTCCTCTCCATCCTCTCTTATCAACTAATCTAACCTCAGCTTAGGTGCAAATACATACCGTGGGCAGGGCCTGGTATCTAGACGTCTACCATGCCTTCGAGGCGGACACACACAGGCCGACAGGCTACCTACCTACCTATGAGGTACCTATGCCGATCCACCATCATCTTGCAGAATGAGGTAATCTTATCGAAGATAATGAAGGTATAGTTGGTGCCTAAGGTGTCCAAAACAAACCAGACATAGGTACCTACCTCTACTCATATGCCCCCCAAAGTACATCATCAGGTGTCTGGCCTAGGTACCTAAGGTAGTATTTTACCCAGCCAGGTACGCGCCAAAACCACCCCCCCCCTCCCTTCTCTCCTTTTCCTCCCTCTTCGAACTAACCCCCCTTTTCCTCGACTTCGATAATTATCGTCATATTAGACTCATTTGGCATTCGACCCTGTCAGTGTCACTTACTTTATGGAGCCTCATCGGGTCTTGTTTGATTGGATTTTGTCGTATTGCTGTCGCCTACCATTCTTCCTGAGTCAATAAATGAGACCAATAGACCAAGTATTGTTCGGTCCGGGTACTGGCCACCAACTCGGCTCGGTTACGGGGTCCGAGCTGCATGGTTGGCATCATCTCGAAATGCCGTCCTCGTCGGATGTCATTAACTGTTGATTGTATCGCTTGCCGCGTGTATTTACAGGCTTCCTCCCGCGCCCAGAGCTTCTTATCCCGTATCCATATGCATACGCGCATTCTATGTACACGCCGCCACTCTCGGCTCATGGCCGCGTAGATGGCTGTTGGGTGTTTGAGCTCGGCGGCGGAAGCGTCGACGGGTCGACTTCCTCAGCAGCCGCCGACGCCTTGGATCCCCCCTCCGGTCCCTCCTCCGGTCCCTCCTCCGGTCCAGGCAAGCTCTCTCGCCCGTCCTGTGCCGCTTCCGATCCTTCGGTCGTCGCCGCGACTTCGTCGACGTAGGTGCTAGGGTTGTAGGGGCGGTCCGTAGAATTGAGATCGATCTCCGGGTCTGTTTCCGCCAGCCTCCTGGCGTCCTCCCACAGGTAGAATCGTTCCGTCAGCGCGTGCTTGATCGACTGCATGGTCCTGCGAACCTGTCCGTGCCGTGCATGCGTTAAGTGTCGATGCGTCTCGTAGTCTCGTAGTAGAGGAGAAAAGACGGGGTGCGGGTTTCTCACCTCATGTAGCCTCTCCGCAGTCTCTTCTTTTCCACCCCACAGCCTCATACGGGTCTTCTCCTTCTGCGCGGTCACGATGCGGTTCTGCTCCTTGACGCAAACCCACCACAGCTTATGGAGGTCCTCCCAGCTCTTGTGACGTAGCTCCTCGACGCTCCACGCGCGCCCGTGCTTGGCGTCCTCCTCGGGCGTCAGCAGCAGTTTCTTCTTCGAGTAGAAGAATTCCCATAACCCGTGGTTCGGGTCGACCTTGACCTGGGGCTTGAACCCCTCCACCGGCTGTGGTATTTGGTCCTGGCCGATATTCATTCGAAATCGCGGACCGGACCGGTATATACTACTCAACCCGCGCAATCGGTTGTTATCGCGGCGGGGCTTGCGCATGCATCGCTCTGAGGTCGAGGAGAACGAGCGGCTCTGAGGACTTGGTCCTACCGAAAGGGTCGCGAGGACAGCCGTGTTCGCCGCATGCCGGTTCGCAATGGCATGTAGTACTCGGCCGACCGAAGGCCGGACGGCCGCGGTTGTCGCCATAGAAAAACCACACCCGGCGCGCTATGCAGAAGATCATAGACCGAGTGTCGAGAGACCTGATATGGGCGATGGAGAGGCGGTAGTGTCTGAGCAAGTCGGTCCGGAGCTCTGGTGCGATTGAATTTTCGGGTTGATCCGACCTGTCATTAATCCGACCGTAGATGACCCGCCGTCTCAGTGGCCCCTAAGAACCGGTCACTGCATATACTCGTACTATCGCATAACGGAGAATCAGCCACAATGTTTATGTGTTACATAATCGTAAAGGCAGGTGGAAAGACCTCACGGCCGCTTGGCACCTGGCAGCTGTAATAGGCATGCGCCAGTCTGGATGTTAGTGAGGCAGAGGATAGCAGAGGATAGGAGAGAGCATCGTCGTGGTCAACTGTTTAGAGCGAGAAGAATTCCTCCTCCTCCTCCTTCTTCTTCTTCTTCTCAACTGATAATTTCCTTCCTGAGCTTCCGGCAGCACCTATGCCTTAAATAGCAGCAGGCACCTACTGAGACTGCTGTAAAGTCGCGTTGACGTTTGGTAAAGCAAGCTGAACAGCCACCTATAACCAACAAAATACTCTCATATCTACCAGTTACTTACCATCTCAAGGCGGCTTCCTAGATGTCGCATATGGCTTGACAAATTGGCATGGCGCTCGAAAGCGATAAGTGCCCCCCAATTTTGTCTATACGCATGATAGTTTGCCGGTTGCGGTATCGAGCGCGGTGGCGTAGGTCGGCAGGGCCTGTGTATATTATGTAGTTGAACTAACGGCAATACTTCCGACTCCTCCCGACTACAGATAATATCTTCGGATTCGGGTTGTTATCGAGGACCCGTCGAGCGATGGCTGTAGTTGGCTTTTCGCAAGTGATATTTATCTCTTCCATTAGCCTCATGTTGGCCCTACCGCAAAGGCTCTTAAGTATAGTGCTGTTTTCCCTATTGTTCACCCCCAAATCGTCATGGAAGAATCGGGGGTTTGCGTAACCCACGTCTTGGTGTAAGCCGGCTGTTATTTCGACGTTACTATAGCATCACATCTGCCCGTGTTGTATTCGTATCGACTTCTAGGGGTATTTTCAGGTCGGATCAATCTGAGGAGGATCATCGAATTCGGCGGCCTCGTCGAATTTCGTGGCCGATGATCATTACGAACGGTTATGGTTTATAGTATTCGATAAGGATTATTCTCGTTGAGTTACGAGAGCGAATGCTCTCCCCTTACGTCTGTAGCCACTGAGATCTGCAACGCAAATTGCTTTGGTATTCATCGACGGGGCAGGTATTCGGGCGAATGCGTGTCGGTAGGCTTAGATGAATCGCAACCGCTGTCCTAATTAGTAGGTATCCGCTGTCGCCGTCGCCGTCGCCATCATCGCCGCCATCGGCATGTCGTATCGAACTGAGTCTGCGTCTATAGAGGATGGTGCGAGCAATCGAAGCAAGGTAGATCGAGGTTGGCGTTGTTGTCGCTCGGCCGGTAAGAGATGAAACGGGAGGAGTTCACAGCAGGAAAGGAAACCTCCGCTCAAATAGTTAATATAAGCCTGCATATCCAGTGGATCCGGACGCGGGAACGACTTGGGGGAGCCTGTCTCTAGATCCCGCTTTCTCCAAATATCAAGCTCAAACCAGGCGGGTAGATGGAGTGTCTGGAGACAGGCTAGAATGCTATGTGGTCTCATCCGCCTTCAGCTTCTATGCAGTACACAGGAAACCAATCTTGACTCCGTATACATCCAGGCTTCATGTGGGGAGGGGCTCAGCCCAGGGTCAGCTAAAGACCTGCCCCGGGTTAGGGGGAGGAAAGGGGTCGACAACGACAGTGATAATGCCATTACCATCGCATTCCTAGCTAATTCCGTCACTACCACCCCCTTCTAACTCTCACGCCGCCCTTATTGCTAACATCATCTCTGCCGTAAAACTATCTCTTATTTCCCGATAGCGATATTTTCGAGTATGCATTTTCGTGAGAAGAGACAACCCTTGAGCTTACACGTACCGCGGACGTGCTTTTGTCGGGACGCCTTCCTAAAGCTGGATAGCGCTCCCTCGGTGGTGTTACATCTTAGAGATTAAATCCTCGCCAGAGCCACGTATAACTGTGCCGACGATGTGGTGTTCTACATACTATGTACATTACCCTCACGGCATAGCCAGCTCTACTCCTCGCCGTCTCCCCTTTCTTTTCTGTATAAAAAAAAGACAAAAAAAGAAACCGAGAGACTTATACTAGGCTATAATAGATGAGAACTAATGCGAACGGGCCTCGTTGTTACAGACGCAGTTCGTCGTCTTGAGAACCTGAACCGGTGCTTCACCTGCAAAGTAGACTGTCCATGCACTTCCTCTCTACAAGCCTCGCCTCGGCTACGGTACGAAGGGGTGCAGTATAGCCCGTCATTTGCCCGAATTACTTCCCAGCTACACCGAGCATCGTGGGCTCTGGCCGGATTCGGTATAAAGGCAGCAAGAAGCGCGGCCACTGATTAAAGCGACTAGCTTACTTAGCCTAGCCCGACCACAAGAAGCTTGTCGTGGCATAGGAAGAGGCGATGCTACCCAGACACTTGCTCTCGGCCATGCTTCCAAGCGCTTCACGCACACACTACACAGTAGGTGGCGCTGATATGTATGTATGTACATACGCATGCAATTCCGTGAGAGGAAATACAGATACGTATGTATCGATAGACACCCGATGCCCAAGAAAGGCCGGGGCTAGGACGAGCTAACGGGCTTCTCTTACAAGCCCCCTCCCTATCTTTGTCATCTCACTCCCTCCATATGCCTCCCACGATTACATGCGTATAACAGGCCTGGAGAGGGCCTAAGCTAGCTAGCGATGTCGGTTAGCATGGACTTGGCCTGGTTAAGGACGCCTCAAGTCCTCGATCCCCAATAGTACTACGTACTACGTATGTAGTAGCGCTGAGGTGCAGGACATAGTGGTTGATGCCGAGCATTGGGCCAAAATAAGTGACGCTATTATGGCAGTAGGGGCAAGGATATGGGATAGGATGTGTGAGGTATGTATTGCTTGTAGGCATGTACAATACAATACAACACAATACATACTATATACACACATATACATACACACATACAGCACATACCCTATGTACATCCTATCGTGCTTTATTTTCCCCTCCCATATCTCCTGTCTGACTGGTCTCCTCGTGGATCGCATTGGAGAGCCGAGTTGCCTAGACCCCTCTCCCCGGCATCCCCCCCCGGTAGAACGTCTAGATCATGCTTCTCGACGTGGAATTGGGCAAGCCATTGGTGAGGCGTATGCGGGCGGAACGCAGAGCGATATTTTTCTTTTGGGGGTATATATACCACCAACACTGTGGCAAAGCTGTGCATATCTCAGTTCACCGCGAGGATTGGCAAGCTGCTTAAGCTGCTTGTCGGCGATTAGGTCGGCCAACAACCTGTCCTCCACGTGGTGCCGTGGTGCCGAGTTTGACACCGAGGTAGGCCGCAGCGGCGCTCTCCTTGGCTCTCACTGTACTGTGCGTACACGAGAGAGCAGCACTCCCGCGCAGAGGCTTGGGGACGGTTGATCTCGGCGGGATTACGACGAGACACACCCTAGGATGAAGGGTGGCAAAGCATATCGAGCATATTTAACTAAGTAGACAATGGAGGAGGAGCTAACTAAAGGACCATTGAAATTTCTTAGAGGCGGATTAGTTCGGCAAACTTGTTTACGGGCTTCTATTTGGCGTCCAGACGGTGGTTTCGAGGGCTTCGCAAGCTGCAAACCACCGGTACGCAATGGGAGGTACGTGAGGCCTATACAGAAGCTAGGTACGTAATCCTCCACCGACTTCTACAAGACCCAAGAGCTCGTCGGTCGGATGGATTCCGGCGCAATTCGCGAGTGCGGCTTTCCTATTTTGTGGAACCGAGCTTGCCCCGGAAGGCCGTTCGATGAATCCCCTCGTTCAGTAAAGCGGAGAAGAGCCTGTTTCCCAGAGCCGCTTCACTTCTCTTGATATCAGTGAGATATTAGGATGAGTGCACACTTATACACCACGAAAATTGCTATAAAACTTAAGGCCAGCCACTGCGTTCGAATACCGAGAATCACTTATACCGTTTCCGTATATTGTCAGAAGAGACTACTTTAACGGCCTGCTCGTAATTGTCGCCGGATCTGGACGGGCCTAATCCGCCGGTGCAATAGTCTCGAGCAACATGACTCGAGCAAACCCCGGGATATTCGGGATCGACTCCCAGCCACGCTGGCAGGGCGTCAGCCTACCTACCTCCTCTTACGCTGACGCCCAAGCTACTTCGGATTATAGTGTGTACCAACGAATGCCTATGTCTCGCATGATTCTCCAAGTGTGCTGTGGCAAAGGGCGATTCCGGGAACTGGGGCTCAGTTGGTAGGAGTAAGAGGAGGAGGATACATAGCCGCGACTAGAAATCCTCTTTAAGGCATATAGCCTATCAAGGTGTGGCCATCTATATATACCTACGCCTCGGCTTAGCGTGGAAATGCTGTGTTAAAGTAATCCATTTTTTCTAACACGCAACTATTGACCTAAAAATGTGCGGACAAATTCCAGCTTGGAGTTTTTACAGGTTCTCGATGTTTGGAAGGGGAGGGAAGGGCGGTAAAGAAAAAAAAAAAAAGGTCCTACTAGGCTGGTGCAAATATCGTGAACTTCGTCATCGACGAATAGGTTGGAGCTGTCACTAAGTCGTTGGTTGTCTCCGCGTTCAGCGTGTGCATAACTTAATGCATATTACCGTATTACCGCAGCCATCCCGGTTGGGACTCGGTTGATACAAGGCCTATCAGAATCGCAGGTCGCAAGATCTTCGCCTGTCGTCCCCTGCGGATTTCCATTACCGGCAAATCCGCCCGGTTTTTTTCTTTCTTCAGGGTTCGAGACAACCATCCCCGAGCAAGCTCATGAGACCTTAGGGCGAAACCAGCCGATGCTGCCTTGCTGTCGCAACTGGTGTAACCGTCCACGTTAAGGGCCAGTCAGCGACGGGGGCCATGCGTGCAGCGCCTGATGTCTATTCTCCCTGCGTGTTATATTAGGTAATGGGCACTCTTGCCCAAGCGGCAGGAGGATGGGATCTTGCGCAGCATATTCGACCGCGAGAGGACGGCGAGCTAGCATCTGAATCCTGCCCTATGAATAATAATGAGCAACGTCACTCCCGCCCGGCATGGCTCGAAACCTAACCAGCGTGTGCGCCCCTCGGCCAGCGCGTGATCCCGCAACTTTATATATGAATCATCGTCGAAGCTAGCTGTGGGGGGAGAAAACCACTGCTGGGTGGCATAGTGCGGATATGCACGTACATAGACGGCGACGGGGTTGTACACGTTATTCGTCGTGGTTCGTGCCAGCCGTGCTCTCTCTCTGTCACCCGGGAGGTTTGGCCGTGTCTAGACTCTGTAACCGCGCCGCTCGGGCTGCGCGGAGAAAGGTAGGGAGACGATCTGCCAAATATCTACCCGTGTCTGTTTCGAGCGTTCGGCCGTGTTCTTGTCGCGAAGGGGAGCTTGGGGAGGGGGGGGCAAGGGGGTTGGGATCTACCTAGTCTTTCTGTGTTTGGAGATCAGGATAGGATGCGCCGTTCGAGCTGGGAGGAATTGCAGGCGCAACAGCGACGGAATCGGCATTTGAAATATTTTCAACCTTTAAATACGATTGCCTACCGCATGTGCGTATGGGATTTATTGGGAGACGATGCATAGTGGTGCGGTGTTGAAAACAACAAGACTGGTGGGGAGAGGAAAGGATCCGGATATGGGAGGATGTGATAGGCCTAGGGGTGGTTCACTTCGGTCCAAGCTCGGCCAGGGCGAGCAGGCGATGATGCAAGAATCATGTTGCTGATATACCAGGAGGTATGTATACATTGTACGTACATTGTACTCTGCCTTTACCTCTACCCAGGTAGCCACTTGACCGCCAAATCGACGACAGGGAAAAGACCGCCGAGAATAGAAAGTCGGCCCATAGACGGCCTAAACCAGATCGGGCAGTATTTACGTAGGCTATGTATTAGGAGGCAACTCCGACATCTAGCACTGGCTTAACTCGGATAACTGCAATAAAAAATCCGCGGAAGGGAACAGCCTATAGCCTAAGCACCCCGACCACATTTAGGTACATGCCGCGTCTCATGCGCATCTGGGAAGCCGCGGTAGGTACGCACCCAGTTCTACCGCGCCAGGCAGGCGCCCAGGCACAAACCTACCCAGGCACGTACCTAGGTAGGCATCCACATATCTCCTACCCACCTCTCCTAGAGGTATGTGTACCTACTTGCCTCCCTACCTCTAAGGAGGTACACAATAGTAGACATTAACCAGCAAGCGTGAGGTTCTCATATTGGGGTGTACTACTACCTGCATACACCAAGGGTACAGATGTACATTAAGTCTTCGCAGGTGGACACCGGGCCAGGTTCTCGACCCATTGCGTGTAAGTCCCTTATGTACGATGAGGTAGGAGACGTAGGTAGGAGGTAGGTACCTAGGTAGGTAGGTATGCCAGCCACCGTACCACCTACCTACTCATAGTAGGTACCTGTTGAGTACGTGTCTGACAAGGTAGGTATGTACACAGATACAGGTAGGTACCTAGGAGATAGAGGTAGGGAGGTACATATGAGTACAGGTAGAGAGAGAGGCATAGCGTCGTATCCACACGGAGAGCAATGCGCGTTGTGGCCGGGCAGGCAGTGCCCATGATGGCGACGGTTCAAGCGAGAACCGCACGAACCGCACATATCGTTCGGCAACCTGCGCGCCTCCCCTCGCTCGCTCGTCGCGCGTCGTGGCCGGCAGGCCAGCCGGAAAGAGATGACTAATTAATCCGATGCAACAGTTGGAGTCTCTGCAGCCTTGGGAGCCGTTCGGGCTGCGCGGAGGTCTCGAACGCCACATGAAAATTTTCAAACGGGCATTTTCGTCGATTTTGCCTCGGGTTGGACCGCGTGATGGCTGGACCGAGAGAAGACGGGTGTTGCTGAAGCTCTCACGGCCCGTCGCAAGATTTTCGGGAGGTTCCCCCTCCTGCGGCAGGACGCTCCCGGTGGATACATGTACCCGATGCCGGCAGGGGCCCACCCTAGCTAGTATATCTGTACAGGGATCGTTGCTGGGCGCCACCCCATGATCGGTGGAAGGTTGAGACGAAAGTCAGACTGAAATTGAACGAGACCGCTCATACGTTCGGTAGCGCATCGTCTCGTCGGAAGAGGCATGTGTAGGTACTTACGTAAGTACGTACGTACCTATTGGTGAGAGACATCAGATATCCCCCAGGTCGATGTGTACCTAGGTATACCACCTACACATATAGAGGAGGTAGGGTTACTTAAGGCGGGCAATAGAGGTTAAAGGTGCCTGCCCAGGTAGCTACCTCCTGCTGCTCGCATGCATCGATAGGGACTTACTTAGGTACCTACCTAGGTACCTATATGCTAATACCTCTTATTTGCATGCCATGTACCTATAGATGTGTACCCGATCCCCCCAACCTGACCTGCCTCTATACATACATACATACATACATACATACATACATACATACATACATACACACATACACACATACACACCACACACACACACACACACACACACATACACATACATACCTACATACCTATTTTACATCCTCTACTCCTCCTCTTCGCTCGAGGCCGAGGCCAACGCCGTAGCAGACATATGTAGGTAGGTATGTAGACTCCCTCCCATCCGTCCCATGCCGTGCTATCCCTCCATCCACCCAATCCCATCCTAGCCCAGTCTGGTCCATTCATCTCATCCTGTCCAGGTTCGGGATGCAGTGATGTCCAAACCCACGAATGATCGGCTGACATCGAGGGCCATCTGCCGTACGGATCTGCACTCGGACGCTACGCTCTCGAGACAATCATTTCCCAACTCTTATTTCCCCTCAGGCGCGGCATGGTGCCGGTGCACGCGGAGCGTCGGGTGCTTCGGCCAGTTTCAAGGCGTGGCTCGTTTGCTACGATAGCATTCGCTTCCAGGTCCAACGCGGGTGCCAGTCCGCGGCCGACGAGGTTCGTATTTATCCATCGAGTACAGGAATGAATGGCTACCGAGATGTAGGTGCGAGACTACACGCGTGCTCAATGTGCCCGCCGTCCGCGAACCGGAGTCTCTGCGAACTAGAGTGCTGTTCATGCCGCAGAGGGCGTGGGGACGGCATCAGCGCTGGACCGGACACGAGAGAGAGAGCCATTTATAGCATCAGATTGTCTCGCAGGTAGGCGGTGTAGACAAGTATTATGCAGCAATAGTGTCGGACCGACGAGAGGCTGCGACGCAGGCAGTTCTACTGATTAGCAGGTTAGCAGGTCGGCTACCTAACGTACGTACGTACCTACATACACGATAGTTACATTACACCTGTCGTGTAGGTAGGAGGTATGTAGATACCGCAGGCTGACGGGTAGAGAGACATAGGGCTCTGCATACTTGCTTGTTAGCCCGCTTGCTGGCTGGCCGACCTCCCACGAGATGCGAACTTGTAGGATCTCCTCTCGGCCACCCATCCCTGTTCCGCAAATCGTCAAACTCCCCCACGATCCTGCACTACTGTACGGCAGGTTTTCCAAATTTGGTTGCCAAGGCGAGAAGGGCTTTGCTCTGTGTCCTCACGAAGTTAGAATGGATAGAGAGAAACCCGGTCCGCGGGAGAGAGAGGCACAAATAAAAACTGCCAAGCAGTACCGGAGTTCTCTCGCCGTATACACCAGACGCCAGGCTATATTTTGTCCGCACGGATACATGTTCCCTGCCGTCGTAGCTGCCAGCGCCACCTCCATTGCACGTTGAATATACACGTACTTACGCCGGACCAGGTACCGGTTCGTTCCTTGTCATCGCGTCAGTACGTTCTGGTTCTTGGCAACTAACTCGCAATGGGTAGGTTATCTTTTGCTTACCTGACCTTTCCCGACCACGTCTGACCTTACTGGACCTTACCTACCGACGAACGACGCCAGATGGCAGAACGCCACGCGGCGGGTGGGACTCCCGCTGTCTTGGTGGAGGAGGCATCTCTCGCAAGATACGTCGTCCCGGTCGTGGCCCCCGGGTCTTTTTTTTCTTTTTCTTTTTTGCACATGGTAGGCAACGCGTATGTGCTTGAGCCGTGTCCCCTCTCCCCGCTCCCCCCCCGTCGTCTCCCCCGGCTTCTACCTGGGGCATTTTCAAACCCTCGTGGTCATAGCCCCCGTTGTCGAGGATGTCCGTGGAAGGTCTGGAGACACTCTTGTTCTATTTAAATTGGAGCAGGGCGGTTACACAAGCTGGGGCCTGCGGAGGTGTGCCGTCTGTACTTATTTGCAAGAACTCCGGACCATGTCGCGCATATCCAGATCTGCCCACCTTGGAAGGCTGAGGCTGAAGGTGTCCACCCTGCGTCGCACAAAACCCGCGGCAACGGTTAACGGAGGATGTGGTGGATGTGATTATGGGGCAAGTCCTAGCGATTACTTCTTAGGATCGACTCCATGGTCCCCAACTACGACATCAGAATCCCACAATCTCCACTCCCCTAGGCTTCGGTATGGATGTGGCGTGTACATACATACAGCCGTCGAGTCCTTACCATCCACTCTGGGACCAGTGTTAGCCGATCGCCTATCTTCCGAGTTGCGGCCCTCGGAACACGACGGCGTGGACGACGAAGAGCGCTAAAACCCCGTGCGATCCAGGGGTTCCCCCCTCTCTCCTTTTTAAAAAATACTTTTTTTTTTCCCCCAAAAGGGCCAAGCAAGCCTAACGGAAATTTCATTCACGAATCTGCAATTCGACATCGACGTGGCCCTCAGAGAAGAGCAATTTTCCTACTGGGGAGTGAGATGCCAATGTGGTAAGCCTAAACGAAACCGAGCCAGGGGCGGAGAAAGCCTCCTAACGACTGATGGCTCGGTGGCGGTCCGGTGGAAGCGTGTTGTTTGTCCCACTGCCTATTGTCAAACTGCATTCCGTCCTTTTTAATTGTCAGACAGTGATCCGGAGGCAACCTAGAACCCGGGTCGGAAAATGCCCACGTACCTACATACAAACATGAGGACCTTTCGTAAGTCATCCTAACCCCGACTAGGCCAGATTTCCCTCGGGGTTTACGTAGTTGCTGCGAGTGAAGCTAGCACCTGTAACAACGGCCAGCCAGTATCTGATACGGCCGTGATCTCAGCGTGTCACCCATAAGGTGTCATCCCTCTTAATATCGAGCACGAGCAAGAATTGCCGGCTGCCTTGGCGAAGCTAGGGGCTTCACTCTAGGGCAAACGAGGAAAGCCGTGTGTTGGTCGAGTATTCTTAGACTCGTTTTGCTGACTCGTAGGTCTGCCATGGCTACCACTAGCGTTGGGGACGTGTTTTCGTTTCTTGAGTCGGTATCGTAACGTACATACGTACCACCTGATACGATTTTTATATAGCTCTTGACCAACAAGTACGCAATAAGGGGGTAGGATAGGGCTATTATTCCTTGTCAATAAGTATCAGAGGTCGTCGTAACAGTTTCCTCAGCGCTGTCCGTGATAATCCGTCCCCCCCCTAGACCATAGACCGTCATATATGGCTCTAGCCACTCTCCGTGGTCGTAAACAAAGCTCGTCGCAACACGCCATCGATCCACGCTAGCTCTCACACTTATACACGTGAGATCCCAGTCCCGCGTGAGTGACACCGAGAGAGAAAAAACCGGGAGAGAGGACTCCACCGATCGGTTATCCTAGCGTTCGGTAATAGAAGAACAACACGGCCTACGTAGGAATCGTGTTTCTAATTCTTAATCCATTCTGAACATTTCTCGCGTACTTCTTTAACGAGAAATCGAGCCAGGACGATTTCCTTTTAGCGCTCTTGACGCACTCAAAAGTCGAGAGTAGGGGTAGGAAGCTTACCAAATAAGAGGTAGGTTATAATAATAATAATACCGCTGCGCTGTACACGGCACGATCCTCCTTTCGGGTAGAGACAGACAGACATCTTACCGACAAGTTGAAACCACCAGTTGGAATTTTGCAGTACGTGACACGACGATGCGCAGAAACGACAACACCGACGACTACGACCGGGCCGTGTTTCCCAGCACCTCGATCTCATCGACGAAGCCCATCCCTAGACGACGCCGTACGGACGTCTGCCACGCACCGCAGGGACCGAGCAGAGCGAAAGTCGGCGTGCTATAGGTAAAATCGTGGTTACTGCACGTCTCATGCATCGTCCTGTATCGACGCAATCATGCATTACAGCTTTTGAAGCCCAACTCCCTGGGCAGCTCCGCTTGATTCACACATACCTACATAATATACACATCTGTGCGCACAGCCATACATAGCTCCCTACATCGCTTCCACACAAGCCGGCCGAGTCGCGCAGCGCGGATATGGTAACCCGCTTGGCCTACGTGGGAAGCGGACTCGCTCGCAGCAGCAGCAGCAGCAGCAGCAGCAGCACGCAGGCATGAAGAAGGCAGGAATTGATACACGTAGGTAAATCGGAGAGGCGTTTCCTGGGCCACGACTTAGTTTTGGCCTGTCTCGCCCCTGCATGTATGTACGTAGGCATGTGTGCATACGTATTGTGTTCATGCGTGAACGAGGGAGTCCCCTCTCCCTGTCCCTCTCTGTCTGTCTGTCTGTTTCTCTGTTTCTCTCTCTCTTTTCTTTTTTTTTTTTTTCCTTTTCTCCCTCTCTCTATTATTCCCCTTGGCGGGAGGCCAAGGATCGTCTGCGAAAGTGCGGCAGCAACGGGGAAAAGCTCACGTAGGGTTATCACGGGATAGGTCAGTCGGTCGTACGTGCGATTGGCTGTTCCCGCCTACGACTGCGAGACGGATCGTCCAATAGCCAGCAACAACTAGGTGCATGATGCCAACAAATCGCTACATAGCTAAACGCATTGACGGCCTCTGCTGAGGTTGGCGGCCAATTGGGGTATCTGATATACATAGCGCGCAGGCACTTGAATTGCGATAATTCACATCATCGTATGATTGTCGAGAACGGCAGCAGGTAGGGAAGCTGTCGCAGGCTTGCAGCCGACCATCAAGTGACCAGAGACGCGATGGGAGCGAGGGCGAAGGGAGCTGCCGGAACCAACCGTCCTGTTTCCCACGGAGGTTGCATGGCTTGCGCGCATCGGGTGGGATTGCGATCAAAGCACCTGTTCAGGTCTCGATATGTATGCATGGGATTCTGTCTCTGCGGCGCGTGTGCGTTCGTACAGATGTAGGTGTGTAGGTATACGATGGCATACGGACTGACAACCAAGCGATGTGTTCTGCCTGTCCATCACGGAAGCTGTTGCTGCTACGGTAGTAACGCAGATCAGTGGTGGTTCGCGCTCCCATGGTTCGGGGTTCGCGGGTCGGTGGCAGCGAGGAGATAATGGCCGGCCCTGGTTCTCAGGCCAGACGGAGGACGACAGGGAAAACTGGCCGGAGGGCAAATCAAGATGCCTGTCGACATGCCTACCTAACCTTACCTACCTGACGAACTGCTACCTGCCTACATATACCTACCCTACATACCTACATCAGGAAGCATCTTAAAACCTAGAGAGGGAGAGAGAGTGTGTGCGTATGTGTGGGTGTGTGTGCGCATGTGTGTGGGTGTGGAAATACCTAGCACGCTCATTGTCCTATCCGCCTACCTACCCGCCTACGTCTACACCAACCCGTAACCTCGATCTTACATATACATACACCTTGCACATACACCTTACGCATACACCTTACACATACTCATACACATACTCATACTTATACTCATACTCATATTCATACACACGCCTCCTCTTACATAGGTACCTACCTATACATATACATCCATACCTAGGTACACCTACATACATACGTGCACTCCTAACTTACATGCCTTATACAGAGGTACCTACCTAGGTACCTACCTTAGGTACCTACTTTCCTCTGCGTTAGGCACCTACCTACCCCTAACAGAGGTAGGTAGGTAGGTAGGTAGGTAGGTAGGTACCTAAGGTAGGAGGAGGTAGCTAGGCATGTTCCGGTGCTCTACCCGTGTCACCGTGGGCTAGAACACGGCATTGCATCGCCTAACATACCTGGATACTTTACCTTTCCTCTGGTATCCAACTAAAGGGAGACGGCCACGTTTTCTCTGCTCCGACAACCTAGTAGTGCTAGATACCCCCCTGCCTACATACGCCCGTCCACACAGCACTCGACTACCTCCTAACCTACACCATACAGGTATATACCTACTACATATGTATGCATGTATATCCCTATATAAATTACCTGTACAGATTCAGATAGCATTCGCATACGCATACGCATTCGCATTCGCATACGCATACATATGTTTATCTATATAGGTATATGTATATACCTATGCATACCTACGTCTCTATACCCAAGGCAATATATCCATGTATACAGGTAGCAAACAGGACGATCGCGTTGTGCGACAGTCTGTCCTCAACACGAAGAGAGCCCATCCCCTTTGCGTCCCCTCGTCCGGCTCGTAGGCAGAGACGATCGGAGCGCGTGCTAGGTGCGGTGTTGGCTTAGGGCGGCGATGAGAAGGGGGCCCTATGAGAGCCGATATGCGTCCTGGCTGGGAAAGGGGGCTAATTGGCCGGGTGTGCAAATCCGTATCGCATGGGCGAGGACACGAGGGAGCGTCCGTCACCGTCGCCGCCGTCGCCGTCACGGGTCGACGATACAGGCTGCGAGCTGGGTCGCGAGCGAGGGGAGCCGACCCGACGAAGGGCGCGTGCCCTAGCACACGCCCCTCCTCCTACCTGCTTGCAGACAATACGTCGGGGCACTCTACTACGTCGACCTACATACATTCATACATTCATACATACAGACAGACATACAGACAGACCCCAACCTCCCTGCCCTCCCTACCTGCCTCTACCTGCCTAACCTACCTATCTACATACCCAGACAAGACCATTCCGTAGAAGAGGCAAGGTGTGCATATACATACAGTACAGGTAGCCACGCATACACATACACATACGGTACAGGTAGCCACGCATACCACCTACACATACAGTACAGGTAGCCACACATACACATATACACACGGTACAGGTAGCCACACATACACGTATGTATACATGCACATAGGTAGGAGCCGTACCTAGGAGAGGTTAGGTACCTAAGGTAGGGGATGCGTGTACGTGCGATGCCTCTCTGCAACGCGTTGCACCAGCATTTTGCATGTACCTAGGTACGGAGGACATCTACCTGGGTACCTCCTAGACACATACAAGGTAGGAAGGAGGTTAGGTTAGGTCGGGTTAGGCTACCTCCAGAAGCAATGTACATGCTTCTACCGGGTACCTCCCGGTCGTACACGTCGAGCAATTGGAACATGGCATAATACCCAAGCCGGAAAGGTGGAGGAAGAAGAGGAGGAGTCGGGCGGTGGAAGAAGTGTAGAAGCAGTGGAGGTAGGAGGTAGAAGGCAGATCGAAAAGAGAACGAGAGAGGGAGAGGGAGAGGGAGAGAGCGCAACGCGCGCGGTGGAGAGCAGAGAGAGAGGTACCCGACCTATCAGGGCGGAGGGGGTTCCGCGTGTACGTACAATACGTCAGGTAAGGTATCCGTGCAGGCCAGGCAGGCCAACACCGTCGAGGTATCTAAACCTGGCCCGTCTCCTACGTAGCCACGGTGGACCGGCCGGCCGTGCCTACACCCACCTCCACTGCTAGTATAGTACATGGTAGGCATGGCTGCAGGACGAGCCCTGTCCGGGTGTATGTAGTGTGTATGTGGTATGTATGTACATGCTGCCATACCCACCCAGTCTCTGCAACCTCACATCTGCTGCTGCGTCCGCCAGGGGATCGTGTAAGTGTGTTCCTGCTGTTCCTGCCTATCCAAGTGCAGCCCAGCAACGCCAGCCAGCGCCCGCTGCCGCCAGCAGCACGCGGTGATTGGCATCGTCGTCCGCGTTATGGGTGCGCAGCGCCGCCCTCGATTCGCCTGCTCGCTCGCAGGGTCCGTGGCTGCGCAGCCGGGCGGCCCGACTAGCCCGATATGGCAGTATCGCCCTGGCCATACCGCCGTGCTCGGCCTAAGCGATTGCGGTCTATCTGCATACGGCCCTGGTCCGCCCCCTTTGCTGAATAACCCCAATTGCTGTCCATTGTACATGTACATTGCTCGTCGCCTGCCTGCCCTGACTCCTGGCGTCGAGGTCTCGACTCGCGATTCAACGATATTGATGAAATGATTTGGTCGACGACTTTCACTCTCGTCTCTCTTCTCCCCTCTCTCTACCTCCTGCTCTCCTGAACTTGTATTTACCTACTTTCCGACCTCGCTTTCATAAGAAAACTCGACCATCTACTCCCCCCCCCCTTTCCCTCTCCTTTATTACCCCCCTCTCCCGTTTCCCTCTCTCACTCCGTTCCTCTCTCTCTATCTCTCTCTCTCTTTTCCGTATCCCTCTACCCGGCCATTGTGTTTTCCAGTCTAGTCTTCGTTGAGCAGTTTTCTTTTTAGCCCGGTAGCGGTAGCTTCACCGTTGCACGAGAATTCCCGGGAATCACCGCGGCTGCTGATCCTGTTGACCGCTGACCGCTTACGAGAAGGAAGCTGGGGAGCCGAGAAGGGGAAACCAAAAATAATAATAATCCCTAGACCTGTCGAGCGATTCGTGTCCACGTGCGGGACCTCTGAGAGGGGCGAGACGATTCTGGGTTTGGAAACTATCTGGTGGATCTCTCAACGCGAACGTGAGTATCTCTCTTCCTCCTCTCTCTCTCTCTCTGTGGTGTCTATCTCTCGGTCTAAGTGGCGCGTGAGCGAGTAAGTGAGAGTTATGTATGCGTGTTATGTGTGCGTGTGTGTGTTTGTACCCTTCCCCCCCCCCTCTCCTTTCCAGCTACATTGGTTTTTTTTTTTTTTTTTTTCGATTTAGTTTCCTCGACGCGTCCTTACGGTGACAAGCACATCCCCCCCTTCCCGAGAAAAAAAAAGAAGAAAACTGAATGCATCATATAAAAACACATAAGAAAATTCCTGCAGAAGTTGCCACGGCTCAGCAAACATTACTGTCTGGTAGCAGAGACAACTTCCTTGAACCGTACAAAAACGGTGTAAGCTTCAGGTACCCTTGTCTTGCCCCCCCCTCCCGAACCCAGGTGTTCCATCCAAGTCCCATCAAGTCTTACCTTGCCCTGCTACATTCAACCACGCCTTTTTTTTTCCCTTTTTTATATTTTACCTATTTTATCCTATATTTCCCCGTTTCCCATATATATCCTCTTTTTTTTTCTTTCTCTTTTCCGCACCAGGCCCCGAATCTAAACCTGCCAACATATACACCCGCGCACCGCCCATCCTCCATACACCTTATACATATAACCTATGTAGACAACACACACACACGCACACACGCATCCACATTCTCTTCCTCCTCTCCTACGCAGCCGTACACACAGCCTATACGCACACATACACGCACGCGCGCGCATGCACCCATATACACACCCGCCCACTTTCATTTGACTTGCATTCTACCTGCAGCAGCGGGCTCGACGAGCTACCGTCATCCCCCCATCATCAGCACATCCACTCGCCCGCTGCCAATTCACCACACCCACCCACCGCTGATTACACGGTTCTTTTCGGCATTCCATACCCACCCGTTTCCCCTTCGAGGCGCGCATGTACCTGCTGGTACCGGGAACTGGTACAACTACCAGATTCGACAAAACAAAACACGACGCACCACCAGCAACAAGGTGGTTCTCTTTTTTTCTGACAAGGGACTAGGTACAACGGTGTGGACGGGACTTGGCCCGACTGAGCTTAGTCGCAGGCGAGCCCAGCATCAGGAACGAGCAGAAATTTATTTGGCACGGGACCCTGTTGACGAGAAGGGGCGGAACAGGAGGAAAAAAGAGAATCGGGTTTGGTTGCAGTAATAAGAAGGCCACCACCACACCTCCTCTGACCTCGAGGAACGTGGACCCGAATTCTCCACTTTACAACATTTGGATCCCATCCGTCCCATCTCGCTGCTGCTGGGTTTTTAGAGCCTCACGAACTACCGTCCACCTGCTCCATTCAATCCCCAATTCTACCCCAAAAACAACCTCTCTTCCCCTCATCGTCGATTAAACCGTCACCTTATCACCGTCCTCGCTATCTTTTTAAATTTTTTTTTTATTGTCGTATCGCTACTATCGCTTTCTTTTACTTTTCCCGCGCAATTCACCTCCAGCAACAATCGACGACCCGTCGTCGCGTCGCTACCCTGCAAGACCCTGCTTCGACCTGCTACCCGCACTGGCGCCGACATTGAATCTCTCGGGTTGGGTACTGGGCGCGGAGGAATCGTTAGAGCCATTGAATTGTCGGGTATCGGGGTTCGCACTTCCGCCATTCACCGCGGAGTAGAACAATAAAAGGGGCAAAGAGGATAAAAACAATAAAATTCTACACGCGCCACCACCCACCATCCCCAGACAACGCAACCCCCCAAAACACCAGATCTACCCACACAAACGCCCGTGTTCGTCCCGTCGGCTCAACCACATCACCGTCACGCCTTCCGGGTTGCGCATATCGGACTTCGTCCAGATACCCGAAGAAAGAAGCAGAGCAGAGGAGGCCAAGAGAAGGGACAATTGCAGCAGAGCGTGTGCCGAGATTGCTTGATTCTAGCAATCGTGGCCTCACCTGCCATTGTCGCCTCGTCATTCTTTCCACTGGACATGGACAGTGGCCATCCGAACCAAAACCCATATTCGTCTAACATAGGCACATCCGGGGCGTCGTATCCCTCGCCGGCTGCAATCTCCCCCAACCAGTTGCAGCACGCGTCTATCCAGCACACTTTGCCGCCTCTGCAGCATAACGCCTCTGCTATGCAATCCATCTACGGGAGCCATCCCCACACGCCGAGGACGCCAGGCACTCCGAACGCCCCCCAGCCTCCCAACAACATGAGCCAGTACCCGCCGCGGAATCCGGGCCCCGGTCGCGCCTCGTACGGAATGATGCCCAACCAGTATCAGCCGACCCAGCAGGGCTATCCCACCTCTCCCTCGATGATGCCGCAGACGTCTGTCGCGGCCTCGCACCCCCAGCCGATCGCGCCGGCCCCCGCGGTGGCGCGCCCTCCGGTCCTGCGGCCGATGCCTGCCGGCGGCGTCATGCCGCAGACGGGCCTGCCCTCTCCGTACGGCGGGAGCCCGATGATGCCTCATCAGCAGTCTCTTCTGCAGGACAACGAGCAGCCGACCCACGTGGTCGGGTCCCAGGGACGGCGCGGCATCCTTCCCAGCGCTCCGGGAAGGCCCGCGGCCCCCACGGGCAGCGGTGCATCGAAGAACACGGTCATCCCGCAGAAGGATGCAGACGGGAAATTCCCCTGTCCCCACTGCACCAAGACCTATCTCCACGCGAAGCACCTAAAACGCCACCTTCTCCGCCGTAAGTGCCCTGGATCCACCGCGGCCCCGCACTCCTCCTCCCCCCACTAACTCAGATGGTAACTAGACACGGGCGACCGTCCATACATGTGCGTGTTGTGCCGCGATACGTTTTCGCGAAGTGACATCCTCAAGCGTCACTTTCAAAAATGCTCCATTCGACGAGGAAACCCCACCGGGGTGAGCCATCTGTCTCATCCCCAAGCACACGTTAAGAAGCAGCAGCAGAATGCTCAGAAGGCTAACGAGGGTGACATGGGTCATATGAACGGCATGGCTAACATGCCAGGTGATAATGTCGTCCACCCCTTCGGTATGGTCCAGATCCAAGATGGTATGGGAAACATGGCCAACGATCAGAACCAGCTTTCTAGATCCAGCAGCATGAGCCGGATGGACGATGGCGGCAACCGGGATCGGAGAAGCATGACCGGCGGCTACAACGGTGACGTGTCCAACTCGATGTCCTCCAACATCAACCCCCAGTTGGCCAACTTCAACATGCCTACCAGCCAGAACGGCATGCCGATGTATGGAGCTTCGGGCTCGAACCAACAATCTGGCCTTGACTGGTCTCAGATGTTTCCACAGTCCGGTGCGCACAATGCCTACGTCACTCAGTTCGCTCCTAATATTGGACAGAATCAGACCGCAGTCAAAACCGAGCCTAGCCTTACCGCTTCCGAGAGAACAGACGGCCTGCCAGGCGTGGCCCCGAACGACCTGAACCAACGATCGCTCTTCTTCTCCCACCGGGACCCCCAGCTCCCTCCGCAAGACCCCTATCCGCAGCTCTTCTCCCAGATCTATAGCTTCTTTTACCCCTCCGGCACGGCGTCCCCCCCTCAGACAATCCTCGTCAACGACTTCTTCTCCCCTGCCAACATCCGCGACTTCCTAGAGTCGTATACCCATTTCCACGTTCATTTCCCCTTCCTGCACATCCCCACCTTTCGCATAATGGAAGCTTACACTGGTCTCATCGCCTCCATGTGCTGCGTCGGCGCCTGCTATTCTAGCCGCGCCTCGCCTTCGAGCGTTCGGGAAGCCATGAATTTCTTAAAGATAGCTCTCGAGCGCGACTGTAATCTGTTTGCTAAGCGCGGCGTACAGCCTCCAGCCTCCAAGATGGGCAGCGGAAGGGACAAGAGAGACATCGAGAGGCTGCAAGCCCTCATCCTGATGTCGATACTGTTTACCTGGAACGGCACTCCCATCCAGCGCGAGACCGCCAGGAGACTATTTCCCATCGTGGCGGATATCGCCAGAAGGTTTGATTTACTGCAGGTCAGAAATGACGCGTCTCTGTATAGCATCTTCCACCAGCCTACCATATCATTGGAGGACCTGAACCCCGGGCAATTCAACTGGACGGCGTGGGTCGAGCAGGAAATCCGCATCCGACTCATGCACATGGTATATCTCGTCGACGTCGCGCGCACGTTGTACTTTAATTCTGACCCCCTATTTGACGGTTTCGAGATCCGTGTTCCTCTCCCCGCCGACGACGCCGCTTGGGAAGCGGAGTCCTCGTTCGACTGCGCGCAGGCTCTGAATCTGTACGGACCCGAAGCCGCGAGAGCCAAGAATCCGGACGGCTCCCAGCGCAGCAAGCAACCAGAGCTTAACCTGAGTTTGACGGCATTATTCCACGCGTCCTACCAAATACACCCGGGCAGCACAAATTTGTACGGTAAATTTATACTTATCCACGCCGTCCTGGCGCAGATTCGGAGCGCGCAGATTGGCGGCCGCTTAGCTGCACTCGAAGGAGTCTCGACGCCGCTCTCTCAGAATGACTGGATCATCTCGAATAACTCGGACGCGGGAACGGCCAGCAACAGCGCTAACGGTACGCCGGTTGCCGGGTTATCGGCCCAGACGTACAAGTCTCTGTGCACGGCCCTCGACAAGTTCAAGTCGTACTGGGATATGGATATGGCTATTCAGTTCCCGCCGTCGGTCTCGAATCCCCGTCGGTACGGTTTCTGTCGAGATGGGATCCATTTTTTCTGGCTCGCGAAATGGATGCTGAAGAATACGCAGCCTGCGGATCTGCAGACGCCGCCGGATCACCGGTTCAGACAGGTCATTCAGCTGCTCAGGTCCGTCAAGGCCTGGGTCATGTCGGACGGAGTGTCTCGAGGAGAGGAGCTCGGGTCGGTTAGCGAAATCGGCGACGACTATGGTGTTAGCAATCTCACGGTGGACATGTCTCAATTATTTAAACGTCTCCCATCAATGGCGGAATCCCCGGGCATGCGCGCCATCAAAACGGAAATTTGAGTAAGGCGACAAGACAACTTCTTAATCGACTAAAGGACCCATTTATATTTCTCCCTCCCCCCACCCAAAAAATCTGGCATATGCGGCGTTCTCTTGTTTTTGTCCCCTCCCTCCCGGTCTCTCTCGCATCCCTCCCCACGAAAAAAAAAGTTTCGATTCTTCTTCCTCTGCATCGGATCGGGATGATGGCGGCAATTCTGTGCATTTTCCGGGGTTGGCTCGCAACACACTTAACTAGACTGGCTGTGGCGTCTGCATTTAGACTCGACGATTAGATTCCGGCCGGCATTCAAAAGGCAGGCAGGCTTTGCAAAACTCCGCTTGGGAGGTGATGATGATGTTCACGTCTACACTGACCGGTAAACAAGTTATGGAGGTGGTCTCGTTTCTCTCTCGTGGCACGCATTATTTCATAGAGGAGGAGGAGCATTGAGCAAAGAAGGTGTGGCGGTCGGGGGCGGACTCATTGCATCACCACTTTTTTTTTTTCCCTCTTCTCTTTTCACTTCTCTCACCTGTCGCGTTTTGTCTTTGTTTCTATTTCCTTTTCTACTCCAGGGACGAGAGTGAATGTGAGAGAGAGAGAGAGAGAGAGAGAGAAACGTGTCACAGGGACGAGATAGATAAATCAGACCAGTAAAGTATATGATCCCACTACTTGTGTGTGTGTATGTGTGTGAATTCAGTCTGTAGATGAAGCTCCGGAGATCAGTAAAAGGGGGTACATATAGAGTACTTGGAATGGAGCCAGCATATCGACATGTCCGAATTTCCTATTCCGGCCGAGTTTGTTACCCCCGGCCGTCCCCCCCCCTCCCCTCCCTTCCATACTACGGCGTGACATTCGGATTCGTAACATCGCGTGACGTCGCGGCGTTCGCGCTCGCATTGGCTGGGGAAAAGACGCCGGACCACTCGGGATTCGACGCGGGGTCTCTTCTCTCTCTTCATCGTTTCGGCCTGTAGCACATTCACATGTCCGCTACGGCGGGCGCGCGCGCGCGCGTGTGTGGGAGCGAGAGGGTTACACAATGCTTCCACACGGCGCGGCGCGGCGCGGCACGGCATGTGCTCTGCTGTCCTGCGGTACGGCAGCAGTAGGTAACGTTGGTGTTGAATCTTGTCGCGTCCGGCTCCTCCGCCGGTCTGGCAGGTGCTTTCTCTCTCCCTTTCTCTCTCTCTCTCCAGATCAGTAGGTTCACTTAATGGAGGATAAGTTCGATTCCTAACAGCGCTACCCGGTAGTAGTCGTCGTTATTTAGCCCATCTTCTCCCTCCCTCTCTCTGCCCCCCTCTGCCTCTCTCTCGCTCTCCTGCGGAATCTACGTACCCTTTTTTTAGGGGGGCAGGGGGGCGAGAGGGGGTGTGTCAAGTTTCACGTCCCGGGACCCGGAAATGACAGGTCGGATCGCCGGCGCTGTCCTGGTGTTTTTATTATCTATCGCCTTGTGGCAGAGAGAAGAGGGGGGGGGGAGAGAGAGAGAGAGAAGGCGCCGCGCCGCGCGCGTGTCGGCGGAGCTGGGGTGGAGTCGCCGCCGCCCCTTTTGGGGAAGAAGCAAAAAAGAAGCGCGGAATGGCGCGGCTGGACGTTGACCGGTTGTCTACGTTATGTATGTGTGCGAGTGTATTCGTGAGCCGGCTAGCAGCTACACTTAGGCACCTATCTATCTATCTAGCCGTCTAGCTATCGAAACCGGCGTAGCTGTTCCCGGACCGCGATCCCCGTACACCGCGAGAGAAGGAGGGAGCGGTGACCGGTGGGTTGGGGGAGGTTTTTTTTTTTTGGCGGACTACCTTCCTAGCAGCACCGATACGTGGGTAACACGTGTATATGTATACCACCTGCACGCGTGCGCGAGCGATACGCGTAGGGCGTGCCGGAGAGTGGCCAATGGTGCGGGCGGAGAGAGGACTGAGGGTTCGGGTTCGCTGGGAGAGGGGGGAGAGGACAACCCAACGGCAACGCAGATGTAAGGAAAGGAAGAACGAGGGTCCACCCACGCCGAGGAAACAAAGCCGGGACCGAGCTGTCTTGCTCCGCCTCACGTCCGGCCTAGTCGAAGAGGGCGTCGGCTTGTGTGTGCGTGGATTCTCCCCACCCGGGCCGGAAGGGGGGAGAAGGGGGAGGGGGGAGGGGGACTGCATACACGTCGTCCTATACTGCAGAGGTATCCCGCGTCAGTGTCGAGGACGTATTAAGCGAAGGTACTAGCGACCTCGTAATCTCTATGCTAAGCAGGCGTTTGCGTTTACGTATCTGCCTGTCCGTCTGTGTAAGTGTGTCGTCTGTGTGTGCGCGTGTGAATGTGTACGATGATGTGACGACAAGTTAGGGGACGTTGTTTTTTTCCGGAGGGTCTACGGGAGAGGGCCATTGCGTTCGCCTCATATTTTGGAGACGTAACCCTTTTTTTTTCGCTATCGGCTATTCATTATTTTTATGTCAACGCCGGATAGTTTATTATTGTTCGTCTTCTTCCCGAATTTTTATTGCTCGTATTTTCTCGAGCTTAATTCTTTTTTTATTGATCGTTTTTTCTCCAATATTTCTTTTCTTCGTCTGGCTTCTGGACCTCGAGTATTTCATATTTTGTATCGGTACTTCGCTGCCGAGCTCGCCATACGCCAACTGCACCTAGTAGTGTAGAAGTTGTGTATGTCGGTAGATGGCTGTTTACTCTGGCTGGCTGGCTGACAGGGAGGCTGGGGGGACCCTGGGCCAGACCGGATCAGATTAGCCTAGCTAGCTAGCTAGCATTGTTGTCGTTGCCGCTGTCGACGTCGTTTGTTGTTATTATTGATGCTACTGCTGTTCCTTCATGTTTGGCAAGAGACGACACTCGAGCCACGTTACTAACACAGCACAACATCGATGCTTGCTTCATGCTCGTTGTGCCGTATTAGTTAGCTAGTCGACATGATCCTGCGTCTGCTTTACCTAACATAACCTGACTTACCTGCCTACATGTGATCCGTGCTTGGGAATACCGACCCCCTTCTAGTGCTGATCGATCAGATTCGGGCAGCTCGTTTCAATTTTCTCGGTTCCCGGCGCGAGAGAGCGTGTGTGACAGGACGATGACAACGCTTGAAGACGTGGAGACACCTCGTCGCAGCTCGTCCTAGCCACCCCCCCCCCCCCCCCTGCCCGTTCGTCCATGTGATGGTGACGATGAGAAAGCGAGATCTCCCTGTTTTTTTTTTTTTTTGCCACGAATGTGCCCTGCGAGGCCGCTCGACTTGGCTTGGCACCGTCGTGGCTACGTGCCGAATCGAGTAGACACGGCTCGAGACAAGTCATCACCACTCATCCCTATTCAGATCTTCCGTCTCCACGAGCACGTCAGGTACAAACCACCCCCTGGCGCTTAGCTGGCAGCGTGTACAGTATGTGGGAGTATGGTTGGTACCTTGGACAGGGTCTATCTGTCTATGTCTGCGTCTGCGTAAGTCCGTCCATACATACAGACGTCTAAACAGGTAGACATCTGTATGCCTGTACGTATGTCTGTACGTACTGCTTTTCCGCCCGCCTGCCTATCTAGCTGGTCCTGTCTGTTCGGGCGGCCAGGTTGGATTTCCGATAGGGCAGGCCCACTAGCAAGCAAGTGCCAGTTGGCGCTCTCTCCGGCTTCCTATTCTCCCTCTTCTCTCTCTCCCTTTCTCCCTCTCTTTCTTTCTCTCTCTCTCTCTGTCTCTGTTCCCTTCCCTACCTCCTCTCGTCTATATCTATCTCTCTGGTTCTCACCGCTGATTATCCTCCCCGTCCCTCTCGACGGTGGTGATACGCGGCAAGATCTTGGAGAGCGCTGCCTTGTCTTCCTCGGTAGGGGCGAGTCCGTAGCGCTCCTCGGCACGGTCAGATAGCTGCAGCCCGATGACGCCCCAGGCCAGTAGGCCTAGGCCGACGCCCAGGCGCATGCGTGGCGATAGATTGCGAAACGACCTTTTTTTTTTTGTCCAGCTTTATTTTAGTACTGTGTTCGCCAACGGCCTCTTTTGCTCGAATCCTCCGATAAGAATTGAAAACTTCAAAACTTTTCTCTAAAAATTCTTCTTTTCCCTTTAGAAAAGGGAAAAAAAAGTTCCCACGGACTTATTTTTAGCAACAGAAGTATAGGTATGTATTCCATCGGTTGGTAATTACATGGCCATCGGAAGGGGGGAAGCGTGGATGTAGCCGTGCCCGATGAGAGATGATTGAGATATATGATATGAACTGCAGATATACATGTATGTAACATGACTGTCAGGGGTATACGTGTGTAGCGTAGGTGTCTAAGACGCTCGTCTAAAAGTTACGGCAAGGGTGGTATCAGGGCAGATAGGTAATATGTGTGTGTGTGTATGTAGGCAGAGGTGTCCGGAGAGTAAAGCGGCAGGGTAACATATGTGGGAGTCGAGCCGGTTTACTTACTGTAACAAGGACATTTTCGTCTTTCCCTCTGTCTTCCCTCAGGTCTCGCTTCCGCGTGCTGCGTAGGATGGATGGATGTGTAGCAGCACGCGGTATATGCCGTAGGTGCCGTATACGCTGTCTTCGGGGTAGCAGGTACGTGGTACGCCGTCTGTATGTAAGCATATGTATGTGCGTATGTGTCGTGTGTGTGTTGGTTGATATGTTCGACACTGTATAATGTTCGACGTGCCGGTACTAACAGCGATACCTACGACGACGACAACGACCGCCAGCACCGTGCGTGTGCGCGTCTGCGACCTCGTACGCAGGTAGATGTGCTCTAATGCCGTCTGCCCTCGGGTATAATGATGATGTACCACGCTTCGGCTGTCAAGTGACCGACGATTGCGTCGCTTGGTCGGGGTGGTTGGGGAGGGAATAATGTCGTGAGTGGGTGAAATGAGCCGAGCTAAGTCTGTAGGTGAGAGGTGAGCAAGGGGGGAAGAGGATGAGGTTCCGATGAGGTAAGCGAGCTAAGTATGTATGTGTGTGGACGGTGTGTGTGGTCTGACGGCGGGCAAGGCGGTGAGGGGGGAAATTGTACATATGTGCATATGCAGCTATGTATTGGGTAGCGATAATATAGCTTGTGTATGTCGATGCATGTAAGAGAGAGAGAGACAGACGGAGAGATCAAAAAAAAATTTTTTTTTTTCGATATATATTAAAAAAGGTGACAGGTATATTTATTTTATTTTATTTTATTTTGTGACTTTTGCGCTTTCAATTCCAGAAATTGCTATTTCCCCTCTTCCTCATCGTTAACTCGATCAGATCGCTAGGTATACACCTACGTATAGGTACCGCTGCCTGAGAAGCGCCGCCTTTGTCACTGATTGCTCGATGCTACCGTTACTCGACTTCGATGAGCAGGTCTGACAGCATGCTATCTGTCATTGTGATTGCGATGAACTGCTCGTAGATGGGGAACCGGACAGGAAAGAAATCGATTGATCGATTGACAAGATATGGTCATGCGACCTTTGGTGTCTTTTCATTCGCCTCGTTCTTCTCTCTGTCTTCGTCGCAGTCTCGTATGCTACATCAAAAATGACGAGTAATTATCACTACTTAAAATCGTTTTATTCGTCCCGCCTATTTATTCATCTAGCGGGTCGGAATAGGCGGAGCTGGCGGAATGGCCAAGCGCCGCTCCTTGTGTACAAAGCCGCATCGGACCTGATTTCGGTATTCATCTACCCAGACATGACTGATGCGTTTAGCCGTGTTGCCACGGGCCTTGGCAGTCCGTATGTATACTCGCCCTAAGGCATAAATAAGGGGCTTAGAGAGGCTCAGGGGGGGCCGAAACCATGTCTTTTTCATACATACATCCGTCCGTCCGCCTTCTCCTACTCGACCGACCCCTGACCTTCGGGAAGCACAACGAACGATGGTTTCCCATTTTCCTTTCCCCTCTCCGGGGGTTTAGCCGAATTCCTTCTCGCTGGTTGCTCCGGCGTCGACGTATCAGGGGACCCAGGAGTCGCACCGTTCCCACTCAATCCTCTCGGATTGTCGAGTTGTACTCCGGTGATTAGCGATCCAGGACCAAAGTCTTCACTCACACAGCCTCAATCGCTGGCCCCGTACTGGGTGCGGTATTCCTCGATATGCTTGATATCGCCATCCGAGATAATCCCCCCCATTCCGTCGATAATGTCGTCGAGTTTGACGATGGAGACGATTGGGATCTGGTACTCCTTCCGCAGCTGGCCGATGGCGCTCGTCTTGCCGTCACCGTCAGGTAGCGTCTCCTGACGGTCGAGGGCGACGACGATGCCCACGACGGTGCCGCCGGCCGCGCGGATCATATCGATGGCCTGGCGCTTGGCCGTGCCTGCGGACACGACATCGTCGATGATGAGAACTCGCTTCCCACGGAGCGGCGACCCGACGATGGTGCCGCCCTCGCCGTGGTCCTTGGCCTCCTTGCGGTCGAAGCTATAGGCGGCGTTGCGGTACTTGGCGCGGTCCATCTTAATCAGCGCGTAGAAGACAGTGGCGGCCAGCGGGATGCCCTTATATGCGGGGCCGAAGATGACGTCGAAGCAGTCGGCCAGTTCGCTAGTGGCGATGGTCTGCGCGTAGGCATCCATGAAAGGCTCGTGGAGCGCGCCGGTGTAGAAATCGCCGGCATTGAAGAAGTAGGGTGATATCCGCTTCGACTTCAACTCGAAGGACCCGAACCGCAGAGCGCCGCCTTCCACCGCCGCGCGGAGGAAGTTCTTCTTGTACTCGGGGAGTGCCATCCTGTCGTGCTAGTATCGACTTACACTATATCGCTCACCGAGTAAAAGCGAGATCTTCCGTAGCTACCTCCGGATGGGATCGGTGGTGTTCATAGATGCGTCCGTCTCACCCAAAAATTAATTTTTTGCCGGACTTCAGTTCGACGGGAAGGTATCATAATTACATAAGCGGTAAGTGATAAGACAGGTATATGTGATGAAAAGATAAGCCACAAGTTACAAGAGCGATAGGTAAGATAAGAGCGAAATGTACCTATCGATAAGAATTTTTATATGCCAAGATTTCGCAGTGTGCGCCCGCTCAACGCCCTCCCTCCGCTTCCTCCACCTCTTTTTCATCAAAAATACCCCTTCAGCCTCGGAAGCAGGAAAAAAAAAGACGAAGGGATTGACAACGCTAACGACACGTCCAACCCCTACAGCTGCCGTTGCATTGGCGTTTCCAATCCTGTCCTGTCGAGTTCGTCGTCACCCTAACTCTCGCCCACGATGAAGACCACTTGGAAGGATATCCCGCCTGTGCCCACGTCGCAGGAGTTTCTCGACATCGTCCTGTCGAGAACCCAGCGACGACTCCCAACCCAGATCCGATCCGGCTTCAAGATAAGCCGAATCAGAGGTCCGTCTCCGTCCGCGACGATGGGAGCCCCGCCCACTAACCTGCCTCTACAGGATTCTATACACGCAAAGTCAAATACACGCAAGAGACCTTCTCGGAGAAGTTCGCGCTGATCCTCGAGAGCTTCCCTCGCCTCCAAGACATCCACCCTTTCCACAAGGATCTCCTAAATACTCTCTACGATGCCGACCACTTTCGCATCGCCCTGGGCCACCTCTCCACCGCCAAGCACCTCATCGAGACCATATCCAGGGATTACGTGCGTCTTCTCAAATACGCCCAGAGCTTGTTCCAATGCAAGCAGCTTAAGAGAGCCGCCCTTGGTCGCATGGCCACCATCACCAAGAAATTAAAAGACCCCCTGCTCTACCTCGACCAAGTCCGCCAGCATCTCGGTCGGCTTCCCTCCATCGATCCTACCACCCGGACCCTGCTCATTTGCGGGTATCCCAATGTCGGGAAGTCGAGTTTCTTGCGCAGCATTACGCGAGCCGACGTCGACGTCCAGCCCTATGCCTTCACCACCAAGAGCTTGTTTGTCGGTCATTTCGACTACAAGTACCTACGCTTTCAGGCAATTGATACGTGAGTTTGCACCGAACCCCCTCCTTCTCCACCCCGGCCCATCTCCGAGAGAGAGAGAGAGTCGACGCAGTATGTGGGTAGGCCCTTTTCCCAGGCAGCTCTGACAGAAAATAGCCCCGGTATCCTGGATCATCCGTTAGAAGAGATGAACACGATCGAGATGCAATCCATCACCGCCATCGCCCATTTAAGATCTGCCATCCTCTACTTTATGGACCTCTCGGAACAGTGCGGCTACTCGGTTACTGCGCAGATGCAACTGTTCAAGAGCATTAAGCCCCTGTTCGCGAACAAGCTAGTGTTCATCGTCATAAACAAGATAGACATCCTTAGGCCCGAGGAGCTGGATGAGAAGACGAGCGGCGAACTTCAGGCGCTGGTGTCTTCGGGCGAGGTAGAATTGCTCCAGCTCTCCTGCAATACTCAGGAGGGCGTGCAGGAAGTGAAGAATGCGGCTTGCGAGCGGCTCCTCGCCGACAGAGTTGCCCAGAAACTGAAGGCCGGCACGTCCAACAGCGGCGGCATCGGAGGCAGGTTAGCCGATGTAATGACCAGGATCCACGTTGCGCAGCCCATGGGCGGAGTGGTGCGAGAGGCGTTTATTCCCGAAGTCGTGAAGACCCTGAGGAAATACGATAAGGAGGACCCCGAGCGGCGCAAATTGGCCCGCGATATCGAGGCCGAGAACGGCGGTGCCGGTGTGTACAACGTCGACCTGAAGGCCGATTACATTCTCGCGAACCCCGAATGGAAGCACGACAGGATACCCGAGATCTTCGACGGCAAGAATGTGTACGATTACATCGATCCCGACATCGACGCCAAACTACAGGCTCTGGAGGAGGAGGAGGAGCGCCTCGAGGCCGAGGGCTACTACGACTCGGACGAGGAAATCGACGATGCGGAGGAAGCGGACATCCGGATGAAGGCGGAGCTTATCCGAGAGAAGCAGGCGCTTATCCGCAACGAGTCAAGAATGCGCAGGGTCAAGAACCGCGCGGTGCTGCCGCGCAAGGCCGTCAGGCGACCGTTATCGCAGCTCGAGGATGCGCTCGACGAGATGGGTGTCGACACACACGACCTTCACCTTAGGGCGAGGGCGCAGTCGTTGGCCCGTGGGCGCTCCCTGACCAGGAGCCGCGTCGGCACCGAGGACGGGAGTGCGATGGACGTGGACCAGACGCCGAGGGAGCGGCTGCGATCGAAGAGCCGGGCGAGGAGCCAGCCGGCGACGAATCGGCGCGAGGACGGCGTCCAGGACGAGGTGACGAGGTCCAAGGCGGAGAGGCAGGCCAAGCTGAGCCAGCGGAAGATGAACCGGATGGCCCGGCAGGGCGAAGCGGACCGACACATCGGCGCCACTCTGCCAAAGCACTTGGTGAGTTTCCCGAGTCTTTTTTTTTTTTGTCCTCCCACTCCTTCTTGAAAAGAGCCAGTGCGGCTTCTCGTACTAACCACGGTTATATGCATATAGTTCGCGGGCAAGCGGACGCTAGGAAAGACGTCCCATCGTTAAGAAGAAGAGGATATTATGCATGCGTGTTTGTTTCTTCTTCGGCTACCGTATACCCACGTGATAGGATTCCCTCGACGACGGCATGGGGCGTGGGCTATCAACCTAGTCGCTATCTCATTACCTTGGCTTTTTTATTCGGCGTTGGGGCGGAGGAAAGAAGGAGGGGCGTGCGGATGGAGAAAGGGGGGCTATCATGGTCGACGACAAGCTGGCTGGCGAGTCTTGATGCACCTGCGGAGCTCGAGGACAAGACAGAATATGAATGGATAGACCAAATTTACGTGAAGATGATGAATTGTCCGTTCCTAGCCTCCTATACGTTACAATAATGGCCTATGAACACTGCGTGAGAGCTACAATTAGGTAGGTTTAATAGGCAGCCATACACCTGCTTCTAGCCACGCTCGATACAGGACGACGATGCCTTCGAATACATATAGGTGTAGTACTAGACTTGGTCCCCTCGTCCAACCAACCGTCTCCTCTCCTGCCTGCCTGCTTACATACCCGTCTTCCCGAGCCCCTATCCCTATTCCCGCCCCTGGAGCGATATACTTACCTCTTAGCCGTACCTCTCCTTTCTCTTTCTCCCTCTTCCTTTCCCTCTTCTCCTTCTTCCTCTCCTTCCCCTTTTCCTTTCCTTCTCCCTGTCCCTCTCCCCCCTCTTCCCCCCCCCTAACCCACGTAGCCGAGCTTACCTCGCCTCAACCTAACCTACGCGAAGGGGCCCCTATAAGCTACGCCCGTACAAACCCCCCACCCTTTCCTTTTTTATCTCGCTCTCCTCCCCGGCCCCCGTGTTACCGTCACTTCTGCTGCGCACTGCCGCGGCCGAGTTTACCGCTCGCTTATTGCCGGCGGCGCTGGGCGCTCCAGCAGGTCCTACCGGTTACACGTACTTACCACAAACCCCGTCCCCCCCCCCCCCCCTTTCCCGCTGCCATACGGTATGTCGGAAAAGGGCAGGAGGTGAAAAAACTAAAATTGAAACCACAAAAAAAGCCAAGAGAGAAAAGGCCTCATTCGTAAATCATCCGTTTCCGGGGCCTTCTCGGGGCAAACGGTAGGTGTCCGTCAAGATTTGGGTACCTATGTAGTATACAGCCGAGTCTATCCAGCCCTCTATACTTCCCCTTCTCTTTTACGTCCCCTCTCGCCGTATTCTAGTATAGTAGTAGTAGTTTGGGGGGGAGACTCACACGTATTCCCGTATTTGTGCATACCTGAGCCGACCCCCCCCCCCATTTCTTTCCCTTCCCCTCTGTGTCTTTATGTCTCTCTTTGTTTTCCTGATCTTACAGACCAAAAAAAAAAAAAGGAAGCCCCCCGGCCCCTAACCTCCTCGTGATTGGGCGTCGGGGCTCGCAAACTGTTGCTCGTGTCCGCCGCGTCGAGGCCAGACGGACGTAAAGGCTTATTATCTCACTCATTGTGCCACCTGGCACTGCGGTCTCTCTAGGCGTCGTCTTACCGCCGCTACGTCGCGTTCCCTCTCCTTCCGAGGATAGACGTCCCGCGGCAGAGAATAGTTGGGGGAATGCGCGCGGGAAGAAAAAAAAAAAAAGGAAACCAAGTTCAGATCTTGATCTCTGGCATATGCATGTGGAATCTATCGAAGTCGAGCACCATGTCGTTCCAACCTCCACCACCGAAGCCGGCCGAGCTCGGCCCCATGTGTGAGAATCCGAGCTTTTCATAATAGCTCACTAGATACTATAGGGAAGGAGGGTCGCCGTTAGACAAACGTGTTGACGACAATTACAAAAAGGGGGGGGGGGCGAGCTACTCACGTCCTGGCAGATGAGGGCGCAGCGGTCGGCGAAGCCGGAACTCTGGACGTGTTGGAGATAAGACTTCACGATGCACTTGCCGAGGCCGCAGGACTGGAGCCTGGGGTGGACGGCGAGGGAGTGGATGCAGACGGTCCGGCCGGTGTCGTCGTGGCCGAGCAGGGAGGTGCCGGGCGTCCGGGCGCGAAAGTCGCGGGGGTAGCCCATGGCGGCGTCAGTCACGACCGCTTCGTCTGATTTGGTCGCGACGATGTGGGCCACGAGGACGCTTCTCCCGCCGTTCTCGCGACGGGTTTCGACGGCGTGCGACGTCGGGAAGGTGTCGATCTGAAATCGCTCAAAATCCTCGGGAAGGATGGTGCAGAATACTCCAAAACATATCTCGGGGCACGCCGTCAGGCGGTACTCAAACTGGTAGAAGATCAGCGGCCGTGTGCGACCGATACACACGGCTTACAATCGGGGGACGAGCAGGGCAGAGGAGATTGCTCTGTCTGATTACCAGGGACCAAGAGTAGAGTTACGCTGCAGAAAAAAAAAAAGAGAATGCGATGAGACAAAACGTTGCAGCTGACCTTCTCTCTGGTGCATCGGTGCGCGGGGTTCTCGAACGCGCCGTTCTCGAGGACCTCGCAGCTGTCGAGGTCGGAGATGGTCAGGGGTCGGAAGTTGGGATGGAAGGAGAAGGGCAGGCGGTTCTGGACGGAGGCGAGCCGGTTGTCGATATTTCGGTGGTGCAGGCCGGCCGAGGCTTTGACATCGACGAAGCCGTCATCTTGGTCCTCCCAGTCGTCGCTGTCCTCATCGGCGGCAGTGCCGTTCTCTCCAGTCTCGCCGTCGACGGGAGGCTTGTCCTTAGCAAGCTCCTGGGTGATAGGGTCCAACATGATGCCGGATTCGGCACGCGTCGGCTCGGCTCGGTCAGGCCCGGGTCAGGTTCGATCGGCTGCGGTTACCGGGAGGAGGATAAGAAGGGATATAAAAGTGTGAGAGAGATGCCACACCAGGGTAGTATCCGAAACTTTGGGCCACAGGCAGCGCGCAGCCACTCAGAAGCGGCTATCCAGAGAGATGCAGTCGATTAGCGTGTGCCGCCGCAGCGGAATCCCTGGGGTGGCCCTGCTACAGAGAGATAGAGGGTGCTGTTGGTTGGCATCTACGGCGCGGACGTGTGCGTGCGTGTGGTTAGACGTGTGCGACAACGTGCGACGGCGTGCGGCAGCGTGTGCCAATATTGCGTCGTTGCCTGTTCGTAGATGCAGGTGAGCGAGCACTCTAGGCGGTTCCTGAATGGAGGAGGTAGAGGTGATGGTAGTAGGGATGGACGAGGGAGAGAGGGGGAGGGGGAAGCAGAGACAGAAGGAGAAGCAGAGAGTAGGGGGGAGGGAGGGCAAGAGAGCGATGGCTGTGGGAAGACGCACACGACGTCGACGACCCGGGTGGCGATGGGTGCCGACGGACTGGGCAGGGCAAGACTTAGCCTACCCCATCCTGGCCCGGCCCAGCCTCGGGCGAGCTGGGGAGAAGAGGGATAGGCAAGACAAGGTCTCGGAAAGCGGGATGCGGGAACTAACCGCCTTGGGCTATCGCGGAGGTATCGCGCCCCGTGGGCCGGGAGGTACCCGCGTAGCTATGTAGGTACAGAAGGTATGCAACACCCGAGGTTAGGCAGCCAGGTATTGTTACCTATAACCTCCTCCTGCTCACCCAGCCAGACCAGCGGTGCCGCGCCTATGCAATAGGAGAGAGATTTCTCCGATGCCGAGAGGAGGGAGGAAGCGGGAAAGGAAGGGAGGGAGAGGGAGGGATAACTAAATATATGCACACTCCACACATAGGTATATAATTATATATGTCCGCGAGCGACGAATCAGCAATTGACCTGTCGTTCCCTACCTACCTACCTGCCTATACCTACCTTTCTTCCCTCTCCGCGTCTAGTGAGGAGTGCGGCGAACAAGATCGTGCATGGATAGATAACTACAGATGTTCGTATAGATGCACATATGCATACCTATATACTCGTACATAAATAGAATCTCTCGGGCACGCTGGCACATCACACACCCAATATGCCTACCTACCTAGGTAGCTGGTTACATAATACCCATCCATGTATATATCTATTGACTGGCCTGCCTGCGTCCCAGCCTTCTCCCGCTCCCTCCCTTCGGCCATCCTTCCGGTCCCCTGCCGCTGCTCGCATGACCAGCCCCCTTCCCCTTGAATCCGTTACACGCCGAGATGCTGCACGTCCAATCGTCCGACGCCCGCACCCCCCCGTCAACCGTCTCCGACTGCGTTACCCAAGTCGCGCGACTCCCCGTCACCCGGGGGCTAAACCCTGCCTCCCCGGAGTTCCGCCGATGTTACCCCCCTCACCCGCCAAAAAAGAATCTAGGGTCCGCATCAACCTGTTCAAAACCGGAGGGTATCATTGCCTATCATCCTTGTGGTATCGTACATCGTTATCCCGCTGCCCGCGCCGTCGCGTCGTCGCCGTCGTGGTATCCCGTCCGTCTTCCCTTCCTCTCCCAACCCAGTGTCAGTCTACCCCCGCAGTCCCATCCCTTGAACCTCCACCCTACCGGTCGCTTCCGCAACGTGCGGCCGCCCTCCGTCTTCGCCAACCCCGACCGTGCATACATCGGGCTATGCGGAAGGGATCGTAACAAGTGGGATATCACATACGTCTAATTTCCCTACTTCGGGAAACGGAGGGGGAAAACAAAACAGTCCTCAAAAATATAAACGCCGCTTGATCCAGCATAAAATGCAAATCAACTGTGGTATTTTAGGTCCGGTGGTATTGAACTTTTTGTGCTTTTTTTAGGGTCTGTGGTATCATCCGACGGCGTCCTCCCGCTCCAATCTGCAACGCCGTATTCCGCCTCGCGCAGCTCGTGGTATCATGGTCCAGATGTGCTCATTGGATATAATAAGTGTCAAGTCGAAAAGTCCTCTGCAGCTGTCATGTGCTGACCTCCCGCAAGGGTGGAACGAAAAAGATCGGAAGACGTAAACTTGAAACCGTGAAAAAAGAGAGGACGATTGAGGAGGAAGGGAAACCACCCGGCAGAGATAAAAATGAGGCAGGAGGAGGACGATGGTTGAAAATAAATAAAAAAAGGAAAAAAAAGGAAAAAAGGAAACCAGGGCCGACCGATGCATGATCATAGGATCGGGTATTTGCACGCCAGGGTATATCCAGCCGGAAGGGGGGGGGAAGGGGGTATTGCACGTAGAGCTTCTAAAAGACGGAATCTAACGATAAGGTCCAATCGGACCAGGGTATCCTGAATTTGTGGAATGAGAAGTCGAAGGCCGGCCGCTGTCGCCGGACGCGCGCGTGTTGTGACGCGGCGTGATGTCGCCGCCGTGCGGAATGTTTCCGGGCGTTAGTTTGCTGTCGAAGCCGTTGCTAAAATGCCGGCTCGACCAGGGATTGCTGTCATCATCCGGAAGATTAACGCCGCTATCGTTCCAGGGGTTACGGTCAGCGTTGAAGCTGCGAGTCGAGTCTATCGAGATCAGAGACGACTTCGACACATTGTTCGATCCCTTGAAGAAGGTGTTCATCGAATGAGAGCTGTTCTTTCTGCGATCGAGGGAGGATAAAAGCTGAGAGGGCTTTCGGAGCTTGTCGAAAATAGTCGAGCTCCGCTGTTGCGACATATCCTCGCCGAAGGCTGCCTTCGTGGGCGAATCCGTGCCGATGTTGGTAACGGCCTGCTGGAGCACCTTGGAATCAAAGTACTGCAGCGATTCCTCAAACGAATCCGACTTCGGGCGGGGGATAGCTCCTTTGACAATCGTAGCGTCGACGCTTGCGGCTGCCAACTGCTGCATGAGAAAATCGATGGCGTCACGGAGGCCACCGGTGTTGTTGCGGGTAAGCTTCCAAAGCAGGGTCACAGTGCGTTGGCCGTCGTCAGTCTTCTCCTCAGGATTCTCGTGCACCTCGAGCGTAATTTCATGCTGCAACTTGAGCTTCGACACTAGTTCGTTGACGAATCTAGGAGACTCGACGAACTTGACGAGGGACGAAGTGCGGGTCAAAATCAACTCGTGTGTTTCGGGAACCATGCCCTGTATTCAGATTATTAGTACTTGGCGCTCTAGGCACGACAACAGTCTCGTATACTCACCAGAAACTCGTCAGCACATAGAGGCACCTGCCATTCTGGGCCGGTAACGGTCACCTCGTCGCTTGCTTGCTCAGTGCTGGGGAAGACGATCTTGCAATTCCACTTCTTCTCGAGCTCCTCAATCTCTTGTAGACGAGCGATAAGCTGCCGGTGGTACAGGCGGTCCACGTGCACAATCTGAGATGTGAACTCGGAATGCTAGTAAAGACACAGCATTGGTTAGTGAGTCTGCTTGACTCGGCGCATATTCTACTTACGGCTCTATCCACCATGTCGAGAATCTCCGTCTTCACCAGCTCAAGGTTCTGAGCGTTTCGGGCGGGAGTCCGGCAGATGACGTTGTCAACCTTGACGTCGTCGTCCTCGCGACCCATGCCTCCTAATGCACTTCGTTAGCAAGCTTCCGAGACTACGTCGCCAGACGAGAGGTCCTTACCGCGATCCATGGCGTTGGAGAACTTGACGAAGACGGAATGTTTCTTCATGATCCGCTGGATGTGTTGCCCGCCGATGCCAATGATTCGCTTGTGGTACTGGTCAGGAACGTGAAAGGAGATGGAGGCGGGCATCTCCTGCTCTACCAACGTCATGCCCTGCTTCATCGAGTCGTAGGTCGGTGCGATGACGTCAATGTCGAAATTGTATTCCCGGAAGCTGTCAAATATAATCTGGACATTGCCTACCGTCACGTTAGCGGGAGCCGGGGATCTGGTCACTTTTGGACCTACTCTGCGTCATAATCTTATTGATCTTGCCGTTCTTCTTGCCCGACACGAATTCCTTGTGCTCGTTGGCAAGCTCAATCTTGACTCGAATCTGGTTCTGGGTCTGGTTCACGAACTTGATCTGTGAAAGTACAGCCAAAGCCTGCTTCACGGCGTCGTCGGAGCCGGTGATCGTGAAGGTCATCTTGTCGAAAGAGATATCCGCGTCGGAATTGGCGCAGATATCGCCGAGCATCGTACGGATCTCGTGGGGATTCGGGAGCTGCGCGATGGCGCCTTGCTGGACCCACCACGACGCGTAGTAGAACTGGCCAGCCTAGACTGCCGGTTAGTAACTGCTAAGCCCGGAACAGCGCGCGGGGACATACGAGGGACATGATCTCCTTCATGGTGCGCTCAATCTGGAGACCCTCCACCCCTTGGACTCGAATCATGTTACGCTGGGAGGCCAGCGGCGGGAACATTATGTAGGTGCCGTTGGTCTCCATAATCTTTCGGACCTTATCCATCCGGCCCAGCAGGATGCTGTCGATCTTTGCGGGGGAAACCACGGCATCTTTCATGAAGAGCTTCGTCCTGTTCACCAGCTCGTGGATCTTACGCTTGGCCAGCTCTATGCCCTGGGGGTTCTCGCCGCTGATGAAAATCTCTTCGGGATTTCGACGGGTGGCGTTCGGCGGGCAGTATCGGTGGAGTTGGGCGAATGGCGGGAAATAGATGGCCGTATTGGTCACCGACTCGATCAGCTTGATATTCTTACGTGAGCGGCCACACACGATTGGGTGCAGCGTGCTCTCGATTCGCATCATGTCCAGCTCACGCCCGAGCTAAATCCCCGCCATGATTAGCGCCAAACTCGACCACGATTACGGTCCTCGGAGGCGAGACATACCAATTTGTCGATGAATATCAGGACCTGGGTTTTGGCGTGTTCGGAGGACTCGATGTCGCCGTAGATGGCCACCCGCCATCTCTGGTCTCGGATGACCTCGACGTCGCCATTGAGGCCGTCGACCGTAGGCGTGAGCTTGGGACCTAGAATGAAAATATCGACCCCGCAGAACACGGCAAAGGTGTCTAGAGCGTCGGTGACATTCTTCTGCAGCGTGCCAGCTTGGGAATCGACGATCAATTCATAGTCTACGTCGACGGTAGTGCACCTCTACAACATATAGTTTAGCCACAAGAGTCTACGCCACGTTCGCACAAAGAAGGACCGAGCGGTGCGTACCAGCGCTAGGGGGGTATCGCTCAAAATCGTCTCACGGCTCTTGTGGACGAGTTCAGGAGACCCCGAGAGACAGACAGTGGTGACCTGCGACTTGAAACCCTTGGGCACGCTCGAGACGACGTGAGCCTCAATTGGCAGCGGGCCCTTGGTGAGTTCCCTGCACAGGTTTCGCAAATTGTTCAGATTTTGGGCATGAACGGGCAATTCGTAGACGGGCACGTCGTCGGGCACGTCGCCAGGGTGTGTCCAACGGAAAACGGCCTCGCCAGTGGCATGGAGGATCTCCTCGGTGTTAGGGCCGGCGAGATCGGATGCGAAGGGAACGTTGAAAGCGAAGTGAATAGTGGAGTCGGCGGCTGGCGAGGGACTCAGCGAAGCTCCCGGAGCTCCGGCCTTCTGGTGCGGGTTGATGGCGGTCATGTTCATGTTCGGTCTCGACGACATGCCGAAATTGGGGCTCATCCTCTCGGGCCAGTGACGCATGTTGGCGAGCTTTTGCATGGTGAAACCGGGGAGAGGAGGGGAAGGGGGGAGGGGGGGGGCGGGTGGACAATTGGGAAGAGGAGCGGAAAAGGTCGAGGAGGAGAGGGTCGAGGGGATAGGAGGAAAAAGAGGTGAGGGAGAAACAGGAGCGAGCAGGCGGGAAATCGGGAGGGGGTATCTCGTGCGTGTGTGTAGAAGCTCAAAGAAGGGAAGAATAACAGATAAGAATCAGGGAAATTAGGGATAAGAAGAAAAGAAAAAAAAAGGAAAGAAAATAAGGAAGAGGAGAAAACAGGAGGCGTTGCGGTACTGTTTCTACTCTCTGACTTTTCGCTCCTCTGTAAGGACAGCCAACCCTCTCTCGCTCTCTCTCGCTCTTCAGGGTGCCGTGCTGTGGTAGGTGTGCGTGTGTGTGGTGTGTGTGTGTGCGAAGTAGTGGGGAGGTTTTTAAGTGAGAGGAATGAATGGTGAGGAGAAGTGGAAATGGATGGGCGGGTGGTTTTTTTTGGGGACGCGAGGTAGGTTAGATCAAGTGGTTGTGGGCTGGAGGTTTGAACGGACTAAAAACCCGAGCGAGTATTATCGGGTTGTTAAGGGCGTCCGGACTACAGTCAGCAACTGCCCACTGCCAACCGTAACTGTCGCAAGTACTGCCCTAACAGCTGTCGATGTTGTCCACTTAGCCCGGAGGTACATGGCCAGTGCGCGGCCGATAGCAGAGGTCAAGTACCCGAACGGAGGCGATTCTGCGTGCATGTACACAGCGCCAGATAGAGTGGACGAATTCGTCGACGTACCTAGGCGATACGCGACCCTACCTCTGCCGGACCAGTTCCTTGTCGGGTGTCCGCGTTGACCACCTTCGCCTTAGGACGTACCTAACGTAAGGACGCAGAGTAGGTAGGTAGGTACCTTTTCTCTCACCACCACCACCCACCTCATTCCTCCCTACCTGTCAACCACCTAACCAGGAAATCTTACACGGCATCTAAGGTCCTAGATAGGTGCCTACCTACCTCTACCTCTACCTACCTTCAATAGGTCCTTCTAGGCATCTTCTGATTGAGACATAACCTTAAGGGTAGGGGTCTTCCTTCAGTCCCGCGGACACGTAAAAACAGTAGTAATTAGTACCTATAATTTAGTAGGTACATTGCTCACCCGAGGTAGGTACCTCCCGACCTACCGACCTACCGACCCAAGTAATACGTACACACACCTACATTAGGAAGTAGGTACGTACATGCATACAGGTCCAAGTAGGTACCTACGTAGGTACACATCGCATCCCTCGGAGGTACACAACGTACCTCTATGCTTCCAATCAGAGAGCCCGGGTACCCAGCGCCATCGTAACGAGAGGCGGGAAGGTTCCGATACTTGGTCTGCGCGTGTTAGGCTTAGCGCGGCTGGTACGGGCATAGAGAACTCGTCGATTCCAATGGGCAAGCACATACTGCCCGCTCTATAGACATCTGCCTGCTATATAGTAGGTAGACAACATGTTCGTTAGGTTAGGTAGGTAGGTACCCAAGGCCGCTCGACGTTGCGGGTTGCGGCGGTGGGGCGCGACCAATGTCGGGCAACTGGGTTACTATCCTGTTGTATCGAGGGATGGGACAGGCGTGTGTGCAATAGGGCAGGTAGATAGATAAGATACCTAGGCAAGCACGGCCCACGGCTACCAGGCAGGAGGCGGGCGCCGGTTCTGTGGAGCGCCGCTGCCCTCCCTAGCCTGGAGGCGGTTAGTGGGCGCGTCTTCCTTACTCGGAACCTATCCTAGCACCTACTAATTACTACTACTGCTACTGCCTACCTACGCGTCCTAACCGAAGACAGAGAGCTATGTCTCCCACTAACTGGAACCCCCCATACGTAAAGACCTAGGTACAATACGTTAAGTACCTAAGGTTCCGACCGTGCGTAGGTGTGTAGGTATGTACCTCTTAGCATGGATATCACCTTGTGTGTACGCTAGGTACCTACCTGTATAGGCGATATGCGGCCACGGTTGGTGGTCCGGGGAAAGGCAAAAAAGCCCTCTCGAGACTCACGTACCATCCATCATCTGGTACGTCAATCAGGTAGCATGACATGGACCGACGTACGTATTTCGAGCCCGTCATCGAAGAAGACTGCGCATTTCGCTTGGGGCTTCGTTCGGTAGGTTGGGCTAGAGGTAGGTACCTAGGCAGGTAGGTACCTAAGGTAAGTAGGAGGTATCTCTTAGGTGGCCAGTATGCCAACGCGTTCTCTCTCTTTCTCTCTCTCTCTCTCTCTCTCTCTCACACACACACACACACACACACAACTCCTGTTCTGCAAATGATGTCGGTCAGAGGCAATCAGGCTCACCATAATCTCTCTCGTCATTCTTCATGCCTGGTTCGTACCTCGTACTGTGGAGCTATTTACAGCTCTGTTTTATGCGCCTAGGGAGGGGAAGGGGTGGGGATGTCTGCAGTAGTAGACCCTCTCTAGGCTAGCGGATCCGATTCCTATTCAGCTCTCGCATACTGGAGCGAGTTCAGTCGGGGGGTTCGTCTCTGGCATGCCTCGAGGCTTGCCATGCCTCGCCTCCCAGCCCTAGTACATGCATACCTACGTCCACGTCTAACTCAGGAACGAACCCACGAACGAACTCACAAACGAACTCTCCTCCTACCCTCATATGCCTAAAGTCCTTAGAAGGTAGGTAGTAGGCACCTAGATAGGTATCTATCGTATCGATGGTAAGAGGTAGGTACCTAATGTCAGGCGGGAAGAACAGGACTATGATGTGCGCTATGTTGGGTATGAGGTATGTCCATGCCTGAAGTACCTGATGATGATATACGGGTAGGCGATACAACCTCAGGTATGTACGCAGGTACACACATGAGCAGGCGAGACAACTTATATCTCTCTATCTTATTGCAGGTCAATGCCGTCGGGGGGTTCCCAAGGAATGGCTTTGATAGGGTTGTGTCTGTGCAACATCTTGTTTCCCTTGCTGCTACGTAGGAAATCTTGTTATTGGCCTCCGGTTCTAGGGGCCACCGCTCATGGGTTCGCATGGGGGCGGACACGAGTCTCTGCGCCCCCCGGTCCCATCAATCAATCAATCCATCAATCGAACCCGTACTCATAGAGGAGTGGTTATGGATGTACATGCGTACGTATGGAGGGCCGTATATCCACGTGTAGTACCTATCTAACATCCGCCGCATGTCGACGCAGCGCAGGACCCTCGGAACAAGGCAATACGGGCTTGTACGGGAGACGGGCATACGGGCCCAAGGCAGGGATGTCAACGATCAAATTTATCTGGCGACTGATTTGAGGTGCATGCCAAACAGACACAGCCACGGTTCACGGAACCACTTTTTGGCCAAGCCGTGAGCACAAGCGCGTCTCTCTGTCTCTGTCGCTGTCTCTGTCTCTCTCTCTCTCTCGTTCTGTGTGTGTGTGTGTGTGTGTGTCCTCCTAGTCGCGATCACGACACGAGGCCAAGGTGCGAAGGGAAGTTCGAGCCGATGTTAGATTAGCTGGGGAGCATCAACAACGCCTGCGTCCCTCGCACAGGTATGCGTACACATACACATACACATACACATTGTGCACACAGCCCGCAGCACACCCTCTCGCGCGCGCGCACATGCACGTAAACTCGGTACGGATTCGAAGTAAGAGGTAGGTAGTTATGCAATTATTGCCACGGTACTTACCTACATACCTACCTGTACCCACCGCTCTACTCATCCGGAGGCTCGTTGCTCGCGTCACTCCCGTTTATATACCTATATATATATATATATATATATATATATATATATATATAGATATATAATACTACTAATTATATATATACGTATATCCCTCTCATACGTAGCAGCAGAACCTAGGGATCTGACAAGGTTACGGCGCATACCTACCTAGCTACCATCCTCGGCACCCGAGACCGTCCATTCGTACAAACGGATAGACCACGACACCCGCCTACATCTATTATATGGACGTATATGCGCTCCCGCTGCGCACATGAAGCGTGTCGGATATTCAGTATGGACATGCCTGCCCAAGGCATCACCTTGGTGCGTAGGCAGGCACCTCGGGCGGGCGTCAGAGGTAACCGGGAGGCATATGCGTGTGTGTGCGTGTGTATCTGAGGTGGTAGACATCTATCCATCCGTACGTACGTACACTGAACAACACGGCATCTACTACGTACCTAAGAAGGTGTAGGTATGTACGCTGGCGTCTAGAATCACCCACGCCTGCACGTCTTGTCCCATCCCTTCATCGCTGATTAGTAGTCGTCTGGGCTTAATTTGCGGCGGCGGGGGGAAGCGAGGGAGGAAACAAGGAAATAAAAAAACCGAGACGTGGGCAAAAACACGTGGAAGCATCGGGAGAGAACCTCGCATCCCTGGGAATGCAAGTCGTAAGCAGGCAATGCTATATTTACTATATGCCTACAGAGGCAGGTATACCCTTCGTACGGATGCTGCCGAGGCATCTGGCTTCTCCTCTCTGTCTGACTGTCTGTTTTTCTCCGAAGTTGCGAAGCATAGCCAGGCCGAAACCCCGATGAATCCTACCAAGCGTAAGAGCCCTCTCTCTCCTTCCCCCTTTTCCCTCGCTCTCGGCCTCCCTCTCGCTCGCCCCGCGGCCTGCTTCCGGTCTGCTCTCCTGGTAGAACCACGCGCGGGTAATCATGATGACGGCGGTGGTGGCCAGCTGTCACGTAGGCATTTGTCTATATCCCTGTGCGACGGCTGAGCCGCGAGCCTGCCTTCCTTACCTCCCTTTCCACTTGCCGCCCGCCAGGCCCCTATTCATCACCTCGCCCAGCGAGAAACACCAACATGCTGCCGTCCCCTGGGAGGTAAGCTTGGCTCGCGGACCCCTAAACTCACCGACCAGCCGACTACCTAGCCGGCGGCGGTGCCCTGCGCCCATGCCCTCCTTCATTCCTTCCTTTCCTTTCTGGCTAACCTTGTTGCCGCCGGCACGCGCCCCCTTCGCGATCTCAACTCTACGAGTGAGGGGAACGCTTTAGGGGGAGGGGGGGAAGAAGGTGCAGAAAGGGGGGGGGGTTGCTTAGTTTGGATTCGGGGCCGCGCGTCGTTGCGTGAAGAGCGTGCGATGCTGGCCGAGGGCCCGGTAGGGGTGCTGGCACGTACCTATGTAAGGTAGTAGTGGCGCCGCCGGCGATAATACGTGGGTTGGACTGGCGATTGGCCGACTGGCCGGCTGGCTGGTTGGCTGGCTCGGAACAACTTGACCCCTAACCTTTTGCGCGCGTCTCGGTGTATATATACACTTTCTTCTCATCCCCCTTCGGTTTTAAAAAATGGGAGGGGCCGGGTTATTCCATAGAGGGTCGGGGCCGCGGTGACGACCGATTTTTCGTAGATAAGCCTAAAAAGGCGAGCGAGCGAAGGTTGGAGGGGTAGAGGAGGGGAAGGGTAAGGGCAGGGGGGATCAGGGGATACAAAGAGTTAAAACGGCCGGCGTGGTGGCTCCTCATCTAAGTAAGCCTCTTATATAGATCTCACTCATTCTCTCTCTCTTTCTCGGTGTAGATGTATATCTATATATCTATATATAAGGTATATATACGCCGCCTACATAGCTAGGACGGACAGACGCGGAAGAGCGGCAAGGGTTTAAAGATAGCAACGTCGGCAGATGCCCACAGGTACTCGCTCAACTCCAGATAAAACCTAGGCACAACGTTAGGTAGGTAGCCAGCCTAGGTTAATCGGTATACGAGTTTACACGAAAGTATGCAGACGCATAACCTACCACATCTCAACCCTAGACTAGGCTGCCTACTAACTACCGGCCGCTGATCTCCTTGGGTGGAGGGTCGGTCCCTCTTTAGTGCCGGCCTAGACGAGTCCAACTCCCCTCCAGAACTCGAGAACCGCATGGGAGCGACGGCAAAGGTAGCAGCGGCGCCAGGCAGTGGTTGGTTGCAGCGCATGTGCGAGACGGGGGGGGGACCCGTTCCAATCCCTAGTCACGAGGACTCGTCCCCTTTCATCATCACCACTCCCTCTTGGTCCCCGGATCCCGTTTCCAAGGCACGCGTTTACCCTATCTACTGCGTGCTACGTAGTAGCAACGCAGATCAATGGCAGGCAGATCGACGGCGTGTTTACTAATCACTTCACTAAACGAATGAAGAAATGTATAGCCTCGAAGGGCTCGTGCTGGCTCGCTGTCGATTTGCAACTGGATCCTGATTCATATGCGGTTTTATTCGTATACACAGCTCGTACAAACGGATAATCAGCCAGCTACCTGGCTTAGTTGGCCTGTCCCCGGTAGTTCCGCTTTATCCGGTGGAGACAACTGCATGCTGTCGTCCATTCCAAGTCATGCCATGCGTCGTCTATAATAGGGTTGGCTACGACGCCCGCCGAGCCACTCGGCACCAAATGTAGGTCAATTCCGACTCTCCGCAACTCCGGAGCAGTCTCCCATGAAAGAATATTAGCTCTAGCACAGGGTACCGCTATATACCGGCCGACATTAGATTAACGCAGCCACTTTGTTTGTTGTCCGTCAACTGTCCTCGTTCACCTCCTGGTTTAAAATCAACTCCCAGTCCCCGAACCCCCTTCCCTCCTTCCAAACGAAAATAAACGACATAATCCCGTTACTCCTAGAATATGCCGTGTGCTGTTCACTGGTACACTTGCCTTCGACTGTTGTCGGCGTAGATGATGTCCTGCTGAGCCGCTCGGGGTCGTTCAATATATGTGACTTCTTCATCCAGATGTGGCGGCCTATCGTAATAGCGCTCCGCCGGCCGAGCACTAAATTCACCCCGCGCCGCGTCTCGCTCGGTCGGTCTAACGCTGTACTCCCGAAGGACTGGAGGCCCCGACTCTCGTCTTACTTCAGGGTGGACGCTCGCGGCGTACGGTCTAGGAGGCATGTCAGACCGTATAGTCTCAAGTCTGTCGTAATACCCCGCGCCCTCTAGAGGTCGCACACTTGCAGCTCTAGGGAGATAATCCCGCGAGATGTCTTCGGGAGCCCGCCTCTCCATGGCACCCCGAATCGGAACGAAGTCTTGGCCTGGTGCCCCCACGGGCTGTGCCGAATAGTCGCGCTCTCGGTATCTCCTGTAGTCGACGGTATATTCCGGCTGTGTAACGACACGCCGAGGGCCGTAGGTGGGAGACAAGCGTCTGTATATAACACCCTGGTCCTCGAAGGTCTCTCCTCCAGGCATGCGAGACGGGACGCGCGGCAGTGGTGCCCTTTCGTAGGCGAAGTCATGCTCGCCTGCTCTCGGGCTCGGCACGGCCGAGTGGCGGCCAACTGCGCTAGCACGAGGAGGATCAATATACTCGCGACCATACTGGTCAACTACAATACGAGCTGGGGGTGGGGCAGGGGGGGCCATGATAGGCGACTCCCTCTCGAAAAGCACGGGGGACCGTGATCTAGCTCGATCGGCGTAAGGCCGCACACTTATTCGTCCCTCGTGCGGATACGTAGGAACCTCCCGGTATGGAGGGTTTACCGAGTAACTCGCCGAACGCAGAGGACGCGCCTCCACAGCGCTGAAGGGGGATGCCAGATTATGAGGGGTATGAATTCTGCGGATGTACTGCATGGTGGTGCCGTCTGGTCGTCGTTCCTCGTACACAGTTCGTTCTATCATCTGACCCGTGGGGGCGACAGACCGACGAGCCGGCCTCACATAAGGGTCGTCCACATCCTCGAAACTATACGGCGGTCTCTCCGCCTGGGTATGCGCATGTGTAGGCCTGTACTGCTCCTGGGGCAACCTCGCAGCAGGGCGTTCGATCCGAGCGTCATCATATACCGGCTCCTGCCCGGATCTATCAGAGGGCCGCAGCCGCTTCGAGGGCCGTCCGAAGTGAAGCGCGGAGAGGGGTGATGGAGATCGTGGCTCAGACTTGATGTAAGGCGATGCTGGGATATCCGATGCTTTTTGCTCGGCCTTTCTCTTGTTCTTCTTCTTTTTGTTCCTTTTGTTTCCCTTCTCTCCCTGGGGCGAGCTCTCCGGACTAGTGATAACCCTATTCTCTTGTCTCAAGGCGGTTACCTGGGCAGGTGTACCTCGGAGAATGGCTATATCCGGCTCAGCCACCGGCGGCTGCCGAGCTATTGCCAACGGCGACACATGAGCGGGTTGAGGGGCAAATGGGGAGAGGTCATGGGCGCGGATCAAAGGCGAGGGTGGCTGTGTGAAGTGAGCACTAGGGAGAAACTGGTGTGAGTTCTGGACATGGCTGTGGTCAGCGGGATGATCCGAATCTGTATTCCCAGAGTTATCAGATCTACTAGCAGCTCTGCTATCTGAACTGATAACCTGGGCCTCTACCTCGCGAGCCTGACGCGGCTGTGCCGCCACATAGTGCCCGTAGCTAGTCTTTGACGCATAGTCCTTTGCTGGGATGTTCAAGTTGTTATTGCTCGGCTGGGGTTGGCGCGAACTACTCGCGTTCTGGACTGGCTGCACGCTACGAATAGGCTCCGGTGGCTGGAATGGGGGTAACGTTGGTACGTGCACGGGTTGAGCAGCGACTTGCCCCTGTCGCGGAGTATATGCTACCTGATGTCCTGCAGACGCTGCCGAATCCCGAATCCGAGGCGAGGCGGGAACGTCAGGCGATTCTATCGAGCTAGAGTAGAAGGTATTGTCGTCGAAGGAGTCACTCGAGTCGGAAGCAACAGCAACTGTGGGAGGGTTGACGACGGGTGGAGGAGCAGTAGCTTGTACGAGAGTCAGCGCCTTTGCAAAAATATCAGAGATGTCAAGGTCAGGTAGCTGCTCGAAGGGCAGGGTCTTTGCCGAGGCTTTCCGCTGCTCAAACTGTGCTGCCAATTCCGCCTCGATCCTGCGCCTCCGCGATAGGGTTTCCGCCTTAGCCGAGTCCTCTGCCGGTTTGCCAGCCAAGCTAGGACCCGTCCCGGTCCTGCTGGGAGCCACGGGGTTTGCGATGCCCGGGATGGCTGAGGCGGAAGAGCCTGACGCAGTTACAGGAACAACTAGCGGCTGGGGATTCTGAGAGTTTGCCTTGAAAGATTGCATATTGTCCACCTGGTAGGTGTTGACATGGGAAGCACTTTTCAGCGACCGTGTGGGTGGCGGCGCGACGCGTTCCGTCGCGAGAGAAGCAGGTTGTTGAGGAGCGGTAGACTTAGCCACCTTGATACGAGGGTGCTTGCCAGACACGATGGTATCGCGGAAGCTGACAATTTTCTGATACTCCCGGATCTCGTCGAGATCAGCAGCCGTGAGCGCAGCATCGCGGCCGGGCAGACCGCCCGAGGCCACAGGGTTTGTTGCGATGCTAGCTTGGGCCATGTTTTTTTTTCTTCTTTTCCTTTGCAGTGAATCAACTTAGCAGATGAGCACCATCTGCAGATCAGTTTTCTAGGGCCTAGGGAAATGGAGAGCGGAAGTGTACGTGCTAGCGCCTGGGATGGGAAGAAGAAGGGGAGCGATTGCGCGTCCTGATGACCTCCTCCGGCGTTGCGAGATGATGAAGGAAAAAGGAGAGGGAGAAACGTGTCGCAAGACGAGTCGAGCTCCAGTTAAGAAGGGCGACCTTCCAATCTATTTTTCTCTACCTCCAGCCTTGGCCGTTTTGTACACGCACAAGTACCTAAGTACCCAAGTACCAGGTATATATCTGCACATACTCATAGGTACGTACCTACGTCACACATGTATGGTGAAACAATGAACCTGCATTGTATTCCCTGTGAATACCTAGGTACCTCTTATGTATCTGCCTTAAGTACCCAACCTAACATAATCCAACATGGGGTACCTCTTAGTTGAACTTCATTTTACGTCTTAATAATGAGGCAACTCTCAAGTTGGCGTAATGCCCAAAACCTATGACGCCTTTATTCAACCAAACAATTACTACGCTTACGTGGGTACCTAATATATATACCTGTATTTTAGGCGAGGTTGGGGTACTACATACCGAAGCCTGTAGTTGGTTCAGGGTCTCCATAGGTGTGTAGGTGTCTTCAAGCACCTAAATCTTCGGTTGGTAGAATTATTACCGTGGATAGGTCGGGTACTTGAGGTACTACATATACTAGGAGGAGTAGGTACCTCCTAGGCGAGGTCCTACCTCTAACCTCATAGCGCTACCTTAGCAGATGCGTAGGTACAAACGGGTGTCGATAGGTCCCTAACATAATATAAACTACAGGCAGGCAATACAGAAGGTTCTCTATCACATTGATATTTAAGTGTGTGTATAACATAATTGGCATATATATATACACATTAAAAGTGATTTTAAGTAGGCGTCCAATACCTTAAGATACCTATACAAGTAGCTCATCGGGTGTGTAAATTAGGAGGTAGGTACCTAAGGCAGATGACCGCCGAGCTCAACTCAAGTGAAGTAAATTCTTATGTTGCGTGCCGTCCTGGGATATATATGTGTGTGCCCACCGGGCCAACAACCTACATCGCTCTCAGTCTTTCCCACGCTTCCGTTGCCTTGACATGCAAGATAACCACCAATAGGACCCTGCATATAGCTAGATATGTAATTGAAGAAAAAAAAACACCAATCACCCGTGCCTACCTCAGGTTGACATCCTCCCCTTCCTTCAAAGTTACTGGAAAACTTAGTGAATGAAAACGAAGAGAGAGAAAAAAACCCTCACATACATACACGTCCACGAAGAGAATCAGCCATGGGGTCGCAAAGTGAGCCCAATGGCCCAACGACACGCAAACCCGTTCTATTCTTGTAAGCTGAGCCCGTCCGCTTACCCGTTGGTTGTTCGGACGGGGCTACGTAGTCGCTTTCGTTTGCGATATTCCTGCTAACAGTCTTCACAGCGACATAGACAACTGTCTTTACCCGAGAAGTGCGTCTAGGCTCGCCCCACGCGTACCGGATAGGCTGCGGGAGGGGGGCGGAGGGGAGTTCGGGAGGGGGTGCGAGGCTCGCTAACCAGCCTGTCCAGGTGCCAAAGTCTACGACCTGATGGCGGACATGATAGACAAGTACTTCGCGGCGCACCTCGGGCTGCCGGAGCACGAGGCCGTCAAGCTGCACCGGGACTACTACCGGAACTACGGCCTCGCGATCGAGGGGCTGGTGCGGCACCACCAGATCGACCCCCTGGAGTACAACGCCAAGGTCGACGACGCCCTGCCCCTCGAGGGCATCATCAAGCCCGACCCGCGGCTCCGGCGCCTGCTCGAGGACGTCGACACCGCCAAGGTGAAGCTGTGGCTCTTCACCAACGCCTACGTCACCCACGGCCGCAGGGTCGTCAAGCTCCTCGGCATCGACGACCTCTTCGACGGCCTGACCTACTGCGACTACGCCCAGACGCCCATCATCTGCAAGCCGCACAGGGACATGTTCGCCAAGGCGATGCGCGAGGCCGGCGTCGAGCGAGCCGAGGACTGCTACTTTGTCGGTAGGCCTAACACTCCCGAGTGCCCGGGTAGAGTCTTCATTTTTGTGGACGGAAGCTGAACCTGGGGGGCAGACGATTCGTACGCCAACGTGGCCGGCGCGCAGCAGCTCGGCTGGACCGCGGTTCACCTCGTCGAGGAGGGCCTGCCGATCCCGGAAACCCAAGCGTCGCAGTATCAGATCAGGCATCTGGAGCAGTTACGGGAGATATTTCCGCAATTCTTCAAGACACCGGATCGAGAGTAGAAGGAGATCTCACGGGGTGTAGCGCTTAGGAGATCAGGACTACGGCATCCCACCGCATTACTCGAGGCGTTCTGGGGTTTGGCATAAAGGGGTACTCAGGTGCACTCTTATCATGGGGAAAAGAGGAGGGTCATCGATACTGTCTATACGGACTAGGCCTATGTATGTATACCTAGGAAGACCTAAGCAGGCTTCGAAAAAGACGGCGTCGCCTTAGTATCGCCGGCAGCCCACACGAATGAACTAACTCATTAACACCGTGTCCAAAACGCCCAACCGGGGTATCATCGTCGTCGTCGTCATCATCATCGTCTCGCAATCGTCCGCTCCCGTGCGCCCTCGGAGGGCGTCACGGGCGTTTTATGGCGCGTATGACGGCGTCCAGCTTCGCCAGAGTGTCCTCCTTCTCCTTGACGGCCTCCCGCCGCTGCGCCTCGGCGACCTTGAGCTCCTCCTCGAGCTCCTTGATGTTGCGCTCCTGGTCCTGCTCGCTGTTGTCGAGGCCCGGGAGCAGCGAGATGAGCAGCTCGATCTGCTGCTCCTTCGTGATGAGGTCCCGCGCGAGCTCGACCTGCGACGCCTTGAACACGTCCTCGGGGTGGGGGTCCACTGCGCTCGGGTGCGACGTGTCAGCTTGCTGCTACCAAGGTGCGGTATGGCTCGCCCGGGTCGCCGTCCGGCTGAAGGTCGGCGGGGGGGCCCACGGGTCCTGCTAACCTTCCTGCTGGTCCGGCTCCTGCTTCACATCTCTGATCTGATCGCCGGGCCCTAACGTCTCGAGGTTGTGGTGTCTGTTGATGTAGTGGATGCACGCGACGAATTGTTGCGCTAGCTAGTATTGAGGGGGGAGAATCAGCGGATATTGAAGGCGATATTGGCGGTACGGCAGAACCTTACCTGATCGACAGCATCCTGCAGCTGAGTGAGGCGATCTCCCATGCTGGATACGGTGATAAATTGCTCGTGATAAGTCGATAAAGCTGGGTTGGGAGGGATGATGAAGGGGTGTGCGGGATCTGCTAGAACTACGCTGTTTACATAATCTGCCGGGTGCTCTTATCGACGATGCTTATCGATAGAAACCTGGCTATAAATGGTATATGCACATATCCGTTTTACACCAATTGCATATATTGGGTACCCACAGTTACCTACATAATTTTTGAAGCTTCTTGTGACCTTTTTTTTTCTTCAAGTTCAGCGGACGCCTTCTACCTCCGCTATCCCTCCGGAATTCTCCCACAGTCTATGCTGAGGTAATAGTACTAGTGATGGGATGAGATCGATTCTGCGCCACCAGCAAGTTTGGCGTCGACACCTGCGCCCGGGCACGTGTCTCGCTCGCTATGGTGGCACCGCTCCGGGGAGCGTCGCCCTCGCCGCGGCGGCCGGGCCGCGCTCCCACGCCTACTCCACCGTGAACAACCCAGACGCGCCGGCCACCGTGAACAACCCGGACGCGCCGGCCACCGTGAACAACCCGGACACACCAACCACCGTGAGCAACCCGGACACACCAACCACCGTGAACTACCCGGACGCGCCGACCACCGAGCACCACGACCGCGCGTCGTACTTGGCGTACGCCGAGCGCAGCGGCCTGAACCGCCGGTCCACCACCTACATCGGCACCGAGTACGAGTACACGGTGGCGGAGGCCCTCGGGGCCTTCCAGTTCGCGCTGAAGCGGGTCGGCGGCCGCTCCGACAAGGGCATCGACCTGCTGGGCACCTGGCGCGTGCCGTGCTCCTACTCGGCCCACTACCATCCGGCGGCGGCCGCCGACGCCGCGCCGGTCCCGTCCAAGACCCTGCGCGTGCTCGTCCAGTGCAAGGCGACGTCGTCGGCGGCGACGCGGGTCGGCCCGCAGAACGTCCGCGAGCTGGCCAGCGTGTTCCACGCGGCGCCGCCGGGGTGGCGCGCCGGCGTGCTGCTGGCCGTGCTCGCCACCCCGCAGCTGGCCACCCCGGGCATCCGCGACGCCATGGCCCGCAGCCGCTGGCCCATCGGCTACGTCTCGTGCTCGCGCGCCGGCCGCGTCGGCCAGTTCATCTGGAACCAGGCCGCCGACCTCGGCGGCCTCCAGGGCCTCGGCCTCACCCGCCGCTTCTCCGACGACCCCGCCGCCCAGAGCCTCGTCCTCACCTGGAAGGGCAAGCTGTTCGTCCTCCGGGACCCGCCCGACCCCGCCGCCGCCGCCGACCCCCCGCAAGGCGGCCCCGCCGGCACCCGGGCAGAGCCCGCCAAGGAAGAAGCGGAGAAGAGAGAGGGGGAGCGTGACGCGTGAGGCTGCCAAGAGAATATGAGAACTTTAGCTCGCGGATCCGCAGTTTCCTCTTAGCAGCTGCAGATACGGCCCACGCAGGCCTGAAGGGGAATCTACTCACAGTCTCCCGCCAAATCCCCGAGACGATAGATATGGTTTGCTTACTACTTACGCGGGCGGTTAACTTCTAGCGTCGGGTACCCAGGGGGGAGAACATGGCTCCGGAAACAGAATTTTTCAACTATGCCGCAGTCGCCTCTCTACTGATCACAAGGTATATAGAGTCTCGTAGCTGAGTAAATAAACATATGTATATTACGTACATCTTAAAGCCTACCCGAGGGTAAAGTGAGTGTGAGTGTAGCTCCCTTTCGACGCCCACGATTGCTTAGGCAACCCCGCCAAAGCCAAGTAGATGGCAAATACCGAGGCGGGGTGCGGCTACACTACGCTCACAAATCGCTTTATACACGTGGGTCTATATAGACTCGACCCAGCAGGGAAATATGTCCGATTCACGACACGAGACACAACGGCCGGAGGAATGTATATGCGCTGAATGCGTACAGGCAAGTAGATAGGTCTAACCACCGACGCCCAGTCGATCCGTCGCGCTTACGAAATCAGCTCGTGTAAGCAGCGAGCCAGCAGCCGTACGTAGGCAGGTAGGCAGGTAGCCGGGCGATAACAATATGTGCACGAGCCAGCGGGACGCCTCCGCGGCACGCCTCCCGCGATGCAAGGTGGGAAACGAGGAGAGAAAGAAGAGGAGACAAAAAAGGGGCTACCCGACTACGGCGCGCCCGACCCGACATTCCCGGCCCATGATCTCCGCCGGAACACAAAACCCTCCGCACCGGCCGGGCCCTCAACCTCGACGCCCCCCCCCCCTTTTTTTTCACTCCTCCCACACGGCGCGGCGGGCCCTCTCGGCCTCCTCCTCGCGGCGGCGTGCCTCCTCCTTCTCGGCGTCGCGGCGGCGGGCCTCGCGCTCGCGGGCGGCGCGGTCGTACGCGCGCTGGGCGTCGGTGGGCCGCGGGGCGCGCACGCCGAGCGCGCTCGCGATCATGCGCCGCGCCACCGCGTCCGTCGTCTCCGGGCGGCGGCGGTCCTGTTCCTCGCCCGCGCCCGCGCCCGCGGCTTGCCAGGGCGGCGCGAAGGCCGACGGCGCGAACGGCCTGCCCGCTGCCGACGCCGGCGACGTCGGAGACGACGACGACGACAGGGCCAGCGGCGAGATCGGCGTCGGCGGCGGCGCCGACACCCCCGAGCCGCCGGCGGCCGACGACGACGACGATGCCGAGGGCGCCGCCGGCGGGTCCGCGGGCTGCGCGGCGGCTACCGCGGCCCCCCCGCCCCCGTCCGAGTCCACGTCCTCGTCCTCCCACGAGTCGGCGACCGGGGCCGGCTTCTTTTTGTTCTTGGCGGCGGCGGACTTTGCCCCGGGGAGGGCAGCGGGAGCGGTTTGGGTGGTGGCCATGGTAGGTAGATAGGGTGGGTGGGTATATATATATATACGGATGGATGAGTGGTTAAATAGCTAGATGCTAGTTAGGCTCGGTGGATATGTATGCCTAGGCTATGGGGGACTCTGCTTTGCTGAGCAGTTGGTCGTCGGCGCAGGCGGTAGCGTAGGCAGTGCCTCGTCGGCCAGTAGGAAGATGAACGTCTCCGCTCTCCTTATTCTCGGCAGGTTTGTATGGGGTGGAGGGTCCCGCCGGTGGAGGGGGGAGAAAGGGAGAGGGCGAGGGCCACGGAGACCCACCGTGGTGGTGTGGTACGATGCTCTTCGCTGGTTATCGCGACGCGGGCTGCGGCGACGAAGAATGTGACGGCGGGTTGGTTGGCTGGCTTTACTCGAGGACGACGATGTGCGATTTCATGCAGCCTCACTACCCGCGTAGATGGGATGGGACCGTCGATCTGGGGTCGCAATATGTAGGTCGATGTGGGTGTGGGATAGATGGTCGGGAGGGCGGATCTCGAGCCTGCTTGGAGTTCCCTCGCGGGAGGGTGGAGGCATGTTCGGCTCGGGAGGCAGGCAGTTCAGGCGGGGTTCCGAATCTGGAAAGCGCGGGCTACAGTGGCCGGTGGGGTCCAACACAAGGGCCCCACTTATACTGCCCAGCTCAGGAGGTGCCTAGGTTAGGTACCTAAGGTAGCGTGTAAGTACTTAATGTACCTAGGGCTTAGGTACCCTCCTAAAGGCACCCGATGCTAGGTACTTAAAGCACCCAAGAAGCTCTCCCCGCAAAATCACAGGAAACACGGAGAGACGCTTACCTAGCCGAGGCTAGCGCATTGGCCCTCGTTCCAACTTTACATGTACCTAGGTAGACGTTTAAGTGTAGGCGGTTCTTCCTCATTCTCGATCTTAGGTAGAGATGGTGATTATATGGCGATTAAGTACCTGTACTCAGACGCTGTTTCTGTGCCGTACGTATCTGCTCTCTCGCATAGAGCGGTGATTAGAGTAGATAGACACCTCCCTATAGAGGTAGGTATGTTTCTTTTGGAAGGTGACTTGACTACTCCGGCAATAGGCGGAAATAAATGAGATACCTAGATATCTATTTCGCTTAGGGTCGGTGCTTGAAACAAGAGAGGGGCGGCGATAAAAGATGTGGCCGGCACCTAGAGGGGTCGTGGTGGGGATAGCTGGGAAAGTACGGCAGCACTACTATCCGAGGACCGCTATAGCTGGTTTACGATGTTAAATATGTATCTTTATACGAGGAATACGAAGCGGAGAGCGTCGACCGCAGAGTTATAGCAGAGTCGGGTGGAGGTAGGAAACCTGCGTATGTGGACACCAGCAGCGGACGTCACGCAGCTTGCTCTGATCCTGTAAACTGAGAAGCACCTTACACGTACTTGTTGGCCAATATATGCACCATCGACTTCACTCTTTCCCTGCCGTGCGGTTCGGGACAGCCGATTTATACACCTTCTGCCTGTAGATCTACGCCAACTCCCCGGAGGGCGTCCACGGCCCACGCCGGATAGTGCGCCTTATCTGGATACAGGTCGGCAAAAAACTGCCGTACGAAGGCCGGGTACCTGTCGGCAACAATGGCCGCCCTGACCTCGCGCATCAGGGTGAGCTGGTACCACACGTTGTGCGTGGTGAGCAGGTGCGCCGCTACCGTCTCCTTGGCCGTGTTGTGGTGGACGAAGGCGCGCGTGACCCCCAGCCCGCCCTTCCGGCAGCACGCACACCCGCACCCTTCCTCCAGGGGCCCGAAGTCGTTGGTGTACTTGGCATTGCGTATGTTGAGCACGCCCCGCCTCGTGATCGCGTGCCCGAACCTGGCCGTGCGCGTCGGCCACACGCAGTCGAACATGTCGGCCCCTAGAGCGACGCTGACGACCAGATCCTCGGGGTAGCCGATTCCCATGACGTAGCGCGGCTTCAGTTCGGGCAGCAGCTCCGTGCAGGTCGCCACCACGCGACAGTACTCCGCCTTGGCCTCGCCGCCGCTGAGCCCGCCGATGGCGATGCCCGGCGTATCTCGGGCCACCATCTCCTCGCAGCACCGCCGCCGCATCTCGGTGTCTAGACCGCCCTGGATTATGCAGAAGAGGTTCTGCGTCGTGGGGTTCTTGTGCGCCGCGATGCAGCGGTCCAGCCACCGGACGCTGCGCTCCATCGCCTCGCGCATCCGCACGTGGTCCGGCGAGGTGGTGACCAGCACGTCGTCGAGCTGCATGATGATATCGCTGCCGATGGTGTTCTGAAGGGATATGGAGTGCTCGGGCGTGAGGAGCATGGGCGCGCCATCGTGGGGGCTCAGGAACCTGACACCCTCTTCGGTGATGTTGGCGAGCTTGAGCAGGCTGACCATCTGAAAGCTGCGCGCGGGATTCGGTCAGTGATACTAGTGCACCGCGTCGAAGAGGTGGGGCCGGCCGCGCGTGTCATACCCTCCGCTGTCGGTAAGGAGGTTGTGGCTCCACCCCTGCAGTTTATGTGCGCCCCCGACGGCGGCGAGAACGTCCTGGCCCGGCTTGAGGCCCAAATGGTAGGTGTTGTTCAGACACAGGCGACACCCGGTCTCTTCCAGCTGCTCCGGCGTCAGGCCCTTCAGGGACGCCTGCGTCGCCACGGGCATGAAGACGGGGAGCTGGACGGGTCCATGAGGGAGGGTCAGGACCGACGCCCGTGCGCGCGTTGTCTGAGACGGGTATTAGGTGAGACCGGGCGGGTGTCTGCGTGCGAGGAGGGGAGGCTTACGGAACACCTGGCGACGAGCTCGAAGGTAAGAGCTGGCGAGGAGGAGGATGCTATGGCGCCAGTCATTCTTCTCAACATGAGCTGCGGGACCTGGAGGGCGGTACCCAACCTCTCCCCTTTGGTGAGGGTTCTTGGGGTTGCTGGGGGGAGGGCGGATGACTACGTCATGCGTACCGCCTATGCGCATATATCGACACGAGAGGCTCCCCCGTTAGGCACCTGGGCACCTGATGCGATCTACACATACACCTAGGTATGCGAGCACATACCTACTAACGGTATTCGTCGCGAGTGTGGAGAGAGAACGACGATGATCGGGTGCGGAGAGGGAGTTGGGGTTATGGGCATGGCAGCATGAGGGTGTTCGCGTTTTCGGGGTGGCTCCGATGAAGAAGAAGGGATTTTCCGGGTCGATGAAATTACTTTTTCAGCTTGATCCATGTCGGCGGCGGATCCACCGAGTTGTCGATCCACCGAATTGTCGATGACATGGAACCTTACCTTATGGGCGTTCGGGTGGGGTGGGGTTTGGTTGCCGGCTGGCCACTGGCAGCGCGTTATTACTATAGGTACCTACTCATAGGTAGGTAGGTACCCATTACATACGCACTACCTGTAGGTACATTGGGAGGTAGGTGTGCACACGCGTTTCCCCCCTGCCGCTGGCGCCATACCAACCTGAGGAGGAGGAGGGTCCCACCAGAGTCCGGCGCAGCCATCGGTATACTCTCATACACAGACAGCTGCAGCCCACCAACCTCAGGTGCTCGCCGCGTACCCTGCATGTACACGTACGTAGGCTCATACTCGTACATAACTCGGTTTCCAGTTACCTTACCCATCGGTTAGGCAGGAAGAGCGCACGCAGGTTCTCTGGCCCTTATTCTTGGGCAGATTCCTTCTTACCTAAGACGTCGAGCATAACTTGAATTTCGTCGCTTGGCCGCTTCAAGTCGGTCGTGGCCGAGGTTGGCATGTATAATGATACCTAATAATACTCGCCTCGGCCTCTTCTCTCATAACACCTCCCTTCTATTGCTGCCGTGTGGTGTGTGCTTTAATTTCCAACGCCGGCAGATCCATGTTAGCAGATGGGCTGCTTCTGGCAGCAGGTTTGGAGTCGAGCCCGCTAGCGTTCTCCTCTGCCTCTACCGCCTGGTCACCGGTGTCTGTCCTCCTGCCTCTCCCGCTCCCTCTCCCTCTCTCTCTCCCTCTCCTCCTCCTCTTCCTCCTCCTCCTCTTTCCCCCCCCTTCTTCTCTCGTTTTCCCCGGCGGACCAGAAATACACAGATGGATTAGGTCAGGTACACAGGGCCCCGGTGAAGCGTGCAAGGGAAAAAAACAGTGGGATTGTGGCCTGACCTGCCCTGTAAGCGGCTCCGAATTCGGGAAGGGTCAGGCATTAAAACTACCCACCGACAGGGGCGGCCTTTTAACGTCCTACCCTAACGCTGACCTATTATCTCCCTCCCTACCCTACCTTCGCTATCCTTCCCGATTCTCCCTACGAGTCTCGGGTCTGACCAGAGCGAGACGCATACGGAAAACAGGAAGAGAAGGACGGGAAGAGAAAAAGACACGAGATACCTGCGAACACATCCATCCATTCCATCCATCCTTTCGTCGATGCGGCCCGCCGAGTCATACGATCCTGGCATAGCCTCCCCCCATAGGCGAGGGAGACTCGGCCTGTCCACCCGATTTTTCCTCTGTCCGAATGCCACGCTAGGACAGCGAGAACGAACGGCTAGGCCCTTCGTCTTGGTCTGCTTCTTCTCTTCCTTCTCCCCTTCTCCGGCTTGCATGAGACGACACTTTTCATATGTAGGTACGATCGCAGTACACGCACGCCTCCACGCCACACGCACGCACGCGTAGGTACACCCATCCGCCCACCCGTCCATTCGCCCATCCCTCTGTGTGCATGACATTACGCGCACTTGGGCATCGACGAGTGTCTCGTCTACGAATTCTACTTGCATGGATATGGCTGTTGGCGAGTGTTGGCGAGTGCTGCTGCGTGTGGTGTTGCGTGGTGGTGCTGGCAGAGAGAGGGCGTAGACGGTATTACCGATACGATGAACTTCTCGGTAGTTGCTGGGCTCCCTCTGATCACTATTTTCTTTTTTTTTTTTTCTTTTTCCCGTCCCCCCCTTTCTTCTCCCCTTGACGACGATCATGGATGCGTCATCTCGCTCTAGATCGTGACCGACAAGTGACAAAAAAAAGGAAGGAAAAAAAGAGAGAGAAAAGGCCGAGTTGCCTCACCTGGCCCTACCAGCCGCTCCGAGATGAGATGCAGCCTGGTCGAGACACATCGACAAGGTCGTCGATGGCCTGCCTGCACAGCAATGCCCGGCAGATCATTTTCCTTGGCACTAGGGTCGAGCGGACCTTTTCTTGCCTGCGCATCTTCTCATGTTACCTCTATTTATTTTTACGTACCCAGTCCGATGTGGTAGCCGGCCGAGACAGGCCGGGGATGCATCATATAAACCAGCACCAACAGGGTCCATCCCTTTTTAATGTGGTCTTTCCCGTAATAACGAAAAAAAAAAAAAAAAACGGCCTGGGGACCGTGTGTGAGTGGGCTCGGCTCCTTTGACGAGAAAAAAACGCCTGAATGCTTGGCCTTTTTGCCTTCCATATATTCTCTAGATCTACCTCGAGTCGTCCCCTCGAGTCGTTCCCGGATCGTAGTTTTTCGACTTGTAAGTGCTACCTCGTGGCTCAACCTCTCTTGCTTACCTCCTACTCCCTTCTCCTCCTCCTCCTCCTCTACCTTTCCCTCTGTCGCGTGCGTGTACGTGTGCGTACGTGCGCAAAGCCACAGCCATGTCGGAACCCAATCCATTATCGTCAGCGCCGTCATCATCGCCCTCGTCATTCACGCTCTTCTCCTGGCTGCCCGCCGAGTTGAGGCTCGAGATATGGCGACTCACCTGCCACCCGAGGGTCGTCGAGGTCCTGTACGACGTTGAGAGCGACCAGTGCCTCTCGTCGACACCGCCTCCGGCCGTCCTGCACGTCTGCCGGGAGTCGCGCCTCGAGGCGCTGCGGGTGTACCGGCCCTCCTTCGGCACGCGGTCGCGCGAGCCGAGGATCTACTTCTGTCCGGACCGGGACACGCTCTACCTGCCGCGGCCGCCGCTCATGGGCTACGACGACGCGGCGCGCTCCTTCGCCGACCTCGTCCCCGGCGCCGGCGACGCCGTCGTCAACCTCGCCATCGACTACATCCGCCCCGCCGTCCGCCGCCCCTGGGAGACCTACAACAAGTACGCCCTCATGCAGAGCTTCCCCCGCGTCCAGGAGGTCGATCTCGTCCTCAGCACCGACGGCATCGCCAACGCCGACGCCGACCCCAGCCTCCCGGACCGCAGCGCCGGCGCCAGCGACGATGTCAAATACGATGGCGCCCATGGCGACCTTGACCTGGCGGACCCCGTCGGCGACGTCTTGGACCTCTGCCGACTGCTCACCAACATCAAGGAATCCTTCTTCTACGAAGTCGGGTCCGACTACATGCTCGGCGATCCCAAGGAGGAATTCTACGAGCGGCCCGTCCTTCCTCCGATAGTGTTAAAGTCCAAAGTAGTGTCACCGCATCGAGACCACAGGGCAGCCATCGGTGCTTGCGTATGATCGGATGCCGCACGTCTCTCTTCTATTCTTGTATACGCATCTTACCCGGGAGCCTCGTCATTGTATATATTAGGTTAAACGTGGGTTATAAAACGGAAGATACCTAGAGCTCGCGCAGACTAGATTTACTTGTTTTGTTCAAACGATCCACCGATGCATCTTACCTAGACTTGTTAACAAGTGTTTCTAACGTACGTGACACTAGTCCTCTGCTACGCCATCCCCGAAGCCCGCGTATTCGTTATTCGCGACGAGCGAGGGATTACAGGAGAAGTACAGCACTAGAATACCCATCTTACCTAACCTTACTATCAACAACGACCGGCAGATCCTGCCGCATCCGTCGTAGACCCCCGATACCGTTGAGCCATGCGTAAGACTATTAATACCCTGCCTTTCTGGGTCCGCAGAACTCGGATTGACATTGGAAACGGCGGATAGGCTCCATCAATCCAACGGAACGCCCACGCCGTATCTTATAAGGCATATACTACCAGCCGGGTATAGAGACGTGGGAATAATGTCCACGTCTCTATACGACGCAGTGCAGGCCAAGCTAGTCTGCCCGTCCCCGTGGGTCAACACGCCAGCTTCGGGTTGGAAAAAGGAGTTGGAGGACAGCCACCAATCTCTCCCTAAGAATCGATAACCGAATCCTGACTACGGGACTGAGGCCGTAGTCTTAGGTATCCAATAAATCCAGATCAGCTAGAAGTCTGAGCCAAGACTCGGACGTACCCATCCAGCCTGAAGTGTAGTCGCTTTTTTTTGTCGTCTCACCGCTGTCGATGGGGATGCCCGCCTTCTCGTCGATACGGTATAACGGCTGCGGGGGCAGGCGCCGGACGCCCAGACATTGACGTTTGGGCTCGTCCACACGCCGTGGCACTTCACGTCTGCCGCCTGCACGCGGCACTGGGGGTTCGGCCCCCCGACGGCCAGCCTCCCCCGGGTCGGAGCGCAGCACGTCGGGGCGGCGGTGCCCCCGGGGGTCCTGCGCGTCGGATCCCCGCCCTGCGCCTCCCCACGCGAGGTAGGTTACGCGTTCGTCTCATGCGTCGAGGCGTCCAGGGAACCCCAAGTTGGCGACGCCATCGGACGCGTGGAAAGCTCTTCTTGACGAGGCAGAGGCGGCGGGCAGGTGGGTGGAGAGAGCGCGGCTGAGGACAGCGCCCTCCTCACCGGCCATCAAAACGGCCGCTGCCGGTCGCGACAGATGTGTGCAAGGCGGCGGCCCCGGCTGCCGCTCGTCCTGCTGCTAACCCGCAACGGCAGCGAGCCGGACAGGGCTCTCCTGGAAACCCGTACACCTTGCGCCGTGGCCCTTGCCGAGACCGAGCATAGAGAAAACGGCAACGTACTTATTGAGCAGGTTCCTAGCTCCGGGAACGGGATATCAGTTGGGCTCATCTGTCGTTGGAAAGAGGTCGGATGCGATCTGTATTTCGACCGTGGCGGGAAGCGGTGGCTCTGTGGCTGCACGAGAATAGCTGACGTCGTTTAGGTGTCGAGTCCATGACGTGCATGTCGTCGCTCCCCAGCTTAGTGCCTAGAGAATCTCCGGATCCGGAATCGACGTGAGGCGTTTGGACGTGCCTCGGCTGGCATCTCCGAGCTGGAGTCCGACCCCGGCGACGACGAGGGACCAACCAACCCCTTACCTGTTTATGCCGCAGATGCGCAAAGCAGTCTAACGAGATCGTGATCGGCGTGCCTTCGGGTCGCGAGAGCATTATCTACCCTGCTCTGCGGAGTCTACCTAGGGATGATGTAGGTACCTACCTAGACGATCAGGTCGGTGATATATGTCCATGTGTATGAGTAGGGGGAAAGATTGGGAAGAGGCGGAGGGCCTAAAGAGCTACCTCTTTATGTACTTACGTGTACTTCCAAGGTACAAGGTGCCATTCGCTCAGCACACTTCGCTACCTACCTGTAGTGAGAGTGTATCTCACCTTAGGTGCATAACATAGGTACCTAGGTAGGTACTTGATGTAACTCGCTATTGTACCCTACCTGCCCCGCGGGTTCACTCCTGTTGCTTTGCTGCCTCAGGCGATAAGGCACGCAGAACGTTAAGTAGAAAGCTGAACCTGTTGTAGGTCAATTGAAGGGATAAAACTATTCGGTGCTAGAAGGGATAAAACTACGTGTAGGTGCTAGAACAGCTTATATAGGTACAGCTCGTCTGCCGTGCGTTGCGTTTCTTGCCCTCATTAACTCAACCAATCACAGGGTTTCATTTAGGGTGCCCTAGGATCCACAGTGGTTGTTGCCTCATGCAACTATCCGCATGTGCCCGGCTTTCTGCTTTCTATATGCCTGTAAAAGGTGTAGGTACCTAGTGCAAGTTCAAGGTTCAGGTGGGATGTAAGGTTGCGACGTCTTGCCCCGCGATTTGACTCACTGGGAACTCCCGCGGCGCGCCCGAGAAACGAAGAAGAAGAGAATAAGAAGAAGCGTGGCGCCCTTATAACACCTTTATGGTCTATCGCCCGGGCTTGACGACCTTCTCCTCCTTCTTCTATCCCTTCGCAAGCTGCGCGGACCGCCTCACGAGAGAATCGACTCTATTTCTCGTCTTTGGCCTCAACCCCACTCTCCGACACAGTCCTGCCCTCAACAGCGCCGGCTACGCGCTCGCAGCCGCCACCCCTGCTGCCGCCGCCATGACGGTAGACCAAGATGCGCTGCAGTATCCCATCCGCAGCAACCCGGACCTCGAGTCCTTCGAGTATGTGCCTCTGCTCTGCGTCCTCTGCTCTCTCCCCCCACCCCCCGCCTCGGGTCGCGAGCTAACCGTGCGTCCGTCCGTGACCTCCGCGCCAGCATCGTCAGCTACTACCACAAGCTGCTCGCCGACGACCCCGGGCTTACCATGCCCGTCGCCGCCATCGAGTCGCTGATCGAGGCGCTCAGCCAGTCGTCAGCCACCACCGTCTTCGAGACTATGGATCTCGTCAAGACCCAGTCCGCCAAGCTGCGCGCCGCCGTCCGGAACCCCATCGCCCTCACCCACGGCACCGAGCTCTTCCAGCAGTACCTCGTCATCTCGCTTAAGCAGCCGGGCCCCGACGGCAAGGAGACTAGCAGTCACGAGAACTTCGAGGTCGTCCGCCAGCACCTGATGCGCAACACCCGCCTGTTCGTCCAGAGGGCCAAGGAGGCGAGGCTGGACATCGCTAACGTCGGGCGGCAGTACGTCCGCGACGGCTACACCATATTGACCCACGGCGGCTCGCGCGTCGTGGGCACGTTGTTGGGAAGGGCCGCCGAGCCGACAGCTGGCGACGCGAGGCGACGCTTCCGGGTGATCCACGTTGTCAACGACGCCCGGCGGACCGAGAGCAGCCGGGAAGTGGCCGCGCTTCGAGCCAAAGGCGTCCCCGTCGCCACCATCCCCGAGTCGGCGGTTGCTTATTCCATGGGCCAGGTCAACATGGTCCTGGTGGGCGCCGAGGCCGTGACGGCAAACGGCGGCATCATCTCTCGGATGGGCACCTACCAGATCGCCCTGCTGGCCAAGGCCCGCAAGAAGGACTTCTTCGTCGCCGCCGAGCAGCACAAGTTCGGCAAGACCTTCCCCGTCGACCAGTCCGACTTCGGATTCGACCAGGGCGTCATCGACTTTCGCGCGGCCGACGAACGGGAGAGCGACAAGGGTCGCCCGCAGCCCATCGCTGACCCCGTGGACTACACGGTACGTCGTGCAACGCCGCTATTGGCGACACCTTTGCCTTGACTAACTAGCGTGCTAATCCTGCGAGACAACAGCCGCCCGAGTTCATCACGTCCCTCTTCACGAACACCGGTGTGTTCACGCCCACCGCCGTCGCCAAGCAAATCATAGACCTCTTGTACTGAGGTTTATCAATGCGGGATACTGCAAACAGGGGGGGGGGTTGGTGGTGAAGGGGGCGGAAAGGGATTCGAGAGCGCGCGCCACCCCCCCCCCGGCTCGGCTCGGCACTACTGCGGCTGCCCCGGAATTAGACCCATGCCTGTTACCCCACGGGGCGAGCAACGCTCTGATAGGTTTTATCAGCAACAGCCACGAGCGGAAGTCCCCAACTAGCCTGCCCAACTAGGGGCGGCAACGAGCATGCTTATGCCCCTGGGGGGAGGGGAGAACCTGGTCCGGTGACCCGCGAAGCCCAGTGCTGCTTTTTGGTCCTGCAGCCACATCCCCGTCCCTCCCGCGCGACCCACGGATTTCTCGAAGGGAGGAGAGTAAGCGTGGTAAGCACGCCCTGGGAGGCTAGGCCCGCAGCCTATCCGGGAAGCTCGGGTGCCTGTCTTGACGTTACGGACACGCGAGAGTGCCGACATTACATATATATAGGTAGGTAAGATTCGCGGGTATGGATCGACATAGGGCATGGTACGGTACGGTACGGTACGGCACGACACGGAAAGGAAAAGGGGGGGTGTGCCCCCCGTCTCTTAAAAGGGAGGGAGGGGATCACGATTTTAGACGGGGCACCGTAGGCAAGTAGGTAGACAGGTATAAACTACGAATGGCATAACGCGGCATACCCACACGCAGACAAGAGAGAGCGAGAGCGAGCGGGGGCGGAAGGGAAAGAAGCGGTGAGAGACGCTTACGTTTACGAGAGAGTCGCCGCAGGTTTGAAGACCTAGATGTGACTCGGGATGCCCCCTATTATGCATGTGCGACCTGTGTATACCAACGACAAGGCACGAAAAAGAGCGGAGGCGGAGCAGGGGGACCCGTCGCCAGACAGTATCCAAAAAAAACACGATATATCACAAAGAACTAGAGCCGTTGATGACATCCGGGTTACGAGAGAGAAGATCTGTCTATTTGATGAAGTTGGCTCAATTTCGTGTCATCGCCGCCGCGTCGAAGATCCCGTAACTTCAAGGGTGCTCAGGGTAGCATGAATGTAACTCAGCCTATTGGTCCCTCTCGTCATTTCTCACTTTCCATCCTGCACTTCTCTCCCCCTCGCCCAGCTAGGGAAATACCACCTTTTCGCTAATGTACGCCGCCGCCACCGCCACCGCCACCGCGTCTCCCCATTGAGCACACGCGGGCATACCACACACACACCCATGCACCTGCGTCACGCACACGCTGTAACTGCTAGGAGTTACGACTTCGGGTTTTAAAAGACAGAGGGAAATGAAAATAAGCTGCGGAGAGGGAAACCCCCTTCTCGAGAGGGCGTGCCGAATGCCGGACCGGGGGGGGGAGTTGGCTTGTATCCTGGATACACCCCCCCCCTTCCCCTCGTGCCCCATCCCATTGGTACGAAAGAAAAATAATTGAGAAGACCGTGAGCGATTAGGTAGATGTGTACCTAGCTCGTGTAGCTGGCTGGATGACTGAATACCTATATCCGTACCTGCTACGCGTGGGATCGAGAGACGGAAGATAAATTCGCCCCTCCGGACCGGGCACTCGTGGCAATATATCGTTGGATGGATCGCGCGATCGATCGACAGCTCCCGCTCACTAGCTGTTAGGAACTGGTCCCTAGTTATACGTGCGCAGGCAGGCAGGTAGATAGCCGTGGGGTACTTGGAGTCCGTTAAACTAGGTAAACACACCTATCTATGCGCGCGTATAGGTGTACGAATATGAGTGTGTGAGGGCGCCAGATTACAGGTCACGGACAAGCCTGGCGCCTACCCAGGCGTATAGGTAATTGCGTTGGTACCAGTTGACGCTGAGAAGAGCGGTTTGTGTTAGTAGGCTTTCAAGGATGCTCGTCCTGCGAAGGCCGATCATAGTCAAAGTCGCGCGAAAAGAGGAAGAGAAGAGAGCCAAGAATGAAGATGGAGGGCACATACAAGGTCTTCCTCCCCGCAACTCGGGGGTGTGTGGCCCACGAGCCACCAAGAACAATATTGTGTTTATTGTCGAAGAAGTCGGCTGCAAGTTGAATATTTCCGTATCTGTTAGCGTTTTGGATCCTCGTACCCCAGAAAGAAAGCATAGGTGGATCATACCCGTATATCCCGGGTACAGAGCCATAGGCTTGAAACCCTCGTGCCTTGTGAGCGTGGAGCTAGTCCACTCCCACACGCCTCCCATCTCGGCCTGCCCAGCTAGGCGATTGCCTTGGGCAGTCACGGGTACAGGGTGCCAGTGCCTAAAGCCCACATTGGCGTTGCTAAGATCGATGAAGAGATCGTCATTTTCAGACGAGCTGCCATCGACACTGTCGGGAGGGTTCGCCGGCGGAGTCCCTTCGACGCCATCGTTAACTAGGTGGCTACACGTAATCAAGGCTTAGTTAATGTCGGGAGTCATATATTGGGAGAAGGGCCTACGCGTTGGCTGCTGGGGCTGCCCTCCCTAGCTTGCGCTCTGCTTCCTTCTTCTGGGCGTCAACGTGGGCATATATGCTTCGTGCCTCTTCGAACGTAGGGATTCTGCCACCTAGCCAGGCAGCGCATCCCGCAAGTTCGTCATATGAGGCGAATACTGGCCAGTCAAGTGTGTACTCCAGGGGGACTAGCCCGTAGACGGTCCGCACAGCCTTGCCTTCCAGGAATGATGCGGGGACGCTGTCGCTGCCGTTAGTATGACCATCAGTACGGCTGTGAAACCTTTCGTCATCGCCGCCGGTGGTCTTTGGCTCGAGATCGGCCCACGCGGCAGGGAGCACTGTCGCCTTCGTATTGTATAGGTACGACGCGTACTAAAGACGAATTAGTGTCGTCTTTTCTCCAGATACGATGAAAATGCTAAGATTCACCTCCTCGTTTGTGATAGGCCGTCCTTTGGCTTGGAAGCCACCAACACTGACACGTCTTGGTGGTTTCTCATTGTCCCTGCGGACTAATTAGCAGAGCCCCCAAGCTGAGCAAGGCGGTGCGACTGACCACCCAAAATGCTTAGTGGAGTGTAGCACATCCTCTGGTTCGTCGAACCCCAATACGATATCCTGGTCGGGTATATTAAACCAGTCATTACTGACTCTTGCGGCGCGTGCGGCGCGAGAAAGGGCCTCAAAGTCGGGGCGTTTGGTGTGGGGTGGCGGGAGGGTCTTGTCGCTCTGTAACATCATGTAGAGTAACGTCTCCAGATGCATAATCTCGTGCTCGAAGCCAGCCCACATGGCTCTCCCGACATTTCTGGGGATATTCCCCAGGCCGACGGAATAGATACTCTTCAACCTGTCCCGCACCCGCCCTTGGTACTCTATAATTTCCTCAACCGGTGGCCACTCATCTGGGGTTTCCGAGTGGGCGTGGCAGACCTCAGGGTTGTCAACGTCCGGGTCTATCCCTCGCTCAAAGATGGAAGAGTAGAAGGTCGGCTCTGTAAGTGGGTTCTTTGTCGTTTTAGCTAACTGGATGTCAAGAAATGTGGGGATGTGACCGAGGTAGAAGATGCATGCATTTCGAAGCTCGATGGGTTTCTCCAGAAGCTCTTCATCCGGCAACATCTGTCGGGTCACAATATCCCACGGGGTCCACAGACTCTCGAAGTCCTCGAGAGACGGGATATTCGAGCGAGCATACTCGGAGGGATCGGGGCTGAAGGACATGTTGGGCTTGGTTAGGAGGTGAAGGCCTAGGAAGAGTTGTAGTTGTCAGTGGATCCGGCTTGACGTTTACATATAGACCCAGGAGTCCAAGGCTCGCGCCCCATAGAAAGCTACGGGCGGTAAACATGCGGACATATGGAGCAGGCCCCGAGAAGACGGGGCCCCGTGGTTAACATCACGTGTGCAATGTACAGCAGGGCTTGCTTCCTAAACGTGGGGAAGCCCATGCCTATTCAAGGATTGGGCGCCGCGGAAGCGATATACCGCATATTCGTGAAGTCAGACGGGGGGGATCGTGGACCACTCACCATAGTCTTCGTCGTCGGTCATCCAACGATTAGCTTCGATCATGCCTGCTGACTTCCACAAGTTACTGCAACCATCTTCCGAATACTTCAAACTCTGTTCAACTTGGACACGTTCCTGAGCCCTGATTGTTTCTCCTAAAACGAAGGTATCGTGAATGGGCGAATAGAATGCTTGGTGCCGCCCCCCTTCGTTGTCGTAGACGTATTCGCCGATGACCTGCCAGTCGTCTAGCTCGAATACCCGTTGTCCGAGGACTTCGTTCGCGTGAGACAGTCCATTCAGGATAAATCTTTTTCAATCAGCATGAATAGGAAGTACGTATACGTGTGTGTGTATGCGCGTGTGTGGGGTGGGTGGCCATATGTACGTGTGTATGCTTGTGTGGTATGATTCTTCACTGACCGATGTGTAACACCCTGACTATCTTCAAAGCAACGTACGGCGGTTAGTAGGGCTCATTATAGACGTTGGTGAATACTTACCATTGTATGCGTGACTATCACAGGGCGTCAGCAGCCCGGAATTCCGCTCGAGGCAGAGTGAAAGGGGGTATTCCATTCACACTTACTAGACCTTGGAGGGATCAGTGCAGGAATCCAGCCCAATCAGAAAACTATCCGCCGGCCGGAGAACATCGGCGAACCCCTTCAGGAACGAAGCGGCTTCGTCCCGGTGGAAATTTCCTATTTGGGCTGGTCAATTACGAGAATTCCGATAAGGGATCTGTCTGAGCCCATACCGATGCTTGATCCGAGGGACAAGACACACTTGCGCTTGGAGTAGATCTGCGGCTTACTTAACCATTCGCGGCCATCATCGTACGTTCCCAAGAGCCCGTGACATCGGACGTGACGGTAGGCTGGGAGTTGGGCCAAAGTCCTGGACAACTCATCCTGGGACAAATCGAGAGCGTAGTAGTCAACCTTCTTGCTAGCGTCTTCGAGAGCCTGCAGGAGAAGGGCTACCTTCCTCAGGTTTCTATCCGAGGGCGTCCTCGAGTTAATGGGGTTGTCTCTTGAGTCGCAGAGGCTATACTTCGACTCACCCGCTACCCAGCTCAAGCACTAACGACCCGGACGGGATCGCCTTGGCAACGGCGGTGGCGGAACGCCGCAGGACTTGGATCTCATGGTTCGTCAAATAGTACTCCTCCAAATATGTGATCTAGACCTCGGTCAGCGATGGTGACTGACTCGGGGGAATTAGTTCCCGCCCGACCTCTTCGAAGAGCTGCAGGCCCTTCTCGTCATAGAGGAGCAGGGTCGGCAACTTCCGCAGGCCTTCCTGAGGGCGGAGCAACTTGTGTATCTCTTCTTTGATATTGATTTCCACCGCAGACTGTCGTATGTCAATAATATCGACAGTGGGCCGTTGTCCCGCGGGGTTACTGGTGCCTTTCCCGAGCTTGGAGCCTGGGGCTGGGCCCGGAGGCTCATAGGCGGGCACAACAACGGACGGCATATTTTCAAGAGGCCGGTATCGCTTACTGCGCCGGAAACCAGCGTCGTGATACGCGGAGGAGACAGGATAAGACCACTGCCGCAGGGGTGAGAGAGGCGGGATCACATATATATGGGAAGCCTGGAACGTGCTACGCGAGTTGGGGAACGGGGTGAGAGAAAGCGAGAGAGGGAGAGAGAGGGAGAGAGAGGTACCTAGGGTAGGTAGAGATGGAGATGGAGGGTGAGCGAGCTCATGGTACGACGATGTAGGTACCTACACACTATACCTCCCACGCCGATGGCACAAAGGATGGATGCTGCCGACATGGCAGACTTTGACCTCGATAGCTCGTCCTGTACTCCGCTGACGAAGGTAGTGATGTCAGCCAGAGCTAGGGATGGCTACCCCTGGCCAAACGGGGCGCAGGCCAACAATGGGGCGATCGAGTACATCAGCCCTAACGCGGTTCGAGCAAACTGGATTCACGGTGGCCATAGCAGCGACGGGATTCGACGACGGGCGTGGTGGACACGGGGGGGGGTGTCGGGGTTCGCGCGCATGGGCTTGGCGATAGGATGGCACGGTAGTTTACCCTGCCCAGGATCTTAGGCCGAGCAAGGTCGAGCATTTCCGGAAGCTGAGAGGGTCGGATGTGAGGAGCTAGAAATATTTTTGTCATAAATTGCTGCACACCAGGCTAGACTATGACTCTGAGAGTGGGATGTCGAAGGAGAGGGAGCAAATCAAGGGGGAGAAGCGCGACGGTAGGGATAAAAGCCACGGCTGTCCCGGCCCCGCAACCAACACCGCCGGGACATGGGGGGGACCGCCACGCTTTACTGCATATGACCACTTAGAGGGCACAATAGCGGCTCCCCAGCACGCGGTATTGGCTTATGCGGCATTCCCCTCCCTGCTTCGAGAAGCACGGCGGCGGCGCGGGTAGGACTTGCCATATGCGATGTATGCATGTTGTATGCATGTATGGGTGGTACCTAACGTGGTATGCACACGGCTGCTACCGGGTACACCACACGGGCACGGACGAGGAGGTACCTAATGTACGTATGTCTTAGCCGATAGGCACCTGTCTACCCGCCTAGAGGTAGGTACACGGCTACCCCCCGGCCCCAGTCCGTTCTAGTTTCCGTTTCAGCTCTACCAGAGAAGACTTCTAGACGGCGGCGAGGCGCCTAGCCAATAGAGTATCGGGCATTTGTCGGGACCACCATCGGTTTTCCGCAGTGCCTACGTGATAGGTGCACGGATTGCATTCCTACATATAATGCTCGCCAGTGCGCATATTTCCTACCTATCTACCTCATAGACGGCGTAAACAGGTATTCGGGCAGGTTAGGTACATACATCATCGCAGCTCAGGTACGTAGCTGCCCGCCGCATCGACGTTGGTTGACGGAAGAGGTAATGACGTGCCAAGGTGCAGGGACGTTTATAGGTGCGAAAGGTAAGTCCCAAGACAGTAAGCGACTGCATTAGGTACCTACGTGGTTACCTCCTACCTTCCCTATACTACTACGTGCAGAGGCGGGAAGGTAGTACGATGCAAATTCAATCTCGCCCAGTGGGTAAGGTTTGTAAGTGTAACTGACTGCCAGGTACCTAGGTGGGTACCCAGGTAGGGAAGAGGGTAGGTACCTACCTTCCTCACCACAGCCTCCGTCGCCGCCTGCCCGGGCACCTGGTATACATACCTATACCCATACCTGACTTAAAAGTAGGTATCTCCTACCAACCCTCTACCCACCTAGGTACCTTCTGGGGTATCCAGGCGCGGGTGTTTGCCAGTATCTCTAGAGGTACCGTAGTAATTACGATCCAGAGGTGCCGGGGTATCGGCCTACACCAGATACTCTCCCGCGCTAGGTAGGCAGAATAGCGCGGGATACGAGTAGGAGATGGGCAACTTGCCTCGGTTAAAAAGAATCTGCGTTATGGGCGTGGGATTCTATTACTAAGACAATTGCCGTTATCAATCTACCTGCCATGATTCCTCGTGTCTGAGCAGTTTGAGAATTGGGAACGACACTTCGCCGACCCTATGAGTACCGACCCAGGTGCTGAAGGCATGGCATAACATAGCATAGCACAGCACAGCATACCTACCATTCCTCTCCCTCTGTCTCCCTCGCACTCTCCTCCCCCCTCTCCCTTCTTCTCCTGCGCCCCCCTTCCGACTACGTCACGACTATGCTGCCATGACCTGACCTGACGATCTACCTCCGAATCCCACCTCTGCTTCTCGCCCCCTTCCCTCCCCTCCTCTCCCCTCGGTAATAATCCGTAGAAAAGTGCCTCCCGCCCTCTCACCTCGCAAAATCTATTCCACGAGCCCGTGTATGCGTAGGCGCGAGAGCGTCAGGACTTGTGTCTACGGATCGGGGCCGCGTCCCAGAGAGCACGGTAAGACGGAAGAGCCTCGACTCGACATTGACTGGACGCGGCCAAATATAGCCACCAAAGTTGGTCATGGGGCGCCACTCACATGATGTGTGCCGTATATTGCCCATTACCTGGTTTTTGCCTATCCTAGCGGCTTGCATCTGCTGGCAAGTGTCGTGCTCTCCCCTCTTCGGACCTCCTACGGCACAGCGGCGGGCGTATCTGGCGACGGAACGGTGCCTGGATGCGACTCCAAGATGCACGTCAAATGTGGGGAAGCCTCTTCTCGTGACACCCCCACACGACGCGACGTCGAATACACACACGATCACAGAGTCACGCATGCAATATATGTACGTGGCCGTGGCGTGCGCTTGGGTATGCCTACGTTAGGCCGGCTATACGTAGCATATATGCCTGCGTGCCTGCTTATACGAGCACCAATTATCGGTCTATGCGCGCGAGAAAGCACCGAGTTGGGCCAACGTCGAGACTCCTCGCGCGAGGCGGAGACCAGCCCGATATTTGACAGCATCGCCTCCGACTTCATCCTATCTGTCTGCCACGCTTTCTCGGCCGTGTTCGATGCTTTCGTACCAGCCGTCGACCTGGCGAAACAGACATGCAGTGACACCCTCGGGGACGCCCATCCCAGCTACTGGCTCTGTTATACCTACCTAACCCGTCAAGTAGGCCTCGAAACATTCTTCTTAGCACCGGAGTTGCCAAACTTAGAGGAGGCACGCCCGTATACGATGTCGGGTGGTTACGGAAAATGGAGGACCTCAACGAGACCACTAATCTACTGTAGACGAAAGTGGTGATGGTAAAAGGGGGCGAGGGGGGCGGCTCTTCTAAACCAAAAGCCAGAATAGACCGCGACGACTTTTATGTCTTGGCCTCTGATATTCTGTTACCGATCCTACCCCAAAACAGGTTTACTCATCCCGACCTGAGGAAAAACATATTAACGCGTTATAAGACGGCTATCCGGCGCATGCATTATACCTACACGGACAGTTTTCGGCTTGTGCGCATATTCCATGAGGCATCAAACATTCCTGTCCATTTCTACACCCCCTCAAGCCCTCCTTAGGTCCCTGTAGCTCGAAGCCCGCTTTCCGGTTATATATTGGGCTTCTCCATATCCAAGTCCCTTTCTTTCAGACTTACAGGCCGACACATCTCGATCGCCGGCGAGCCACACCAGATTTTCTGATATCGAGACGCGATCCTGCAGCCTCACGTGCTCTCGACCCCTTTCGATCTGCCCTTAAGAGTCACATGTACCTACAGGTGCTATTGCTTGTCTGCCTTGGGTAGGTACGTAGCGAGTGCTCCCTCCCAGAAATCCGCTCGGATGAAGTTCTCCGTCTAATATATTGTATTCAATTTATCTCTCCAAATAAGAAGTCGATAATCAAATCTAAACTCGCCTTCTGAATTCTAGTTTTCCGAGTTTCTCGTATCTACCATACTGGCACCCTCAATAACCCATCGCGTTTGACTTTGTGGCATTATTACGGGGATGGTCAGCTCACTGTCGTGTATGTGTATCAGGGCAAATATGGTGAGAACGTTGTCAAATCTGGGCATCAGCCAGTGCTTTCCGGCCCTTTAATTCTGTCATGAATCGTTTTCACCCCGATTATATTAACTACTATTTCAAAGTGACAATGCCAACCGATCTAGTAGGCAGCAATCGTCATGCCTATCGAGCTAAAGAGGGCGACTCTCGTAGCGGGCGATATGTGCCTAGCTGAGACCTAGGGAGGGATGCACAAATGTCATCGAGGGGATGGGTTTGACAGAGGCGAGTGCTAGAAGGGATGTGCATAAGCATCTGCCAAGCATCGGCCCAGGACGTCGGCGGGACCCACAGGATAAAGAATGCTCGTCCAAGCAAAGGAAGCAGCCCGGGAAACAGCCGCGAACCGATGCGTGGAGTCCTGGAGATGGGAGAGGCTATTATCAGGTGGATCATGGTCACGGATCCAGCCCAGCTGTCTCTGAGCTAGTTGGCTACACATGCAAGCCTCCGACTCTCCGACTCTAGCCCGGCATCTCGCACTCCCAAAGCATTGCGCGTAACGGGGGACAGCAGATCCCGACGAGCGAGCAGGACCGGATCTTGGCCCGCTCTCGTGGAGCGTGGGAAGACGAGGGAGAGGAGGGAATAGGGAGAGGGGAGGCAAGGGCGTCGTACCTATTACCTACTAATAGTTACTCCGCGTTTACGGGTTTCGGCTTCGCGCCGCCGATTCAACGCGGCGGACGACTGCATCCCTCAGGCAGGCTGCCCGCCGCCTGATTGGTCCGCTGGAGGGTTGATCAGTGTAGGCAGGCCTCGCCTGGGTTTCAGGCAGCTAGCTTCCCGGAGCGGCGGTACGAGCCTTCGCTCGCCGAAAGTTGACCCTTTTTTTCCTTTCCCGCCATATTCTTAACTTCTTGTCCCGCATAGATATCACCGGGTCTAGACGCGCTAGCGTCGGAAGCTTCCTTGAGGGTAATCCCGAACGGGGGCCGCTCGCCCGGGCAGGAGTTGTCGAAGAGGAGGAGTGGTGCGAGGTTGCATACCGGCGAGGGCGAGATCCGACCGACGCACCAGCATGGCAGACTTCCTCTCGCGACCAGTCCGCGTTCTAGAGTATCGCGCGCGCCGTCCCGCCCGTCGACCGTCGCTAGGTTGGCCCTCCCTATTGTAGACTACCATCACGATCTTGGGTTCGCGGGCGGGCCCAGCCGGTGGGCGCCTCGACAGGGCATGGGAAGGGGGGAGGCAAATAATACCTATTACGTATGCGTATCCCGCTCTGTGCGTCCTCACGCCCTAGTTCCGGATCCTCCCCGCCACTACTTACATCACCCATAGAGATGATCTCAGCCAAATCAAGGTAGTTTCTGATGCGTGTAAGGGGGTAGGTATGTCTGATGCGATACAGTTGCCCTACTTATACCAGCTGGTGGATCCGGGCAACGGCTTCGGCCAGGTACTAGCAGAGCCTGTGAGCGTCGCTTTGGAGACAACGGCTACGCCGAAGGAAGGGAAGGGGGAAAAGGAGCGAGTGGTGACGAGATTCGAGTTGTACATCTATTGGTCTAACGATTCGCCTTTCCTCTTCCCCAAGTCTCCTTTCACTCCTCGAGCAGCCCCAGGTTATACAAAAAAAAATAAAGGCTGGTCTGCCAACACTCCCTATAATAATCATATATATCAAAGATGTAGGCATCTACATTTTCCTGCGGCAGATGGGTAATACGCGTGCTCTCTAGGAGGGCAATACAACAACGGTCTAAATACACACGCGCCGTAGCCCTAGCATACATCAAAGAACGAATATCCATGCCCCCCTATCACTGTCTGGGTATTGGCAGGAAAGTGTGGGCACCGACGCTGCCATGTGAAATAGTGTCGCCTATGGCTCCACGACACATCATCCTCCATCCCATTCTCCAGGCCGCCAGCCCGCATTCATTAGGCATAGCCGCCACAGCAGCTGATAGGGGTAACCTGGTTGCCACGAGTTGGCAAGGCTGAGCAACTGCCAGCATAGGGGTGCCCTCGATTCCGCTAAAGGAGCAGTTCACGGGCACGCTAGGATGCCTGAGAACCATCGTTTATATGGTTTCTGCCCAGGGCGCTCGGTCTCCCAAGAGCCAGTCGAGAGCCCGCTGGGCCTGTGCCGTAGGGCTGTTCGATACAAGTCTTCCGCCTAGGACGTTTCAAAGGTCGGTCGATGCCGGGTCCCCCAGCGGCTAGGTACCTAAGTCGTGTCCCGTTAGGGCTCGCTGGCCAGGGTAAGGACAGAGAGCCTCCCGGTACCGATCGTCCGCTTCGTTCAAGTCGCGTAATCTGCCTCGAGGATGATCAAGCGCATGGTTGAGCGGGAATTCCGAGACAATTTCGACGTGATTCTGTTACGTAGAGGTTGCTCCTTTCTCGCACCTCAGCAACTGGAGCTCCTATATACACGCTCCTATTGCCTCCATTCCTTTAGTTAGTTCTGTAGAAGAGCAAGGCCTTTTGCCTCCCACTTCGCTCTCGCTCGTTTGCTCGATTGCTCCTCGCGCGCGCTCTCACACCACAGCGCAGCTCCCTAGCTCAGCTGTGTGATAGATTCTGAGTCAGGGCCATTTTTGGGCCACGCAATGAGCATTTCCGACTGTTTTGGAGCATGATTATAATAGCAACACCTTACTGGTTATTCCACCGAACTTGGCGGACGAGAGGGACTGAGGTTTAATTTGCACACGCGCCATATTTCGCTCTAGGTGGGATCTAGGGCAGAGGGGGCCAGATATGCGCTTACTGTGGCGTCTACGGCGACTCTGTCATGATAATAAACCTATTCGGTAGTCTGTCGGCAGCCCGGGGCGCCGTTGCAGTATCGATAGCGTTAGAAAGAGCGAATGCAAATGCCGCCGACAAGGAGAGGAGGTATCGCAATAGTGGCATGCAGTCGCGGAGGACCGGCTCGCGACGGTTTTGTGTGGTAAGCGAAGCTAACCAGGAGGCGCTGCCGTTGTGCGTGCCGTGGATGAGCGCTTGAACTTCTTTCACGCTCATGGGTGCGGGCTCGTTATCGTTCATCAAGGCGTGCTCCCTAACGTTTAGAGAGTAAGCCGAAGAGCTTGTTCTGTTACGGCAGCTACGGGGTCAAAGGCCCGTTTAACGTAGTAAAGCGTAGGGGTAGGCATAACGTCTAGGGTGAGGATGCCGAGCTTGCACCAGACCCTAGAGTTAATGCGCGCGATTGACTTTAGCTTTGGAGACCCGATCGGCGTAGTTCGCCTCCAATTTTGCTGTCTTTTCTTATGTTCGTTCCATCCTCCCCAGGTAGAGTGATAACATGGGAGAAACGGATACCGAGGATCGACCAAGTCTCTCCTTTCCACTTATATAAAATAAACGCCTAACCAGTTTGAAACAATTTGATATTACCCCCCTAAGGATATCCAGGGGGGCCTGCTTGTTCAATAGAACTCTAACACCGTAGAATCATCGTATAATGGCGATATAATTATGGAGTCTCGGCTGGATCCAGACTCCCTTCATCCCGAATTCGTAAGGTCAACTCGATCAGTCGTTCTAAAATGCAATGGGGAAGTATGCCGCTCCAGAATCCGCATGTCGTCCCGTCTTGCTGCCCCAGGAGGGCCATGTGGCATGCGTCCGTCGTTTCGTGCTTTGATGAGTTTAAGATGGTGTCACGTAGATCTCGGGAGCTACGTGTGGTGCGAGAGCACGCGCGAGGAGCTATCTCACGAGCAACGAAGGCAGGAGAAAAGGTCTTGTTCTGTCTAAGAACTAACTGAAGGAATGGAAGTAATAGGAGCCTATATATAGGAGCTCCTGTTGCTGAGGTAAGCAACGAAGAGGTGCCAAGTAAAGTGCAACCTCTACGTGACAGATGGCGACTAAATATGGGAGAAGCTCCGGCCATCGCGCTTGGTTTAAGGAGGAGCCAGGGCATGAGCGTAATGCCATTTCGATGGCCTTTACGGTTATTTCGGCTTGACCATTTGCTGAGGAGCGGTAGGCTGACGTTAGTCGTACTTCGATTCTTGCTGCTTAGCAGAGAGCTTGCCAGAGTTGAGATGTGAATTTGGTATCCATGTCCGAGATAAATGCCTCAGGCAACTGCCAGTCCGGGTGAATCTGCAGGAAGTACACTCTGGCCCAGTCTTCTCCTGTGTATGTTATAGGGCTAAGTTCGGGGCGCGATCGTCCTTTTTCTTATCTTCTGCTTGCAGGTATAGCTAGTGACGGAGGTAGTCCCGCCGTCCGGCAGCGATGCGCGTCGGGTAATCGCCTCGGCGTAACTGCGCGACAATGCGACTTCGCGCACAGGGGCTCGTCCCCAAGGGAATACAAGAGCCCGTCGAGCAAAAGGATTTGCATTGTTGTTGCGAAGCGGCGGAAGTAGACTTATTCCCATAGATCTGGCCATTATGCAACACGAGTCGGTGTTCTAACTACCGCGGCGTACCGTCGCCCGGGATAAGCGAGGGCTTAACCCTAACCCCGCCAGCCTTGGAGGGCGGCGGCCTTACCGGCGATCTGGTGATAACGGTACCGCGGACTATCGTCTAAGTCGCTGTTTATTCTATCGTCCGGCCACGCTAAGTCTAGGACGGCGGTTCCGTCGTAAACGCTCATGTAGGTATTTGAATTGGGGACCGGAAGCCGTTAGGACTGAGATGTTTAAATAGTCCTGCCGTCGCCTTGAAACCTCGATACTGGATTTGGGATCGTTAAATGTTTCAACCAATTCAACGCGACGTTCGGACTATAGAGACCCTATTAACGATGCTACTTGGATGCCGACAAGGGTAAATGAAATGACGATCTACTCAGAACGACGGCAGCAGTTAGCACGAGGTAACGCACGTAACGCACGAGTCGGGGGGGACGGATAAGGATAGGGGAGGGATAGAAGCTTACTGCTGAGTCTAAGGGCTATTAATCATAATCAGAAAGCGGTTTGGGAGCCCGTTCTCCGTCCTTGGGGCTAATACGACGTTAAGGGCGTGGGACAGGATAAACGCGAAAGGAGGTGACAGGGCCGTTGGATGTTTTAGGGGAAATGTCCTATCGTTCGGGAGAGGTGCGTTTGGGGGGAGCATCGACGGGAGGCGCGGTGAACGGGTCCTGCGTAGGTTCATATTACAGCTCCCTAAGGTCAAAATAAGGAGGCTGTGTGGGTTATGGGTGAGGCTCTGGCAGCACCTCTAAGTATTAGTTACTGCATAGCACGAACAGCAGCCTCACCCAAGAAACCCGTTGTCAAAGACTCTGTTTGGAGTTAAGAACACTCACAAATTTGAGGGTATGTCCGGTAAGGCCGGAATGAATCTTGAGGGCATCTAAAGGATATCCTCATTGAGATGCCTAAGGTCGAATTGAGGGGGCAGCACTGAGACGGGCGGTAGATCCCAGAATGCGAGTCGTATGTACCCTAAGTTATCGCGTAGACGATTCAGCATATGAGTTGCCGAGCTTCGTAACAAACTGTCGTATGTCATTACGGAGATAAGCTTGTGCGTAGACAAGCGCTTGTTCTTGGGGAACAAGTGCTTCGTTATAGACTAATACCGAGAAGAGTAGTTTAGGCGAACTGATATTAGTTCGATAAGACTGCCCCGTCCGTTGTTGGTTTGGCTCCTTAGCACGATAGTAAGGTATTCTGCTTTGGAAAGCAGGCCATTTGAGGCCGGCTGTGTGTCTCCCCCTTCGTCGTCGAGGCCGAAGCGCTCCTGTTGGTCGGCCGTGAGCGACCGTATGGACACCATCTTCGTCTCGAATCGTGCCAACAGTGTCGGTAACTAGATATAAAGACCGCCAAGGAACCGGCGGGTCAACAGACGAGGGTCGATCCCTTGAGAATCTTGGGGAATAGCTGGCTCCATCCCATAAGCCATAGCCGGGACAGTATAATATGGATGGGGAGTGCCATAGCGTAATAGTGAGTAGCCCAGGGATCCCTTCCAAGTCCCCAAGCCTGGTTAAGGTGGGCTCTGGATACCCGTACTGATTAAAGGATCTGCTAGGGCCTTACTAGGCAAATAGGAGGAGAAATGACGACGGCGATATGCTTGGGGAATTAGCTGATTGTATTATGGATGCAGTTGGGACAACTCACATCTAGTCTCCGACCTGCCCACTGTCATATACTCCCATTCTTGGCGGTTGACAACAAGGACCCCCCGGATCGAAGACGCCAAGATGACATGGGTATGTTAGGCCTGTTTCTCTGCCCAGAGGCAGGATGAATTTCTGTTCCTGCAGAGGTTGCAGGAGATGAGAACAACGGAATGCTCCGCATGAGGAGGTGGGAGGTGTGATTTGGTTTGGTGTTACGGCTGGAAGAGCTGGGCACAACGTTTCGGGATGAAAGAATTGAGGTGTGGGGGAGGGAGTCCGGATGAATTTCTAGGAAGTGGGCTATGTCTGAAAAGAAAAGGAATTGTTATTCTGGGGTTATTTATATTTTATATATATAGCTTTGTGGTGTGTGCGTGACGATCTGGGGTTTCAGCCTGGGTAAGGGCACGGTACATTGCAAACACCAAAAGTACTTGGGTACGCTGTTGGTTAGAGGTTTTACTACCATTAAATGATGTGAGAAGTTCTATAGACCTTAGGTACCTAGAAGGTAGGGAGGGAGGTACGGGGTGAAGTATCGCCATAACTTTATCTTTACCATGGAAGGCTTATATAGGTACCTAAGGTAGGTAGGAGCGTATATGGTAGGTAATATTTGGGTACGTGAAATACGAGGACAGAACCACAGGAATATTTTCTAGGTATATAAAGTGGCCAACCCCTTGTAACTGTGTCATCTAATAGGAGAATAACTAGGGATGCATTATACTTAGGATAGTTATGATGGTATCCGCAATACCTCAACCTCGCGTCTGTATGTAAAAGCCAGAACTGAGCATTGATTGTCAGAAAAGATTAACGATGAGGATAGCTAAACTAGGCCGAATTAAGACAGGGAAATTACGAGATATCGCAAGGCATTAGTAGCGGGAGGGCCACTCGAATAATCGATAATGTCTTGGCACGATGGCCAACGATATTCAGATGGATATATCACATCAAGAACGCCGATCGTCCTCGACGGGTTCTCCAAGCATATGTACGACATCCCACTCTATTTTTATCTCTCATCCTTCCCGGGTCCGTTCCGGGAGCTACTTTAAAGTAAGGTCACCGAATGCCGGCATGGCTCATTCGAGATTTCTGGCTACAGCATCCCGTTTCTCTCGTCGATTGTCTGCGACGGCATTCGTCCTGAGGCGAGAAGCTGGGCGGGCAAAGGAGAAGAGAGAGGGTGGGCTTGTTCTTCTCGAGAATGGTCCATTTTTTTTCGCAAGATAGATTGACGGTATTGCTGTTCGACGGGGGAAACCCCAGTTCCCCGGGCGCGACAGTGCTCGTCAGCCAATGCGCGTAACTTGGGTAACAGATAGGCATTGGCTAATGGGGGCCGAGAAGTGTAGGCAATGGGGGACCAGACTCTGATAGATTCCCTGGGTCGGGAGCTGGCAATCGTGTCACCGAGGTCTCTGGAACGGGGAGCAACTCGTAGCCATTGGAGAAAACCCCCCGACGGCCGGCAGGAATACGAGAGGCGATGGGGTTGCCTGTGGGGGGAGGGAAAGAGGTGGAAGGACGTCGATAACAGGCTGGCGACCAGAGCGCTGAAAAATTTTGCACGTCTGAGCAATATATCGGCTCTTCCATCAGCTTCGATCGTCCGAGTCAGCAGGAAGGGGGATTCTTTCTAAGATACCGGTAAGTGCTACGAAGGCTCATGTACAGTAATAGGTGGTTGCAATGCAATGCGGAGGCACACGGCCGAAAAGGTACGTGTACCTAACCCGATGCGACGAGGAGGGAGTGAGAAGAGATTGGCAAGCTTCAAACCAGACATGGCGCGAGACGTAAGGAGACACGCCCGGGGGCTCTCAGGCCACCTCGTCCTCCCGTCTACCAAATTCTATCTCGGTCGTCGGGGGGAGCAGGGAGGGGACAAAAAAGAAAGCAAGACTCTGGGTCCCACGCTACTCGGTCACGTCGCCATCCGAAGTACGGGGTTATCTTCCATCGGCATCGGAACGCGAGGAGAGGAGAGGCGAGGGTGACCAGCCCTATGGGACCAAGATGAGGGAAGCTGAGGGATGAGATGAGGAGATAAGAGAGATCTCGCTCAGGTGGGGTGCGCTAATCAGGGCCGGCGACGAATGAGCAGCGGCTGTCTCGTCTCGTCTGCGGTAGCCGGGGGGCTGAGAGGGGCTGGCCGAGAGAGAAAGGGGGGGAGGGGGATCGAACGGGAAGGGTACTCTAATTAAAGTGGAGGCTCGATGGCAGGTCCGGTGCGGGAAGTTGGAAGGGGAAAGCGATGATGTCGTTGCTCTGGCGCCTGACGACCAGGCTGTGTGCGTGCCGGTCGGGGTGCCTGTAGATAGGCGGGTACTTGTGCTTCGCAGGCCGGGTGTGGCGGGGTTAGGTATCCAGCCATCCCCTACAGCGGGGTGCTGGTGGTGCCCGCAGCTAGTGTCTACCTCGAGCTGCCCCCCAGGCAGCCTGCTGAGAGGTACCTGTCTAACGGCCGGCCCACTGGAGGGGCGCTGCAGGACCTAATGCCTGAGGTACCCGGCTGCTCAACTTAGCCCGCCTGGGCCAAGCACCGCCCTCCCTTTTCGATTCCTTGCACACCAACAACCACCACCACCACCATCGCCGTTACCACCACCACCACCATTCATCATCATCCACCACCCTCCAAACAGATCTCTGCAAATCCACACGCAAATACCCAAGACTCTCAGTGCCCGCCTGCGCTGCACTGCCATACCAGCCATACTACCATACTACTAGTCCGGATCACATACCCACTGCTTGTCTGCATGTGCCCGTGTTACATCGCAAAAGCAGACAAGACCTCGTCAAGTCCCGCTATTCGCTGCTCGTTACTTCCTTGCACCATCGTTTCTGCCGAGATTCTTTGATCGCCGATTTGCACGCTCTCTGCCTCTGCCTCTCTGGAGGTTCGCAAGACACCCCCGATCTGTCCGAGCCAATTTCCTCCCCCCCTTTGTCCTCTCCTTGCTCTCATTACCGCTCGAGGAGGGACATATCGCGACAGCTTTGGCCTGCCTGTCAACCACCCCAAGCTGCCTCCGGATCAAAATGTAAGCTCGCAAGCCCCCTCTCGCGTGGGGACCCGCGTAACCTGACCTGCGCTGCACCTTGGCTAATGCTTTCCCCAGGCACATCACTGTGAATGTGAACAACCCAGATGTTGAAGCCCAAGAGCTTCAGCTGATAAACCTCGATGTCCCTCCCGATATGACCTTTGCCGACCTGCGGAGCTCCATCGAAGCCGAGGGGATACCCGGGCCGTCCCAGAATATCTACCACAACGGCCGCCTCATCACCGAAAACTCCAAGACATTACTGGAGCTCAACATCTGCGAGGGAGACATGCTGGCATTGCACATTCGGGACATGCGGGGAAATACTGGCGTTGCGCCCGCCCACCGGGAGCCGCAGAGGAGACAGGGTGCCCTTTCGCAAGACCCGGAGCTGATCCGGTTGCAGGTCCTGGGCGATGCCCGGCTGCGGAGCGAGCTGGAACGCGCGAACCCCCACCTGGCTGCTGCCCTCGAGAATCCCCAGCGTTTCGCCCAGATATTCCGACAGAGTGCCGACCAGCAGGAGGAGGCCCGCAGAGCACGCATGCGCGAGATCGAGGCCCTCAACAATGACGAGTTCAATCCCGAATCCCAGGCCAAGATCGAGGACATGATTCGTCAACAGGGCGTGATGGAGAACCTCCAGAATGCTATGGAGTACAACCCCGAATGTGAGCTATACCGCAACCAGCACGTCGGGATTCCCCAAAGACTCTGCTACTAACCAGCCGTATAGCCTTCGGTCGCGTGCATCTGCTCTACGTGGATGTCAAGGTCAACGGGGTGAAGGTGAAGGCCCTAGTCGACTCGGGTGCTCAGGCCACAATCATGTCGCCGTCTTGCGCCGAGGCATGTAATATCATGCGTCTTGTCGATAGGCGCTTTGCTGGTGTGGCCCGCGGAGTGGGGACTGCCAACATTATCGGCCGTGTCCACTATACCATGCTACAGCTCGGCTCCAAGCACCTTGCCGCCGCATTCACCGTTATGGAGGGTAAGTCGGTCGACCTGCTGATCGGCCTGGATATTCTCAAGGGCCATCTGGCCGTCATCGACCTTGCGCGAAACAAACTCATCATCCAGGGAGAGGAAGTAGATTTCCTGGGAGAGTCCGACATCCCCAAGGAGACGGAGGAGGCGGTTAATCAGGAGCCAACCGTTCAAGGGCCAGGCGGCACCACTATCGGCGCTCGATCCGGAGCTGTCACTGCGCCTCAGGCTTCGTCGTCGTCGTCGGCCGGCCCCTCCAGCTCCTCGGCGCATTCTGTACCTGTGGTATCGCGGCCTGCTGCGCCTCCGGCCCCCCCTCCGGCCCAGCCACAACCCCAAGGGCAACCCCGGAGAACTTTTCCGGAAAGCGACATCAACACCTTGGTATCTCTAGGATGGGACCGGCAAGCAGCAATCAACGCGCTAGAGGCTACCGGCGGCAACGTCGAATTCGCCGCCTCGCTTCTTTTCAATAACTAGTAGAACTGGACCTGCTACCCGTAAGAAACGCGATCCAGTGGGGAAATCAGCATGGCGTAACGAATGACGGGTTCGGACACCAAAATGTTGTTACTACTCGATACATTGGTGGGAGTTTTTATGTGGCGCGGCCCGGAGGGCACTTGAAAAGGGTCGCGAGCATGACAGTCACGCGATCCCCCCCCCCCCCAACCCTGCCCCGATTCAAGCAAATACAATACTTGGGGATCTAATTAATCGAAGTCGTCTCAGTTAGATTTTTTATGTATCTTTGAACGGAGATACAGTGACGGTGAGGAAAGACTCTGCCGACGCGTGTGGGTGACTAAACGAGTTTGGTGTTAAGGGGTCGACGAACTAGAGACAAGTATTTGTTTAAAACAAAAGTAGCGGCTCGCGCCTAGCGTAGCTTGTAAACGCAGGGCTTCAAGATGGTGCTTTCATCCACGGTGCCCTGCTGCCGGTCATCCTCCGCTTCGATGAACTTGATCGCATCCCTGCCCTTCTGCGCCTTCGCGCCGCTCGCCCCCTTGCCGACGGCCGGCGACGCCGCCTTGAGGAAGCGCATCTTGACGAACATCTTGTTCCGCAGGTCGGGCTCCCCCTGGAGGACGAAGCCCCTCCGCCGCAGCGCCTCTACGAAGGCCGAGACGTCGGTCTCCTCGCGCCGGTCGTCGGCGCCGTCAACCTCGACGGCCAGCCGGGCCTCGTCGGCGTCGGCGTCGGCGTCAGCCGCGTTCCACGCCTTGCCCTTCTTCGGCCCTGGCGGCGGCTGCAGCACCTTCCGGCGGCCGCCGACGCTGTGGCCGACGGGGGCGCCGCTGTTCTTCTTCCTCCCCTGGGCGCGGGCGGCGGGCCCGAAGCGGCTCTTGATCTCGGCGACCCAGAGCTCGCCCTTCCAGCGCAGCACGCGGTACGCCTCGTCGACGAAGTCGGGCCAGTTGGTGCCCATGAGCGCGAGGCAGAAGACGGCGACGTCGACGGCGCCGTCGGCGAGGGGCAGCGCGGCGATGTCGGCGCGCGTGACGACCGGGACCGCGGCCGAGGAGGCGGCGGCGGCGGCGGCGGCGGCGGCGGTCCCTTGCAGGTCAAAGCTGAGCACCTCGAGCCGCAGACGCGCGCGCTCGGGCCACAGCGCGGCGGCCAGCTTCGCGTCGCCGCAGCCGAGGTCGGCGACGGTGCAGACGCCGGCGGTGCGCGGCAGGGGGGCGGGGTCAGCCGGGGTGGAGGCGTGCCGCGACGGCGGCGGCTTCTGGCGCGCGCGCTGCCGCACGTCCCGGATGTACCCGTCGACCGGGTTCTCGGGCCACACGTCGACCTGGCGCCGGAAGCCCTCGTGGTACTCGCCGAACATCTCGGGCGAGTCGGCGAACAGGCGGAGCGCCTCGGCCGACGGCCGCGTGTACAGCGTCTCGTTGAGCTGGCGGAACCGCGCCGACACCAGCTTCTCCCGCATCGCGGCCTGCAGCGGCGTCAGCGTCGGCGTCGGCTTCGGCGCCGCACGGGGAAGGCTGCTGCTTAGTTCTGCCGCCGCCTCCGCTTCGCCTTCGACCTCTTCGGGTTGCTTGCTCTCGTCGCCGGCTCCTATTCTCGCCTTCGACGTCTTCTTCTTCCTGGCCTTCCTCGCCGGCCCTCCAGGTGGTTCCTGTGGCGAGCCAGCACCGGCCGGTTCGCTTTGGCCGCCGTCGCCATCCGGGCCGGCGTCTCCCTGCCTCAGCTTCTTCAGCTTCTTCTTCTCCTTCAGCGTCAACCTCCTCGGCGGACCGTCGGCTGGGCTGCCTTCCGACGCGCCGCCGCCGCCTTCCTTCTTTGTCTTCTTCTCGGCTCTCCCCTCGATGACCCGCTCCCAGAGGTCCGCGACGTTGGCCGCGGTCACGTTCCCGGGGGCGGCCGACGGCCGCTTGCGCTTTTTGGAGCGCGCCTTGGACTCGTCCTTAGAGGGCGCTCGGTCGAGGGCTGCGGCGGCCTCCGCCTTGAGACCGTCCGCAGATACGGCCCAACCTGGTACCGCAAACATGGCCTGAGCAAATGCGATGCTTATCTATTTCGCTCCCTGAGGTCTCGCCGTGCAAATTTCCGAGTCCTGGGGCTTTTTGTTTCTTTTTCGCTTTGTTTCCTTTGTATCAGGTAGGTAGGCCGAGGAAGATGGACTGGGCAGCTAAAAGCAGAGCGAGTTGCTCTCTTAGGTAGGTACAGCTTTTTTCACTTAATGACAGGGGTGCGGTGTTGCTGTCACTAGGTACTGAGCAAGTGCATCCATTCAACAGGAACAGGGGACTTTCCTCCCGATGGGCAGTGGGGTTTAATCACGTGCAAGGTGGGCTATCCACCCACAGAAAAATTGTAGATCGGTAGATTACTATAGGTACTGGTACTTACGTACCTACTATACGTAAGGTAAGGGATGCGAAGACTGCCCAGTAAAGTACCTCCCCTAGGTACCTCCAAGTTACCGAGGTGGGCATCCAACAAGAAACCATGGAAGTATGGAGCTGTCGGCTCCTGTCCCGCAGCTGTCAATTCTCTAGGTACATAATGAGGAATATGATGCCTGTTAGTCGCATGCGCGCATTACAGGTAGGTCGTCCCTCGCCTTGTTGCGGACTCGGAGAGAAAAAGGAAAAGAAGAAGAAACAATTGGAAGTACCATTAGGTCAGGCAGTATACCTTCTGTCTCCTATATTATGTCGACGTGATGAACGTCACCAACTCCGATAGCAAAACCTGAACACCACAACCCCATCCTCCATCCTGTCTGCCCTCTGCCCAGCATCGCCCACCTCCTGCCTCTCCTCTGCCGAGCGCATCCGTAAGAAAGGGCCGATAAAATCTCTAAACCTCCCAGGCCCCTGCTTCCGACCACGTCTTGACATCCGGGACGGTTTGCTGGTTACAATATCCCCCAGCCCGTAAGCCCGATCTACCTACCCTTTACGGGCGTAGGTCCAGCAGAGCAGAGCAGATCCCCACAGCAGCCACTTGGATCTCGATCTTGGGATTCTACACAATGGCCTCGTTTCACCGGTAGGACTCGTCACCTGAAACCGGGCAGGCCATCCAGCTTCCTCTACCCCTCCCTTGGGACTGCCCTGCGAGATTTCCTTTTGCTCGTCTGGCCTGAGTCGTCCAGTCGCATGCCCCCTATTCCCTCTTTCTGCTTGCCACTCTCTGTCTCGTGCCTTGTCCTCTCTGTTTTTGACAGCTCTACCTGGAATATCCCGCCCTTCGGGTCCCACATGAGGCTACGGACCCCGTGGGCGGGTTTGATTATCAGATGGGATGACAAGCGGGATGAGATGATTATACGGTGCCCCGTTGCAACGTCCCACAGCCTACGGCCGACAGTGAAGGCCTGTTGGTGGGATCGACGGTTGCACGCTGGCTTCTCCAGCCTGCCAGCATGCAAGTTCCCAGTTCTCCTGACTCTGACGTATATCTATCCGCCGGCTACGCTCTATCAACTGACCCTATGTGGACGGCGACATGACTTCGCAAGGGGGCATATGTTTCTGCAGTGGGACGGGAGTTCTTGCGTACGGCCTTAGGGTGCGCGGGTTCCCAGCCAAAGGGTTCACGTCTCTACCCGCTCCGCCACACACCCCCAGCAGGTAGGGAGGTATACATATACTCTTGCTGACGTCCGAGCCCCCTTTTGTTGTTGCCTTTGGGACGAAGTGGTGTCGTCGATGCGTTTCCCCAGGATGGCCGTCCTCATCCCGTTTTCGGCCTCTGCGCGCGGGGCCGCGGGACTAAGCATCGTATATCCTGCATGCGACGCAGCATTTTTGTCTGCCGTAACCACGGAGCCTCGGACCACGCTGCGGCATGCATCCGTCTTATCATCCATCGTCCTGACCGCGGCTGACTTCTTCGTGCTGTACCCGTAGTGCTGCCAGGCCATATCTAGGACCAATACAAGGGCGTGAGACTTTCCCTCCCGAGACACACGGGTTGGCTTCGTCCCCCATCTCCCGCTGTACCTGGTTTACGCTTGGCGGGCAAGCTCTGCGCTTCGCACGAGAAGCTACCAGGCATGGACCCGTGGATTTGGTGACGATGTACGCCGAGTGAAAGATAAAGATCGGCCATACTTGACCGTGTTGGCCTACCCCGGGGCAGGATTTGGGGTAGGTACATCTTCCCATAGGCGTACAAACCGGTCCGTTTCCACCATGTCTTCTCCCTCCAACCTCATGTGTAAGTGGTCTAGATGTTTGCGTGGTCGGCGGCACAAGACACGCCGAGCTTACTCTCGCTGTGTGCGCCAAAAAAAAAAAGGCGAATTGACGGCCGGCCAACAGAACGTGGCGGATGTGTAGGACGATTCGTCGTCGCCACAGGCTGCGCGTTTTCGGTGGCACGGGCGGGATTGCGTGAACCGTTGGCTCTCTCTCCGAAGTTAGGTAATCCTCCAGGTGCAGGACGTAGACTACCAGCTATGCATCATCAGACGTCGCACTTCGATCTGCCGCAACTTGAGCGACGCTGGCTGCATGCAGCTTCATGGGACCTACTAACGCGTCGTCGCGGCCCCGTGCAGGCCCTATCTCCAGGCTAGCACATCACAGGGCGCACGAGGACCCGGCTACTACGGAACGCAGACGTCCCCGTCTATCTCATTGCCATATGGGTTGTGTTGGGTCTCCGCTGTCAATAGAGGCACGGCCCTCGAGCGCGGCCAGAAGTAAGGTAGCCGAAGGCCCCTAGCCCTTTTTTCCCTCCTGGGCAGGGTAGAATAGTTCGTCGGAGCCTCCTTTAGGGCCTAGTCGAGCGACGGCACTAGCCCAGAAATCGGCTTCGAACCGGTAGCGTCTGGCGTGGAGATAGCTTGGCCGGTACGGGATCTTCCTTGTCGGGCTCGCCGCGATGACAATCGCTTCGCTGTCCGCGTCCAGCTTGATCCAGTCGGACGGCAGCTGGTGCCGTCGAAATCGCCTGATCGGTTGAAGCCGTCCCAGCGGCGTTCGAACCTCAGCGGCGATCTATTTCTCGCGCCAGGTCCCGGCATTGCCCCTTGCTCCATACGCAGGAGCCGACGCACACAGGTGTGGTAGGCACCCTTGGGCTAGGCGGAGAGGGTCTGCTATAATGGTGGGCATGCCAGCGCTCAGAGATTTCCCGCCCCAGTATTGTGGGAGTTTGCCCAGCCTCGCCGAGATCTGCTGGGCTACATACGACGTCCCTAGCAGGAGGACTATGTACCCGCCGTCCTGTGTCCTGGCTAGATCGCCTCTCTCATTTGGCAATGGTAGCAAAGCCACCAGCTGAACCCCACCATTCCTGGGCAATCCCCCCCGTCCCGCGTTAGCAGCGTTCCGTTCGTATGTGCAACGGTCCATGGATCTAGGTACATACAGGTTGCGGTCGCTGAAATGAGAGCCCCCTGATCAGTCTAGACGCTGCCGTCTACACCTCATATTTTCCATGTCGCACCCTGTCCTACTGCTCTCGGCGGGATGACTCCCCCCCAGTTGGACACGCCAGCAACAGACATCTTCCCATCCTGATTTGTCGCGCTAGGTGTTTCACAGGGGGCGATATAAGCTATAAGGACGCGGGTTGAGCCGTTTATCTCGCCGTGCCTATATCCTCTCGATAATTCCTCTGCCGCCGTCCCGAATGGCCTCTCATACTGTTCAGCCGGAACCGCAGAGCTATAGGCATATGCCATCGCGTCAACACGTCTTCCGATCCATAGTTCCGGATAGACGGGACCTAAAGGGGCCATCTCGGCCGTGATTCGCGCTAACTACACGACGATTGTTAGGACCGGGAGAGGGGCTTCCCCGAGCATGCCCGGGCCTATTTTGTAGTCGACGCTGCCTAGCACGCAACTGGGCCTGTTGTCTAAATACCACATGGCACCTTGGATTGTTCGAGGGCTAGATTCTCAGGCGAACAACCAACACCCAGTGTCTCGATCAACCAGCAACTACGGTCTATTGGGATGGCTTCTACGGATGGAGAGCCAGGGGACGGTTCGACCCAGCCTCAACCTCCCCAGCCACCCACGCCCGAAGAAAAGGGTGATGAGAGTTCGGCGCCGAAGAAGTTGGCTGTACGGAAGCGAACAAAAACGGGCTGTTTAAGTACGTAGCATTCATCATATTTTCAACTGCCTTCGATTTTTCTCTCCCGTAGAACAGACGCTGACTGTTGCGAAGCGTGTCGAAAGCGCCGAATAAAGTGCGACGAAGGGAGACCGACGTGCAATAACTGCTTGAAGTCGAAGCGGCAATGCGAGGGCTATAACCAGCGGGTTGTCTTCAAGGATCCTCTCGGTGCATTTGCTAATGCTCCGTATGGACCCATACATTATCCGGCACCCTCTCCTCAAGCCCTCGTGAGGGAGCAGCAGCTGTCGGCCGCCCAGCAGAAGTCGTCGTCGCAAGCTTTGCAAATCATTGCCCCTAAACCTCCGCCAGCAGGATACCACCAGTTTAGCCACGTCTACACTGACCAAGCGGGGCCAGCTGGTTCACCCCCTGGAGGCTTCGATCCGAACGTGCTCGGGTCTCAGCCTACGCCGTCGAAATACACATTTTTCCCACCAACTACCGTAGACGCCTTCTCGCAGCAACAATGGAGGCAGAATCCATCCTCAAATTTCGGCCAATTTCCATCCGATACTTCTAATAACCCGGCACAGGCTGCCTCGCCTGTAGCACCACCCCAAGAAGCAGACAGTTATACACTGGACAAGGGCAAGTCCCGTGCTGAGTACGAGCCGCCTATCGAAGCCACGACATCTAACTACGAAGAATGGGAGTATCCCGTATCTGACGATGAGTCGATGGCGGAATCGGACGATGTGCCTATAGGTCAAGACAACACCACCTCTCTCATCTTCAACGACCCGGGAGCTGTTGCGTTCCAAAGACTAGATCACCCTTATAATATGTTCGGAACGCATACTCGGACATTCTCGGCGTTTGCTCCAGAGAGCTTTCTTGCAACATACAACCCTTCACCGGCGGATTCTCCTTTACATGACGAACAGATAGCTGCGGTGTTCTGGCATTTTGTTAACGTGACTGGGCCCAGTATATCACTGTATGAAAGGCACCCTTTTGACCCGTCACCGATTTTTCAGGGACAGGCGATACCGAAGGCTCGTCAACATATTTGGACCTGTAAGATGTTGCTCGCTTCAGTTCCCTTCCCTTGCTAACTAGTGCGTCGAGACACGTTCCCCATCCTATCCTTCAGCCACCCGGCACTTCTCCACGCCATACTGGCAATTGCAAGCTTGCAGATCGCCAAGCTCCAAGGCGTACCGCCGACGACGTCCCTCAAGCACTACCATCTGGCTTTGAGACGAATAGCACGGAATGTGAGCCGGCCCAACCGGCGCGCCCAACCGTCGAACCTAGCAGCGACATTAGCCTTGGCGTTCTACGAAGTGTGGAATTCCGATCACGATAAGTGGAGTAGGCATCTGCTGGGAGCACGTCTGATTCTCAAAGACATCCCATTCGCTGCGATGACGCGCTCCATGATGGCAATTAGACTGGAACAAAGAAGGCGAGAGATGGAGCAGCCTCAGGCGGACGTCTTCGGGATGTTCACATCGTACGAAGAATCCGACCCTTTGCACGAAGACTGGGACCTTATCGACGTGCCGCTGCTAAGCGCCATAACCGGTAAGGACCTTTCGTACGACGAGTTTGGCATGCTCCCCGTAGGACAGAGTGCGTATCGTAGATCGGGGATCAAGTTTACGGAGAGGGATATGGAGAGGTACGAGCAAATGGCGGACCTTTTCTGGTGGTACTGCAAGATGGACGTCTACCAGAGCATCCTGGGTGGGACGCGACTGTTGTAAGTCTGCACCGAGCCGCGGAGACACAAGAACATGGCCCTGCTGACGAAACAAGCCTGGAATATAATGCCTGGACTCAATGCCCACCGAGGGCACCAATAGGGAGGCTCAATGCTATGTAAGTCGCTCGCCCCATTCCGGGGCGAGGTTGCACTGACGCTTCTAGCTACGGCACGTACGATCATCTAATGCTTCTACTTGGTCGCCTGGCAAACTACACATCCAAAGATCTGACCCGAAAACGAGAGTGCTTCAAAGCAAGCGGACCCGGCAGAGGGGCCACTCCCCCAGGAATGTTTCCGGGCATGATGCCGGCATCCGAGAAAGTCGCAATGCCCATGGGATTCAGCCCTCAACGAGAGTCTACACCATCCAGCGAGAGCTCTTCCGAGCCGAGCGACCTCGACACTAGAACTGCCGAGGCGTATCGCGAATGGGAGGATATCAAGGAGGCCTTCGAAGTACTGCGGGGCCGCTTCGGCCCCGAATTCGAGCCCCTTGGCGCTGACATCTACCCGGCGAAGGCGACGCCGTTCGGACTTGCAGCACACTACCGGACGTACTCGATCGCGGGCATCTGGATGAACTACTACATGGGCCTCATCGTGCTACACCGGGCGCACCCCACGATGCCGCCCGTCGCCATGGTAGCGGCCGGCATCTCGGCGGCCACGACCGCGCGGTATACCATGGAGGTGGGCCGGATCGCCGCCGGCCTCGAGGAAAACATCGAACAGCTCGCCAACGTAAGCACGCTCATGGCCGCCGCGCTCATCGAGTGCTGCTTCCCCCTGTTCGTGGCGGGGATTCAGGTGCGTAACATAACCCCCTCTCTCATCGCACGCCACGCCGCGAATCACCAATATTGACCTTCTCGCAGTACCGCGAGGACTTTCAGCGGCAGTGGCTGATCCAGCGGCTGCACGACATAGCACGGCTGACGGGGTGGCAGTCGGCACGCCAGATCGCGGCGGGGTGCGAGTCGGCATGGACGAAAGCGGCGCAGATGGGGCGGGGCCCGCCGTACGTGCGGTCGGCGGACCTCAACCTCGACCCGGCCGGGTCCGTGTGGGTGGTCGCGCGCCGCATCGACCACCGCATCCAGGAGGTCGAGAACCCGGACTCCAAGATCGTCCTCGCCAAGAGCGAGAAGGCCTCCTACGCCATGGGCCTGCTCGCCGTCGAGCACGACCTCGAGCGGCTCGACCTCGACGCCAGCGAGGTCGACAGGCGGTAAAGGTAAGCAGGTAGGGAAGGAGAGAGAGAGAGAGAGGTGACGGAGACGGAGCAGGCATCGGTGACCTTGACTTCATGACGGTTTAGATAGGTAAGGCGTGCGTCGGGATAAGCAGGCGAGGGGACGGGGGCGGGGGGAAATGCGTCTGCGGTTTTGTCTTACGATTCCAAAGAAATACTGTCCACAGAGGCTACGATGACTCGGTATTGGGCATTTAATGAAGCTCACGACGGGATACCTCACGGAAACCCCCCAAAAGAAAGAAAAAAAAGACAAAAAAAAAGAAGAAAAAACGAAGCTCAAGCGGAGATACCAACTGGTTGTTATGCGGCTTCTTGGGCACATTTAGGGACATCAAGTTTCCGATGTTACTTAGGGCGGAAAGCTGATTATTCGCTACCCCTTTCTTACATTTTTTGCTCTTAATTCCTCGTCTTAATTTCTCTACTGCCGCGCCGCTTCGACTCCCGGCAACCTCGGGTTTTTCTCCTTTATGCCGTAGTAGGACGGGGAGGGCGGGGCCGACCCGCCCCGCTCCCTTAATTTGCGGGTAGCCTCTCGACGACTTGGGCCATCTCATCGTCCGTGTATATCCTGAAGCCCCGCTCCTTCGTCACGCTCGCCAGCTGCACGTTCTTCGCGTCGAGCTTCTCTTCCATCACCTGCTTCAGCGTCTTCAGGACTAGCGTCTCCGCGTCCGCGATCGTGAGGGACTGGATTAGAGGGAAGATGAAATTAGTCAAGAGGGTTCTGAAGAGTGATGAAAAATGCACAGCTAGATAGGGAGGCGTAGGTAGAGTGGGGATTATCGACGCACCTTATGGTACTCGTTTTGCAGCTCGGCCTGGGCGCCCTCGCTGCCGGACCCGATGGCCTTGGCGTCGTAGCGGTAGAAGGTGCCGCTGGGCTCGGCATGGTAGAGCTGGGGGCCGTCCTCGTCGTAGCCGGCGATGAGGAGGGCGACGCCGAAGGGGCGGGACATGACGGACTCCTCGCCGTCGGCGCTCTCGCCGAAGCGGAGGGCGAGGTCGCAGATGGCCTGGGTGCAGGACTCGACGCGGAGGTCCTCGTTGTAGTTGAACGCGTGGCTCTGGCACTCGACGCGGGCGTGCTCGACCATGCTGCGGGCGTCGGCCTGGAGGCCGCTCATGGCGCAGCCGATGTGGCGGTCGATCTCGACAATCTTCTCGACGGACGAGGTCTCGAGCAGCGTCGACGTCACGCGCTTCTCGACGCCCAGGACCACGCCCTCCGACGTCGCCACGCCGATCGCCGTCGACCCCAGCTTGATGGCCTCGAGCGAGTACTCGACCTGGAAGAGGCGGCCCTCGGGGGAGAAGGTGCTGACGGCGCGGCAGCGGTGGTTAGCTCGGGCAACGGGGAGGGGCGAAGCAGCACGGCATCGCGGGCGGGGGAGGGGTTCGGGAGTTCGTACTTGATGCCCCGGTCTATCGAGGGAGTCAGTCGGGTTAGCCAGGCTTGCGAGAGGGCAGCAGCATAGAAGAGGAAGTGATAGGGTAGACGAGGGGGGAAAGGGGGGTGGGCGAGTACCGTATTCAGATCTTGCCATAAACATCTTGGGCGACGTCTGGAGAACACGGGTTCTGCGGAGGAGGAGATGGGGCGATTCTGCGTCGCCTGGCGGTCAAGTCGTCGAGAGGCGGTCCGAGAGGCGCGACGAAGTCGAGAGCGTTGGTCAAGTACCTAAAGCAGGCAACGGGGTTCGTCGGTAAGTGAGTAGGTATAGAGAGGGGAGGGAGGCTGAGGGTTTGGAAGCTCGTAAGTGTTGAGTACCCTGCCCGACCTAGCTGGAGCTCAAGGCTGCTACCCCGTTTACGCAGCTCTGGGGTGGGATGTGTGTGTGTGTGCACCAACCGGGGGCTTGACGTACTGCGTAAGGTTAAGGTACCTAAGGTCACGTATCTTCTACGTACCTCTCTTAGGTACCTACCTATGATGTACCTCAGGCAGATACTTGTACCTAGGTACCTATCTATCAGTTCTATATGTACTTCCATTCTAGGTTAGTGCGGACTCGTCGGCTGTCAGGGACGCGCTTTGCCGTGTCTTTTTTTTCTTTCTCAGCTTGTTACTCGACGCGATCTGCCCACCCCGTCGGTGGTAATCGATAAGACCTGGCCTCGATAGCGCCCCCAATATCGTGCCTTACAACAACAATAATACTACCTAGACCCCCAGACAAGAGCACATGTCTGTGGCCCTGCTGCATACATAAAACCCGACAACGAGGACCCATCACTCTTGACACTGCGGCGTGAGGCATTCCCAATGTCGCTGTCCCCTTATCATGTCTTCCAGAGTCTCCAACTACTCAGGGGGGCGCACCAACGGCACCAGCGACAATGATTCCAACCCCCGACCCCGCGCCACCGGCCACAGCCACCACGGCTCGAGATCCTCGCAGCCCGATCCGCGAACTGCGCGCTCTCCGCCGTCTGCCTTCATAAATCCGGCCCATAAGCGCACCGCGTCAGGCAACCCCCGTCCGGCCAGCAAGAGCTTCGAGGAACGGCGAACCGAGCGCACCACCATCACCACCAAGGAGAAGCTAGTTGCTCGGGCTAAGAGCGTTGAACGCCGGTCCAAGGATGCGCCTCCGCCAGAGAAGTGGAAGCCCAAGGAACCGCCCAAGTCTCGACAGCCAGAGACGAAGTTGAGAGAGCCAGTAAAACCTGAGCCACCGCCTGGTACGTCCGCCCGGGTCCTCTTCACACACGTATAGCTATGGCGCGAAGTAGGGGAGGGGGAGAGGGGGAGAGAGGGAGTACGAGGGAGTGAAACAGGAACCGAACTTTGGGCTAATCTACCACGGATCTATCAACAGCAACGTGGGAACCTATAGCCAGTCTAACGCCACACACCACCGCGCCGCTCGCCATCCGCGTATCCATCCCCCCCCCAGCGTCGGACGCGCCATTGTCGTTACAGCCGCAACCCCTCCATGAGTTGTCTTTGGAGGCTCAGGAAGCCGCCATCATCGAAGACCTGTTATTTGTTTTCATGGGCTACGAGGGGCAATATATCCGCTATGACTATTCCTACGATCCCGACGAGGAACGGGACCGGCTGGCCGGGCCCGATTTCAAGGTGCTCCCAGGTCTCGATCCGAGTCTACAGGATTTGACAATGTCGATGCTTAAGATGGCAACTCACTACTCAGCCCTCGAGACTTTCGTGGATGTACAGAGCAGGGACGAGTTCGGGGCCGTCAATCACGCCTTATGCGCCGCTATTAGGAAATTCTTACAGGACTATCTGATCATGGTTGCTCAGCTGGAGACCCAGTTCCTGACGAACGATACCTTCACTCTACATCTCCTCAACGTCCATACACTCCCCACGAGCCAAATGATGGACCAGCTTTACTCGTTAGCCCACGAACTTCTCAAGAGGAACGCGCTTCTCGACGATGAAAGCTCAGAAGACTCCGACCCGGACGATATCGAGAACATCCTGGAGAACCTGAAGCGAGGCGGGGATCTCATGCCTGGGAACATGACGGGAAAGAAGGTCTGCAAGGGCGGCATCGTTATAGGTCTGATCACTAAGAGGCTGGAGACCATGTCCGGAGACCCTGCTGCGAGATCATTGCTCACGTCCTTGTTACGCGATGCCAGTCGACCGTACATGGCAATGCTCAACGAGTGGTTGCACCACGGCGAAATCGGAGATCCCCACTCCGAATTTCTCGTCAAGGAGCAAAAGAGCATCAGGCGAGACAGGCTAGAGCAGGACTACACCGACGACTACTGGGAGAGGAGATACACTATCCGGGAACACGACATCCCGCCGCAACTGCAGGGCGTTAAAGACAAGGTCCTGCTCGCAGGGAAGTATCTCAACGTGGTCCGCGAGTGCGGAGGAGTCGATGTCAGCAAAGTCACCCAGGACGTCCCCAAGTCCTTCGACGACCCACGGTTTTTGGACAACGTAAATAATGCCTATGCTTACGCGAACGAGTCGCTTATGAAGCTGCTCTTGACCACGCATGCCCTTCCTACGAGGCTCCGATCATTAAAACACTACTTTTTCCTCGACCCGTCCGACTACTTCACTTACTTTATGGAGCTCAGCTCATCGGAATTACGTAAGCCAGTCAAGTCTGTTAACGTCGTCAAGCTGCAGTCTCTCCTCGATCTCGTGCTGCGGCAGCCGGGAAGCATCGTGTCCCTAGACCCTTTCAAAGAAGACGTCCACGTCGAAATGAACGAGGTCGGCCTCATAAAGATGTTACAGCGTGTCGTCAACATCACGGGTATCGAGCAAGGGGAGATGTTACAACCCCTAAGCAACCAGCCGATCGAGAACGACAAGAATGCCGTGGGATTTACCTCTCTTCAACTCGACTACACGGTGCCGTTTCCCGTGTCGCTAGTCATAAGCCGGAAGACTGTCTGGCGATACCAGGCGCTGTTCCGGTACCTATTATCGCTGAGATACCTGGAATCACAGCTATCGACCACGTGGCAAACCCACAACACCGGCGTGGTCTGGTGCCACAAGTCATCGGTCCGCCGCGTCGAGATCTGGAAGCGGCGAGTATGGACGCTGAGAGCCCGCATGATCGTTTTTGTCCAACAGCTTCTCTACTTCTGCACCCTCGAGGTCATCGAGCCGAATTGGCAATCCCTCATGGCGAGACTAAAGGCCAAGGACGGTAGTATAGATGGGTCGGGCAAACCAGATCGAACTGTGGACGAACTGATGCAGGACCATGTGGATTTCCTGGACACATGCTTGAAGGGCTGCATGCTCACCAACGGCAAGCTCATCAGGGTAAGTGACTCGGGATACTTTGCGCAACTGTGGCACGTAGGCTCATACATTCCAGATTCATTCGAAACTCATGCAGACATGCACTGTCTTCGCAGCTCACATGAATTGGCTGTCGCGCGAGCTTGAGAAGTCCGACCCAGACTTACTCGGTCCGATCAAGCCGCCAAACATGACGGATAAGGAGTGGAAGCGGTTCCAAACGATGAAGTCCCAGAAATCGCAGAGCGACAGCGGGAATAGTACGCTCCAGGACGAGGAGGCGCGGCTCAACCAACTGTTCGAGATCATCAAAAACTGGGAGAAGAATTTTAGCCGGCACCTACAAATCTTGCTAGATGCCTTAAACCACTACGCAGCTACGGAGACGGTAGTCCTCCTAAGCCTGTGCGCGAGGTTGGCTACTGCGAATCAAGGAACTGAATACGCTGGTTTACGAACGGAGGAGGACGCCTCGACATAAGGCATCCGCTGCCAGGGTTGAATTTACCGATGTCGGGTTAATAATGTATACGAGGTGTGGGGTTTTGCCGAGGGTTGAGAGTGAGTTTTCATGAATGGCGTTCAGGGAATACGAAAACCGCGTTGGGATCCGGCGGGCCTGTCAACTGCGTAGTGAAGATACCTTGATATTATCAAATAGTAGCATACTACTGGTCAACTCCCGACCGCCCGTATTGCTGGCTCTCGATAAGCGAGGGCTCTAAAGAGACATACTCAAGGTCTCGGCCCACGACACAACGCGTTTTCGGCTCGCGACGCTCGCCCCGAGCTCAAATCAGGTTATCGATCACATGCGAACGATGCGCAACTACGGTACCATAGAGCGCATCGGCTAAGGCCATGAAGTCCGAGACACAGAATACCGTATTTTCAGACCCTGTAGAGTGAAGATGCTGATCCGAACTTTTATACGCCGGTGCGATGCTGCCATAGCCACCCCAGGTATTGTCATGTATGGTGTCGGGATACACGGGCGAATATATATACATATGCACTTATCAACCAGCCAACTGGCCTATCGATCAGCGACTAACTCCTTCACGACCTTGGCGACCAGTTGCTTATCGACCCTTCCGTCCTCGAAAGGACCACCAGCCCCAAGCACCCGCTTCATGATCTCGTTCATGCTGGGCTTGTCGCCGATGGCGTTGATGACCTTGTCGACGGCAGCGCGGATCTCGCCCTCGTCCTCGACGATGCGGACGCCGGCCGCGTGGAGGAAGTCGTCGAGCACGGTGACCTGGGCCTGTTCGTGGTCGACGAGGTCCTGGCGATCAGCGGCGGCGAATTCGGCGATGGCCTGGCGTGAGGCGCGCTGGGTCCCGCGTATGAGCTCAATGAGGCGGGAGTCCGAGGTGATGGGGCTCGAGGTCTTAGAGGCGTTGAGGACGGCGGCGAGGATGCCCCGGATGGCGACCAGGCGGGGAGCGTCTTTGCCGCGCACTATTCGAGAAGAGGGGAGGACGGGTTGGTTACTCTGTTACTGAACAACGACAAGCCCGCCGGGGAAAGGGGGGAGCGGGGAGCGGGAATCGGATGTATATCACACGTACGCGCCGTCTTCAGGTCAGCCTTAAGCCTCAGCAGCAGCGGGGGCGGGGGCGGCTCGTCGCTCGAGTAGAATCGCACACATCCGCTTCGGCGACTGAGCAGTTGCGGCCCGGCAGGGGTCGGCGAAGAGAGCCGTGCGCGCATGAACAGGCGTTCCGCGATGCCGCGGGTCGGTCGCAGGGCAGCCATGGTTCAGATAATTTCGTGATCCGCCGTCGCGCCTTAGCGTCGTTCGATTCTCGCAGCGGTAGGATTTCAGGGGAAGCTTGACCGACGGGTGCGCCAATCGATTGTGATCCCTGGTTGCGGTGAGCAGGCAAGAAAAAAAAACCCGGCTCGACCAGGTGTTTGGTGCCCGAGCGCAGGCGTCCAATCTCGGAACGGGGGGGGAGGCCTAGATATCACGATCGTCACCGTCTTGGTAGGACCGATAAATATTTCGATTCACGAAGGTTTCAGTGGCAGCTCCTATTGGCGGCCCTCTTTCCGCGAAGATTCTGGGAAAACCACCTTATCGGTGGCCGATATAAGCAACACCCCAGTACAGAAGTATCGCCGCCATGCATATCGATATACAGGGGCATAAACTGGTCGCCAAAACCGAGGGAAAGACGAGGAATAATAACGAATAATAACAGATAAATAAATAATCTATCTCGGGCGCTGCTGCATCTCAACCCATGCTCTCCACGCCCATAACGAGTCCCTCCTATGATCGACGGTCGGGTTAACGTGATGCGTTTAGGCACAACATGGATTCTTTTAACCTCTCGTCACCGTTTCAAGGAGATATTGCATGCATCACATTAGATAGAACAGGATCTGGCAGTGTCACCTGACGGGTAACGCCCGCGAGATGGCCTATCTCTAGTAAGGGTCGGGATGGTCGTCTGCATCCGCGGCCAGGGTCCACGCCATCGTTTACAGCCCAACAGCTCCCCAACTTGGTTGCCACCTTGTTACACCGTCACAAGAGAAAGGTACTCGACCCCTTTGGAGGCTGGGATCTCGACGAGACGGGGTGGCTGGCGACAGAGCGAGCGAACAACCGAGAGAGCGGCCGACGGGGAAGTTGGCGAGTCTCCCTTGGGCCATCGAAATGTGCCCGACCCGTTCGCCCATACGTGCGAGCCTAAGGACACACCGAATCCGGATAAAACAGGAGGTGCGTTACGTATATAATCAACATATGCGTGTGGGCGACGTTCTTTACCGTTGTCGTCGTGGCCGTCTCGGCGACTGGCTCGGCTAGATTCACATGTGATCCTACGATCAGAAACAAGAGAACCGCATACCACACCCTACTCATAACACGGCCGTCGGGCACTTACACCATGCATACTTACCGATGAGGACTAACCGTCGTAGCGGCGTAGCCAACGCGGACAGCAGCCAGCCTGACGGGCCTGGCCACGTAGGTAGGTAACAGTGGGAGAGAGGGGGGGAGGAGCCGGCTGCCCAAGCCTAGAATTCGGCATTTAGTTAGAAACAAAATAGGACCAGGGGCAGGCCCACTGGTCGAGTTGGTCCGCCCACGATTCAAGACAACCACCACGGCAATGCGGGATGCGAGATAGGCATGGGGCTTGAGATAGGGATTGGGAAGGGGTTTAGGATGGGGACGAAGACGAATGGAGATTGGACAGGAGGGGATGTAGGAAAAGGAGAAAAGCCGGCCTCTCGGTCGAGGAGAGGCGAGGACGGGCAGGCTACGAGACGACGGCTGTAGCCGGCCGCAAGGCGACAACGACCTAAACCTACATGGCGAGCGTACATACTCGAACGGGGCGTGTTTGTCGACGCCGGCCAGTAAGATTGGCGAGTTACGTGTCACGTCGACGGGCATGTATCCGGATGTACATGTATACCCTAGAGTACGTACGTACTCAATACAAGACGGGTTGGGCAGGCAGGTACCGGGAGGTAAATGGGCAATTGGCAATTGCTCCATTTGGGTTGAGACACATGAACCCGACTAGCTGGACCCGAGACTCTGGTAGAAGGAGCGAGGGAGACCCCTTGATTTGTTAGGTTTCTTTTGGCTGCAAACCTTAAGCTGACCTCATGCCGTCACCATCTGGGTCCTGCCATTTCCCAACTCCCCACACGCCCCTCTCTCCTTCCGCCGTCTCCCGTCCGCTCCTTCCTTGCCGTCCTTGCCATCTCCTTTCCTTCTCTTCTTTTCCCCTCCCTTCTCCCTTCTCCCGCCCTCCTTCTCTCCCCCCCTCTCTCTCCCCCTCCCTCTCTCTCTTCCCACACCCATCTCCGTCCGTCCCGTGCCCTCTTCCCGTCTCGACATGTAAGCCGATGGCTGTCCGAGCCGCCATTCGAAGGTCGTGCGGGAACCTATCTCTATTGTATCAACGCGGAGTCTATCAATGCGGCCGTGCCGCCGTCCACGGATCGCCCAACGTGAAGCGTGCGAAAGGAAATCCATCCCGGCCGCGGGGAGGAGAGATGCTGACAGCATCTATCCTATCGCCCGGCCAACCTTCTCACCCACCCAGCCACCGCCATCCCGTGCCCCATGCAGCGAGGCTCCGTTTCCGTCATCCCGTTCTTGGGGCGAAAACGGACGGTAGAGCGACGAGATGCTGACTGGCTCGACCAGTTTGATCCAAAACTACCTTCTGCTGCCGCATACGTCGCTCCTGGGGCGGCAAGGCTCCCCTCGGCGAGGGAACCCGACAATCTTAGCGTCTCGGTTTTCTACCGACGCACACATACCTTCAATGGCTGCCTGTCAGCAATCTGCCGTACCTTGTGTCCACTAGGACGTGAAAGCGAAACGACTTACATTCGGAAATATGGCTAGCACATTTCAGTACCCACGTTAGCGCAAGCCACATACCGCTGCCAGCGTTAGAGCTTAAGAACGGGCTGGCTCACCTTCAGCGCGGTATTACAAGCTTCAGCTCTTGCTTGTGCTACCAGAACGTGGAACTCTGTGATCGTCATACTACTAAATGTTAGAAGCTCTAGGACGAGTAAAAAAAAGTTAGACGTTCCCAGAGAACGCTGGCGCTATACGTACCCGAGTAGTTCCGTGAACGGGTACAAAGCCAGGGATCCGAGTAGTAGCCGAACGTTTTCCTGATTAGCGACGCCAATATCATACTCCCTCTGAGCTACATCACGACGTTAGATTTATTTAGAACAGCGATTTCGGGAAATAAATGGTGTCCGTACTTTCGGACCAACCACACATGGGGAGGGGGATCACTGTCAAATTCGACAATCAGCCAAACCTCCTTCAGGATGGGTTAGGAAAAGGCATCCGTCCTGGCCGGGAGGCTCCCGGCCCACCCGTGGGCTAAATTCAGGGGCGAGAAAGACCCAAGCACATACTCCTCTCTTCGACGTCGGTAAAACCAGCACTTCTCATCCAGTTAGCCAGTCGCCGCGGCGCCTCGGGGCTTTTGTGCTGCGACATTGCACGAAGGTATTTTTCCGACCATTGGCGAAGAGCGTGACCTATCAGAAAGCCCGATATCAGCAAAGCCACCGTCAACTTCGTTCGTACTGCCTTCTCAGCTTACTCTCTGTCAATGTTCCGTTATCAGACTGGGCATTGAGGTCGATCTCGACCATCTGACACCACCCACCCCCCCGTAAACAGCGAAGGATATCGCGCATGTACCCGTTCCATCTATTGCGGTCGACGCCTCCGGCTACTAGTCTACTATTGATGAGGTCGAAGTGGTTGGCTTGGAATTGAAACCTGGAAGGAGGGAGAATCTGAGCCCTCTAGCTAGACGATCGAATTTTTCGGCACTTACGGCATGTTCAGGTTGTCGACGTTAAGGTAGAGGTTGTCAACGCTCTCCTCGGGGTTGTAGTGATGGGGGCTCACGTCGACGCCGATGACCTAGTTGCTTTCAGGTTAGCAAATGAAGGGCTTAATAGCTGCGAGAGTGGTTTTCTCCCCCGCCTCTTCTCTTGCCAATCCATAGCATCGAGCAAACCCGCCGGACCTGCCGTCCCACTGTGCGGATGTCCTTGTCGATGCGATGCCGTAGGCCGAGCTCATCCTCAGGGGTAGACGAGGACTAAGCGAAACACAGACTCGTCACGCCGCAAGAGACTCTAGGGTATCTTTCCGCTTCTAGGACGCGAAGTTGTAGGAGATCCCCAGGCGATCCCGTTCTTAGGTGGTGGAAGATCGTGAGGATTCGAGCCGAGAAGTTAAAACTATACATGCCTCGCACCTAGGGTTCTCCCAAGCGACCTGAAATGCCCAAAGGCCTGTTCCGAAGCCGCAGTCGAGGACTCGCCTTAACGACGCTAGAGGCGGGAAGATCGATCTACCGTCAAATACCATGGACAGGACGTCATGTTGAAGGCGCAGACGGATAGTTTCATCCTATGATAGGCACGTCGACATCAGTTCACGAACGGGATTCGAAAAGGAGCCGTTCATTTGTTTTTTCCTTCGGAAAGGGGACTTCATACCTCGTCGACCGGCACAAAGTATATCTTGCGATCTATACAGTACCGTTGATACGTTCTGTTGTGGTGAACGAACGTTTCGCGCACTTCGTCGGTGAGCTCTTCGGTATCGGCGTGCCTACCAACGGTTTTAGCGAGCAGAAAGTCACTGTTGATGCCGGGAGTATCTACCCAGTCATCTTCGACAATGCGAACCCGACAGGAAACTGAAAAGTAATCTGGCCAAGGATAGCAGGAAAAGACTACTTCACAACCAGCCAGCTGAAGAATCGAGGCGACGTGTGGCTGAAACGCAGAACTATAGGCTTCCGCATGGCGGCTTTTAACCAGACCGGCTCCTTCGGTTTGGGCTTTCCACGACGTCGACCGTCCACTCCCCTCCCGACCAGAAGGCCGTCCGGCCTCCTCCCCCCCCAGGTACATGGGACCGTTAGTGGCAAGTGTATTTTGCAAGAATAATAAAGCTGTTTAGGCGTGTGTGGAGCCAATGGCCCGGTCGAAACAACCACATTGGTCACACGTCCACAGCTTGCACCCCACGAGCTGCTGTTCGCCGATCCTGGGTACTACGGTTACTCCCTATGCATCAGACCTTCCTGATCAAATCCGCTCAGCTATAGATCGCTAGGTGCTTAAGGGCAGGCATGTGAGGTCCCTAGCCTGAGGTTCCTAGTCTTGGGGTCTCTTATCGCTCCATGGCCAAATGCACTCGCTTTAGTTCCCGTGTCTGCCTCTGCATTATCCCTCGGGACAGAGGGACGTTGCTGCCCAAGGCCTGCCTCTCGCTCGTCGTGCTTGGCGTACGGCCGTCCAATGGGCAATTCCAAATTTGGTGCTGCAGAGAGTTTACATTGCATTGAATGACATATAGCGCAGAAGAGGTCTTATATCTGGCTAGGTGGGATTAAGCAGCCACGTATGAGATTCGGCGTACGCTTCTGATTGATCGTACTGGCTCGGTAGACTCTCGGTACTCGAGCCTGCCTTCGCTCGACGTGGCTGACGGCCCAAGTCCCGTTTACTGTACTGTGCCTGGGTAGGCGTCCTCTCAGCAGACACACGGCCGGTTGAGGTGGCCGTGACCAGGGGTTTGGGTCGAGCCAGCCGCGTTCTGCGCGGGGGGAACTCGAACCAGCTCTCAAGGACCTAACATCCGCAGCAGCAGGAGTGACGAAGAATTAAGGGGTCTTCCTCGAGACGTGAGGGAAGAAAGGGTTCCCGTCTAAACGGATTTAGTCTGGCCCCAGAGGAAATCGGCGCTATTCCGCAGGGCCGCTGTCAAAAGGGAGTCTAAGGCTTTAGCTTACAGATCGGCCTCGGTTTTATTTCCTCGTGCCCCTTTACGGGATGCATACAGGACGACCAACTACATCACCAGGTACTTTTGAGCAACGAGTTATGGGCCTTGGCCACGTCCTAAGGATTCTCACGCTCTTCCTTGCCGCAGATATCCCGGGAAGCTAGATCCTGAGACCCCTGGGCGACCGCCAACAGACGAGAAACACGAAGGTCTTCCGTAAGCACGGCGGGTGCGGCACGACTCAGGAGAAATCCATTGCTTGCCGACGGTTTTTAATATGCCACGGGCTATGGATGCGGTCAGTCGCGGTCAAATTTCACGCCCGTAGCGGGCCTCCATGACGATGACAAGGATGGAGGCTTCAAAATGGCCGCCCGTTTCCAGTCCTGTTCCCAAAGCGCCTAGCTGGATCGGAACATTTATTCCCACCTAGTACTGGGTACGCAAGTACATGGGAGGGGGAAGTATGTAGACCTCGTCCGGGTCTCGAGACCTACAGTATTTAGCTGACGATCTTGGTGTCTGCTATTATTACGTACGGCTTCATATGTGCGACTACCCGGACGTCGAGAGATTACGGGATTACCTTATTTTAGTATGGCTTCCTCACACCGCTACTGTGGTCTGATGGAAGCTAAGTTTTCGGCGATTCAGCTAAGGAGCAGCAGTAACAGCGGCGCTTCGCTGTTGAAAGGCCGAGCCTTCTTTTATTGTTTTTATTGTTCTTGCTATTGTTGTTTTTCTTGTTGTTGTTTTTTCTTTCTTACCCAGAGTCCCTCTAGAGAGAACACGGCGGTGCAACAGACGCGTAACCGTGGAGTGGGTGTTTATTACGTCTCGCACTCTAATCAATGGGAGAAAGGAGAACTACACTACCAAAGGTCCAAACAAGCGGGCCGTGGCGGTGGAGACGGCCTCAGAAGACTAGGTTAGGGATTTGGGGGACGTGTAGAGGCGTGGGAGAGAGAGGGAGAGAGGAAGAAGAGAGAGTAGCGAACGAGTGAGGAGTGTATGGGTTTGCGGGCGGGCGATCTCCAAATGGTTGGTACGGCGGTACCGATACATGTCCTCACTGACGAGTACCAGTACGGTACTGGCCTCGAGACATAATGGCCTCTCTCCTGTCGGCGGGACGAAAAGAGAGGCACCCTCTTCACACTGCCCAGTGCCACGACAGCCGAAGTTTGCTGCTGAGAACCGCGACGGAATCCCTACGCATGGCGCGCTGCAAGACCGCTGCCGAATCACAGACCCTTGGGGATCTGTATGAAAAGCTCACGAAGGCCAAGCTGTCGAAATCGAAGTCCACGTTACTAATAAAAATACCTTGTCAACGCGAGTCGATTTTGCTGTTCAACGCTAGCCGGTTACCCCTGGTCTACGGACAGGATTGCGGTCGAGACGGGCCCACACGGTTAAAGCCTTTGTGGCCCTCGTCCATACGGTACCACGCACGCCATTATTGCTACCGCTGGGATAGCGCCGCCCCTCTGGATCACACACTCTCTCGTGTGGGAGCGCGAGAGAGCGCGCGCATTCTGTTGCGACGGACCCCTCTGGCCGACCCACGGTTCGAGTCGGCCCTCCCGGGACTTCGGCTCGAGTGCTCGTATCTCGCAATCGCTGATCTCGATTTTACCGTCTCCTCGGGATTCCATCGTATTCCGCAGTGTATAGGAGAGATATCTACACCATCGCCATCATCACCATCGCCATTCAGCTATTTTATGTCTGTCTTACTCTAGTGAGCCATGCATTAGCGTGTACCAGAGTATCGGGTCACACGCTACCGGCGTGACCGTATCCGGATCTAAAATGAGAAAGAAAAAAAAAAGGAGCGGAAAGAAAAAAGCCGGTCCCAACGACTTAATTTGGCCCAAGCCTCTCTCTCCTCTCCGCTGTGAGGATCGCCAATGGAAACCCTGGCTTACCATTGCCCTACCTAATTCTTGAGCAGGCTTTGGTTTTCGATTATCTCACTCGCTAAGACCGACAAGATCCTGGGGGCTCTGAAGTGCATACAGACAGACCTACGTGACAATATTCGGATCTTCGGTGGTATTCTGTCTACATACCTACCTGCCTACATACACACCTACCGACCGACATGCCTACATATACGCACAAGGCCGCATATGGATTTAATACAGGCAAACGAAAGAATTCACATCCATCACGTGGGAATAAGAGTGGGTAACCCTGGAGTGGGTAGGCCAATCTGTACCAGACTCACGAATCCCTCCCTGTGTCACCAGCTCCGAGCGACTGGATCAATCTCCCGGGAACAAGCTTGGCTGGACCTACCGAGCGCTGGGAAACTGAGGGGCTCGTTACGGGCTTGGGTGCTACCCTACGGGGACGTTCTGCCGTGAGTAAGTGTGTGTGTGTACATACACACATACACCCACGCGTATGGTACAGCATCTGGGATCCCTTTTTTTTTTTTTTTTTTTTTTAAATTCCTCCTTTTTTTTGGAGGCTGGAATTGGCGTTTGCGGTTCACGGTTGCGTCCCTTTTCGTTGGCAGGGCTCCCCCCGTCGAAGCCAAGAAATATGCTAGTTATCCCTTTCTCTCTTCACAATTCCCCAGCGTGCGGGACCACAGCCAAACAACGCGACGAAAGCCGCCAGCCTCTCCTTGCTGGCCCCCCTCTCGGGCCCGGCAAGTATCATGCAGAAGTGAGGCGAGGGTGCCTTACCATTCGGGCGGAAACGTTCCTACACGTTGTCCACACCTGCAGCTGCTGGGAAATCAGTAGGCATACATAAACATGTCTATATATGTATATGTATAAGCCCAGGGGGAAGGGGAAGAGGGGCGCAAGGGTGCGCACGCCCGCTGGACCCCGGAGGTTTAGCCGTACTCGGGTCTCCTTTACCCAGAATGTCGGTAAGGTAAGACGACATCGTGGTTTCGCCAAGCCAACAGCCGTTTCTTTTTTCTCTTCCCCTTCTCTTCCCTTCAGTCTGCCGTGGATGCTTTGCTGGGTCTTATTGGGGAGGGAGTTTTTCGGTTTAGTCCTTGCTAGCTCGGCTATCGACATAGCTAGCCAGCTAGCCGGGAGGCCGGCGGTGCCAGCTGGATGGGATGCCATGGAATGGGGTGGTTCCCCCCCCCCCCATCCCTCTCCTTCCCCCATCCCTCTCATGCGTCGCATGGCACCGAGGTATGAAGGGCAGAAAAATATATCCCGGGGTGCATAGATGCGTCCGTATGTATGTGCCCCATCCTCCCCTCTTCCTTTCGGCCCATCCCATCAAACCCCTGGCTGGTGCTGTCTATCTGCATGGTCCCGCGTCTCTGGTTTCCCACTGTCTTTCTGCCTCTCCCTCCCCTCCCCCCTCCTGGACCGCCCCTTTCCCTCTCCCCCGGGCGGCTTCGGAGAACACGCAGGCTTACACTTACACTCACAATTACACATACACTCGTACGAGCGCACAGGCACAACGCACGCAAACACACGACAAACAAAGAAGCAGATATGGATACGCGTCTGCCTACATCGCGAGACGAGACGAGAAGGCTCTGGCCTACATCGAGGTCCTCACTCGGCATCTGGTCCCATCTGCCGAGGAAAGGGAGCGGCAGCATGCATGCAGAGAATACGGCGCTATATCGTGCAGACTGACCTGATCTGCTGGCCTGACCTGACCTGCCGCAACCTAGGCTAGGCATACTACGTAGTGCCCAAGTGCTACCGCCGCGGCCGATCCTACATATGAGTAGCTGGCACCTTGCGTATGCAGCGTGTAGTGGTGAGACAGCGTGGGCGATGTCAGGCATGTACAGGTACGGACGTATGTATGTATGGTTGTATGGATGTGCACACATACCTACGTGTGCGCGTGTGTATGTATGCGTGCGCGTAGGCGTTGGGCATGATGCAAACATGCAAAATGAGCTGTTCATGTCGAGTTTCTCTTTTCACCCATCCCCTCCCCTCTGTCTTTCCGCTCTTATCCCTCTCCCTCGTTAGGGATTGCTAGGGAGATGAGACGAGACGAGATTCGGCATTTTTTCTGATAGGTCAAATTGCGGGCTCTATTTCTCGTGGCTATATCCGTCTAATAGTGTTTTCTCTATCCATTTTTCGTACTCGCGTTATATCTCTCATCTACGCCCTTCTTCCCCCCCCCTCCCCCCAAACTGCCAACCGCCAACCCCCTTTTCCTCTGACCATACCCGCCTTCTTACTGCGTCTGACGGCGGCCGCTAACGTCTGCCCTAGCCACTGCTACCACTATTCCCACGCCCGCGGTTTGAGCCGGCGGCCCTTTGGCCGGCGGCCGGGCGGAGAGGAGGGGAGCAAACCGGGTCAACGCACACCTACGTGCCTGCAACATCTCACCCTCCGCCCAGCCCCTTTTCTCTCTCTCGGTGTGCCTGGGGGCGGTCACTGGTCCCTGGCCAGGCAGACGGTACCCGCTGGGCGCAATTGGGCACACGGGGCTAAGACGGATATGATATACGGCACGATGCGATGCGATGCGACGCATGGTGATGCAGGTGGCATGGTGGGTTGCGTGCGTGCGTGTGTCTCGTCGGTCTGTCTCGTCTGTCTGCGTTCGTGTGGGCGCCGAGGGGCGGGTACCCTGGAACAGGTTATGCGGAGGCTACGATGCGCGGTCCGGCGAGGCGAGGCGAGGCAAGGCAAGGCAAGGCAAGGCAAACCAAGCACGGCTGTGGATGCGTGGATATAGGTATGCTGTTGTATGCATCGTCGTAACGCGTGGCTATACCGGCCGGTGCGTGCGCATATGGGCGAAGGCCAGGCAGGCAGGTAGGCAGATATTATAGGGGGGAGGAGGCCCCGACGGCGTGTCCCTCGGACCAGGCCCAATGGCGGGCCGCGTCCGCGTCCTCTCGGTCGGGGCTCTACTTTTCTTCGATTTTTGACGTGGCTGACCCTAGCCGGGTTTCCTGCCAGGGCTTGCAGGGGACGGTATTAGGTACTGGCCGAGCACGTACCACATATATGAACAGTGCCTTGGGAGGTACTGCGCAACTAATACCTAGTACATACCTACCTCCGAACGGAGGTCGGGACGTGGGCGAGGCGCCTAGATCCAGTAGGGGCAGGTGGCGTCTACAAGCACCTATATAGGCAAGGTTGCCAACGCGAAGTGCCCGACCTGCCTATATATTCGTCGGTAGGACAGGCCTTGGGAGGTCCCTACGTAGGCAGGCTGGTCCCTAAGACGCAGAGCCCATGCGTGCATACCTACCACGTACCGGATGTAGGTAGTAAGAGATGGTCGGTTCTATAGTATAGGTATACCTACCTCTACCTAGGTCCCTACCCATAGGCCGGCACGGAGAGGTATAGTAGGCAGGCCAGGCTTAGCGTCGGTTGGGTTAGGGATCTCCCTCCCTACCCCCTGCCGTGTCCTCTCCCCCGGCCCCCAGGTACCTGCACGATACATTCGATACATGCCCGTAAGTGCACGCGGTACCTAACCTTGGGTCCCTATCTCCCCTCCTCTCCTCCTCTCCTCCTCTCTCTCTCTCTCTCTCACGTACCGTCGGCGATACAGGTGCCCGGTCCGTTAGGTACCCCCATGTACCTAATGTACGTACACACACGCCCACTTGTACCTAGATTGCGTTCCAGTTGTGACCTGTCACATATCGCCTGTCACATTTCTTCCCTTCCCGTTGGGTCGCCGGCGTCTTGTCTTCTCGCTATCCTATTTTCCCTATACGACTACCGACCTGTGTAGGTGCGTAGGTGGTAGCCAGCCAGGCATTATAGGCCGCATCCGGTATTTGCTCTGCTTTTGCTATACCGACCTACCCTCCTCCCATTGCTACCTACCCTCCTCCTCCGCCTCGTTTAAAGTTTGGTTGCGATGCTACCCTGCTATGTATAATACCGTCTGCTAACCACCTCCTAACCTCCTAGCCTGCCTCTACTACTCGTGTCCTTACGATGCGCGAGGTAGGCATGTGCGTGTGTGTGTGCACGCACACGCGTGCGTACAGGAGATGCGGACTTGCTGAGACCGGCTGCCTATAGGTAGGTAATATGCATAGGCACCCCAGCCTGCCTTACTCGTTTCCTCTCCTCCTCCTCCTCCTCCTCCTCCTCGTCTCTTCTCTGCTTCTCCTCCTCGTCTTCGGCCCCCCTCTCCCCCTCTCGGCCCCCCTTGTCGGCTGCCTCTGCGTACTACCCCATCCCCGTTTCCCCGTTCCCTGGGATGGATTGAGCAGAAGCGAGGTATATAATCCCTATGTACGTACGTACGTATGTATGTAAACGTGGGAAGTGCCCGAGCGACCAGGTTAGCGGACGGGGCAAATCTAGTCGCGATCTCGTATTGCTATATGTGCCTACCTACCTATCTACTTTCTGCTGTAGGGTATAGAACCCATTACCACTATCGTCGCTCGGCTACGGCTACTACCACCACTACCACTGCTACTGCTACTGCTACTGCTACTACTACTACTAACATCTACTACTAGCACAACTACCGTAGCCAGCTCGCAACTCGGAACAGGTGTGTTACCTGGGTGGGTTGGCAACCTGTTGGGCGGGCGACCCAGGTAACATGTGCGCCTATATGCAGTATAGGTAAGTGAGGGTATTATAATATTAGTTGTGAATACATAGAAAAACAGAGAGATCAGGCATATAAACCCACAACACCATACCCGTCATACCAAAAGTAATAGGTATACCTATATATACTGACCATCCGGAATGGGTAAATGCGACGACGCAAGGTGTAGAAGTATATAGAAGCACCTAATAATCTATGCGGGTAGGAATTATTACTAAGTAACATACATAATACCAAACATGTCGATGCGTGTATGAGCTGTGTAGGCGTATGGAGGAGGAGGACGCATGAATGTAGGCGAACATGCGGCAGATATACTACGTAGCATGACCTGGCCAGGCAGGCAATAGTATATGCATATTATCATGAATGTGCATTGTGACTTGGAGGTGCGTAGTAAATAAGCGAATACACATCGAACCAGCTCCCCTTTTTTTCTTTCTTTCTTTCTTTCTGGGTGTTTACCTGGAGGTATGCCTCCTCCTCTCCTCCCCTCTCCTCCCCTTCTCTCTCCCTCCCTCCCTTCCCCCCTCTCTCTCTCACCACACACTCACATCTCCCTCCTTTTTCCCTCTTCCCGCTTCGAGCAAGTCCTCCCCGACCGACCGACCAACCAGACGGAGCTGAACTTGCTGAGCCTCGCCGTAGCGATAATATCCCACATCCCACCTCCCACCTCCCCGTCGGCCGTGTAAGATTGCTGCTGCTGCTGCTGCTGCGGTAGCCACACTACTACTACTACCTACCAACCACTACTACTACTGCCAGTACCACCGCCGTTTTCGCCCTTTTCAGCTCCCCTCTGCCTCGCCAACGGCCGGTCCTACCCTGCTCTCCCTCGCCCCAAACCTAGCGCGACGGCTATATACCTCCTACCTACCCACCTACCTACCTACAGAGACCTGCATGGCGAGCGAGCGAGCGAGCGAACGGCACGCCGCCCGAGGTAAGCGTTGCAAGCAGTAATCACCTAGGCGCATGTCGGCCAGCCCACACACACACCCACCTACCTACCTACCTACCTACCTACCTACCTACCTACCTACCTAATCTATAACGCACGCCCATCCGCCCCGACGGTACCATCGCGCGGCGCTCCCTTGTGGCCTTCTCCCCCCCCCCCCCCCTTTTTTTTTTACACGCCGGGGAGCGCGAGGGGGCGGGCCCGCAACCGCCCGATTGGTACGGACGGTCGAGCGTTAGTTACACCGCAGGTCAGGTCGACGAAGGGGAGGGTAGGTGGGTAGGTAGCATAGCGAAGGCGGACCGCCGCCACCGCCGCCGCAGCAGCGTCAGCGTCCGACACGCCGGACGGGGAATTGGACTGGGGAGGAGGAGGGGGGGGTGAGGGTGAGGGTAAGCCGGCGAAGTGGCCACCTGCGGTGCTACGCGGCGTGGGTGGTATAGGTAGCAGCAGGCAGGGTTCGTCGGTTGCGGTAGGATGGGAGCGGTCGGGGGAGGGGAGGAGTGTGGCCCAGGGGCGTGGATGGGATGGGATGGGAACGCCGTCGCAGAGGACCCCCCCCCCCCCCCGTCGCCCGCTCGACGCGACGGCCATTGGCTCCCTGGGAAGCCGCCGCGGCGCGGAGGAACACGCGCGCTCGCAAGGAAAAGTCGCCGACTGAGACGGCGGCACGGAAGACGACGCTGCTGCGGATCAGACTCGTGCTACGCATGCCTGCCTGCCTGCCTGCGCACGCAGACGTGTGTGTATACCTCCTATATGTCTGTCTATATATATATATATCTGTGTATGTGTGGGTGGTTGGCTGCTCGACCGGTGTATATATAGACACACACATACTTGCTCATGCTTCGTATATGCAGTCGCATAGCGAGGTGTGCGGCTGGACAGGTAGATAGATAGACAGATACCTACCTGGACCGACCGACCGACCGACCGACACACTAGGCCGGGCCAAGCGACCCAGCAACCAGCCGCGTCCACGATGCCTTCCCCTCCCTCCCTCCTCCTCCTCCTCCTCTCTCTGTCCCCCTTCTTCCTCCACGCAGCAGACGCCTACGCTCTCTCGCCTGCCCTCGCGGCTCAACTCTCCGCGGTCAAGCCGCGCCGGCAGATATAAGTCTCCGAGCCCGTCCCGACGGGAATAGCCCCCATCCTGCCCAACCCCCCTCTACCACCGAGAGAAAAGGCCCTCTCGCCTCCCCTTATAGGTACGCTAGACCCCCCCCACCGGGTCGAGGAATCTGCGGCTCCGCGACGCATTAGGTTACCGCGCGCCTCTTCCTCCCTCCCTCCCCATTCCCTCTGCGTCCCCCGCTTCCCCCCCCCCCCCCCCCCCTCCTCTGCAATCTAGCTCTACCTTACCCCTCCCCGCCCGTCCGCCTGGGACGGGCGCGATCGCGAGAGCCTCCTCTGCTGCGTGTATGCGGCAGGCGGGCACGGAGGGAGGGAGGCGCGTGGACGAGCACTCACGATCCCAGCGCCAGACACAGATGTAGAAAGAGACAGAAAGCGGAGTTGGGAAGGGGGGGAGAGGCTCAGCGGCAGCCGCCTCGCGAACATTGCATGTTACCGCGCATCGCACGGCGCGCAGGGGGAAAGCCAGCCGAGGGAAGCAAATCAATTAATTACTCGGCTTCGCCAGAAGACGCGTAGTGCGGCCCCCCTCGTAGATCCATCGTCTCTTCTCGACCCCCCCCCCCCCCCCCCTCCTTCCTCTATCCTGCTAGCAGGTAGCCCTGATCGCAGTAGCAGCGGTAATATTCTATCTTCGTGCCGTAACCGTCTATATGCCGCCCCGCGCACCAACCACGACCCAACACGCCCCTCTCCCCCCCCCCTTCCTTGTCGCGTCGTGTCGTGCCATGCTGTATCCTGGTTAGGCCGTACCGTCGCCGCAATTCCTCCCTTGCATCGTACAACGCGCTCGCGAGCAGTAGTGGCCGGACACGGCATCGTCTTCCCGGGTGTGGGAGGGGGAGGGGGGAGAGGGGATAAGATTGTGTGTGTCGGTGTGTATGCGGGTCATGTGATCCCCGTGCTCTGTCTCCCCCTTATTCGCGAATGCCTTACCCTGCCTCGTCCGCTTCTTCTATTCGTTCCTCTTCGTCTTCTTTTTCTTCTTCCCTGTTGCGGCTCTGTGATCCGCCGAGTTGCCGGGGCCGATATCTGCATGTACATAAATCTAGACAAGGCTTTTCCACCTCCCTCCTGTGTCTCCGCCCCCCTTTTTATCACCCCGCTTTTAGCACCACGTAAACACCGGGTTCCGGCTCTTGACCGTCTCGAGCCTCTCCACGATCACCTTGCGCCTGTTGCCGTCCATCGTCTCCGCCGCGGCGTACCCTAGATCGCCGTCCATGTCATCGTCGTCCTCGCCGTAGCTGTAGCCGTTTCCGTAGAGCCTCCCGGCGATCGAGTTGCTCTGCCGCGACGCGTTCGCCGTTGCGAGCGAGTACCGACGCTCTTTCCCCGGCAAGTACAAATTCAGCTGAGGCCGCGGCGGCCCCTGGTAGCTGGACCTCGGGGCGCGGTTCGACTTCGTCCCGTGGGCGTGATCCGAGTCGGCCGCGGTAAGAGTGTCGAACGGATTCTGCGCCGTGCCGTTCAATGGAAAGCTAGCCGGGATAGGTTCGACCATGTCTGGCGACTGCCCGCGGGGGCTCGCGAGTTCGAAGCGGCCGGGGTGCGGCAGGGGACTGGAGAATCCGAGTAGGTCGTCTACGTTGTGAGCGGGCGCCGTAGACGAGTTAGCGGCGCCGATATCCATCTCTTCCTCGATCGTACTGTGCAGAGCGAGTTCCGCCTTTCGACGCATCTCGTTCGACGTCGCGCGCATAGGCACGGCAACGGGGACTTCGACTAGGTCATCCCACACGCACACCCTCGCGCGCCGTGTGAGTTCGAGAGGGCCGTGGTCCGGCGTCTTCAGCGTCTCGACCACGTTCCAGGCCTGGCCCTTCATCACCGCCATCTGGCGAGAAAACATCTTCTCCTGGAAATCTGGGTCGAGTTGGAAGACCTTACGGAGCTCCAGCGAAGTCTGGCTCCACCACTGCGTGGAAGTGAGGAGAGGTAGGAAATGATCTCGAGTCTTCTGGGAGAAAGGCCGGCCGATGAGATCCACAGGTAGGAAGAGCCAGCCAAAAGGAAAACTGTTGGTGGTGAGCTTAACTCGTCAGAGGTCGATGGATCAAGGGAGGCATATAAATAAATACCTTCTCCACGCGTCTGGGTGCTTCCAAGGCCACGACAACGAATTATCGATCGCACCGAGGGATATTTTGGCGTCGGGAACCTTGACGGTACCGTCGGCGTTCATAGGCTTCTGGGGCCGGTAAGGGTGCGGGTTAGAGCTTCTAGATTTGCTCCTCGGCAATTCGACCGGTCTCGCGGGTCGCTCGTCTTCGTCCTCCTCGGGGAGTTCCATGTTGAGTTGCGGAGGCTCGGAGGCAATCGAGACCTCTTGCGTCCGCCAATCAACCTTGACCATCCAATTGTCGAGACCTCTATCCGTGTTCCGCATGATGTAATCCAGGATCACAAGCTTCTCCAGCTCCTCGCGGAACGACTGCTTCAGAGACTCGGTCCACCTGAAATTATCCGGACCCAGAGGCTGTAGCTCGGGGGCGTTGCGTTCATCATCACTCTCAAGGTCATTATCGCGAGCGGCTCTGCTAGACGGCCGGCAGCTGTCGGCCCACTTCCTCCTCCTATGCCGATGCGTATCCCCTGTGCGGAAGCCGGTCCAATACTGGTCCGGCCAGGGATGTTCTCTCAGGAACACGTTCGCATCCTTGAAGCCTTTGAGGAAAACTTGAAAACTGCCCGGCTTGGAGGGAAGGGGCTTTTTCTTCCGGTAGAAATTCCGGCGGTCCCAATACGGATAATGGAACGACTTGGACGACAGGTAGACCACGTCGGTGTAAGGGACGACGTGGGTGCGCAATTGGCAGTCGAGAACGTAGGCGGCTGCTTCGCTCACGTACGAGAGATTGGGAATCAGGCTGAGGATAAGTCAGAATCTTTGCCTTCCTTCTCCCGCGCGGGGTCCTAGCTCACCATGCACGGCCGAAGCAGCAGGGGAAGAGATTCCGATGAATCCACTTGTTCCACTTCGGGTTTCCAGCTGCATAGGGCTCCTCGTCCTTAGGCTTGAATACGCCGACGATCTTACCGTCGGTATTCCGCGCGAAATAGCTTCCGGAGCTGCCTTGGGTGATTAAGCTGGGGTGCATGCCCTGGTCGATGGCGACGCGCACGCTGTCTACTATAGCATCGAATTCGGCCTTGGACATGGCGGGTTCGGGCATGGCGGCGAGAGTCTCGGTAGTGGCGGGCCGCACACCTTCGGGAGGCTGGAAGACGCTGTAATGGATCTCGAGGCGTTCCTCCTCGCCGGGCCCCTTTCCTTTCCCTCTCTTGAATTTCGAAGCAATCTCATCCGCCCATCGCTCCAGACGCGCGTTGATGGCCTTGAGGTCGACCCCGGAATTGCTTCTCTTCCGCTTCGAACGGTACTTGGGCTTGGGGACGGGTTTCGGCGAGGTCATGCCCGAGTGAGGTCGGGGTTGGGTTACGGACGTAAAGCGAGGAGCGGACTGCGGTTGGAGGGAGGCGAAACTCTGGCCGAGGATGTCGTCGTCGGATTCATCGCTGAATTGGTCGACCTGGGCCAGGCGTTCATAGCCCGTCGTTGCCGGCCGGCTTCGGGGGGGCATTCTGGCGGAAGTGGTTTGAGATGTAGAGGCTCAATTATCTCGAGTATGGAAACGATACTTGCATTCGGTCACCACGGCTGGATCCAGCACTGCGATAACGGTGTGCTTGGACCTGCCCCTATTTCGTATTAGAAAGCCGGTCAACAGTTCACATGTAGCTCCTAACACGAGACGCAGAGACACAGAGGCAGGGAAACAGGGAAATCGAAGAGGGAGTGGAGAAGGACGGTGAGCGAAGCCGGTCGCCCAAAGCAGAAATTGAGAGATGGTATATTGGTGGATTGCACGTCGACGGACGGGATGGTCTGGATGGATGGTCTGGGCTTGAGGATGTCGAAACACGTCACGTCAATGAACGGTACTAAATGTAGACACAGTACCTAGGTACATAAGGTAACCTACCCGAGGCATCCTTACGTAAGTATGTGGAACTCAGGGTGTTGGGCCATCGGCTTATGTAATACGCGTCGGGCCAACTTAGGTAATTAGGTATATTATTAGGCGGCAGGTTAACTTAGGTGCTATCCACTTTAGGTGCAAGACTCCTCTTGGGCCGCTGTGATTGGCGATTCTCTCCTCTCCACAAGCTTGCATAGGTAGACATGCATTATCCGCTCCCAGTTGCCTGCTTGTGAAATATTATGGTAGGGGGGGTGGTCTCGTTCTACGTGTACATAGTACGCTTCTGTGCTTCTACGCGCACTGAAGCTATCTTTATATCGGTCATGACGAAGGCATTTGCGAAGTCACTGAGGGATATGAACTGCCTTACGAGACAAACAGAAAAATACCTTTTTCAAGAATCATAAATAATAGAGAGAAAGAGAGAGAGAGAGAGAGAGAGAAAAGAGAGCCAGAAAAGTGATGACATTACTCAATCCAGGGACCTGCTATACACGTAGTGCTAAGGTTAGTGCCAAGGCCCACCCGAGGATGGCCGATCCAAGGCAGAGACGGATCAGGTTTCTATCTAATCGACCCCGCCCTGTCGGAGGCTTCCGCCGGTCTTGAGTGAGGCCAGTTCGCCATCCGTATCTATTCACTGCATAGGCAGATCTTATATGTGTAGCCAGTCCGTCGATGGACACCTGTGCCATGTTTATTTATCTCCTGCGGAACGCTCGTCGTGTACGCACCGCTCGACTGCCTCGCGAAATCAAGTCCTCGAATCACACAGATAGCCGTCTACCAGATCACCATCCATCGCTCCAATAGAGCTTCCATCACGCGATCCCCTACATAACCCCAATCCGCTTTGCATTGCAGTAGGCTGGCCTACCCGAGTCATATGCAGCTAGCGTAGCGCCGGCCCTCGCACACCTGTCGAACCATCGGGGTACGATATCCGTTATAACCTGAGCCGGGAACCTGCCCGCCTCAACCAAGGTTATCGTGGTGCCCTGGTAGCCTCGACAAGCAGGGAGACGGGCCGGCGGCTTACCCTTAGGCCGAGCGCGTGCGCGTGCGAGAGCTTTTGTTGTGCTCATCCGATCCCAAACACGGTTTCTCTGCTTCCATAAATGCCTGACGTCGGTCGCCCCGACTGGAATAGCCAATCGTATCGAGCTCGTCAGTCTAGTGAGACGCCGGTCCATAACGGTTTGATTGGGAGACCACAGGGATGAACGTTGATCTCAACACTACTACCACCACTTGGCTCCAGCGGCTTGGACTAGCAAGTGCCGTTGATCTCTCACCCTCTCCGCCTCTGGTCTACGAATTCTTAGGGCGTTTCTCTTGGCTGTTCCGAGTCAATGTGACAAGGGTCGACACCAGATCATCTCGTACTGCTCAAGATATATTTCTATCCGCCTGCTACCATCCCTCCCGTTGATGCCTGCACCTCTACAGGACTCGGCAGACCTGGAAGGTGCTGATTGAGACGGCGACCTCGATTTGTCCCCTCGACTCTCCTCTATTTAATACGCTCTACGACTTGTATGCATCTCACCTATAGGCATACCTCACTACTGTCTGCCGTCTTGGCCCGTCTCTGCCGAGTAAAGTGACGATACTCGATGAAGGGGTCCGGGAAACTACGTCCTCAGCAGCTATCCACAAGCCTCGAAATGGCTACTCAAGCGACAGCCAACGAGAGCATCCTCGACGTCGCTATCACGGCATTCTCCTCGCCCGAACCTGATAGCCAACGAGGGCGGAAACGACGCCGCAACACGCCGGATGCTGCTCTAGCCATTGCTGCCGCTCGGATTCGTTCTACCGAATCGTCTACCCTCCGGGGGCGTTGTCGGAATCGATCCACATCGAGGGTTGACGCGTCGAGAAACACATCGCGCCTCGGCCGTTGTTCACTGTCGCCAAACCGCAGGAAAGTGTTTCGTGTCGTCCAATTGAATCGCCGTCGCAGCCAATCGCCGTCGCGGTCTCGTTCTCCAAACGCCCAAGATTCGTCGAAGCGGAGGCGACAAAGAACACGGAGCCGAAGCCGAAGCCACAATAGCGAGACTACAAAGGTTGGGGAGGCTATTGTGGCCTCCTTGCTTCGCCACGAGATTGTAGTTAGGGGTGGCACCTCGCCATCTCGCTCGAAGCTGAAAGGATGAGGTGGCCTACCGATCGGTCGTCTGGAGGCGAACGGGAGGGGTACGAGAACCCCGAGGCGACGCGGCATCAGCATCCCTCTGCGCTCACGACGTGGCATGACTGCTGTTTTCGTCTTCGTCGCCTGTCAACGCAGGCACAACCAAAATTATCAACACCGCACGACCTTGCACGAGACCAGTTCAACGTAGTTACAATATTGCAATTCTTTTTTTTTTCTTCTTTTTTCTTCGCTCTCCCCCCTTCTCTCGTTTCCCTGCACGGACATCGTGGCGTGCTCGGAGGGGGGGGAACTGGTGGCTGACTGGCTGGATGCTTGGGAAGTTGGAGAAGGGCGGGGAAAACGGTCGGGTGGGGCACGGGTTAGGAAAGGACAAGGAAAACGGACGAAACAAAGGAAAACGAATCATTCATGTGTGGAGTACTGTACTATTTGTATGATTAAGGCGACGCGGTATCGAGGCAAAAGCCGCAGACGACGAGGAAACGTGGAAAACAGCAAGGGTGGTCAACTTGGGGACGGGTTAATAATGATGGGCTTATGCCAGGCAGCTTCAACGTAGCCGGGTTAGGAGGTACCTACGTTGGCAGATGATTCAGATTGGGCTACCTACCGATATAATACATGTTGTCCTAGATTCAGCCGGTGTTTGCAAGGTTGCCAAGCAGCCCGGACTGTAGAGGCTGAGGCTAGATACCTAGACCGAGAACGTGACAGAGGTTATTATTGTATAATCATGTATACATTGCATGGACGGATCTATGAGTAAACGTGCTAAGCAACCTAACCTTCCGGCCACACCCAACGTTGGTAGATCTTACATCCAGTCAGGCTTGGGCGGGTGCCAAGAGACCCCACGCCGGGCGATGCCTGCAGGCCCTTCTCAGATCTGCGGGGCACGTGGCCATTGGGGAGCACAGCACCGTGCAAGAGGTGGGTGTCTGTACCGCTGGTCAGCAGACCAATCAAGCATTTTTTGCCGTCGCCTCTGATTTGTGACGCATCAGGGAAGGGTAGGGAGGGTTGAAGGGGGGGGGGAGTTGTATTGGCGTCGCCGATACTATACGCTGATGCTATACGCGTATGCTAGGTATACGGTAACGCTATACGCCAACATTATGCGGAGGTAGGTGACTAAGAGGAGCAAGAGAATGGAGGCAAGGAGGGGTAGTCTTATTGCACATGACACCAGTATCAGTACCCGTCCTGGATGCCCTCTTAGGTACCTAGGTACTTATAGGCACCTACGGGCAGGCAAGCATGTTGCTGGTTGCCGTGACTTCTCAGTATATACCTAGTATATGTTAAGTAGGTACCTTAGGTACTGACTTAGGTTGGGAGGGGGGGAGGTACCTGGCTGGGTACCCACCTAAGGTGCGAGAGAGGTTAGGAGGTGGTGGGGACGGTACACACGGGGCAGGCAGAGGCGGTAGTACATCGAGACAGGTACCTACCTCCTAGGTAGGCTAGGCTACCGGTCAGGTACTTGGGATGCCCTTACGTACCTTGTATACCCGCCGAGGCTGGTACACGCATGGCCCGCGTGCCCAAGCAAGGCGCCCTGCGTACCGAGCGCAGCGCATGTACTACGTAGCATGTACTACCCAAGTAGACTGCAGAGATGCTTACCTGCCATCCACTGCGAGGGCTGCGTAAACACCCACCTAAAACAACAACCCGCCCACCGCCGAGACAGCCCCAGCCCAGCCCACCTCCCATCTAATCCCATCCACCACGCGAATTTTCAGAAGCTCCAGTCGATAGTGATGGCATCCCATCCAACCCATCCTACCCACTCACAACCTCCATCTCACCCTACCTACCTTACCTACATGGTACTTGGCGTTGTCCTCGTGATGAGCGTGACAAGTTCTGATTGAGTTCGTTCCATTCCCGTCCGCATTTTCTGTTTCTCGAAATCTCGACGTCTTGTTTTCCTGCCTTGAGCATTGCCTGCCTTGCCTGCCTGCCTGAACCCGACGCTTTATCAACGGGGCGCCCTCCCGACACCCTCCCCTCCGTCACCAACGCTTCGTCTTCCCTCGGCAACCATCCAGAGCCTTGCCGATGCCCACCACCACCAACACCATCTTCGCTGCCAACACTGCGATCGCCGCCGCCGCCGCCGCCGCCACGCCTACCGCGACAATCTCACCTTCCTCGTGCTCCTCCCCCTCTCCCACCGCCGATACCCCCTTCGAACACGCGCCTTTCTTTGTCATGAACCCTCGAGTGTCCTGCCCGGCATTGTGAAGGACGACAGGTCTGCATGCAGCCGTGCATGGTCTGTGGTGAAAGGAAGGAAGAAGGGCAGGCAACATGGCCTCAAACAACCGCGCGCAGGGTAACGACTTTCCTATTCCTCCTTCTTCCTATCCTCTCCCTCTTCTCCCTGGCAACCCTCGCCCGGAAACCCTAACAGCTGGACATGATGCCGATGCAACCTACAACGTCGCACCTACAGAAATCTGTAATGATGGTGCTGACATCTCGGCCTCGGACCCAGGCTCCGTGCAAAATGGAACCTCGGGGTTCAACCTGAATCCGGCCCTTCTGCTCAATCCCAGAAGCTACGCCGCCTCGCCTCAACCTGCCGGACCAAACACCATCACCAGGCCCGCCAACAGACCCAGCAAGCCAGCCGAGGTCGAGTTCCAGTTCCCTAACCCTCACGACAGTTATACCAGCACGAACAGCCAGCCGGCTCGTGCCAATGGTCATGCTGCGCCTCACTTCAGCGGCTTTGGCGATATGATCGATCGCATAAACCATGTTGAGCAGCGAACGCTGGTTCCTCAATCGAAACGCCGTAAACTCGAGACCGAAGACTCTGAACCGAAACGTGCGTTTGGCGCCAACGGTGGTGGCCTCGTCGGCCAGTATGTCAGGGAAAAGCGAGGGGAAGCCTCCAATCACCAAGTCCCGACACAACCTGTCGAGGCCGTCGACCTGACTGATGCTAGTGAGTCTTGATTTCCTGGCTGGGCCCAGACGCATCTCTAACATCGAGTAGCGGAAGAAAACGATCTCGTCGTGGTACAGGCGCCAAAGGAGGAAGAGGTCTGCTATGGCATGATCCAGCACGCGAGGCTGAATTGCCATATCGTCCCGAGCCCCAAACCTGGCGCCATAGCGCTGATGCCGTCTTGGTGGCCGCAGGTCAAAATTGTGCTCAGGAGAAAGCATGGGGAGCCGTCTTTCGCTATCCATGCTTACGATTTTACGCGCGAGATAGTTGGAACCGTCGACCCCGACACGTCATCCGGCCTCGCCCCGCTACTAGACTCCCGCTTGCAGCTCAGGACGGACTGTAGAATACCCACGAGACAGAGGAACCCCGGAGAGGAGATTGGCAAGGAAACATCTACCAGTTACACCCTTGATCTCATGCTCTACGGCCCTCGCAAGAGCGCTAGAGCCGTGGCGAACCACCTCTCCCAGAAGAACATTTGGCTTCGTAACCCCCCTAGAGTCGATCCCGGTATCAAGTACGAGAATCCTCAGCTTGCAGAGGGACCGAGGCCACCGCCTGTCGTCAAGGATCGATCTAACATGCCGGTGGCCCCTCCGGCTGGTCCGCCCTCGATGATGCGTACTGCCGAAGAAATTCGCTCCGAGGTGATGGGTGTCTTCGATTCCATCACGAAGAACGAGGATCTCCCCGAGATGGAACCTGGTTCTCGAATACAGACGGATTTGTTGAAGCATCAAAAGCAAGGTCTTTTTTTCATGACCAGAAAAGAACGGCCACGCCAGCTGAGTGACGACGGTACGATCACCGACTCCTTCTGGCAGATCCGTACAGGCAATAGCGGACAGAAGGCCTATTATAACGTAATCACCGGTCATTCGCAACGCGAACCACCCCCAGAAACGTTTGGTGGTATCCTCGCCGATATGATGGGTCTGGGGAAGACCCTGAGCATTTTGTCTCTCGTCGTCAGCTCGCTCGACGAAGCGGAGCAATGGTCGAGTCTCCCACCCGTCCAGCCGCAGGCCCCTCCCGCACCAAAGAACGGAAGTACTTCGCAGCAGTTCGATGTGCCTATCCCGCAGCCGTTAGGGTTAACCCGTCTGAGACAGAACGGCAGGGCGACGCTCTTGATATGCCCTCTCAGCACGATCACTAACTGGGAGGAGCAAATCAAAATGCACGTCAAACCTGGCCAGCTCAAGTACTACGTCTACCACGGGTCCAACCGTCTCAAAGACCCCAAGAAGCTTGCCGAATTCGACCTCGTTTTGACGACTTACGGGTCCGTTTCCAGCGAGGTTGGTGCCCGTAAGAAAGGGAGGCAGGGCCCGTATCCCCTCGAGGAAGTGGGTTGGTTCCGTGTGGTTCTCGACGAGGCTCACATGATACGAGAGCAAGCGACGCTGCAATTCAAGGCTATCTGTCGCTTGCAGGCCAACCGTCGATGGGCAGTGACCGGCACCCCCGTGCAGAACAAGCTGGATGACCTTGCCGCACTGCTAGCCTTCCTTCGCCTTAAGCCTTTTGATGAGAAGACTAAGTTCACACAGTATATAACATCGCCGTTCAAAGTGTGCGATCCTGAGATTGTCCCTAAGCTTCGCATCCTCGTTGACAGCATAACGCTAAGGCGATTGAAGGACAAGATTGATCTCCCTCCTCGGACGGATGAGATCGTGAGGCTCAACTTTACTCCTGCCGAGCGCAAACTTTACGACCTGTTCGAAAAGAACGCATCTGATAAGGTCAGAGTTCTGTCAGCAGGGAGAGATACGATGGTCGGCGGCAAGACGTACATCCATATCCTCCAGTCGATCTTGAGGCTTCGTCTCATATCTGCGCATGGTAGAGATCTCCTTAGAGATGAGGATCTAGACGCTGTGCAGGGCATGACCCAGGATTCTGCTATCGACCTCGACAGTGACGAAGAGAACGACACCCCGGTATTGGCGGAGTCGAAACTCTACGGGGTGTTTGAATTGATGCAAGAGACCAACAGCGACTTATGCATCGCGTGTTCACGGAAGATCGGCTCGAACGACGGCGCGGACATCGCGTCTGAGCGCGAAGAGGACATCCTCGGCTACATGACCGCTTGCTTTCACCTTTTCTGCACCAATTGCATTTCGACTTGGGAGGAGGAGGTCGGCAACCATGGCTCAGGGACGTGCCCCGTCTGCCAAAGCCATGTTCGCTTCGGCTACAACGAGATCCGCAAGAGCAAGGCCGAGGTCGAACACGAAGGTCGCAATCAACCGCGCAAGCAAGAAAGCAAGGTTCGAACTAGAGACGGCTATGCCGGTTATTCGGGTCCTCACACGAAAACGCGTGCATTGGTCGAGGACCTCCTGAAGGCGAAGGCCGATAGCGAAGCCCGACCGGACGAACCGCCCTTCAAGTCGGTCGTCTTCTCGGGTTGGACAACCCATCTAGACCTTATCCAGATCGCGCTAGACAATGCGAAAATCGGATACACTCGTCTCGACGGCAAGATGAGCCGCACAGCTAGGACGGCGGCCATGGATAGCTTTCGAGACGATAGCTCGGTGCACGTCATTCTAGTATCGATCATGGCTGGCGGCTTAGGTCTGAACCTGACGTCGGGGAATTACGTATATGTAATGGAGCCCCAGTACAACCCAGCAGCGGAGGCGCAGGCTGTCGACCGTGTGCATCGTCTCGGTCAGACGAGACCGGTGCGCACGGTCAGGTATATCATGCGGGGCAGCATCGAAGAGAAGATGCTCGAGCTCCAAGAGAAGAAGAAGAAGCTGGCGAGTCTCAGCATGGACCGGAATAGAGTCATAGACAAGGCCGAGGCGGCGAAGCAGAAGCTCATGGACTTGCGCAGCCTCTTCAGATGAGAGAGGTTCTGGCCGAGTCGCTTACGGTCTGCGGTTTGCTGGCCTCGTGCTGCGGCATCCTCGGGGGACCGCTCTGCTCTACCGTCGATTTCACAGGCGAGAAAGCTCGCGGTTGGTGGGTTCCGATGAGGAGTTTAGTTGGTTCGTGTTGCATTCGCATGGCGTTTTGAGGGTTAGAGGCCGCCTGTCGAAGGCAGGTCGGCTGGCATTCTTGAAGAGCCAGAGGGGGGTGAAAAGGGCCAACTGCGAATACGACAAGGTCCAGCAACAACAACAAAGATTCAAGACACGCTCTCGCGAGAACGGTATATGGGCCACACCGGGTCAGCCCAGGGTTTGGAGGGAAAGGGGAAACACATTTTCTAGAAGGCAGGGGAAGTGTGGTGACGCGAATATCCCCGTCGTCATCATCCCACGACAACAACGCCTCCTAGAGACGGAGCCGGCTGGTCGTGCAGATGGTTTGACGTTGTGCCGTCATCTCCCCCCTGCGCCTTTCTTCTTCTACACTTGTAAACTTTTTGTACTTCGCGCTCGATACCAAAATTAGGGGTGGGGGGTGTTTCTTGGAGGCGCGAGCTCTGCTCGTTTCGGGGGGTAGGCCTTAGGAGATAACCCGCTGTACCACGCGGCGAGGAATTTACTCATGATTAATGCCATCTCTCTCTGTCTCTCTCTTCGTAAAATCAGGGTCGACTGCCGCAAGTACCTGTAGTACAGGCTACCTAGAGCTAAGGGTCGGTTCGTTACACACATAAGGTAGCTACTTGGGGGCCGCCCGCCATACATCCCTCCCCCCTCCCACCCCCTCGCCGCCCCTATTCCACCGCCGCCGGCGCCTCCTCGGGCAGCCTCCTCGCTCGCTCGCTCGCTCACCCACACGCACGGAGACGTTAGGTGAGCGAGAACGTGCTGCTACCCGCCTGCCCTCGCGCGCCCCGCTAAACCAGGTTGGCCGTGCGGGAGCGACCGCTGGGTAGGTATAACGGTGGCCTCTCGGTGACTACGTGCGTAGCGGACGTGTGAGCTTACCTACCTACCTACCTACTTACCTCCTACGAGGTTAGGAGGTATCATGTAGTATCGTTACTACGTATCTACCTAGGTAGGTAGGTAGTATACCTGCGGGCACATATAGTCTATGGTACCTACCTGATATAAGAGGTAGGCTATATAGGTATATAAAGAGCTACGTAGATCTACGTGGGCATATTCGTACGAGTCAAACCTCCAGCCTCACCTGCTGTGCTATAATAATGGTCTATAGGGGGCGGTGAAGTGCGCCGTACATCCGATGCCTCCTCGGACAATCTCAATTCTTACCATCACAGGCTGGTCTGATATCACGTAGCACCGGCCGCCGCCATCTTGTTTAGGCCGTAACAGGATCAAATTGTCATAACTTCTTTTACCGATCCAGTCCGTTCGGCTTTTTTCGTCATCATTCCCAAACGTCGGAACGCTTAATTTTTTGCGTTCGGTAATGTCTCTGCAAACGCCCCCCCGCCCTTTGCCTTCCCAAATTGATAGGTACTTGAAGTGTGTACCCCTTGTAAAAATGTCCTCTAAACGCCTGAGGACGAGTTGCCCCGATGTATGCTAGGTATAGTTGCGTCGCGCCATTTTGGTCTGCGCACTACAAGAGAAAGGGGCTGTCTCCAGCCAGCGTGCCTCGTGCGGCTACGTGCAACAAGCAGCACCGTGACCGCCCATATTAACCCCACATCCTCTCTCTCCCCATTTTAGGCGGAGAGGAAACGGTGATACTCTAGACCGTCCTCCCGAGCGAATAAACCGCGTTCCGTAACCCCTAACGCGACCAGCCATCCCGATCGTCACCTACAAGCGACGAGCTCATGCCGCATTAGCGCTAGCAAGAGGTTGTGCGATCCTCGTAACCTGATCGCCGGCTCGGACGATGCGCTGGCCAGAAGAGTCCGTTACGTAGGCGCCGTCCTTACTATTCTCCATATGGGCCCGCTTCCAGATCTCAACCTCGCAACCTCCGCGGAGGACGCCGACACGCATGGTAGACAGCAGGTTGTGGGCCGCGTTCGAGTGGTCGTAGACACCGCCGTTGAAGATGGCAGTCGCATCCTTTCCGATGGCGGATGAGATGAGAGCCTTCCCACCGGGGTGGTCCTTGATGAAGTCGGTGACGTCGTGGATGACACCAGCGATAGCGACGAGGCCCTTGCCACTCTTGGCCTCGGCGACGTAATCATCCCAGTCGATGACGGGCAGCTGCTCCAGCGGGATACCCCAGTCGAGCTTGGAGCGCTTCTGGTCGAGCTTCTTCTGCAGCTGCTGGAGACGGCCCTTCTCGATCTCGTTCTTGCGGAATTGCTTCAGGTCGTAGGCGAGGCCGAGCTGCTTCCAGGTCCAGATCGCCCACTTGGTCGGGTCATACTGCCACCACTCGATCGCGTTGCGGTAGTCCGAGGGGAACTCGTGGTGGAAGTTGTGGTAGCCCTCGCCGAGGGTCACGAGAGCGGTGATGACGTGGTCGCGGGGTGAGTTGCGGTCGTCGAAAGGCTGATCGCCGAGCCAGTGGGCAAGAGAGTTGACGCAGAAGGTAGCCTGCTGAATAAAGCAGATCCGGAGAATGCCGGCGTAGATGAACCCGCCCATCCAGTCTCCCCAACCCAGACCGCAGACGAGAATAGGAACTCCGAGGGCCATGGTAATGAGACACTTGAGGAAGTGAGTGTGCTGGAACACGACGACGGGGTCGTCGTTCAGGTCGGAGATGTCAGTTCGTCCGATGCGCTTGGGGTTCTGCTTCATGACCATCCAGCCGATGTGAGAGTACAACAGGCCCTTCCTGACCGAGTAAGGATCTTTCTCGGTGTCAGTGTAGCGGTGGTGAGCTCGGTGGTCTCTCGACCACCAGCGGATGGAGCCCTGAACAGCGGCAGCACCCATGGCAGCCAGATAAATCTTGATAGGGAGCGAGGCCTTGTAGCAGCTGTGAGCCCAGAGTCGGTGGTATCCTACGAGGAAGAAATCGAGTTAGCCGAGACCGTCTCGCACGTCTGCGCGGAGCTTAATACATACCCGCTGTAATACCGAGGCCGGCATTGAAGTAGTAGAAGATGGCAAAGGCGGCAGTCTTGGGATGGAGAGGAGTCCAGTAGGCGGTAATCATGCCGAGCAGGGGCACGAAGATGATGAAGGTTGTGTTAAGCCAGTTAACGTGCTGGTACCAGTTGCCCCAGGTGATGGGGAATTCCGTGATGTGCGGCTTCTTCAAGTCATACTTGCTCGACCGTAGAGGCTTGTAGTCGTTGGTGCCGTCAGGGAAGGCCGGGGCAGCCACAGCCCCGGAGACGTTCGTCGAGGCGGACGCCATGCTGTGCTGGCACGCGGGAGCAAGATGGGGCGTGGGTGTGGTCTCGTCCAGCAACGCCCTCGGGATCGGTAAAAGGGTATGTTATTGGCGAACAACTCGGTGGTGTTGGGAGGAGAAGAGAAGAGGAGAGGAAGGAGAAGCGGTTTGACGGCGGCTCGAGGTATATTATTTATTACCTTTGGGAGGGGATGGAAAGGGTAGATAGGCTAGCGGTAGGTAAGGTGGAAATGGAGGCGGGCTACCCTGGGTCCCTGAGGTGAGGACAAAACGGGTGGGAAATGCAACCCTGCGACTGAGTGGCCAAGGTGGACGGGTGGCGGCAAGGTTACGAGTTTGCTGCAGGCATTCGAGGGCCCCGGACTACAAGAGACTGTTGGTACCAGCGTGTGCTGCCTGTATGGTGCTAGGAATACCCCAACCTGTCCCAAGTTGGCCTATGTTAGGTACCTAGAACGGTCGGAGGCTCGAAAGAGATGGGTTTGCGAGATCTCCAAGCTCTTGTTGGCAGATAGATAATAAAAAAAGGGACTGCCGTCGGAAACGTGCGATGGTCAGTCGATAAATAGAGGTATTTCCCCAACTGTTGTCGAGTCGTAGGCACCCGTCTCTGTTTCGGTCTCTTCGCAAGTCGTGATTAGGGGCCCTATCTGATGGCCTATAGAATTACGAGGGCTGCCCGGAGGTCATAGGGACGCAACGATACGCAGGTGGGCTCTACACAGACCGTGACCGGTCCGGCACGCGGAACCGAGGAGGGAGGACAAGACGAGAGGGCCTCGGGGCGAGCAGGGAGGCGTGTTAGGTAGGTATCCTGTGACCGAATGGCGCTGGATAGGTTGGCGGGAATGGCTGGGGATGGTCAGGGAGGAGAGACGAAGAGGAGGGAGTGGCTAGTATGGGAGTGTCTCTCTGACTGTCTGCCTGTGTGGAGAGAGGTGTGGATGGTGTTTGAGGGAGAAGTGGGTGGGGGGGGGGGGGAGGGGCATCACAACATGGTACCTGCCTCCTCCTACCGTTGCTGCTGCTGTGCAATGCATTGCCGATATGATGTACCCTCGCTAAGCGTTTTGCGTATGTTGATACATCTTACCCGTTTTTTTAAACTTATCTTTTTTTGCGGTTTCCTTCCCCGAACGCTACTTCCTTTTGCACCAGCTTGAAATTTGTTGAATTGTTGGGGAAGTGACGGTTTCAAGGCCGATATGACGTCCGCCAATCAGGGGCGGCGTAATATCAAGGGTATTTCCGTTTCGGGTATTATTAGCCAGCCCACCCGCTCTAAGTCACTCCAAATTGCTCCCAACTCCCAGGCACGGCGCATCGCCACACCTATCTTTTTTTTTCTTTCGAATCAATGCGGATGCGTACGTATGCGGAGATGTGTGCGTACGGAGCTGGTGCATATCTATGCGTGTATGTGTGTGTTGTGCTGTGTTGTGTACCTACCTACGTGTGGTGTTGTGTACGTGTGTGCACATATCTACTCATAGGTACATAGGTAACATGCTTATGTAGGGCCTGGACGTAAGTCAGGGCGAGGTACATGAGCGCATGCATACGTGTTACGACGTAATCCGTGCCTTGGTGAAGTTGCATAACAAGATATGTTGTTTCCGAGCTGCAGGTAGGTACCTCTACGCATTTGCAGCAAGAGGGAGAAGCTACCAAAGCCGTCCAAGCTACCCGCCAGCATCGTGCAAGGGAGCAGCCCGCCCCGGCAGAGAAGACGATAATAGCCCTGCCCGACATATTCTTATTCCGCATACTCTCTCTTCCTGCTTCAAGACGCTGCACGTGGAGGGGATGGCACGGGAAGAGAATACCTACCTACCTACCTCCTGGACAATCCGACGTCTGCTCGGTGGCGGAGGCCACTCCAAAAGCGTCTTGAACGTAAGCCGCCTCAGCCCCTCCCGTAAGGCTATCTGTATACATGGCTCGCCACATAATTTGCGCTGTGGGTGCATGTACCTGCTTTTTTTTGGCCGGTGAGCCGCTTGTTCCGTTCGTCCACGCCCCTCTCCACCTCTCTCCACATCCCGTCAGGTAGCGATCAACCCCAACAAAGAGCTAAGAAAAAAAAAATGCGTCTGGAGAGGGGAAGAAGACTGGAGGTTGGAACCAACCCGAAAACCGGCTGCCGGCCCATTATTAGGATAGGCGCTTCGATAGAGATACCTACCTACGTAAGTAGCATTCCATCAGCTCTCCGGCCATCTCTCTTCCCCTGCACTCAATGCCCTAGGTACCACCGGGACAGACCGCGTCTACTATACACATCACCGAAGCCACCTCTTCGCGCTTATCTAGGTACCTAGGTACCTAATTACATACCCTGCCCCTTCTAGAACCAACCCCCCCCCCCCCCCTTTCGATCGTCAGCTTCGCTCACTCCTCCGATCTTGGCATCTACTTGCCTTTCGAAAGAGCTTGATTAACTCCGCTTCAAGATTGCTAGCACCTCCCAGCCTGAGTCAGACAGGTTGTCATACCACGTCGCCGCCATCATGTAGGTACATGGACCCTCTTAGCCCTATGCCGTGTAATTTTCCCTTCTTTTTTTTTCCCTCTTTGAAGAAGGAAAAGCAAGCGCAATGCCACGAACTACCTACCCATCACCAGGAGAGAGCTCGCTCGGGCGGCCGAGGTACGCCAGGAGCCATCTTCGGCTTAGTCCACGACTTGACCCCGGTTTCGACGCAGATTAGACAATCTGGCTCTAAGACACCTGTGTGTCGAGCATGCAGTATTACTCAGGCGCATGCGTCGTCTACCGATCACTACCCCTTTACTCTCCAGTGGGCAACGGTCGAACTGCCCAAAACAGGAGGCGAGATCGTAAACGAGGTGCGAATACGAAGAAGAAAAAAAAGCCGAGTACCTAATATACCCTCCATACCCACGCCGGCGAACCCTGATGTTATCAGCGTCCCCTGGTGAATCATGACGAGCTGGAGCATGACGTCAATGAGGCCTACATAGCGTCTCCGTGCCTCGCTCTCCACTCTGCAGGTGAATAATAACTACCCGACGATAGAAGAGGCTTCAGTGACGTGCCCGCCGAGTCAGAAGATCTCCCCAATCGGGGTATATTTATTTGCCGTCTCGGAGGTAGTGGACGTCACCACGATCCTCTTAGCTCGATATCCTACTAGTAAGCTCGGTTGTCATCACCAATCGCTTCGTCTGTCCCACGAAACCACCAGTTTCCGATCCCCGCGCGAGGCTGGAAACGCCAACTTTTAGCCAGCAGCGTAACTCAGACAAGCAGGAGATGGAAGAACCATGACTGGAGGCCCGCGGCGTGCTTTGCTTCTAGGGGGCACGGGACGGCACTCTTCAAGGAGCGCTGGGCTTTTCGTTTCGTGCGGAAGAAGGGCCCTGCCTAGTAGAAACCCTCTGCTGCGCGACCCCTAGCCCTTTGCTCGGTTCGATGGGTGATTTCGAGGTGGGAGCGAGAAGTGTCTTGTGGCGGGCGTGGTAGTTGTCTCTCCACGGACTGGGGTGAATTGTGCTCATCCACGAGGCAGACAAAAATCTGCTGGTAGACACCTAGAGATAGGGGTTGGGCGAGAGCTGTCTGCCCGACGCTGTCGAGGACGGCGGCACCGGTCCGGGCCGGAGGAATACGCACTTCCACCTACCTACCTACCTCCTACCTCCTAGACGCATGCGTACGCACATATAAGAGCACCACGTACCAGACCCCGCCTCCTCCCCTAACGCACGAATTCTTCGAGACCTCCTCCGCCCGCCCATCCTACGCCCGCCGTCTCCCCCTCTCTCTCGTTTTTGTTGAGCTTCTCTCTCTCTCTCTCTCTCGCTTTCCTCCCGCTCCACAGCACACCGACGTACCATCATCGAACCACTCGCCCTCCCCCCAACGGACTCGCTAACCACGACGTCACCAGCAACAACCCGCCAAACTCACCCTAACCCCAAATAGTGCCTGCCGGTGTCGAGGTCGAACTGAGGCTGAGTCGAGCCGCAGGCCCCACCTGCGGTTAGATTACCTAGATCCAATAGGTAAGGTAGTAGGTAGCTAGGTAGATAGGCGGGTTGTTTACCACAGGCACCCTTTGCCCAGCTGAGAAACCTCTACGCACATGCCCGGGTGCCGAGGGTATAGGTCAACGGGAGAGGGAGCTTGAAGCTCCCCGAGGCGCTAGGTAAAAAGAGGGTAGGAAGTAAGCAAGAGTGCGCTGGCGGGTGGTGCTGGCGAATGTAGGGAAATCAAGACCCGTTCCGGATACATGTCTCGAATGGCGATACTCGATTCTGCTTATAAATGTGAATTCTCTTTTTTTTTTGGCTCAATTTTTTATGTCTCTATTGAACTTCCCCTTCGATACACTAGCTGCCTAGCGCACCCGTAACCACCGTTGTGGTGGCGGTCGTCGACGTCGTCATTGTCATCATTATTATCAACATCTCCACAACCTCGTCCTCCCCTCCAACATGTCCTATACCCGCCGCCGTTCGTTGTTCGTTCTGTACGCCGATACCGTCCCAGAGAATCCGGAATGCGTTCGCAAATGATGCTTCTAATCCCTACAAGTCCCATTTCCTCGACTCGTCGTGGTGGGAAAAGAGACGCGATATCCCTCCTCGGAAAAAAAAAATCCCCGAGAAAAGCGATCCAATGGTACTCCGATATGCCCAAAAGTCTTCTCCTGGTACGTGTAAATGTGTTTATGTACGCCCTGACTGTATATACACGGGCGGCTTTTCCAACCCCGCAAAAGCCTCGAGGTTTCCAAGCCTTAGGCTCGCGGTGCTGCGTTCGTGGTCGTCAAGAGACCTAGGTCTTCGTCCGAGAAGGTTGCCTGGCGAAATTCCTCCTGTTTCTCGTATGCGGAGCCGATGCCTGTCAAGACGGCTGGTACGTCATGTGATCGAGGCCCCGTTGCTGCTCTCGATAGCGGCGCTCCTGTTGCTCGCGTTGACGTCTTCTCCCTCTCTCCGTCGTGGATGCCGCTATTGGGCAACCCAGCCGTATCGCCGCTTTCCGTCGGTATCCGGATGCCGTATTCGATTCTGAAATCGGCTTGTTTCGGGCGGCCGTCTATAATATCGAATATAGGGCCCTCTAAGGCGCCTTCTTCGCGCAGCGGAGCCGTCGTAGCTGGTTCGCCAGTGGGCGCGACAGCTTCCGTGCCGATGCTAGAAAATGGCAAAGGTGTCTCGATTTCTTCGGCTTCTGTTAGGTATTTGGTCAGCCCAAGTTGCTAAAATGGTCCTTTTTCCCTAGCTTTTACCAGTCACCTGATCGTTTTCCCACTCAAATTGACCCTGCACTGCTCCGGTAGTCTCGGCCGCCTCTCCCGTCTCTATGCCCGCGTGGCCGGCAGGCAGATCCATAACATCGTTTGGCCACATGTCGTACTGTGGATCGTAATGCAAACCATAGTTGCCGTGATCGTCCGGTAGTGACCTGGGCGGAGATCGCCCCCGCGATGGGTAGTAGTGTGATTCATCTAATGGGCTTGGGGACGTAGCAAGCGTGTTGCCGACCATGGTATGCTGTGACCAGGCGTCTCGGGGCTGAACGGTTCGATGGCCATTTGGTTGGTACCCACCTACGGTATATTCTCGGTGAAAGTGTCCGTCGTCAACGGAAATGGAAGCCAGGTCTGGCCCATCATAATCGTCGAGAGGGAGCTTGGGAAACCAAGTAAGTACTTCGGTGGCCTGGCATCTCGCGCGAGGATTCTCGTGCAGGCAACATTCCACTATGCTGCGATACCACTCCGGGATGTTCATTTGGGGGTCTAAACGAAGTGGACGTGGGTGGGCTTCCGGTTCGTCTTGTGATGTCGCGAGCGCCCACAACACCATACCTAGCTGGTAGAGGTCGGATTTTACGCCGATATACATCGAGATCCGCTGGTTGCTGTCGATAAGCGGGGTAGCTTCGGGAGGCTCCCAACCGACCGGGCACCCCCGTCTGTTGATGTCTATTATTTTTGCGTTGTCTTTGTCGTCGATGACGATATTGGAGAGCGTGAGATCGCCCTGCACAAACCCGGCTTCGTGAACGTCCGACAGACCTTGAACGATCTGCCTCGCCCACTTCTCCCGTCGGGCCCACGATAAGGCGCCGCCCTCCTCCTGGGAATCATATATCATATCGATGAGCGTCCCTTTCTCGGCGTAGTTTATGAGCAGCCCCTTGACAAATCTGTCATCGTCGTCAACCACCACGCCGTAGAACTCGATCACGTTTTGGGAGAACCGCAGCGAGTTGAGGGCGTTGACTTCGTAGAGGAACTCGTCCACCGTGTCCGGTCCTGGTATCTCTTTCTTGATAAGCGTTTGCCCAGCTACGCGGACCTTGTACACGAAGCCGGACATGTGCGAGTCGAATACGAGATCTCTCTCCTTGATCCGCCGGCACCGCAAGTGCTGGACCATGCGGAGGTCTGGATAGTTGATGATCTCCTACGACGAGAGTAATCCAGGTTAGCAACGTGGCACAGAAGAGGGAGACCAACGTACGTTTACATCCTCTACTACATGCACGTGCAACCTCCCGTCCGTAGTCTGCAGCTTGAGGTTGGTGACGGTGGAGTAGAATTGTATGTCCCGAAGGCTATCGCGTATGGCTTCGTAGATCTTCGCACTCTTTTCTCTCTGGTATTTTATATGCAGGAGGTCCTTCTCCAGGGAATCGTTGGGGGCGTCCCGGTAATCCAGAGAGATAGTCACCCGCCTCCACACGTATTCGTCCTCCCGATAGGTAACGAAAAATTTCTCCCTCCTCGACTTATCCCGGAAATGCATGCTAAGATTCAGGATCCATTTCCGCTCCAACTCGGCGTTGATTACGTCGTCATACTGGGACGTTGTCATGGATTGAGCATCTTGGGCCTCGTCGGTCGGGGAGAGCGCGTTGGCGTAGCTGGACACGCGCTCGAACGAATCGGGATGTCCCGTAACGTCACCGGCGCCGCTGACATCGGGTAAGTCGAAGAACTGCTCTGCTTCGGGCGTCTGGGGAGCTGACGTCGCCGGCAGCGAGAGGAGGGTATGCGGGCTGACGGGAGACGACGTCTCTTCGAGGAAATCAGGCGCGCTTGCATGCGGGAGAGCTTGGTTGGGCCGGGAAATACTCCGCTGGGGGCGCAGCCGTCTATCGACGGAGACAGCTCTGCGCTCTGCCGACGTAGGCTCTACGGCCTCGAGTCTGTCTCTCAGCTCGGACTGCTGTCTCTTGAAGGTTTTGGCGCGGGGTAGGCCGGGAACGACCTTCCTAGCGGTCTTCCGGATAGGGCCCAAACCGGGCGACGCGTCTGGAGGCGTCCTGGGCTCGTGTGCTTCCGTCGCGGGCGAGGCAGGCGAGTCGCCCTTGCCCAGAAAGTTCTTCAACACATTCGCTAGCCCCCCGGTATCCAAGGGCGGCGGGGGCACATGCGACGGCAGATCTGCCGGGGCAGCCATGGCGGCGAGGCGTATCGAAATCGTATACTATCTCCGAAGCTTCATGGGCTCCGTGTAGCTCGCGGTTTCGGCTATGCAAGAGGGAGAAGTGCAAGGCCGCTTTGGGCCTCTAGGAGATATTATGATGGAGCCCACGACAGCAGGTGGCGGGGAGAGTTACGCTGGGAAGGCGACACGTTATCGACGGAAACGGGATGGGAGTCGGTAGCACCAACGTGGTTCCGCTGCCCGCCAATCGAATGGAGATCGCGAGTATGCCTCGACTCGGCTCGACTCGACTCGGGAGTGCTGGAACTAAGATTGTTTTTGGGGGGGCACGACGGCGAGTTTGGGCCAGGGAGAAGAGCAGATAGACAGGCAGATACAAGAGTCAGGACGCAGGCGTGTCCACGCAGCAGCCGACGTTCGTCCGTGTGAGGGAGAGTGTCAGATGTGGGAGCGACCAAGATAGTTCATCCTATGCAGTTTTACAGCTTTGCGGTTGCGCCGCTACGCAGCTCTGATGCAAGTCGACCCAACGTCCAAAGCGGTGACGGGGTGACAGGTGACGGGCTGGCGGGACGAAGGAGGGGAGGCAAAGAGGACGGCTTCAGCAAGCAAGGCTGTCGCGGCGGGCAACTAGCAACGGCGGCGGTTCAGACGGGTGCCAACTCTCGGGGCTTTGGTAGGTTCTATGCACGTGCGTGTATTCGCTCGCTGCGTGTCTCCTCACCGCATGGTGGCACTCTCAAGTGGCGTTAGAATCGGTGACGACGACAGCTCTGCGCCCGGCTGCGACTCGTGCCTCCAGACGTAATGCAGGCGATGTGCAGGTGGGCGTTGTCGTGAAGAGCTCCGCTGTCGGGACGCCAGATGCTCTAGCCATCTGAAGGCGACGCCTGGTCGGGCGAGGGTATAGTGACAAATTATACCTGGGCAAGCTGTGGTGCACTGTCGGGGAGGGGGGAGGGAGGAGGGAAAAAAAAAAAAAGGCGAAGCCAGGGGCGATAATAATGGTGTCGGAAAAGAATAATAACAAGAAAACCGGCCAGTGAGCGAATATAGAAAATGAAGGGGAGCCGAGATTTGTGTCGCCGTCCCAGATTGACTGGCCTCCATGGCAAGAAGGCTGGAGGTGGTGGTAATGTAAGGGTAGGCAGGCAGGTTAGGTGGTATGCGACACACCTCCATGTACACGACATGCAGCCGGCTCGAGTGGGTACAAGGAGACGCACCTGTCGGCACCCGGGGGCAAAGGTACCGACCCTGGAATCTCGCATCGCAGATACACAGAGGAGAGAGAGCATCCTACGTGGTACGCAGCATGGACAGATAACCTCACCCGGCTAAACCAGGAGGGGATTAGCTCTGGCGCGTTACCACCTTGCATTTTACATGCCTCCATTAGGTACCTCCATTAGGTACCTACCCACCTAAGGGATCTACCTGGCTAGCCGCTAAGCCGTCCCCGTCAGCACCTATAGGGATCCGCCTGGCCGGGCTTGACTAGTGCTGTAAGCCTTCCATCATCCCGCGGGGCACGGAGCAAGCTAAGCAAGACAGGTGCGCGGTGACGGAAGCACATACTTGGGTACATTAGGTACCTACCTACCTCCTCTGGCTGTAGGCTATGTACCTTGGGCAAGGTCGACAAGATATTAGGTACATGGGCACCCAACTAGCCCAAGTACCTGCGACCTGTAGCTGCGCCCGCACGATACATCCCGCACGCAGCAAGGCCAGGTACCCGGCATTCCTACCTGAGCAGACGACCGTCCACTGACCTCCTTGGGCTGGCTGGCTCTGCTTACTGCTCTTCTCAGGTAGGCACCTCTCAGGTAGGCATTAGGTACCTAGGGAGGTTCCTCTCCATCCAATCCAGTAGATGAGAAGTTATTCATCACCACCTCTCTTTCTATGGACGATTCGTAGGTTTGTGGGGTTCGACTTCACTTACCTACCTTCGTCTGCTTCGCTAGTGAATCTCGTCTCGTCCGCATCCGTCTCTACGGCCAACGTCGACAGATTGCGTTAGGTATATATAGGGAGGGGGATGGATCGTGATCATGGGGTCGCATGTAGCCCTAACGCACCCGCTCGACGACGACGCGGGCACATGCAACCATGCAACCTCATGGGCGCACGCCCACATACCCATGGCTATACCTACCTACCTACCTACCTACATGCTTACCTCCCCATACCCACGTCCTCCGGATAGCAGCACAGCGTCGTCTTTCTTATGGAGCGCGCACCATGGAGAGTCCAAACCGGCACGCCAAAGCACCCGAATGGTGGGGGTTTTTTCTCTTGTCTTTGGCTGTCTCGGGTTTGTCAAAGGATCGATTTCCTCTTACCATCGTCGTCTCTTCCCCCGTCGTCCGCCGCTGACCCTCTCGCTTACCCGGGGGGGGGGGGGGGGGGGGGGTTTGGAGGGAGTGGTCGACTGGTCGGTCCATCGAACGGGTCGGGAGAGCCAAGCTGCCGCAGTGATGCGTTGTACAGGGCCGTGACTGGTACACCCCGGCATGAGGGAGGGGGGTTTACGATAGACTTAGTCGATGGAAGGGAGAAAATCGTAGGTACGTGCAATCGGCCCTGCACCGTGCGCCGTCTGAAGCTATAGGTAAGTGAGATCGACGTCCAAGAAAACGAGGTGGGAGGCATATCGTCCCTCGTCGTACGCCTCTCTAGGGTCTTCTCTTCTCTCTCGCTCTCCCCGCACCATACTATGGGTGGTGGCTACCTACATACGCACACGGCCACGGCATCTCGCGAACACCATTGGCAAACGAAGCCACCGGTTGGAAACTAGATGCGTAGGCGAATCGTCCGCTGTGTGTGACTTCGCTTCCGTGTGGAGCTGTGGAAGAACGCTGGAATCGATCACAGGAAATCAGCAGATACGGAATGCACCCGTCGCTTGACCGCTCTCCTCTCTCGGCTCGCTCACTTTATATGCGCATTGCCCCAACCTTCTGATGAAACCGCCGCCCTCGTAGGCTGCTTACTTCGCGTCTACGTAAACAGATGCAGCGCGAACTCTACAAAGAGGCAGGATGAGCGCCGGCTACGGGGTACGCAGCAGGTGGCCGAAGAAAGTAGCTTGAAGGCCAAGATGGTCTTCTAGGGCCCCCCAAGTTAGCCGTCCGTGACAGCTTCTCACCAAAGTAGAATGGCTCCGTCTCTCCCTATTGCCCCAACCGAGACTCAGATCCGGAGCTAATGTAAGAACTGCTTGGTCGTCGACATCCTGATCTGGTCATGTGGACGCTGTCGACGGATGAAAAGGGACAGAAAAGAGTGTGCCTACCTACGCATATGCTACCTACAACCAAACAGAGGCGTTTATTTTTTTTATTCTCGAAAAAAAAAACCGAAGAGGGGGGAAAGGGAAAAGAAGCCCAAACAAGCCAATCAGAGGGGGTGTACGCGCATCGCCCACCCCCTACCTCGTCGCCAGCGGACCGAGATAGGCCAGTATTACCATAATAATAATAATTAGGATACTAAGATGACGTGTGGGATGGCGGAGCATTGCTGCGAGACATGAACCGGTTCGCGCAGAGCACAACCCGCACACACACACGCACTTACATGGGTTGGCAGAGGTAGGCAGAGGTGGGTAGAGAGGAGAGGGACGGGGAAAGAGAGGGGGGGAGGAGGGGAGGAAGCGGTAAGATAACAATAGACGTCAACCGGATCTCGAAGACCCGGACCAGACGTAGACTTGCTCGAAAAGAAAAGAGGAAAGGAACGTGGCTTCGAAGGCTCACCGGCTCGACAGATTATCTAGATCCTCGCCTCTCCCCTCTCATCATCACCATCCTCTTCTCCTCTCCTCCCTCTCCCGCCCTGATCCCTGCCTACTAACACGCAATACGATGATGCGTTGTCCTCAGAGGGGACGCCGTCAGCCCATGTTAGATCCGTCCGATTATTCAGGGCAGGTCAGGCCAAGATCCCGCCCTCGATCGAACCCGCAATCTCCATACGGGTAGGGATGGCTGGGAGAGGTCGCATGGAGTTGTTTGTTGTAAGTATCAGTCTATAGTCTCGCTGTTCGCACTAGGTAATCCTCCTCGATGTCATCCACGGCGGCTAAACCACAGTATACCACCCCGGGTCTTTTTACTCTTTTTCTTTTCGTTTTCTGTTTTTGCTTACCCCCCGACGCCCTTTTCTTTTCTCTTGTTCGGCTGCTACCCAACCTAGACCGCATTCGGCTGGTTTGGGGTTGGCTTGTTCGCTACTATTTGCTATCAATCTATAGCCATTGGAACCACGCGACGATGTCATAGAAAGACCGGGTAGGTAGTAAGAATTTAGGTATGGATAGGGTAAGAGGAGGATAGAGAGAGAGAGGGAGACAGAGACAGAGAATAGTGCTTCTACGCCAACCGTGCCTCCTACCTAGGTAGATAGGTAGCTATACCTACTCTAGCTATCGGAAAGGGGGGGGGGACGAGAATTGGGCAGCGATACATGCGATAGCTCTGCCAGGTTAGGAGGCGGAATAGAGACAACACACACGCGCACACACCCATACCCATACCTACATGCTCAGGCTTATAGGTATGTGTATCACTCATACACACGCACACGCACGCACGCACACGCACTCTCTCTCCGTCTCTCTCTCTCTCTCTCTCGCATACACTCGCTCCGTACACGCTCACACGAGAATGGGAAAGGAAGCGAGGCGGTTACCCCAAATCGCTGGCCGCCAATGCCGGGTTCCCGCTCCATTGCCTCCCTATACTGAGACCGACCCCCTATCTGCGTCCGTCCGGTATACCTACGCACTCGTCGCCATTCCTGCTGCTCCGTGCATCGACCTACATCCATCCGTGCCTACGGCACATGCATGCCCATACGTGCGTACATGCTCCCATGGGGACTTACATGGGTGATGGGGAACATGCATACATGCCCGTCGCCCTCCCTGCATGCGAGGGCGGCCCTGTAAGATCTCTCCGTCGTGTCGGGGACCGCCTCCCATTCGCGAATCGCATGTTGCCAGCGCCGGCCCAGAAGGATCAGAGCCGCCTCCATGGTTATGTAGGCCTGTACGTTGTTAGCTCGGGACCTGGCCGACTATGAACGCATCCCGTCCCGCCTTGTCCCCATCCGACCTCCTCCTGCCTGTCCCCCTTCTCCTCGCCACGCATATACCTACGCGCACGCACGCGCGCCTCGTCGATTCTTGCACGCGGGCGCTGGAAGGAAGCCCGGCGTGTCGATCGCCCCGGCAAAGAGGGTGCCAGGGCGACGACGAGGATCTGCGGCGCATATCGTACAGCACACGCGTTCTCACGCTCCCCCTCCCCTCTCGAAATGTCATGCCATGCCATGCCATGCCATGACATCCCGTGCTTGCTGCTCGCGGCCCCATTCTATCGCGATCGGGCTCCTCGCAGAGCAGTGCCCTGGCGAGATCGCGGTCCCTCTCGCTTGGCTCGCTGCCCGTCCTCGCCACGGTTTTCAATCGTGCTAGCCGATGGATTCCGCGCGCAGCCCGCGCCCGTTGGGTTCCCGCGCCCAAGGACTAGCCCAGCCGCTGCTCCCCAGCCATCGTCCCCCCCTTCACCAGCCCTTCTCACCCCTGCATACCTACATGTAATCGCCCATACCTATCGCCTGTTCTCTCTCTCCCACTCTCTTCTCTTCTCCAACCTCCCCCTTCTTGTCTGCCTCCCACGCGTACCTCCATCTTACACCCCCCCCGCGCGTCCCGAAGTCGACCTCTCGTCATCCTTAGCCGCTAGCCACGTAAATACCCTCCTCCCCCTCCATTTAAGCCATACCTACCTACCTGCCTACCTGTCAATCCGCCCTCGTCCCTCCCACGTCCCGGGTAGAACCTCGGCGCTACCTCCGGCGGGCCGGTGGCTCTTGTCCTTCCCAGAGACGCAATTGCTCAATCGCAGTCGCGCTCATGGTCATCCGCCCCCCCTCCCCTCCCCGTCGATCACCCCGCGCGAATTGCTCCCCTCCCCGTCTCGCCTCTGCGTCTTTTTGTGTCCCACGCTATTTTCCCCGAGTCCCTAGACCGGGTTGGTCAGCAACGCCAGAGGGAAGAAGGGGAAGAAGAAGGGGAAGGCCGTTCCCGGTTCCAACCCACCCTACCCCAACAACCCCCCTCCGAAAGAAGGAGGGTGAGGAGAACAATAGCTACCTAGGTAGTATCTAGAACACGTAGAGCCCAATTGCGCTCGCGCGGAAGCCGAGAAGGGAGGTAAGCAAGTACTTAGGGCGACCGACGGACCCGTCTCGGCGCCCGCCGAACCGGAGCCGCGGTTGGTGGGCGAGGAGGAGAGGCAGCAGCGCGACGGGAGACGGCGTCGAGATTGGCAAGTAATAGCAGTAGGACGCCAGGTGTCTAGGACATCCGCGTGTATACGCACATACGACCGCAATCACCTGCCCGCCCGGACCCGCGTAGACACCTACGCTACGTATAGTAGACAGACCCCCTATCCTCATTCAACCTCTAGTGCAAGTAGACATCCCTCCATCCCCGCCCGTCCTAAATACCTACTTACCCACCGCCCTCGCCCGCGTACGCCGCACCTCGTAAGGCTAGAGGCCGGGACAGGTAGCTACCTAGCGCCTCTTTCTTCCTCCTCCTCGCCCAACCCGACCCGACCCGACCCGACCCGGCGCGCAGCAGCGCCGCGCAGGTGGCTGCGCCTTGTTACCCGCGTAGACGATAGAGAATGAGAGATTGAGAGAGAGATATATGTAGAGAGACAGAGAGAGAGGCAGAGAGAGAGAGAACAAGACGCCTGTTCCTCTCCCCATCTCGCGTAACGCACGCCTACGCGGACGGACAGCCTACGCGCACGCCCCCTCTATCTGCCCGCACCCACGCACCCCCTCCAAGCGGGCACGCACACTTCACGTCCAGACTCGGCAGCCAGAAGCGCCGCCTACGCATCACGAGAATCGACGGGAAGGCGGAGAGGAGAGAGGAGAGAGGAGAGGGGAGACTCGGTCGATGCCGCCCGCTGAGTATATTTTCATCCCGTCCCGTCCCGTCCCTTTTGCTGTTCCTCTCCTCTTCTTCTCCCCCTTTTTTCTTAACACCCCCCCCCCCCCCCCCCCAAAAAAAACCCTTTCCCGTCCCACACCCCGTTGCCGTCTTTTTCTCGCTGCCTGCCGCTCGCCCGCCCGCAACCTAGCACATGATACGGCCGTTTTTCTTCACTACTTCGTTTGTCCGAGACAAGAAAAAGAAAAAACCTAATCGTACACGACTGAATAAGAGGGGGGAAGTAGAAATAGAGGGGAGAGGATAGTGAGAGGGAGAGGCGAGAGAGATACGGGGGTGTAGTTGGAGGGGGAGAGGCGGGTTAGATGCTCCCCCTCCCCCTTCCCCTCCCTCCTCTCCCCCCCCCCCCCCCCCCCCCGCCGCCAGTCGTACGCAGCCTTTGCGCAGCACAGCAGAGCGCTGCGTTCATTCGACGAAGCGACTTGGGCTCGGACCGGCTATGCGGTATACATGCGCTAGAAGGAGGAGGGAAGAGAGAGAGAGAGAGAGAGAGAGAGGGAGACCCAAAAAAGTAGGTAGCGACTCGACTGGCTAGTTAGATGGCTACCCAAGTAGATAGCCAACTATAGATACGACACAATGCCGCGAAGAGATGTTTGTCAAGGTACGGAGGAGGAGTGTTTATGATAGGTACAAGAGCGTGCGAATCGCTCGGATTTTTATATCTATACGTACATGTATGCGGGTGTATGTATATGTAGACATGCATGTGCATGTCTGCGTGCGTGCGTATATGGGTGGTAGCCGTGGGCGTGGGCGTGGGTGTGGGCGTGAGCGTGAGCGTGAGCGTGTGTATATATGGTTGCGACGAGTGAGTGAGGGTATGAGACGAGGAGGTAGAGAGGTAGAGAGGTAGAGAGGCAGAGGCAGAGGAGGAGGAGGAGTAGTATCGTAACGTGGTTGGCTGGGAATTGATGCTTGCGAAGCCCCGTCTCGTCCCGTTTTGCCGAGTCATCTATTATTGTTCATTGCCGCCCAAACGCCGGCACGCCTACCCTCCTACTTTCCTGCCCGCCCTTCCTTTCTGTATGTCTGATGGGACCCGCCAGCAAATGCAATTACCGTAGAGTAAAAGTAGGGCTTCTAATAACTATGCGAGTCGATGGCCACCGATGGGGGAGAGAAGAAGGGGGAGGGGGTTCGGGAGGGATCTCGAGAGGGGAGAGGTAGAGCCTGCGTGCTAGAGCGTCAATGCCCGCCGCCCCCTTCTCCGTTTCGCCTCCTATTCGTCTTTTTGGCTCTCCGCTTTGGTGCCGTGTTCCTTCTTCCACTCGCAAATCTTGCAATGATTCGCCCGTTGTCGGTCCAGGTTGGGGAAGACGAGCTCGAAAATGTCGCCGTACCAGCTGGCTGGACGGCCCTCGAGGCCCTCTTTGATGTTCTGCATCATGTTTTTTTGTGTTAGCTTGAATTTGTTGCATTGAGTTATCCGTTGCCGACCTAGCAGCAGCAGCAGCAGCAGCAGCAGCACCCACCTCTGGAAGTTCTAGCCAGTCGGACATGTTGTCCTCTGGGAAGATGATCATCTTGCAGCCAGCTCTTCTAGCCGCAACTGTCTTCTCCCGCAGACCCCCTATCCTAAGCACCTTGCCGGTCAGGGTGAGCTCTCCCGTCATAGCGACTGTGGGCTCGACTGGGGTCTCCACCGCTAATGATAAGAGCGAGGTCGCCATAGTGATACCAGCTGACGGCCCATCTTTTTGCACTGCCCCTTCCGGCACGTGTAAGTGAATCTTCGCCTTGTCGAAGAAGTGGTTATCGGTAAACTCCTTGGCCATGAACGCCTTGGCGAAAGAATAGGCGATGGCGGAGGACTCCTTCATCACCGTCTTGAGGTTGCCCGTTATCTCTAGACTCGGCCGGCTGCTGGGCCTCAGCGCAGATTGGAGGATGGATTCTATGTACATGGCAGAACCGCCCAGCTGAGTCCATGCGAGACCCATCGCAACACCGGGAGGCGTCACGTCGTAGAGGCGGTCGGAAGTAAATATGGGCGGACCAACGTAGTCCTTAAGGTTATCCTTGTTAATTTCGACGTGGACCGAATCAGGCACCTTGAGAGGCACGCGTGGTATCTCTGTCGTTTCTTTCTCGGACGCCTCTGACGAGGTAGCGTCGCGATCTTCCTTCTCCTTCTCCTTCTCAGACTCTTCTAGGGCGGCCTTGCCGTCCTCCGTCAGGGCTGCAGACTCCGGTAAGACCTCTTCCCCAAGTTCCTGAACAATCTTCAAAGCAGACTTCCGGTAGACCTTCTCGATCTGTTTCTTGAGGTTGCGGACACCCGACTCCCGGCAGTACGATTTGATCAACTCGTCGATCGCGCCGTCCGTTAACGAAACGTCTGCTCCCTTTAAGCCGGCCAATTCCTTCGCCGCAGGGGCGAGGTATTTGTCCGCAATGGCTCTCTTCTCGTCCGAAACGTACCCAGAGAGACGAATAACCTCCATACGGTCCAGGAGAGGCCTCGGTATCGTGTCTGTCATGTTTGCCGTACAGACGAATAGAACTTTGGACAGATCGACGGGCACATCCATGTAATGGTCTAGGAAAGAGTTGTTCTGCTCCGGATCCAGCAGCTCCAGGAGTGCTGAAGACGGGTCGCCTTGATAGCCGCGGCCAATCTTATCAACCTCGTCAATTAATATAAGAGGGTTCTCAGTTTGGCATTTCTTCAAGGCCTGGATGACGCGTCCGGGAAGGGCGCCGACGTACGTTCGACGATGGCCCTTGATCTCAGCCACGTCCGTGAGGCCACCGACGCTGAATCTATAGTATTGCCGATTTAGGGCTCTAGCAATGGACTTGCCTATGCTCGTCTTTCCGACACCAGGCGGTCCCACGAAGCAGAGAATTTTACCCTCGACCGTACCGCGGAGCTTACCGACCGCGATAAATTCCAAGATCCGGTCCTTGACGTCCTTGAGGCCGTAGTGATCCTCGTCCAGCACTTTCATCGCGTTTTGGATCCCAAAATTTTCAGCGCTCCGCTGTCCCCAGGGGACCTGGGTCAGCCAGTCCAAGTAGTTCCTCGTGACGTTGAACTCGGATGCGGCGGGTTCGAGATGGGCGAGTTTGTTAATTTCCTCGTCGAACACCTTCCGGACCGCCTCGGGCATAGCTAGCTTGTCGGCCTTCTCTTTAAACTTCTCCACGAGCTTATCCTTGCCGTCGGATTCGATACCTAACTCCCGGCGGATGCCCTTCATCTGCTCCATTAACCAATATTCTCGTTGCCGCTTCGTGATCTTCTGCTCCACATCCTTCGTAATCTTGGACTGTAGCTGTGCATTCATAAGCTCCTTCTTCAACACGACTAAAGCCTTCTGCATTCGCTCCTCGACGTTTAGGCTGGCGAGGACCTCCTGCAACTCCACGGGCTCGCCGGCAGATACCGCTGCGGCGAAGTCTGCCAATTTTGCCGGCTCGGCCATGACGTTCCCCGTCGATTGGCTCATAGAGAATGTGGATATCTGATCCCTGAATAGACTGTTCATCGACGCGACCTCCTTGAACACGTTTACGATTTCGTTCGTCACGGCCCGGATGACGGGGCTCTTCGGATCGAACGGTTCTTCGGACAGGTTATCCACGTTGACGAGACTCACCGGGTACTTTCGCAGGAAGGACGTGGGCTCGTATTTCTCGGGTGTGGCCACCGCGCTCTCCTCGAAGCTGGCAACCACGTCACCTTTCTTTTCCTGCTGGGGTTCTTCACCTCCCTTGATCGGTATAGGCTCGGGGGAAGGTTGGGGTTCGCCATCCGCCTTAGCCGGCTCAGGAGGACCTGGAGGGGGGATCAGGGTGGACAACTTGATCCGGCGATGGGGGTATAGGATGGCGGTGAGGCTGGTGTGTTCGCCGTGCACCGGAAATGCGCTCGTGATCTGCGCAAATACTCCGGTGTCATAGACGTCTGCTGGGTCTCTTATAACGTCTTCGTCGGCGTTCTCGTCCTTAAACAAGAATGCGCCCACGTACGGCTGCCCCCTCTTGATCATCTCCATTATCGCGGCCGAGACGTTGGGGTCCCTGATCGTGATGGCCTTGTAAAACCCGGGGAATAGCGGCCGCTTTGCTATAGGTATCGCCATGACTTGTGGGTATACGTCGGGCACCACGGGTTTCTGCAGCGCTTTTTCGGCTGCGGACTTTCGGCCCCTGCGGCCGCCGTCGCTGGGGGCGTCGCTACCGGACCCAGACGACGCGCCGCCCGCTGCACTGCTGCCTTTGGCATCCTGCGACTCTCCCTGGCCCGACGGGGACTCCGCGTTGGAGTTCTTCGCATCGCCCACCTCCTCTTTAGGCTCATCCAGCTTCTTCCTCTTCTTCTTCTCTAGATTCGACTTGGCCTCTTCCTCGGACAGGGGCTCGACAGGTCCGTCGAAGAAGTCGGCGTCCTTCTTCTCCTTCCTCGTTGCGGCCGAGGTGGAAAAGCTAGCGTTCGACACAACGACGCCTCTGGAAGCTCCTAGGGATCTCGAGCACGCGATCTTGGGCTCGGCGGGTCGAAGGAGGGTGCCTATCGAATAATGGCGGGGTAGAGAATTTGGCCGAATTCGAGATGCGAAGCTCGAGGGGCCTCTCGCGGCGAGTTGCCGTGCTAGACGTTGTCGGCATAGCATGGTGAGAAGCCGTTCGACAGAAAAAATCGCCGAAGCGGTGATGAGAGAAGAGGGAGGTCGGATGGAGGGGGGGTTGGTGTGAATTGGTAGGTAGAGAAGGGTAAGAAAGATCGCTCTCTCTTTAAAACCATGAAAACCAGGTAAAAAAGAGTTCCTAGTGAATGAAGTACAGGGGATTCAGCAGAAGACTCCCCAGGGAAACGCCCATTGCCTTGGTCTAGAGTTTAGACAGCTTCAATTATCGCCTTAGTAATTCGATCAGAGCTTAGATGGATTTCGACAGAATCCATACATCATCGCCTTGCCGCCTACGACGGCCGTCATCAAGCTAGGCTTTTTTTTTCCGAAAGGTACATACTTTTTTTTTTGAAAAAAAAAAAACCTTAACCTTAACTTAACTTAAACTTTGAAAAAATTAACTTAACATAATTTAAATTTAAAACCCCTAACTAAAACTTAACCTAACTTAAGAACTTAACCTTTTTTTCATCCTTGCCTCTGCTTTAGAGTAAAGGTACCTTTTTAAGTTCATTCTCTATTTTAGGTACCTACCTAATGGACCCATGGAGAGGGGCAGGTACTCGATAACTTGCCTCATCGACGCCGCGCGCTGAGCGAGATACCCAGGTACTAGATACCTCTCAGGCGTGGCACCGCGGGGAACATCCATTCTTGATAGGTAGGTACCTAGGTACCAATACCAAACCTCTCCACTTTTTCTTCTATTTCTTTCCATTGTCCATTGAACGTTCTGTTGCTTCTTTCCCATTATTAATCGCGGAGTCTTGCGGCTGCTGCCAGCTGTCACCGTGCTCACCCCTCATCCAGCGGAGCAGAATCAACAACTGAACCGAAAGTGCGTGATACCATCATATCTCATTACACACAGTCTACTCATCTATCACAGATGGGATTGAGTAGAGCAAACTAGAGTACAGTGGCATGTGCCCATACTTTGAGTAGGGCGTGTCATAGACTATAATTTTTGCTCTCCCCCCGATGCCTACCTTCTGTCTCTGTTGAGTGTCGTAGTGACGAGCTCACCTGATCCCCTCTGTTGTCCAGATCTGGACTTCGTCGTACCGTACGACCGCTAGACCCCCCCCTCATACCGAGCCTGTAGTGGCAAAACAGAAACGCGACCCCAGCGGACCACCGTTCAATCTTCGTACCCTCGAAGGAGGCTGTAAGGTTGTCGTCGCGACCCATCGTCGGGGGGCGCATAGATGCTCTCGTGCACCTCTTTCAAAAATTGCTCGCCGAAGCCATTCTCAAGTTGGCGCGATCGTTCCGCAATGACCCTCTTGTCTTTGTCCGCCACCAGTTTCATTGCCTTCGCGATAGCATCCAAAATCTCGGCGAGTATCTCTTCGGGGTCCGCCTCCGGCCGTGGTTGTTTTAGTTGCGCGGACCCGTCATGACATATGTGACATTCCCGTTCGGCCGCCGGGGCATCGGGTCCTAGTCGGCATTTCCACCAACCGCCTTTCTGCTGCCGGTGTGGGAGTGGCCACTGAGGACTTGGCTCGTGCCACTCTTTATCCCAAGTCGACTTCGGCTTTTCTCCATTCTTTCCGGACTCGATGTCCTTCTGTAGGGTAACAATCTGGTTGAGTAGCCGGTTCCATCGGCCTTGACTGTCTTTGCCCGCCACGCCGAGCTTTTCGGTATCCTCGAGGAAGAGAAACCAATCCGGAATCCTAGACCTGTCGAGGGCCGGGCCTAGGTGCTCTTCAAAGGGGAACATTGCGTCAGCTAGGAGTAGCAGCGGCCCTGGTGATCCAGAGGGAGGCACCGGTGGTGAGTTCGGGGCCAAAGACACTTGAGAATCGCCGAGGTCCTCGACGCCAGCAACCACCGCCTCATCGAATGTCATGTTCACAACTTCCAGAGGAGAGCCCCAGAAATATAGTCGATTGTCTGCCGGGAGAGTGGAATGGGAAGGTAGAAATACGTAGGAACCGAACAGGCGTACCGCTTTTGATGGCTCACGCCTGCGAGGCTCAGGTTTATATGGAGGGTGCTCTTGTTGTCTTCTAAGCTCCAATGCGCATTGCCGAGTGGCTGCGTGGTCTTCGTAGCTCTTGATATCGACAAACATTGTAAAAGTGTGCTGGAGCTCGTCAAGAAGCATCCGGTCCTGTCGAGCAATTCTCTTGTAGTCAGGGGTCATCTCATCCTGTATCTCCTCTGCCATGGCCTGAGCAAGCAATCGAGTGGGTAGGTTCGGCGCTTGGATGGAAACTCGACGGTAGACCTCTAGCATGCCGGTTTGTTTCCTGTCCTGCTTGACGCTACGTAATAGCTTTCTGTCCTCATTCTTCCGCCAAGCCCATCGTCGGAGGGCCGTTGATTGCTCAATATATGCATCAGTCAGCACCTCTACATCTCCTAATGGCGTCTCAGGCGCATCTGTGAAGTCTAGTGGCTCATACTGCGGGACAACCTGTGGAGGGAAAGTCATCCAACCAGTGAGACTGCAGGCTGGGGCGCGCTTAGGGCAGGTCGAAATTCTGTTATTTTGAAAAGGGGTGCTGGAAAAATATTGAGGCACGTCTAAGTCCGAGTCGTCCTGAGACTTGCTGAGGCTTCGAAGTAAGTATTTTCTTCCGCTGCCGTATTCACTACCCCCAGCCAAAATACCATCTGAGGCATTGAGAGGTGGACACGTGTGCTCGAACCATCGTGACTCTGGGGATATTTGGATTGGGACGGTATCTGCGGCATCTGTTAGTAGCAAGTAACTGGGAACGTTGGCTTAGAGATTCCACATTACAGCTTCCTTTATCCCCCATGTTGTCCATGTGCTAAGGACGCCTAGGCGTGTGTTAAAGGGAGCGGACCAAGGTGTGCAATATCCTGTAAAGTATGTGCAACTGTAGAGGAAGAGGCAGGGAGATGTAGAAAAGACCACTTTAGCAGAAAGTGATGTGTGCTAAATATATGTCTTGTTTTATTTTAGTAGGCGAGTCCTCATGAAGGCAAATGGAGATGAGCTGACCACCCTAGCAGTAGACGCCCTGTTGCCGTTGGTTCTTCCGTGAGTTGCATGTGGTGTGTTGCGCGTCTTGGGGTTGTCACAGTGACTTTGTGGATAGGTTGAACAAATACACAGGCTACTAGCCAACCATACTAACTCTGGTTTACAACATCGCCATCAATGCTGCCGACTTGTCACCACCGCTGGCATAGATCCCAGGGAAACCCCTTACAAACTTGTACTGGCTACCAGCTAAGTGCAAAGGTTTATATCTTCCTGGCGCGTTTCCCGGTGGTGAGGTGAATTCACAGTTAGTGAATATGCGCATGCTCAGGGGAGCTCAGGCAGCCAGAGGCCCAACAGTGACCTTTTCTCGAAGATGTAGCGACTTTTCCTGCTCTTGCGCTGCAAGCAGCTTTTCTTGTTTCCGACGTTCGATCCCAAGGGTAGCAAATCGACCTCGGGCACCATGTTTTATTTTCGTGATCATATCCATAGCTTTTCCTTTCGTGACATCGTCCTTTGTCAGCTGTTTATCGTCATCTCGGTATTTGTTCAGCATCTCGAGCTGGCCTTCAGTCGGCTCCCCGCCCCGCCACTTCTGCTTCCATGCAATAAAGTAATATGGATATCTCCCAGACACAAAACTATCACTACCGTGTATAGCGCTGGTAAGGTTGGGTGCTTCCAGTATCTTGCGAGGCCTGGCGTATTGAGACCCTTTTCCCCGGCCGGGGAGGGCCCGGATCTCGAAGGCCTCAAAATTGGACCCGTTCTCGGCTTTTTCCAACCTCACATAGGACCCCCTTGGACCCGACAATATATACCTCTCTTCCCCAACCTGTACCCAGGCGTACTGGCTAATTTTTCGAATATGCATTTCGCCAGATGTATCCGCGATCAAGTCGAAGACCGAATCATACTCGATAAATGTGACCCTGTGGGATTTTGACTGGCCTTCCGGATCAGGGGAGGGCGCGGCAACCAGCGCCTGCCGCTCCACCTCCGCCTCCTGTCTTTCTTTGATTTCCTGCATATCGGTGATGGTTGCTTCCTGGACCACTTCAGACGGATTGAGGCCGAATAACGTGGGGGTGGTGACTATGCCCGTAGCTAGGCTCGACACCATGTCGATGACGTGGCAGTTGGTCTTGTTGGGATGAAGCCTCATCCCTCTCCCTATCATCTGCACCAGTAGATTGCGGGAGCGAGTCGGGCGTCCTAGAACGACGCAATCAATGTTAGGAATGTCGGTTCCTTCGGTGAAGACGCTACAGTTGACCAGCACCGGGAATTCGTAACGCTTGAAAGCGTCGAGACGCTCGCTCCTCTCGAGCTTAGGCGTTTCTCCCGTGATGAATCTGGCATCGACGCCGTGTCGGCGGAACGTCTGAGTCAACCCGACGACATGATTAAGGTCCACGCAGAAGACCAAGGTAGATTTTCTCGCAGCGGCCCTGGCTAACCAACTACGTACGGTGATCTCGTTCACCTCCTCGGTATTCACCACGTTAGACAAATCGGAAACGTGGAAGTCTCCGTGTGCGTTTTTTCTGACGTTCATCATGTTTGCGGTGGAGTCAACGGTTGTGAATATGACATCCGACAACCACTTCTCACCAATCATGTCGACATAGTCCTTATGGTACACTATCTCATCGATGGCAGCGCCTAGCTGAAGCCCGTCAAAGCGGGAGAACGTCGCGGACACGCCGACAAGTATCGGCGATTCCTCGGTCTTCTGGTGCAGCTTAAAGTGCTCAAGGGTCCTTAGGTACCCTGGCGCGACGATATGGTGCGCCTCGTCGACAAGGACCAGCTTAAACCGTCTATAGTCGAATTTGCCGATGCGGTCCCCGGAGGTGATGCTCTGTACGCTAGCGATGGTGATGTCGGCGAATCCCGACGCGTGCATGTTGCCCATCTCGATCTCGACGGACTTGCCTGGGTAAGCCAAGGTGCAGTGGCGCGCGGCTTGCTCGACGAGCTCTCGCCTGTGGGCCAGGATCAACGTCTGCCTGGCTCCCTCGGGACCGGGTTGGATGCGCTCGATCAGCTGAGTGAAGATGACGGTCTTGCCGGAACCGGTGGCGAGCGATATGCCCAAGCGCTTATGGCCGCCCTGGAGGGAATTTAGGACGGACTGTATGCACTCTTCCTGGTAGTCACGGAGGCGGATCTGTCCCGGCGCAAGAGGCGTACTGGCCACATGGGCAGTCGCTCGGGCAGTCGAGTATGCCCTCCGTAAAGATGCCGCCGCTAGGGACCGGCATATGGAGGCTATCGAGAACGGCCACTTCATGGGCAGACGGGGCATGGCACATCCACGAAAGATCTGCTAAGTGGGAGGTGGGAGGGAAGGATATTTGCGGCCCAAACAGAGCAATATGACGAAAGACGGGGGGGTGTTCCTAGTCAGAATTTGCTGGGGGGAGTCGGGTATGAAATTAAGCGGGCAGAGGATGAAATGGCTTTTCCGCTCGATGCGACTAGCTACCTAGGTAACTAGAGGGCTTATGCATAGCCCCAGACAGCCATGTGTCTATGAAAACATATAGGGTTATCGAGCTGGCCGGGGATTAGAAATAGATCGCCTAAGGTAAGGCTTTTCTTTGCTGTGAAAATATCAAGTTGTCGACCAGAGGCGAGCTGTTTACTGCTACGGTAGTCACCTGGTTGGCATCTGCAAGGCGGGCCGCGACACTTCAATTCCGCACCGTGTTACGCATCCTGTCTTTAAGGGATACCTATTCACTTGTGGAGGAGGAGATATTGCTTTATCGGGGTTATGCGTCTGTATGAAGCCCCGCCTGCACAATCAACAATGGATTTCTTTCCCATCTCCTCTCCCTCCGTCCTTTCTTGTTTATCTCTGGTAAAGAAATCAGGTAGAGACATGTTCGCTCCCGATGCTTTCGACAGCATACGCAGCTCACTCTCTCAAGTACCCCGAGGCGCAACAACGAACCACACACTTCCTAGGCACGATCCGTTATGCCCATGCCCGGTTCGTTGATACCGAGTTAGGTATGGATAGCTGCATGCATCCACTCATTCTCGTGGCCCCTGGAGAACCGTTATCTCTAGCGCTACCATTCCGACTACGAGTCCGACCACGAGTCTACGCCTCAGAGCTACCTAGCATAGCATGGATTCAACCTACAGCCCCCGACCCTCTTCTAGCGCCGGCGGATCAAGAGCCGAGTTCTCCAGCTCCGGGGTAGGGTCTAACATAGAGGCCTCGCAGCGCTCGCGGAAGCGGCGCCGGCACCAAGCAGCAACAGGGTTGTCGCCGTCCGCCGTTCTGTCGCCGCCGAAGCGGCAGAGGCGTGCGGTCAAGATCCGGTACCTCGACCTGATCAACGAGGACATCGAGGATGCCGCGTCGGGAATCGTCAGGGGCGGCGACGACGACGACCACCTTAAGGACACGCAGATTGGCGCCGTGACCTGGTCTGTGGCCGAGAAGAGGTTCTTCTTCACCGCGCTAGCCCGGCTGGGTCGCGACGACACGCCGGGAATCGCGGCGCGCATCGTCGCAGGCAACGTCGACTCCAATAAGTCTTCCATCGAGGTCCGCCAGTACCTTGTGCTGCTGGCCGAGGCCGAGCGCGCCCACCTCGAGACCCGCGGCGGGTATCGCCCCGCGGCACCGCACCAGGCCGCGCTCCGGCCCATCGATGTGCCTGCCGCCGTCGAGATAAGCCCCGAGCTATGCGCCGCGCTCGAGGCGGCCGCAGACGGGTTAATCCTGTCCCAGGAAGCGCACGAGGCGAAGCGTGAGCGCGAGCGCTGGGGCGGCCGCTGGCTGGTCACGCCGCCGCTCGCGCGGGTGTTCGAGCGCCGGTATCGTGGCCAGCCGAGGCACAGGGACAACGACGACGATGACGCCGGCGAGTTGCCACCGTTCGCGGAGCTATTCTCCCTACGCACCTGGCTCCTGCTCTCGGAGCACGTGTTCATGAACTCTTCTGTCGCGGACGGCAACTGGCAACTCCTCTGGGAAGCTAGGTCCGAAAACACGCCGTCGCAGGAGCCTCCACAGCCACCATCGATCCGGGCCACGGCGCTGGCGGACTTCTATGCCCTTGTGCTGAGCGTCACCCGGCGCCTCGTCGCGGCCGCGCTATTCGTAGCCAGCTCGCGGCTGCGCGCGAGGCGTGGGGTGACCCGTAAAGGTGGACTTACGCTCCCACTTGTCGTAAAACGAAAGGACGTACAGGCAGCCGCCGCATCGGTTGGCCTGGAGGAACATATGGACGAGTTCTGGGCACGAGCCGCGCGGAGACTGAGGCTTGACGTATATAACGATGACTACTACGACGACCACGATAATTTTAATATTGATAATCATAACAAAGAGTCGGCGACCACGGAGGCGGTGAACTACGATGATGATGACGATGATGATGACTATGATGACGATGATAGCTTATCAGAGGGGGGTAGAGCAAAAGGCGTGGGTGATGATGCTGATTATGTCCCTGGAGTTGACAGCGACAGCGAAGACGACGATTCCGAAGGCGACGGCGACGGCGGCGCAGGTGAGCCGGCAGACGAAGCGGAGAGCATCAGCTCAGATCCTCGCAACTTGATGACCTACGACGAGGTCGAAGCCGCCCTCGGCTTCCCGCGCCCGCAGCATCCCCAGCCAAGCTACGCCGCGCTGCCTGACGTATCCAGCACCAGCTCGGAGGAGGAGGAGGAGGAAGAGGAAGAGGCCGAGTCGACGGACGACGACAGCGACGACGAGGAGCCCGGGGGGCGGCAAGCTCAGGGCCGTAAGGACGCCGACGACGGCGTCGGGGTCGAGGATGGGGACGACACCTACCCGCCCCTCAACCCCCCCAGCAACGCGCGCGCGCGGCACGCAATCCAGCGGTGGCACGCCGTGCAGGCGCGCCTCGAGGCCGACGCCGACCGGTTCGACGCCCGGGCCCGCGAGCGCGAAGAGGCGCAGCTGCGGGCGGTCCTGGGCTCGCGGGACCTGTCGGGCCTCGCGGCCCCCGGGACGGAGGGGGGGGAGGGGGAGAGGGAGGAGGAGCCGGAGAAGCGCGCGCGGGCTTCGGGCATAGCCGATCCGGAGGGACTGAAGAATTGGAGGGACCACGTCGAGTTCTACAGCGAGTGGGAGGTGGTGGGCCCGAGGCGAGGCGGAGGCGCGCGCCGCGAGATGTAGATCCCGCCTGGCGGGTGGATGGATAGCGGATCACGACATTCAAGTAGCTATATAACCGTGGCGTGACCTGCCACGGCCAACGGATGAGAGACGGGGTAAATAAGAGCACTCTATCCTTGAAACTACAGGCAACGCATCAGCGGTATTTAAAAGACCGCCCCCCCCCCCCCCCCCCCTTCCCCCGATCCTAGCCTTGGGGGTTACGGCACTCTACGGTAAACCAGCACTAATTTGGGCACTGGGGCTATAATTCTGTGTTGTTTTTTTAATTTCCATTTCTCATGAATGTGATGAGTCCTATCTGTGCCTGCAAGCTCGTAGTGGTGGTACACAATGCCCGTCCTTGCCTTCGAGCGATACTTATATTCTCACGGCAGCAAAACAAATGCCTTCAGAAAAAAGTCGGGACGGACCCCTTTCCGAGGGGATCTCCACCCCCTCCCTCCCGCCCCATTTACCCTTGACGCCCGGGTTAACCACGATAGAGTGAAAGCCGATGTATCGATCGGTTCGAAAGAATTTCCTATTTCGCCTGACACGCGCACGCACACGAACACTAAGTTGCTCCTTACACGAGCCACCCCAATAGTATTAAGCCTCGTAACTCTTGATGTTGCCGTCGCTCCCGAGAGGTTGTACCGAACTTAAGGCGGGCGCGGATGTGAACGTTAGGCCGTTGCCGTCGAGCTTGATGTCGCCGCCGTTGATAGCGGCCGACCTCAACCCGGCCTGCGTCTCTCGGACCCGCTTCTTGAAAGCAAGACGGTCTAGGAAGAGCTGCTGGCGACCCCGCTCCAACTCGCGCCGTTCTGCCTGCAGGATGCCTTCCATCTCGTCGAAGTATTTCAGCTTCAGCTCCATCTTCTGCAGGGTAACGTTCACCGCCGCAGAGAGCAGCCGGGTCATCTCTCGCTCCTCGTGGGAAGCCAGACCGCCTGCACGTGCGCCCATAGTAGCTAATGGGATGCTAGCCAAGTTGGCTGCGCTTGTGCTAGTAGTAGTCGTGGGCTCTTGGTGTGCGTCGATTTCCATCGAGTCGCCCTCCTTTTCCTTACCCTTTCCGTTGACTTTTGATGCATCGCCGCCTTCGATCTTACTTCGAAGGCCTCGCTGCAGCTCTTCCACCGACTTCTTGGCTGCCGCCGCCGTCGTTTTCGGGTCAGCCAGACTGGCAAGGAAGCCAATGACAGACATGACAGGGTTATCGGCCTGGCTGAAGGGAAGGTGCCCGCCGTGCTTCCCAAGCATCGCGAGACCCGTAGGCGCGTGGATAGGTGCTTCTGTCTCGAGGTACTTGTCTTCGATATCTAGCTGGAGGAACTGTATGGCACACTCTTCGCGAGTTCGCGTGCCTACGTGCTCAGCTACCTCAGCCCAGTCATCGTCGTACCTCTCCAACGCCTCGAGGAGCCGAAGAATCTCGGCATCTGTCCACGGGGCGTCACGGTCCAGAATTGTGGAATAGGTCTTATTCTCCATCTTAATAAACTGGGTGTTGGTTTGGTTGTTAGGTATCCGACCCTCTAGGTAGCAGCTAGGGCAAACATCGTACTTCGCCTTGCTCGGCGAGTTGATCTCTGGCAGGTGGTAGTAGATTCTTGTGCAGTCTACACCACAGTTTTGGCAGTGGACCTTGATAACGGGGGCTTTCAGACTCTCGTCGACCGCTGGCGAAGCGCTTGTACCATTGGTAGCTGCAGTCTCTCCGTTCGTCTTGCTTTCGGTCTTGTTGAGCTTCGTGCCCTTGGCGTTGGCCTCGTAGATGTTCCGACCAACTTCCAAATTTCGCTCGCCAGCAGCAGTTGCGGCGGTGTTGGCTTTCTGGTCGGTATCCTGATTCTTCTTGCCCTCGAGGACGATCGGATCTGCCGAGGGCTGCCAGGGTTGAAGTCCACGGGGGGTATCACAGATAACTTGGAAGTGACCGGTGAACGGCGGGCCAACTTGCGAGGGACGTTGGACGGCGTCGACCTGTAGCGTGTTAGGGCTGTCGCGAATGTGAGATATCGCAGAGGGCTATATAATTCGTTACCTGATAGTTGATAAGTCCCCACTGCTCGAGGAACGCATGGACGCGCATGATGGCGCAAACATCGCCTGCCAAATTTCGCCTGCAAGCCGTCACGGTCAGGTATTCGGGGGGGTTCAATCGATAAGTGTTGATCATGAAGTCGCGGTAATCTTTGTAAACGGCGGGGGTCTTGCTTCGGTTGCGGCTGTTAAAGAATTCGGGCAAGGCTTTGCGCTCGATGTTATGGATGTCATTCATGTCGAACCAGGTGCTATAGCTGGGCAGGACGATGGCGTGGGTTTGGGAGACGAGGTGTTCTCGCGCCGCGTTCTCGATGCTCTCCTTAGACTTCGCCTCCTGAGCTCGGCCGTCAGCGCCGGCAGCTGCATCGTCGCCATCCTTGTCTTGCGGCCGTCCGTCCTGAGTCTCGGCCTGGGCCTCGCCCATCTCCTCGTCGTCCTTACCTAGGGTGGTTTCAGCAGCTGGGGCGGGGGGAGCATCAAGTGGGTTGTCTAAAGTACCGGCAGGTGCAGGAGTAGTGCTATCTTGCTTGATAACGGGGTCGGCAGACGTGACCTCGGACATCTGGACATCTAGCCGGCGGCGCATTAGTACGCTTCGTCGGATTACCCGGGGCACTGCTGCAGCCGTGCTGCCGGCCTACCTTCGGATGGTTGCGGCGCCCCCGATGCGTCGGTCTGGAGGGGAGGCTGCGCTAGGATGGGGTTGCTGCCGGGAGTAGCAGCAGCGTGGGCTGGCGAGCCGAAGCTGGCGTTCTCGCCTTCCATCTCGAGGGGATACGCGGGTTTCCAGCCGGAGACGCTCGTCCGGGCTTATGTAGGGGTTGGGAGAGCTGGGAAACGAGGCGCGAGGGATCGCAAGGTATCGCAACGGTGGAGAAACTATCGCCGACGCTGCATCAAGAAGGGGAGAGGGCGAAATGGACAGGGGCGCCTTTGCAGATGGCAGAAGGTCGATGATCGTGAATCCGCCGGGATGCGAATTGATGAGACTGACTGGCTCGACCGCGTGTTTGGAGAAATAATAAATTCGGCGCGCTCAGAGGAACTTTGGAGGTAACGGAGAAAAGACGTAGGCTGGATCGGGCGATGGTCCGTGCCCGTCTGACCAAGCTTGGGCGGCTTTGTGTCACGTGCGTCTCCTGGTCTGTGCAGTTCCAGATTACCTAATGTCCCTTTCTGCCTCTTCCCGTACCTTAGGTAGGTACCTTAGGTACCTAGGCTAGGGTACCTGGGATACCTAAGATGTGCCTAAGGTGCCTCCTAATCAAATACCTCGTAGGTGCCTAACATACCTCCTACAGCTAGGTACCTACCTGTAATTCAGAGTATACGATACCTGGGCACTTCCTACCGATAGGGGTTTCGCTGCCGAACCCCCCCGCCAGTAGGCCGAGGGCAGCCGAATTCCTACTCTCTCCCTACATCTTCCATTTCTTTCCTTGGACCCGAACTCGGACTTACACTTGGACATCGTCCCTGTCGAAAGGCTCGGCTCTGCTTCATGCGCTTGACGCCAGGATCGCCGTACTCTACAGCGCCATGTTCTCTACCGCCAGACGGACCGCCCTGAGCAGCACTGGCAAGTTGCCACGCTCTGCCCCGGTGTTCTCGACCCCCTACAGTCCTGCGGCTTTTCGACGGTTGCTCTCGTCGCTGGCGGTGCTGGAACAGCGCGATGGGAAGCTCAACCTCGGCTCCCTAAGCGCCGTCACGGCCGCGAAGAAGCTCGGCGGCTCCGTGCATGCATTCGTGGCCGGAGGCAGTATAAAGCCCGTGGCGGAGGAGGCAGCCAAGGCCGAGGGTGTCGAGAAGATAATCGCGGTAGAAAACGCCGCTTACGAGAAGGTGTGTAGCCAACGACTGAACCCCAACACCGCCCACGACGCCCGCTTCTAGCTAAACGGCCCGATTCGTCGCAGGGACTGCCGGAAAACTTTGCGCCCTTGCTGGTCGAGAACATTAAGAAGGGTGGCTACACACATGTCATCGCGGGGCACACCGCATTCGGCAAGAGTATATTGCCGCGCGTCGCCGCACTACTCGACTCCCAGCAGATCTCGGACATCACTGCGATCGAGAACGAGAACACCTTTGTGCGCCCGATATACGCCGGCAACGCCATCGCTACCGTCGAGTCCTCCGATGCGATTAAGATCATCACCATCCGCGGTACCGCGTTCCCGGCCGCCGAGGCGCAAGGCGGCTCCGCAGCGATCGAAGACGGTGTCGACCCCAAGGTGGACGCCACCTCGGAGTGGGTCTCGGAGGAGCTGGCCAAGTCGGATAGGCCCGACCTAGCCACCGCCGGCAGGGTCGTCTCCGGGGGCAGAGGCCTCAAGTCGAAGGAAGAGTTCGACCAAATCATGTTTCCGCTCGCCGACGCCCTAGGCGCAGCTGTCGGAGCTTCTCGTGCGGCCGTGGACAGCGGCTATGCCGACAACAGCCTGCAGGTGGGACAGACTGGCAAGGTCGTTGCCCCCCAGCTGTACATGGCCGTTGGTATCTCGGGCGCGATCCAGCATCTGGCCGGCATGAAAGACAGCAAGGTCATTGCGGCTATCAACAAAGACCCCGAGGCACCGATATTCCAAGTAGCGGACGTCGGCCTGGTTGGGGATCTGTTCGAAGAAGTGCCCAAGCTAACAGAGAAGTTAAAGAACCCGTAGATATTGGTATATCGTAAATTACAACCGCCCGCGAGGATATATGCGTCTTTTGTTTTTTTTTTTCTTTTCTTCGCGCGATTCGGCCCTTAAATGTCTAACCTGCGACTACAGACAGCATCTCCGCTGTGCTTGTGAACTTTTCCCTTTCCTTTCCCGACAACGAACCCCGCTCTTTCTCGGCCTCGTCTATCTTCCGCCAGTCCTGCCAGGAGATGGTCCTGGGCTGTTGCTGCTCTACCTCAGACCGCAGCGCATCCCAGCCGGATCTGCTATCCCCCTCGAGGAACGGCCGCCCATCCTTCCAGTCCGCGACGATGGCGCTCCCGGTCGCGTATGCATCGGTCAGCGTCGAGGCGATGATGCCAGTCGCGCCTTTCTTAACCCACCCAACGCAGTAGACCCCCGGCAGAATTGATTCCCGGATATTTTCGCTGCTTCTGTCGTGCCCTACTCGTATCACGCGCCCAGAATCATCATTATTGATGACACCCTTGACATCGTCAAAGGCGATGCCTGCCTCAGGCATCCCGGGCAGTGCGACGGACTTGTAGCCGATAGAACGGAATACTATCGAAGAGGGTATCTCGAGTAGTTCTCCCGTAGGTGTAATCGCCGAGGAATCGCCAAAGGGACTAGTTAGCGATGTTCGCTCGAACTCCGTGCGGTGGACATATCCCCCTGGCGGGCCAACAAATCTGGTTGGTGACAGGCAGAAATCTAAGGACCAAGACTTTTTGGCGCCTTGCTTCGGTTCACCGGCGTTCTTGGCGACAAGGTCCACTAGCCTCCGTCGAGCTCGAGGGAGTCCCTTGGTTTCTTTGGGGACGAGGGCTGTGTCATAGGGAAGCAAGTTGGCGTTGCTGAGGTCCATCAACTCCCGAATTTCCTTTATGGAGAAGGCAGCCTAGAGATAGGATGAGCGGTTGCATCTTGGCCGTGAAATACAACGGGGGAACTTAACCTGCAGAAGACCTCTTCTCCCCACGACGTGGACTCTGGTAATACAGCTCTTCGACAAGGTCTCGAGGGCGACCTCGGTCATGTCTGTCTTCCGTAGCGCATCCACGTCGCTCAGGAGCATCCGCGCGACGTCGATGGCGGCATTACCCTGGCCGATGATGACGGCCTCGTCACCCATGGTGAGGTCCGGGGCTAGATGTGCGAACTCGGGCAGACCGTTGTACCAACCTACAAACTCGCGGGCCGAGTAGATGCCTCTGAGGTCGGATTCGCCAGGAACGCCGAGCTTCTTGTCCTTCCCGGCGCCGTAGGCGAAGAGGACGGCGTCGTAGTGGCGCATGACGGAGGCTAGCGGAATGGTGCAGCCGTCGAAATGGTCGCCCGGGTTGCCGACGGAGACGTTCCCGATAAAAGTGAAATTTGGCGAGAGGGCAATCTCCTCAAATTTCTGCTGACAGTACTGTATTTCCCCGAGGATTAAAAAAACGAGAATAGAGGATAGGTTGCCCAAGACCAATAAACGAAGCCACATATGTAATATAACAGCAACCACAGCTACGACTATAACGGTGGCGGCCAGGGTGCTAGCATATGCCACATCTTGTCCTTACCTTGACTTCGGGGTGATCAGGAGCAACTCCGTACCTTATAAGCCCGTAGGGCACGGGTAACGCCTCAAACATATCCACCTTGGCCACGGGCAGGTCGGTCATGACCCGATGGGCGGTATAGAACCCGGCCGGGCCGGAGCCGACGATGGCCATTCGGAAGGGTTGGCCGGGGTCCCGCGGGGCTACGGGCTGCGCGGTCGAGTAAGGGGAACGTCCGGAGGCGAGCGAGGTGTAAGTTGTGCGCCGGCGGGCGGCGGAAAGGCAGGATCTCGCAACCGAGGCCATGGTTGGCTCCCTCCCGTCTCTGCCTTCTCCCGGGTCGCGATTGGGTAAACAAGGCGACCGGGATCGCTATCGGTATGGCTGGAAAAAAAAAGGGTGATGAGAATGATGGTAATTGGCGCAGGAGTAGGATGGCGAAAAAAGGGTTCTCGAGCCGATGACGTCGGATCGAAAACGACGGCGGTCCTCGGGTTGTCCGACATCGCCGACGATATTTGGACGGTCGGAGGTACCTTGGGTACCTGCTACTCTCTACGATACGCCATATATGGATTACCTACCGTAAGTGCCCTTCTAGGTACTACCTGTGTATGAGTAGGTACCTAATGTAGGTACCTACGTGCAGGGAGGTCCCTAGATACCTAGGTAGGTAGGCAGTATACCCTTACCCATAGGTGTGTTCTATCTGTTGAAGACGGAGGTATACACCTAACCCAGCTTACGCGCGACCTATTGATGGGCGTACATGTATATACTAGTAAAGTGTTCGTTCGGTCTGCTCTACGGATACCAGTCCAAGACGAAAGACTACTGGTAGGTATGCGTTTAACCGTCGTCTTGCGCCCAGGCAGGAGGACGTCGCATGTACACGTAGGGAATATAAGCCCGAGCGCGCCCACCTGGCCGCTTAGGATGGGTACAAGGGTACATGCGCCCCTGCGTCCGGGGTTGCTGCGAGGAATGCACGGTAAGCTGTCAGTCGTTGCTATGGAAACCCTGTGTTTCCTCTCCCTCAAACCCCCCAGCTGGCGACGCTCGCCACAGCTTATCGTACACATACATATGAGTACACACAGACACAACACGCGATGCGATGGGCATGCATTCTGCAGTCCCCGTGCGCAGATCCCACTCTTCCCGCCCCTCCTCCTCCCCACAGTGGACGCTGCTCTCTCAGTCTTAAGACCGCGCATTCCAATCATCCTGTCTGTCGCCCACCCACACCCGCTCACTCGCTCCCTCTCTCGCCCACGTTATTCCATCCATATAGTGTGAGCATCCCCTCGGCCTGGCTGGTGCGACGCGTTCGCAGATATGGGTATCCAGCAACCTTTTATGTACGATTCCGACAGACGCGATTCGCTCTCCCCCGAAAAGCCGTTCGATCCCAAAGCCGTCACCAGAGCAAGCTGGGGCCCGCCGCCGCAGAGGCCGAAGAAGAAAGACGGACCGCTTATATCCTTCAACCGCCACCCTGAGTAAGTTGCGTGCCGCGAGGATGGGAAAGCGAGAGACGGCCTACCTATGCCCAACCCCTGAAACGTCGTCGCTAACTCGCCCGCCACCACAGTGCTCACGACCTCCCGAGTGGCCGAATGTCGAAGTTCCGTCCGATGAGCAGCACTACGAAGTGGTGGGTCAAGTTCGCACGACATGTCCAGCTAGTACTCCGCCTCCTCGAGATGGTCGGCGGTGGAGGCCTACTGGTGCTCATGATCCTGCTCAGTAACGTCGATCCGCTTACGAGCTGGGTGCTGAGAATCGTGGTATGTCTTCGCGCCGCCCCGCGCACGCCGGATACCCCAAGCTAACCGTCCGGTCGCGTGCAGCCCGGCGTCGTGGCTACCAGTTGCGGCTACGCCGTGTGGCACCTCGCCCGGCCCGCCCACAAGCGGGCCCCGACGTCGTCGGCCGCCTACCAGCTGTTCGCCGCGTTCACGGACCTGGCCGTGCTGCCGCTCTACGCCTTCGGCGTGATCTCCACCGTCAACCACGGCACCAGCTGGACCACCATCATGGCAGCCTCCGAGGTGCTGCGGGATTACCTCGTGCAGTCGGAGCGCTACCTGCTCGCCTGCGCCGGCGGCCTGCACGTCGTCTCGCTCGGCATCTCCGTCTGGCTGGCCCTCGTCTTCCGCCGCATCGCCCGCATGCCGCCCGACATGAACCCGCTCGAGAACCACCTCACCTCGCGCGTCAGGCAGCACAAGCGCAACAAGTCCTCCGTCGCGACGAGCTACACCGCGCTCTCGGACGGCTCCGTCGCCACCGCCGCCGGCAAGCGCCTCTCCACCCCGCTCGAGGGCTACCGCAGCTCCGGCGCCCCCTACGAGGACGTCTCGCGCCCGCCCAGCATCCCGTTCGCGGGCACGCGCGCCGCCGGCTCCCGCGACTCAGTCGCCTCTTCAACGAAGCGCGACTCGCGCAGCGACCTACCAAGCCGACAGTACCAGGTGACGCCGGGCAACTCCCCGCGCAACAGCGCCTCGGCGGCGTCCCTCGGGCGCGCCGCGCAGCGCATGTCGGTGCCGCAGCTGGCGCAGCGCGCGAGCTTCGCCGAGGTCTCGCAGCGCGAGGACGCGTCGCCGCCGCCGTCCTCGCCCTCATCCTCGTCCCCCTCCGCCGCCACCGCCGCCCTGCCCGCGCCGTCGCCGCGCCAGCCCACCAACGCGTCGCCGACGCGGCTCGCCAAGTTCACCGAGGCCTGGGAGGCGACGGAGTCGCTCGTCAACCGGACGCAGGAGCGGCAGCGCGCGCTGGCCGCGCTCGAGCGCCGCCGCGCCGCCGCCGACGCCCGCCAGTCCCAGTACGAGGCGCTGAGCCAGCGCTACAACTTCGCCGACACCGACTCGGACAGCGACTCGGACCTGGGCCGGCGCGGGCGCGGCGCCGCTGGCCACTACCGCTACGACAACCACCCCGCCGCCGCCGCCGCCGCCGGCGACCGCATCATGCGCCCGGACGACTCGGACCTCGACGGCGCCGCCACCGACGACGACGACGACGACGACAACATCCAGAGCAGCCCCATCAACGTGACGGGGCAGCTGCGGCCCAACCCGCTGCGCCTGCACCCGCTGCCGGAGCCGGAGCCGCTGGCGCTCGGCGCGCCGCCGTCGAGGCCGCAGGCGGCGTCGCGGCACTCGGTCGCGGCAGTAGAGGCGAAGAAGGCGCCGGCCTTCTGGCGCCGCAGCGCGGGCGCCGCCCCCCGCCAGGTCCGCAACTCGTCCATCCAGCCCGACGCTGACTTCTACGCCAAGCCCTACGGCGAGCTGAAGCCCGCGACCCCGCCCATCATGGTCGGCGGCGGCGCCGAGCGCAAGGTCTCCGGCACCGACTACGGCGACCTGGGCGCGGGCGCCTGGCGCCGCCGCGTCAGCGGCAAGGTGGCTGAGGAGGGGCTGGCCGCCGGCGGCGCGGCGGAGCGGGGCGCGAGGTACGGCGTGGTGAACGAGTGAGGCGTTTAGTTTTGTTTTGTTTTGTTTTTTTATCTATGTTTCAACCTTTAGCACGGGGGGCTGGCAGAGAAAAGCCGAGCTAGACCGCATTGCCGAGGGGGGGGGTTTGAGATACCTATGTGAAGAGATACCTGCTCGGAGGGTGTGGAGGAATAGGGGGTAGGCAGGGAGGGAGGCTGGGAAAGGAGTACGCGCTGACGAGGCCGATGTGCGATGATGCATTCACGAGTGTAATACTAGGACGGGAGACGGGGGAAACGGATCGAGGCCAGTTGGAAACTCGAGCAATGGAATAGCTGTTGCCCGGGCCCGAGAGAGAAGTGTGCACAATGGATACCGCAAAACTTCGAAGAATGATGGCTTGCAAGCGGGCTTCCGATGTATTGACGATACCATGTATGTATTTATCGTGATGGCTATTTACCCATGATCAGATGCCGAGAATTGCGTAGAAATAGCGAGTAGATATCGCTCCAACATTCTTTTCGAAACGTCAACGATATGTTTAAGCTTGCGTGCTCATCCATCTGTATACCCTGACAAGCGCCGTCGCCATGTGTGCTGTAGCAACCCAAGCAGTCTACGCAAGCAGCAAGAAACCAGATAACCCAACAAAGCCCCTCCCCCTCACTCGAACTCATCATTGCTCCTCACGTACGCGCCCCAGTCTGTGGGTGGTCCCCGCACCCCGTCGAGGCCGTCGCCCTCCCTCCAGCCCAGCTCGCTCCAGGCGCCGAGGCCGCACAGGTGTCGCATCGTGGGGCGGCCGTGGGGGCAGTTCCACGGCTTGTCGAGCTCGCCCATGTGCCTGACCAGCTTCTCCATCTGCTTGTTCGAGAGCGGTTTGCCGATCATGACACTGCTGCGGCAAGCCCGCATCGCGAACATCTTGCGCACCTTGGAGGGCCGCGGGATGACGCTCCCCGAGGAGGCCGGGTTGTCCGTCAGGAGCGAGACGAGCTCTTCGAGGTCCGCCAGCGAGAAGGTCGTCTCCCGGCTCAGTGGCAAGCTAAGCAACTGGCAGCGGGATCCGACCGGGTAGTCGCCGCTTTCGTCAACGCTAACGATGAACCCGTTGGCCTCCAAGGCTTCGAGGTTTTCCTTAACCACCTCTTCCTCGAGGGCCGTAAGCTCCAGGGCTTTAGGCTGCACGAGTCTCTGGGATTGCACTACTGTCTTGGCTTGTAGCCGCTCGAAGTTGTATTTCTCGTCCGTCGCGTGTTGGTCGATGATGAAGAGTTCGTCGTCTCTGTCCTGATTTCCCTCGGCGTCCTCGGGAGCTCCCCCAGCTTCCCGAACTGCCAAAATGAACCCTAGGTTGAACTGCCCAATAATCTTCATCCTCCCAAAGTCAGATTTCGATATCGTCAGGGACAACTTTTCCTCGGCGTCATCTGCGTCGAGTCTGTCTGTCACAAGCTTGGAATCTATCTTCGAGGATACATTCCCCATGTATTCCTTGTGTATGTCTACCATATTTCGGAGAGTGGTTTCGTCTATACGGAGCGTTTGAAGCAGTGAAAAAGTGGCGTCTTTGTTCTTAGTGCCTCCTTTGACGAAGCTTCGTGTACGTTTTTGGGTTTCTTCCGAGGCGGTATCTGCGTGCTCGGGAATACTAACGGTGTGCTCCGTTTCGTCATTTTGGGTATCATCTTGCGCGTCGTCTTGCGCGTTGTAGTTTGTTTGCTCCTCGGCGGGCTGATTGTCGTCACATGTTTCAATTGAGTACGGCAATTCGTCGTTTACTGTCTGCTCACCTGTGTCGTTGGGCACCGGGGAATCGTGGACGGAATCGTGAACGGAATCGTCCTCTTGCCCCGCAATGCTTTCCATATCCGCGTCACTTCGAGAAGGCTGCTGCTCCTCTTGCTCCTCCTCTTCCTTTTCGTCATCCTCCACAAATAGATGTTCACTAGAGTCGGAATCACTCGAGTCGTCTTCTGATTGTGTAGCAATTTGGATATCTGCTAGCTTGGCTTGCTTTGGTTGTGAATTTGCCGCGAACATTTGTGTCAGACGTCCGTTGAATGAGGGGGCCGGCACTTCGTTGCCGATTCTACGTTGCCTTGAGGGCGGTTCGCGTGCCTTGTGGCCGTCTACCCGCTGTCTTTTGGAAGGGGAGCCGATGATACTGGTAATTGTGCGATTACCTACTGTGATCGTAGCGGTTTCCGGCGCAGAACGCTTCAAGGCCGCAGAGCTGGTTCTAGTCCTGATCTCTGATGTACAAGACGAAGTAGAGATAGCCGGTATAGGCGGCTCGATATCTTCTCCAGACTCTGGCAGAGGGTCCCTGTCTCGTATCTCAAGATTGGGTTTAGCCGGTTCTGTCAAGCGCGCGTTAACATCGACCCCTTGGCTAAGCATCTCCATCGATACCTCCAACGAGGTTTCTAGTGGAGATGGTGAGTCTTGACCATCATTCTCTGAGTTATGGTCACTATCTTCCGTGCAGTCCCCTTGGTCTCTTCGTACCATCGCCTTCGGAACTAGTCGATCGCTGTCTTCCGATTCGTCTCCTACAGAGTCGCCAGCGGGCAGCTCTGGCTTCTTTTTTGCCTCCCGGCTGATCGAATTTACGTCCTGACCATGATAGGACGGGATGGGAGCCAGTGAGTTTGTTGAGACCAAGTCCTTCCGCGCGGAAGCACCCTCGGGCTCTCTAGTCTCGTCCTCCTTATTGTGCTCCGCGTCATCGTGCGGGTCCATAGGAATGGTATCTCCTTGACATCCTGTCTCACTCGATATGGAACGCTTCGGATCATTTTCTGATGAGGGGGTGCCACGGCTACTGAGTGGGGATTTCTTGAATGTGGTTTGCTTGATGCTTGACAATTGCGATGTTGGTACCGCATAGTCTTGGGATTCAAACAGGGCGACGAGTGACTCTCTAAGGTTATCGAGCATCCTGGTTTGATCGTGCAAGAGAATTGTGCGCTTGTCCGGACTCACATTGACATCGTAAAGATGTGTGTCAAGCTGAATATCGGCGAAAATAAATGGCGACTGAGTGGCATTGTAGGATTTGTAGACTTCGTTGAATACCTTAGCGAATTGCGGCAAACCACAGGGTCGGCCATTCACAAAAAACATCTGCCGATCCGGGGTTTGGCGTCCTTCTCCGTGCGCGGGGCGAGATACATGGCCTTTAATGTGGACTTCGTGGGCCTCGCCGCTATCTCGATTGCTCCGTCTCTGGCCGGGTGCACTGGTGGGCTCCAGCTCGAGCTTCAAGTCTAGCGGAATGAGGACGGTCAGGGTTTTTGCTCCAAACACATTGACAATGTTATCACGGGTTGTCTGGTTTCCTTTCGTGGAAAATAGCACGATTCGTTTGCCTTTGTTGGGTTGTTGAGATACGGAAAACTTGAGCCCAGTCTGGATGCAGGCGTACTGGTTGAGTACGCCGATGACCTTGTTCCACTCCCGCTTGATATTCCGCTCCAGTTCGCGACGACGGACAGGGAGGTTGTAAAAAAGACTCTCGATGGCCACCGTCGTGCCTCTCTGGGCGGCCACGATGCTCGTGCTGCGAAGTTTCCCCGACGTCTCGAACTCTAACCTGGTCCCCTTTGGCGCGTCCGAGGCTAGGCACGTCGTCACGGTAAACTTGGACAGGGCACATAAGGATGAGAGAGCTTCTCCTCGGAACCCGAAGGTCTGGAGGGCGGCGAGGTCTGCGTAGGTAGAAAGCTTGGACGTGTAGTGCTTGAGCGCCAGCGTCTCGTAATTCTGCTGGGAGATGCCTGATCCGTTGTCCTGGACTTCGATCAAATCTAAGCCTTGGTTCTTGAAACGAACCTCTTAATAGACGTAGATCCCGTCAGCAATAGGACGACCAGACGGCGATACAGCAAGCGAGAGATATACAAACCAATGCTTGTCGCCCCAGCATCCAGGCCATTTTCCACTAGTTCCTTTACGACGGAACACAAGTCGACAATGACTTGACCGGATTGGATTTGGTGGACCTTTAGGGGGGGAGAGAATCAGCACCCTTATAATAACGCCTATAATAAAGCCTAGGTAAGAGCGGTCACTTACAGTCCGGGCCTCAATAGCTTTAATAGTTGCCATCGGTGCGGATAGGGCGAACTCGTAAGGCAGGTTTACGATGGAGAAGGGAACGGCGCTGGTTTTTTCTTTTCTTTTTTTGTCTAGATCAAACGGTGTCGTAACTGGTTCGCATGGGGAAAGCTTTAAGGGGAGCTCCTCAGAGGAAAACTCATGTCTTAGCTAGATGTGGAAAACGTTCCGACCGTCTCATTTAACTACGACGCTTATCATCACAGACTTAATTCCTACTCGTCGTCTTCGGATCCTCGTTCGTGCCGACGAGGGATCTTGGGAGGACAGCCTCGGGGTCGGGCGTTGGAGAGAAACGCGGTCTCTGGACAACTTGATCGCGTCGCGGTCTTTTAAATGGAGGTGGGAAAAGCGCGTGTGCGGATGACCTCCGCAAACCACGCAGCTACTGATTATATAATGGTCATAAGCTGCCAAGTGCATAAATTGTGGATATCCGCATTGAACTTTTGTGTACCGTGTATGCACCTAGAGCCAGTCCCGTATCTCCCGTCCACGTGGCGGGACAAAGCAAAATTTGGTAATGTCCGCCTCAATACTTACCTAAGCACCTAAATGTAGTGCATACATAGGTATGTACCTACATAATTATGCTATTTTCGTCTTGTGTGCAAGTACCTAGATACCTAGGTACCTAGAACAGGAGAGGCACCTCATGTACTTTAAGTTATGCGCCTGCATTGAACCACGACTGCTACGTACCTAGGTACACGCTACATCCAGATATACCTATAGGTGGGTACCTCTATACCCTAGGAGACCCTAAAGGGACCTGCCTCGTAGTAAGTGAAATGCCGGAGGCGGGCATGGGCCTGCATGTGAACATATGCAGTATCTCGGACTGTCTAAGTGGGCCCAGCTGCGAACGCAAGCGCGGAGGTATACGATTAGTAAGGCCAGGAGGCATGTACTGTACCTCCCACCTAGTTGCTTGTATACAATTACTAAAGGCGACATGACCTATCTCTTCATACGTACTGCGTCTGCCCTTGGACGACAGACCAACCCAATCATCCAACCTGTTACATACCTAAGACACAATATCTGTCATCCGTAGATATATTGATGCCATGCATTTAAGTCATATCCTACTTCCGTTTAGGCGTCCGTCGCAAGCCACCGCACGATTTGGAAGAAAAGTTTTACCGCCGTCCTTTTAGGCGCGGGTTCAGGTCCCCCCTTGCGCTTCATCACACTGGCTGTGGTGCCAGCCGCCACCAGCTACATTGGTCTCGACAAAAAGAGGAAAAGGTCGTGATGTCGGAACTGGAGGTGCTGGGCAATTTGACCCGTCACTTCGGGCAAATCGTCATGCTCAAAACCCATCCAGGGGTCTGATAGTAAAAGCAATGCTTGGCAGGCTAGTCACCTGCATTGTCTGATTGGGGGGAGAGGGGGGGGGATCTTCAACGATGGTGTCGATGGCGGAATGCTCGGAACGCTCACTAGGCACCCTTGCCTTGCTTTCTCCCGTTGAGCACGCTCAGTTATAATACCGACTTGCCTCTCCGAGCTCTCGCGCGGGAGCGAAGCGAAGCCTGATAGACAATGCTCCGAAACCCCCTTACCTATGTCGGGCTTTTCGGGCATCTCTCCACGCGAACGACAACGTACGTACGCTCGTAACCTATTCCGGAACCAGCTCGGTATTGTCTGCTGTGTCTACTACGTAGTACTTCCATTGGTCTGGTATGGTGGGCGGCGAGGGTGGCAGAGGAAGGTTCAAATATTGGGTGAGCCTACTACCTATTTTCATGGCCTCTCTTTATCGTATGGTCGTGTGCTGCCAACGAATGTGTCGCCATGGTAGCATGCTACATGTATATCCTACGTGGTATACCGAAGCTCCCGCGGCATCTACTCATAATCTCGTTGCGCCGGCGTGCCCAACACAAAGAAGCCAGGTGGAGTCGCGTTGGGTGTCTTTGTTTCGCACTGATGCGCATGCATGGCTACAGAGCTAGGTAGGCATGAGCCGCCACTCGAGAATACGGCAGTGTCTAGCTTCTATCAACACGAGCTTGGCGGTTGCAACCGCACGCAGATACGATCACGACAACAAGCGCTGCCACAATTTACGCAATTCGGGCCACTATGGCAACGCCTCCACGAAGGGGATTCCCGATAACGCCCATGCGTACCTATTTATGCGTATACGGCCAAGCTTATACGTACGCTGGTGTAAACAGAGAAGTGGCGGTCGTGGTTCGTTCACCCCATTTCGAATTGAGTCTTATCGCCAGTCAGTCAGACACACACAGACATACAGACACACAGACACAGCACGGAGCAGCTGGATGGCCCGGGGTACAATTTTGCCGATCCCTGAGAGGAGAGAAGTTGAGTACACGGCCATACGATAGGCACATCCCATACGCTTCCCATGTGACGGGGTTATGCACCTTCGTATGTATGTATGTACGTATGTATGTGGATTTAAGGTGGTGTGCTAATCAAGGTTGGATATGGTGTTCACGATAACACGTCGTAATCTCCTCTCGGCCACGATGACGATAATAACACTGCTGACCACAGAAACCCTTCCTAGGAATATCTAGTGGGAATAGATGTAATCTACTTGCGCACATAATCAATATCTATCCACGTCGTACATTACTTTAGGTAGGTAGGTGCCTCGAAGGTCGAGGGGGCATTAGCATCGACCGGCCCGTAGGCCTTCGTTCGACGATCCCGTGGCCGCTGGCTGGTATCGCCTCGGGGTAGCACCAGCTCTTGACCCCTTCACCAATGTACGAGTAGGTTGCCATGCAAGTTGGGTGGACGCAGATATTCTACATGCCGTCTATGTCGGGTGCCAGGCAGGTTACATAACGGGCATAGGTGGGTAAATTGAATTGTGTATGTCGCGGTACATGCGCACAACTTGGCTACGTCTGTAAGCTGCATCTTGCAGAAGCTTGGTAATGGAGTTGCATGGGAGCCAGGTTAACGTCATCCACGGCGGTAACGACGAGGGCTGGAAAGTTGGCCACGCCTAGGTCGACCCACTAGAAATTCAAGCCAGATAAGGGCTGCCAGGGGGATGAAGCGACCCCACCGGGCACAGGTATCTAGGTACCTACCTCCTTAGGTACCTAGATACAATACACGTACAAGATACCTCTAGAGTATTCCTGATCCCGATATACCTCGACCGTATGGCACCATATGGAGCCCCACCATCCGCCACACTCCCTGAAAAGGCGTCGTAATTGTTTGCTACGTACCTCCTAAGGTACCTAGGTAACTTAGGATGGTACATATGAGTAGAACCTTCAGCAGAGTCGGAGGCAATCTCCAGGGAGCCCTCCGTACCTACCTATACCAGGTACCTATCAAAAGCATGGGAGGTACAGGTGGTAGCTACAAATACTACCAAAGGTTGCGCGGGCGGGTATACGTACCTCTATACGTATATGCGTGGTGCTTGATGGGGTTAGCGCCCCAAGCTAGGTACCTCCTATTAGTCCGTAGCCGCTACGGTACCTCCCTCTTAGGTACTCACCTGGCCCACCCTTGGATCTTATCCCTGGCAGTACCTGCACTACGGCGTTGCTCCATCAGGGAAGGCGTTGCATTGCCAAATCGTATCTCAATTCTCTTCCTCGAGACAACCCACGCCTTGTTAATTCACGACCACCCCCCCCTCCCATCCTATCTTTTCCTCCCTTCCGCCGTCCAAATCCACAAAACAACAACAGCGACAACCCACAGATACGCGCTCCGTTTATACCCCTTCCGCAACGGAGTCGCTGTCCAGCTGGTGGCTTGGGCGTCCAACACTCGTTTCATCCTAATATCTTGCAGGTCAGAGGGAATAGTAATACGTATTTGGCCATCAGATGAGCTACGTTCGAACGGGTACATTCCGATTGTGTCTCTCTTTAAACTCCCTGGATCGACCGTCCCGACCACGCTCAGCAGCGCAGCCGGTAGCTTTGTCGGGCCACAGCCTCGCCCTGCCCACGTCTCGAGCGAACGTATCCTTCCTGCTTCTCGCCCGAATCGCGAGCTCAATCCCGCCGTCAAAGAACTGTGGCCCGCGTATGACGAGCATTCGCCCGACTGTAAACAGCGTGCCGAGGACAAGACGGCTGTAACCTAGCTAGACGTCCCCACCGCCAACCCCTCGGAAACAAGAGGTCTCTTGCGAGAGCCTCTTTTTCCCCATGCAGAGGCGCTCGTCAGAGTCGTCCGAAGACTGCGTCGATGCTCCCCTCAAGGCTTCGCGCCCTCAAGGACAGACGAGGCTGAACGACTCGGCTGCTCCCGTTCGACCCCCCCACGACAACCGCCAGCCAGATCGACCCCAGAATTCGGGCACAAGATCTTTGTCTGCGACGAGCCGGAGACCGAGCAGTAACGTCAACTGGAGGCTTGGCCACAGCCGAGATGGGTCCGCCGAGAAAGAAGCCGCAGGCTCCCATCCTCCGTCCATCGCATTATCCGCCGAGTATGCAGGCGTAGGCGGCGAACGAACCCTTTCGTCAAAGCCGAACGCTCACCAGCCGCAATCCCGAAATCCCTGGGTTATATCGCTCCTGACGCTTCTCACCAGTCTGGTGGGCATCGGCCTGCTACTCGCCGTCGTATATTCTGCGGCTGCCTTGCATTGCGACCCCAAGGGATGTCGCATGTCTTGGATGAGCCCTTCCTACGCCAAGTTCGACGACTTCGATACCGAACACACCCGGCTCGCATCCAAGTATTCGTTGTATCTATATCGAGAGCAAGGGTTTGATAACGTGCCCAAGGTAAGCAAGCTGCGGGGGTCCCGGTCGCCTTCTAGCCTATGCTGATGCGATAGGTAGATTAAGGGCATACCGGTGCTATTCATACCGGGAAATGCCGGCAGTTATAAGCAGGTCAGATCCATTGCCTCAGAATCGGCTAGGTATTTTCACGATGTCCTGCAGCACGATGCGGCCTCTTTGAATGCGGGGGCCAGGAATTTAGATTTCTTCACCGTCGACTTCAATGAGGACTTTACTGCCTTCCATGGCCAAACCATGCTTGACCAGGCCGAATATGTGAACGAAGCCATCAGGTATATCCTTTCTCTGTATTTGGACCCGAAGATTTCGGAACGGGACCCCAGCCTTCCAGACCCATCTTCGGTCATCATACTAGGCCATTCCATGGGAGGGATTGTGGCTCGGACGATGTTCATTATGCCGAACTACCAGCCCGACTCCGTCAACACGATTCTCACCATGTCCGCTCCGCACGCTCGACCGCCCGTCACATTCGATCCGCAGATTGTCCGAATCTACAATGACATCAACAACTACTGGAGGCAGTCGTATTCGAAGAAATCGTCAGCCGAAAACGCCCTTGGCCAAGTGACTCTAGTGTCTATCGCCGGTGGCGGTCTAGACACTGTTGTCCCGTCAGACTATGCAGGTCTAGAGTCTATCGTCCCCGAAACCCACGGGTTTACCGTTTTCACGTCTACAATTCCTAGCGTTTGGACCAGCATGGACCACCAGGCAATTACGTGGTGCGATCAGTTCCGAAAGGTTATTGTCCGCGCGCTATACGATGTTGTGGACAATCGTGGAAGATCGCAGACCAAATCACGAGTGGATAGAATGAAGGCATTCAAGAGACGGTTCCTTACCGGGTTGGAGAGCTTTGTCGAGAAAACGTTGCCGGAAATCACTTCATCCACGCTGCTCACGCTAGAGGAGAACTCTACCACCGTGATCTCCTCGAGTGAGCGCCTCGTCCTTCGCAGCTTAGGTTCAACCAAGCAGCGAAGAGCCTACCTTCTTACCCGGCCGGCTGACGAATCCGCCGCGGGAAAAAAGCTTACTCTGTTGTCGGACAGCAAACTGGACCGGCCCGGCGAGGATGGGAAACTTGAGGTCCTTTTGTGTGGCTCCTATCTCCCCCACTCAGGGCAAGTCAACATACCGTTTTCGATGGACGTCGACCTGTCTGGCGGTGGTGGGGAGTCGATCAAGCTTGCCTGCAAGAACGTCGCGACCGATGTGTTGTCTTTACCAGCATCGTCTCGAGTGACGGAAGCCCCATTTTTCAAAGCGGACGAGTCGCAGATTCCACCATTTTCATACCTCGAGTACGAAATCGAAGACATCTCGGAATACGACTACGTCGCGATCATCGACAAGACTGGCTCGCCAACGACCGGATGGCTAGTAGCGGAATTTAGTGACACGGCGGATACCCATTTGACTCGACATATCAGCCTCAGACGTCTGCTCAGTTTCGGCCTGTCGCTACGCCTTCCTGCCGGCCGGGCGATGGTCGCCGAAGTAAAACTCCCCTCTGTCCAGAGCAGCCTGTTAGCATACAATCTCAAGATCGAAGGCCGGGCTTGTAACGAACGGGATCAGCTGTTCGCCCCCTTGATCCGGCAGTATCTCTCTCAGCCGTACGAGTCCAAGTATTTTGTCAACGCCAAGGATGTGGAGATCAGCCTGCACGGCGTCTCGCCGTACATACCTTCACCCGCGAGGGCTAAGCAGCTCGATGACGGTCTCAGTCTTCAGTTCTGGACAGATCCTACTTGCGGCTCGAACCTGTCAATCCGCATAACGGTCGATTGTATGGGCAGCCTCGGGAAGCTGTACATGCGCTATCGTACCGTATTCGCATCATTCCCCTTACTAGTAGTTGCGCTCGTGTTGCGAAAGCAATTCCAGACCTACGACAAGACAGGCGTCTTCATTTCCTTTTCGGAGAGTCTAGACTTCTGCCTAAGGCGTTCGTTGCCAATGCTTCTCCTGTCTATGACTCTCCTGTCGCTTTCGATGGGCCAGTCAGGCTCGACGAGGCCCAACAGCCCCTGGTTTTGGCAAAATGGTACCACAGCCGTCGATTCCGTCCAGAACGACTTGTTGGTGGGAACATCAGATCCATTCTTCTGGTTCCTGATCCCCATGATCGGCATCATCTGCGTCGGCGTGTGCATGGCTCTCCACTATGTAACTCTGCTCCTTACTTGGACGCTCAGTATCATCTACGGCTGGGTATTCCTTTGGCCGGCAACGCCGCATGAGAAGAAGCGCGCGTCATCACCAGCCTTTACGCCCTCGTCACCCCGGGGACGATTTGCGACCGCCGGGGTCCTACTCTTACTGGTCTCGACGTTCATTCCCTATCAGTTCGCATATGTAGTCGCCTGTCTCGTGCAGTTAAGCACCGCCGTCCGCGCTCATCGGTCCGCGCGCGAAACTCAGTCGCCCGCAAGTGTCAGCTTCAGCAACTACGTTCACTCGATTCTTCTCCTGATGGTCTGGGTTCTGCCGATCAACCTGCCTACCTTGGTCGTCTGGGTTCGAAACTTGGCCGTCCGCTGGTTCACGCCGTTCTCGTCTCACCATAACGTGCTGTCGATCCTGCCGTTCATTCTTCTAGTCGAAACCCTGACTACTGGTAAGATGGTCCCGCAAGTGGCAAGCCGATTTCGTTTCCTGACGAACGTCTTGTTCTTCGGCATAGCCATCTACGCAGCTATTTACGGCGTGTCGTACGCGTATATGCTACATTATCTAGTAAACCTAGTCGCAGCGTGGCTTGTGGTAGTACACTCGACGTCGGACTCCTGGATACTTGCCGGGTTAAGCTCTATATTCGACGGTGAGTCGGCCGACGACCGCAAGCAGGGCAAAACCCCTTGATCGACCAGCACTCGTATGTTGGCTCGAGCACCGCGTGCAGTGTATAGATATATGTCTATCCAGGAACTCTATTTTTTGTATATCATATCTGAGATCGTTGGATATGAGAACACATTTGCAAGGAGGCGTTTTATTCGACTTTGCCATCCTTTGTATATACTCGTCAGAATCCGCTCAACCGGCCCCCGTCAAGGTCAGCCGTCTTCTTTTTCCTGGGACTCTCCTCGACGACCTCGGCCGAGCCGGATCACTTCCTTTTCGCGAAATTCCCGCGCCCAGTTCCGCAGCTTGGCGTTTGCCTTTTACCATGGTTTGGAGTTCGGGTTCAACGGCGGTTTGAGTAGTTGCGCAGCGGTGGGTGCGCTAATTTCGCCATTCTGGCCATCTCACGCCATGTCGGCTCGCCGGATACCGGCCGTAAAAGTTGTGCAGTATGGAATGGGTTGGCGTCGTGGAGGCGACTTTTACACGAAATCTCTGCGGCGCTCTCTCTAGCTCTTTGCTTGGAACGAACTAGTGGGATTTCAACCCAAGACGCGGGCTTCTCTTCGGCCACCTTGTACCGGAGCAACGATAGAATAAGTCGGTTCCATTATACAGGATCGATAGGACTCGGGGGGATATAGACGCGGTTTCAGGGCCGGCTCATAAACCACGCCCCGATAGGAGGGAAACGCTTACATACCTAATTATAATTCTACAGGGAGCGAAGACGGGAAAAGAAGGAGGGTGGCTAGAAGGGGCGCAGCTGGTATCGGGTTCCGGACAGTCTATCGGGAGGTATAAGGGGGCAGACGGACACGAATTACGTTTTCCTGGAGGAAGACAGAAGAGGTCCACGTCGGTGCCCACGGCCCGCCGAAGACCCAGTCAGTCCCCCTCTGCCTAGGTACCTCTCGCGCGTGGGCTGGATCAACTCTTGGGTTTCGAGAAGCGACGAATATCAACCATTTCTGTAAAGAGGAGGAGGGGATCCCGGATTGCCCTGCCAGCCAGGCCGCGTAGATCAGCTAGGTAGTAGCTAGGGTAGTCCCGCGACAGGAAGAGAGAAAAAAGAAATTTCCACGGCCAACGTCCCCTCGTCCGAAGTAGAAGACGAGACCACGACGACGCCATCGCGTTGTTACGCCCGACCTCATCTCTGCGAAAAGCTTCCGGGGGGCAGCCACCAGCCTCGCCGTCTCCTCCCCGTGCGCCCATCTATCTATCCATCTGCCCAGCCCAGCCCAGCCCCTATCCGACACCCTGTCCCCGCCAAAACCGCGACGCTGGCCCCAGCCAACACACCTCCCGCCGGGTGAGGTCTGAGAGCGGGGTGGGGGAATTTTGGGGGGGGCCTCGACGTACGCACGCAGCTGACGCGGCTTGGGCCCCGCGGGCTCGAAACCCCCCCCACCGCTGCTGCGACGCTGGCCTGCGCGCGGCGCCGCGACGACACGGAAAGAAAAAAAAAAAACGTCGTCCCTACCCAACGCGCAGGAGGGCGGGCGGGCGTGAGCGGACGGATATGCGCGCGCGCATGCGCATGCACGCGACGCGTGCGAGGGTCGTAGTGGAAGTGCGGGTGTAGACAATATATATATATATACCTTGGGTAGGTATACAGGTATAATGTGTGCGGATACGCGGTGATATACAACGACGTGTATAGTGCCCCCTATATATATACTCAATAGGTAGGTAGGTAGGTAGGTAGGCGTGCCGTACTTACGCGCAAGTGAGAAGGTACGTACGTTGTCGTCGTCTCACAAGCGCGAACTGACCGATACACTAGGCCTGGCCGAGGCGGGAGCGGGAGTAACGTGGTCATCGACCGATGCGGCTATGAACAGAAGCAACAAAAGAAAGAGGAAAAGAAAAAGCAAACGAGATATGAGCCGGAGGGGAAAGCCATCTATAAATGTTTTTTTTTTCTCCCTTTCGGAATGCGGCTCTATATATCAGGTATATGCCTTCCGGCGTGTATGAAAAGAGCGAATAACACATTCCTTCTCTCGACTGCTTCCCTTTCCCTCCCTCCCCTTACTCCTATCTCTTGCTCACCCCTCCTCTAACTAACTCGCTCAGAGAGACAAAATAGAGATGGATACCATAGTCGCTCACCATTAAATTAATGAAATGCACGCTCAGTTACACCGTCTATCTCCCCTACACCCATGTACGCGTGTATACCGCAACCCGAAGGACAGAAGGAAAAGAGATAACTTCTCTCGAGGAAAAAAAAAGGACAGAGGCGAATACTATCCGGGCCAGTTACCGTAGGTATCTCTCTATCTTATCTCCAGCGTGTTGCCACTTTTGCGTACCTAGTATTGTAAAACTTTCCCCCTTTCCCGAATGTTCCCCCCTTTCTATTCCCTCCTCTAAACCAACCCCCCGAGATTCTACTAGCCGCGGGACCCTGCGCCCGCCGCCGCGTTTCTTCGTACAGACAGCTACCGATAGAGAAGACGAGACGGGGGAGAGGCCAAGCACAAGGAACCAATTTTTGGGATTTCCTTTCCCGTTCTCTCCCCCACTTAAACCAGTTAGTGTTACCATTTATACCGCTACTCCCGGGCGCGCTGCTTGCCGGCCAACTCGATAAGTCTCGCCTGCCGCTGGTGCCATATGACCCACAGGGTAACGACGAGGCCGAGGCCGCATGCGGCGAGGGTAACAACGTACGCAGCCCAGTAGCAGTCGAGGCCCTCGGTACAGGAGCTGACGCCGTCAGCGTCGACGACCGAGTGCGCGTCGTATACGGAGCCGTAGAAGAGGTTGAAGATGTTGCTCGACACGACGGGCGACAGAGTCATAAACCCCCAGTTCTGGCTGAGGCCGTGGATGCCGAACGACTCGGCCACGATCGACGGGAACACCCCGAACAGGAAGCCGTAACCGAGGCCGCTAAAGCCCGACACGAGCGACAGCAGGTGAGGGTTCACAGTATTGAGCGCGCAGATCTGCGCGATCGAGAAGATGCCCGACGCGATGACCAAGCACCACACCCGGCTCGCGTGCAGCACCTTGACCAAGAAGTCGGAGCCTACGCCGCTGAGTAGCCGTCCGGCGAAGCTGCAGACGGATAGGATCGAAACATGCAACTGCTGGCGGAGCACCAGGGTCTTGTCGTCAATCGAGTCGTCGTAGTGCTTCCAGAGCGCCGTAACGTCGTTGCCGATGTTACTAACCCGGGGGGTTAGATATATATATATACGGACCGTGAAGAAGGCACGGGTGTGCCCGGATCGTAAAAGGGGGGGTGGGTTACTCACTTGATAGTCATCAGGCCAATCCCGGAAAGTATGCCCATTATGATAAACAGCTGCCAGAACTCGATGCTCTTCATCAGGTTGACGCCGCGAATATCTACACGGTGAGAACGATCCAAATCAATACTGCTCGGCACTAACACTTCACCCGGCAAGGATGAGGATAGGGTAGACTGGGACAGGAGGGAAGATGTCTCATCGGTTCCATCCTGGTTGCTCGACCTTGCTGCTTCGACGTCGACCACTCGGCTGGGTCCTCTGGGGCTTGAGGGATCTAGAGTCCCGCTCGCCTCATCCCCTCGGTCTAATGCGTCTTCGGTCACTTCGGTGGCGTTGATATCATCGGCAGTATCAGACATACCAGGTTCAGAGGGGTGCCCACGGCCAGCGCGGAGTTTCGACTCTTGCGACGCGGTCCGGCCTAGCTGGCGAGAGTCCGTCGTACCCGGGTCGGCATCGGGGACGGCGTGATACGGCGAATGCGCGGGGGTGGGGATGACGCGCAGAAAGAAAAACCCGACGAAGGTGAGACTGAAGGTGCCGTAGGCCAGCAGCATCAGGAACTTGCTCGGACTGCCGGGGAAGAAGACGGAGCCGATGAGGGCGAAGAAGAAGGCGCTGAGTCCGAAAGCGGCGAGGGGGAGAGCGGTGGCGGTGCCACGGTGGTGCGGCCAATTCAGAGCCGACGTCTTCACGGCCGCAGCGAAGGCCATGCAGCCACCGAGGCCGGTCAGAAACAGGGCGAAACACATCCAAGGGACGGATCCATGGCCGGCATCGTACGCCTGGTGTAACGGATAGTAGCCTAGACCGAGTAATATGGACCCGATGATGACGGCGGGTCGCGGCCCCTTGCTGTCGACGAACATGCCGACGGGCACGCCCAGCGCATACATGCCCAGGTTGCCGGCCAGCCCGATCACATTGCTCTCGGTGGTGGACAGGAGCAACTTGTCAGAGAATTGGGGCGCCCACGCCGAGTAGACATACTATCGCACAACCGCCGTTAGACACTCTGCCCTCGACGACCACGTCACTCTCGCACGAGGCAATCCGGCTGGTTTTCTTACATTTGTCCCGCAGGCCAGCGATATGATGGTCGCGGCGACGCTCGAGATGATGCGAGCATTGTAGGCTCGGTTTGCTAACGTCATGTTGAGGGTCTGGTCTATCTGTAGAGTCGATCCGGCGCGCTTCTCAGGATATCGGCATGCCTTGCGTGCTTCATAAAGGGAACGCGACCGGGGCAGACTTGAGGCAGCCTGCGACAGCGGATATCAATGAATAATACCTTTGCAGGGGGTCGATAACGAATTTCGGAGGTGGTGATACGTGGCAGTCAGTGACATAAAGGTTAAGGGGTAAAGGATAAAAAAATTATTTTTTAAAAAATAAAAAAAAGGGTGAATTGGCCGGCTACGGTGCCAGAGAACCCATCCCGAAGAGGACGAGCAGCGAATGGCACACGAGCTGTTGTTGAGGCGAGGGGGGTCTGTACGAGTGGGTAGATGCGGGAGAGAGAGGAAGAGAAAGGGAGAGGAGTAGAGGAGAAGAAGAGAAGAGAGACGGAGGGAGAGGAGAAGAGAAAAAGATAGAGAGAGGCAGAGATAGACGTAGAGATAGAAGAGAGAGAGAGCGCGTATGCGTAAGAGCGTGCAATGCGTGCGTTAGAGGGCGAGTTGCGAGCGAGCGAGCGAATGAGCAGAGGAGCAGACGGGATGATAAGCAGATGGTGGATGGACGGCAGGTGTCGCCATACCTACCTACGGATGCACCTGCCAGGGCTGCCTGCTGCGTTGCCGCTTACAATTAGTGCTTTTTGCTTGCTGGCTGTGCTTATCTCTCCCTCGCTCCTGCCTCGCTCTCCTGGGCCTCCACCCCCCCTTCTGGCCCCTGCCGTTTCGGGGCATAAAACGGACGCGCCAGCACAGATCCGGCTAGCGCCAACCGGTACATCGGCATTCACTCGTGCTCCATTCCGGTGCTTGGGCCGCTGCTCGGTGCCAGCGCTCCACGTACCCAGCCGCGTATTAAAGTAAGTCCGTGCCGCCGCTGTTGTTCCCGTCCTGCTACCTGTGTACCGAGGTACGTCGGTCCTGCCCTGCCCAGCCTTACTAAGGCAGGTACCGGTCCCAGGTCTCCAGTTGCCGTACCGCTGGTCGGGCACCCAGGCGCCTGCCCTGCGCGGACCACCAGATGGGATCCATGGCCGTGCCTGCCTGGGGTCGAGGTGGTCACCTGCCCTGCCCGGGATTCCTGCTCTGCCAGACCTGTTCCGTCGCTTGTGGCCCTGCTCTGCAATGTGCTTCGCAGAGCCCGCGCCGCCGTTGCCCACGTAGTCGGTGCCTAACCCAGGTTAGATGCATACGAGCGTGTAGGCCTCAGGCAAAAAGGGGGAGCGCCGGCAAAACAGCTCACGGGCTATGTAAAAAAACGTAAGAATATCATTATCGCGGAGGCAATTCGCCCAAAAAAGCTCGGCGGTGTGTTGGAAATGGGATGGTTGCCAAGCGCTACTAGGTAAAGGAAACTCAGAAGGACACGAGAGAGAAGAAAGCGAGGGTCTAGACCACGAAAGGGGCGACACCGGTATGGCATCAGGCTGGCCTGGCGGTCGGTATTATAGTCGGGGGAACACGTGCTGTGTTCGATTGCTTCGCGATGCCCATACTGCCAATATCCGCCAGCTCACCACGTTGCAGCGTAGACTTTGCCCTCTCGCCAAAAGGGGGTGGTCAACCTCTGGCCAAGACTCTAAGTGCAACGCCGACTCGGCTACTTGTATCGTTACTAACGTGAGACGGGCTCGCTATTAAGTCGCAGAGCTTAACGGGATCGAGCACTGTTTCTGGGCGATGGCGTCTCTTTACATCCCGAGTCTCTCAAGGTTAGATACCTACAAGATGAAACCAGTCACGCCCGACTCCCCCGCCGGCAGAGAAGCAAAGTGAGGGAGAGATGCTTACCAGCAACTAACTACCCGCAAGCAACATCCGGCTGCCTGCGAGCCAAGCTTCGACATGTAATCATTACGAGAGAAGAGCTTCTTTTTATCTTGCCAACGGGCTGGTGCACCAGCCGATCTCCTCTCCGACCCTTGTTCCACCGGTTGGTAGAAGAGACCTTCCCCAGGGTTTTGCCAATGCCAAAGGGAGCTCGGAAGAATACTACCGCAACAATCAATAGCAAAGCCCGTCTCGCTCGAGCCGCAGCTTTATATTCGCGTAGACTGAGTAGGCGTAAGTCCTGTGGTTTGGTCACCCCGGCCGCATACGCCTCCGCTCCTCCGTGCTTGTTAATCCGCGGCGTCGTACGGAGGCTGGGAAAGGAGAAATATAACAGCACAGCTACGTTGGCATAGGCCGGTATTTATTTCTCGTTTGATTCGATAGGCGGAACTGTCTCGTCGCGTTAGCTCCTAAGACTAATACAGGACTTCGGGTTGCCGAGGCCCGCATGCGGCGTCTGACGCTCCGGAAACCTCTTCTGAGTAGCAAAGTCGAAGCGAGGAATGGCAACCACCTGGTAGAAGTGGGCGTTTGTATTTGATTTTTGGGTCAGGATCTGCTCAAGTACCGACATTCAGACCCAATTTAAGCTAATTTTTCCGTGGCGATGACCTCCTCCCACCGCTTGGGTTTAGGCGGTAGCGATTTATAGCGTTTCATCATGTATAAGCAGTCTGCATGTCGCTATCCGTGAAGCCTCGACGGTAGCTATAAAGGGTGCGGCGACTCTAGCTCGGTTCAGTCTCAACAGCTTACCCTATTAGTATTCGCCTCTTTTATTGCCGGTAGCTTCTCTCGCTACATACGGCTAGGACACCATCATTCGCCCCTATCGGCGTGGCAATTCATCATGCCTGTGTCCGCCGCCTCTATCGTAGCGCTGCTAGGTGCTTTCGTCACCACAGCGTTGGGCCACGGCTATGTCACCAGCTTCACAGCGGACGGTGTTCAGCAGCAGGGCTTCCTTCTACAGTACTACTACGACAAGAAGAATGGCCTGCCCTATCCCAAGATCTCCGCGTGGTACGCCGAAAACCTCGACAGCGGCTTCGTAGCGCCCGACGCCTACCAGACGGCGGACATCAACTGCCACAAGAACGCGGCGCCGGGCGAGCTGACGACGACGGTGTCGGCGGGCGGCACCGTGACGTTCCAGTGGGGTTCGTCGGGGTCGGGGGCGTGGCCGCACCCGCACGGGCCGATCATCGACTACATCGCGCCGTGCAACGGCGACTGCAGCAAGGTGGACAAGTTGACGCTCAAGTGGATCAAGATCCAGGAGAGCGGCATCGACTACGCGACGCAGGAGTGGGCGAGCGCCAAGCTGATCAAGAACAACAACTCGTGGACGACCAAGATTCCCCAGTCGATAGCGCCGGGGAACTACGTGCTGCGGCACGAGATCATCGCGCTGCACGGCGCCGGCTCGCTCAACGGGGCGCAGAACTACCCGCAGTGCTTCAACATCAAGATCACCGGCTCGGGCACGGCGCAGCCGAGCGGGACGCTCGGCACGGCACTCTACAAGAACACGGATCCCGGCATCCACTTCAACCCGTACGTGACGATCACGAACTACCCGATCCCTGGTCCGAAATTGTTCACTGGTTAGGTTGGGATGGCCTGGGTTCGGCCGATTAGTGACTGAGACTCCCGAGGTTGGGGGGGGGGGGGAGGTTGCGGACCCGTCGTAGGAAGCCAACATTTCCATACCTAGATATGTGCTCATAGGTATACCTATATATAGCGCCCAGATACGTAAGGGGGATGCGGGCGAACTCGTGGAGGCGTAAGCAAGCCAGGTTGGTGTTAGAGAAGTAGGAAGAGAGGAAATAGAGTCACGTCACTAACTCGAGACTGGCGGTTATTGAAGTAACACGTTATGCAGTACCTATGCACAAGAAGGTGTTATGCAAATGGAAGCGATGGGGGTGACGTACGCTGTGTGTACGTGTATGTAATCAACGGTGGCTGGTCTGTGCTCTTACATCCATTCCATTCAGGCACCGTGACGCCTCCAACATCTCTACCAATACATTCACACTTCAACAACCAACATCCGACGACGGCAACTCTCTTCAAACCTCCCGCCAATCTCGCACATCCGTTTCGTCCTCCATATTTGTCTATCCGGCTCTGTCGGCCGCGGAAAGAGAGAGGGAGAGAGCAAAGGAAGATAAACCTCGCCATCCAAGATGGGAGCCCTCCTGTCGCTTCCCCTGCTGGCAGTGCCCAGCGCTGGCACGGTACGTTGCAGCCCGATGGCCGCTTGAAGCATCTCGTCGACTAACCTCCCGACAGCTGATGTCCTTCGCCGCTAGCTGCTGCGGCGCCGCGACATGCTCCATGGTCTGTAGCGCGTGCGGGAAATGCGGTAACAGGTAAGATGACTCGATGGCTTCCTTCCTATACTGTACTACCACAAACCTATCTCTCTCTGTCTCTGTCTCTATGCGTGTGTATGTGACTAACTTTTGGAATCCCCAGTGTCGCAACCCGTATCGCATATGCCCTCCTCCTCCTCGTCAACTCGATACTCTCTTGGATTATGCTCACCCCCTGGGCTATCGAGAAGCTACAGCATCTGATGCTCGACTACGTCAAGATCAACTGCCCGAACGGGCAGTGCTACGGATGGTTGGCTGTCCATCGAATCAACTTCGCCCTGGGCCTGTTCCACCTCATCTTCGTCGGTCTCCTTTTCGGTGTCGCCTCCTCTAAGAATCCGCGGGCCTCCCTCCAGAACGGCTTCTGGGGACCCAAGATCATCGCCTGGCTCGCCTTCATCGTCTTGTCCTTCCTCATACCTGATCCCTTCTTCCAGGCCTGGGGCAACTACGCCGCCTTCGTCGGCGCCATGCTCTTCCTCATACTCGGCCTCATCCTCCTCGTCGACCTCGCGCACACCTGGGCTGAATACTGCCTCGAGAGGATTGAAAACAGCGAATCGAGAGTCTGGCGGGTTGTCTTAATCGGCTCGACCCTCGGCATGTATTTCGCTTCGCTCGCCATGACCATCGTGCAGTACATCTTCTTCGCGCGGAGCGGCTGCTCGATGAATCAGGCAGCCATCACGATCAACCTGCTCCTCTGGATTATTATCTCGTTCGTCTCGGTGCATCCGGCTGTCCAGGAGCACAACCCCAAGGCCGGCCTCGCGCAAGCCGCCATGGTTGCCGTCTACTGCACCTACCTGACCATGTCCGCCGTCTCCATGGAACCCGACGACAGGCTGTGCAATCCTCTTATCCGCGCCCAGGGCACGCGGACGACGTCCGTCGTCATTGGCGCCATCGTCACGATGCTGACGGTCGCGTACACGACGACGCGAGCCGCGACGCAGAGCCTCGGCCTCGGCAACAGCCGCGGCGGCATCCGGCTCTCCGACGACGAACACGACCTCGTGACGCAGCAGCCGAGCGGCCGGCGCGAGATGCGGGCCGAGGCGCTGCGGCGGGCGGTCGAGGAGGGCAGCCTGCCGGCGGACGCGCTGTCTGACGACGACGACGAGAGCGACGGCACCAAGGGGCCCGGGGACGACGAGCGCAGCAGCACCCAGTACAACTACGCCGTGTTCCACATCATCTTCTTCCTCGCGACGTGCTGGGTGAGCACGCTGCTGACGGGCACGGTCGAGGGTCTAGACGACTTGCCGGAGCACGGTGGCAGCGACTTCGCCACCGTCGGGCGCACGTACTGGGCCAGCTGGGTCAAGATCGTGAGCGCGTGGATCTGCTACGGCATGTACGCCTGGACGCTCGTCGCCCCGATCGTGCTGCCGGACCGGTTCGACTTCTCGTAGCGCGCGCAGAAAGGAGAGGTAGTTTGAAATACTTACTAGCAGGAGTAGTTGGTCGTCGTATTTTTTAGGGGGGAGTCTGTGGGATGATTCGTCACCTTTTTTTGAGGGGGAGGGGGGCCGCGAAGCGGACGGTTTCCGAGCCCATCATAGTAGTAGTACATGCGTTACGTCCAAAGTAAACTAACCACCTATCATTATCGATGGCGGCGCAATTTGCGTCGGGGTGAATGGACGGTCGGCAGGTCGGCCGGGCGAAGGGGATTGTAGGGGGAGAGAGACTCGGGGCGCGCCGACGACAAAAGTACGTCGAGCGGGGTGTACATAGGAGGTAGTAGTCGTGGGAGCGTATGCTAGGTCCGCCGAGGAATCAATCCCTTGTCTACATAGGCAATGGTTTGTTTCGCGGTGGCTTAGGAGGCGCTGTAGGCCGAACCGGAAGCCCAGCCTTATAAATACCTATACATGTATTCTTCCGCCCCCTAGGTAAGAAGGGGAGGCTTCGATCCGGACGTGGGGGGGTATACGAGCACCCCTTTCTCTCGCTCTCCAACGACCTACGCTACTTTTCTGCACCTTGTCTTAGCATCCCCTATCGGTTCGCCGTCGACCAAGCCCACCTAGACTTGGCAACTTAGCAGATGAGCTGGCCGCGCGGACTGCCGTTCCGCAGGCGCCATCTGCAGCTATCGTGCGAGGAAGCCCAGCTAGACGAGCCCACTTGGCCACGCGCACGGGCTGGGAGAAGGACTGACGGGCGTCTCCCCCGATGCGGGGTCTCCAAAAGACAGCGCCCTCTGCACGGGACCTACGCCGAGGCCTCCCGTGGGGGTGTGGTGAGGCCGTATACGTCGCCCGCGGCGCAGCTATGTCCACGGCTAGGTGGGCATGGGCAGGATGGATCGGCGCTAGCTGGGCGGCGCTCCACGAGACTGCCGTTGCGGACACCTATGAATCGGCCGCGTCGGGGGCTGCGCAGGCACTTCCCCGGAGGGGGGTCCGTTGCCGAACGTCGAATAAGCTTAGCTTTAGATGCTGGACACTTTAGAGACAGCCGCCTTTCCGGCTCCCATCCCCCCTTTCACCTCTGATATTACTTTCTCTCCTTCTCTCGCAAAACATTTAGTTGCCGTAGACGCTTGGTATAGAATGCCCTCCAGCCTTCTCCGTACGTGGATGATACCGGCACTCGAGAAAGAAATAGCCGGGAACACAACGCGCCTGCTAGGGGCTGCCGCAAAATGGAAGACTGCCGATTGCGAGGGACTACCGCCTTCCATTAGGCAAAGTAGGGGTTCATTAGGGGCGGACACCTTCTCGGCATATCCCTAAGCCTATTTGGTGTGTCCATCCCCAAATAGCCCCTAGGTTAAGCACGCGCTGATGCTAGTCGCCCTGATGACGAACTCGTCCAACAATGCCCAAAGCGACCATCCCCGCAGCAATGGGCTGATAACGGGGAGCATTCTGGCTTCCTGGACGGGTGACCGCGCCGCAAGGCAGATATCGGAACTATTTACCACGTATTTGCAAGACAAACAGGGTGTTGTGCGAACCTGGGTTGGGGGTCTCTGGAAAGAGCTCGTAACCGGACATGTCTTATTCCTACGGCCGCTGGAAACTCCTAGGAGTTGTCGTATTACGTGGGCCTTGCGTTGCTTAACCCTCTGTGCTCTTTCAACGTTGGCTATCTGACGCGAATACGGGTAAACCTGTCGATGGAGGGGGGGAGGCCATCACTAAGTCTGCTTGCCTCTCCCGATTTTGCTCTAGCGATTCGATCGGGACTAGACGCTGACCCGGCCTACGATATCGGTTTCGGCCGACGGTCTCATAATGGGTTGGCATTGGCGTACGTAACTGAGCGCAAACCCCTATAAATATGAGCATGTGTAACTTGAGGATGCCTTGCTAGGGTGCTATTGTCGAAAGCCAAGGGCGTTCAGACCTGCCAGGGGACATGTGTCGTGAAAGTTGAACAGCATAGCACTCGTGAACCCACGGACAATCAGCTTCATATATATAGGAGACGTACAATAGCAGCTCATGCGAAAATGACCTGTCACCCGGCAGAGCTCGAGATATCGCCTAAGGTCTAACGTGACAGCGGCTTCGTATCTACGCGAATAAGCATCAAACATGGTGACTGAGGTACTGGGAGGTCGTTGAGGTCCAGACCATGTGAGCACGGGAACGCGCACCTCGACTATCGATGATCATCCCGCCGGAGGAGATAACGACTCGGCGTCGAGCCACAGATGGTAGATAGCGATAACTCAACTAAACCAAGGCCTCGCCGGTGGCCGTGTATGACGTTGTCCGGAGAGGGGAATGCGGATCGCTTCGCACGCATGCCGGTCGAAAAGCAGCTTTCGCCCGAGTGAACCTTTTTCGCTTTCCCTTTACCGTATGTCCGAGTCCTACTCTGTTTGCTCCGCACTGCATCGTCAGAAGCGGCACCCCACGTGAAGTACTATATCTAAAGGGGCGGATCTGCTCGTACGTGGCCGATATAGCTAAGTTAGCCTACTCGGGTCTCACAACTTCGGTACTTTCTCTTCTCGCGTCCGCTGACGAGATCCAAGATCGTCTTACACTAGGGGGAAGGGAGAGAAACCGTGGGACGAGGATGAGCGAAGATTGGGCGGAAGAGAAGCTCGCAAATTGTTTCCTCTCAACAAACAACGAGCGGTTGAATGTTGCGTCTGGAGGAATCAGGAATGAGAGAACCCGCCCAAATAAGCCATCCCAGGTTAGAGAGGACTCTAGAGCCAGTTGTCCCCTTGACATTCGCCTCCACAGTCAAAGCGCAACGGCTGCTACGACAATATTGGCGGGTGCCCGCATGCAAGAATGCAAGTGGCTGCTCACCTGACCCCCGTGTCGAATGCCGACTTGACAGACTAGAGCTGACCCTGTAGATCGGTGGTGTCTTCCCAATCATCTCGACAGAACTTTTGTCAACAATACGCCGGCCTCCATGAGAGATGCAGACATCCCGGTACATCGACTAAGGCATCCGAGAGGGGTGGCGCGCGGCGATAAAGAAGAGGACGTGTAAGGAGGCCGGAATCGTGCCGTCTTAGTGTCGTGGAGGATGCAGAAAGGGTCGTTTGCCGCCGAGGAGGGAGCGGAGAGATAAGAGACCGTGCCTCTAAAAGAGAGCGCCCCCCGCGCGATAACCGTAACTCGCTTAAAAAGCATTTGCCTTACCACAAGAGCTGCTGCTTTGGCGAACTGGGTGTCGCGTACTATTGGGGATATGCAAGCCACGGGAAGTAGATCCAGATCGATATTGGCAGGCAGTCGTTCCACGAACCAGGGCGAATGTCGGTGTCACGCAGCTAGAAGAAACTACTCGGCCTCGGCAGAGCGAAGCGTAATTCGAACCTTTATTCGGGGATCACCAGTCTACGCCATGTGCCGTATCGCGGATACGTCGTTTCTCCTGCTGCGGAGGGCTCCGAGATCTACTCGACAAACCACTCGAACCTCGACCTGGGCATTCCCTGTTGGCCCGTCAGCTGCGACATGGCCGATTCTAATGTCAGGCCGGGGACGATGAGGGAACGAGAGGTCGACTTGGCGGAAGACAAAAGTACTGGTCAACCCGTCTATATAAGGGTCGGCTCGATCTGTAATTGTATAGAGAGCATCGGGCCCGTCCTGTTAGTTTTGTTTACTGATATTTACAATTCCGAAGCTCTCACCCAAGCTATATTGCCATACACTAGATCACCCTTCTTGTTGCTAAATCGCAATGCCGCACAGTATCCATGAGGCTGAGGAGAGGACCAATAGGTTTGTTGAGCGCAACGCTATGCGATGAGGGATGTCCTAAAACAGCGCATATAGTGGTCCCGGCGCTCAAGTCAGCAGCTCTCCTGCGCCCGTAGCAGCCGCATCCTATGGAGGAGGAGCCTCCGGGGCGACGATGTTAGACCGGTGGGCGAAAGAGACCCTGAGAGAAGAACTCCCTTTCACCGAGGTCATCATCCAGGGGTCCAGTGCAGGGTATGTATGTAGCTTCTCTCTCCTTTTGACTCCATGGCCCGAAATCTGTGTGCTGAAGAGCGAGACTAGATCACCCACAGAGCATTGACTCGTCTTCCAGGATACGAGCCGCTGTACATGTAACGAGAAGGGGGGGTGGAGGGGGTGGAACTAAACGCTTGCACTGGAGGCTAGCGTGTTACAATCCCTCAATTTACTAGTCCTTAGAGCACCTGGATAATAATGCCATCTTCCCGATATTGTTGCAACACAATTTTGCTGCCGTGTCACACAACCGCGTGTGCTTTTACCCCGAAGAGCGGAACATCCGCAGGATCTTAAGATAATGCACTGCTTGACGTGGTGTCGTCGCTCAGAATCGTACCTCCACTTTATGTGGCCGGGTCTACAGCGTGGATGCCATCCAGAGAAATGCTCACAGCACCGGCTTGGACGAGCTGTTTGTCGTTAGCATCACGATAAAGACAAATTGAGACCAACACATGTCGTGCCACTTACTGCGCGAGAGAGGTCGTCAACTAAGTCGTTGACATCCTCGATGCCGATGCAGAGTCTGATGATGTCTTCGGGCATCTGCCGCTCCTTTCTCGTCTTTGCATCGATGCTGGCGTGACTCATACGACACGGCATGCTGATCAAGCTGTTGACACACCCGAAGCTTACGCTGATCCCGTATAGCTTCGCAGCCTCGACGATCCTCTCGGACAAGGCAATGTCGCCGGTTTCAAACGAAAGGACTGCGCCGGCACCTCGAGCGATAGACCAGTGGAGGTCGTACTGCGGGTGGGATTTTAGGCCGGGGTAACGTACACGGAAACCGTGGGATTCAAGGAACTCGGCGATGGCTTGTGCATTCGCTTGCTGCTTCTCCATGCGAATGGCTAATGTCTTGATTCCCCTCATGAGGAGGAACGAATCGTTCGGAGACAGGCCGCAGCCGGTCGCGTTGATGGTGAAGTACAGCTTGTCGCCAAGAGCGGTGTCATTGCATGCGATGATGCCTGCCATAATGTCGTGGTGACCAGATAAATACTTAGTCCCCGATTCGTAGACGATATCAGCGCCGAGCTCGAGCGGATTGCAGAGCATGGGGGACAGCATGGTGTTGTCAACAATGACGAGGGCCTTCGGGTTGGCATCATGGGTGGACTTGGCGATGGACGGGATGTCCACAATCTTGATTAAGGGGTTGGTTGGGGTCTCGAGGAGCACCATGGCGGTCTTGTCCGATATGGCTCCTCGCACCTTTTCGACGTCGGTGGTATCCACATGGTGAACGATAATGCCTTGATTCGACGACAGATATGTAAGTAGCCGGTTGGTGCCGCCGTAGAGATCGTCGCCCGTGATCACCTCATCCCCGGGCCGCAGCAGCCTGGTGATAACGTCTAAGGCGCCCATGCCCGAGCTGATAGCAAGGGCACGACTGGCATTCATGATCTTGGCCATATGGCGCTCTAAGTGTGTCCGCGTCGGGTTACCCGACCGCGTGTAGTCATATTCGCTACCACCGTTGGACGAGGCCTGCTTGAAGGTAGCGGATTGATAGATGGGAATGCTCGACGCCCCATACTGGTCCTTGGTCTCGGTGTACACAAGCTCAGTGGCTAGGGCGTATCGTCGACGGCCGGCAGACGGGCTCGAGGGTGCCGGCGAGGGAGGGAGGTCGTGGCCATCCAGGTCAATTTTGGAAATGGCTTTGTTGATAGGTTGGGAGGCCATGGCTGATGCAGCGAACCCGGCGAACACCGGCAGATAGGAAGGGGGGTTTGAGTCACCGAGGGGTCGCTGGAGCCTAAGGAGTCTTTATTTTTTTATTTTTTTATTTTATTTTTTACTACTCTCCGGGGGCTGGCAAGGTGAGGAGGGGTCACCGGTTGGCCGGCAGGTTGGTTCTTGTGGAAGCCGTCTGCCGCACAGGAGAGGAGGAGGGTTGTCGAATGGGTTTGAGGGGATTCCCACGGTGAGAAGAAAAGGGAGAGGAAAAGCCCACCGATTGTTGAGGTTGCGTGCTTATGGAGAGGAAGTACACGCGAAGGGGGCAGAAATTCCGTGATTGCTACTCCGGGGTAGCACTTGCACAAATGATTGCCCGTGTCAGGAGGGCGGTGTGGGCCATCGTGCCTTGCAGCTTCCGGATATCGGGTGGTGCCATGAAAAACCTGGGGAAGGCGCGGGTATCGCAGGAGATGACGTGATTTCGGGAGTGGACAAAGCGCGCCGTTGGCGAGAGGTACCTACCACAACGTGGCTATCTGGTACCTCGCGTGGGCGCCGGGGGCAGGGGAGCACTTCACTGTCCTAGGCCGGGGTAGGTAAGTTAGGTACCTACTCTACACGTCTAGCCGGTATTCGAGTAGGGGGTAGATGTCGGGACCTTAGGTACCTAACCTAACCTACGCCTAGTGTTAGGCAGTTGTAGGTACCTGGACCTAACGTCTGAAACAGGCACCCGGAATATACGCATCGGATGGCTCGGCCAACACCATATCCAGGCTCCCTACCGAACCTACCTACCTCCTCGCCTGCTAGTGAGCGTGTGCCCGTCCAACCGGCCGTGAGGATGCCCGTCGGCCGTGAATGTCTGGTGGTAGCCCGGCCCGATCCCCCGCCAGCGGACAGACGGGTATTTCCGCTCAGCATCGAATTCCATGATATTGGCAGGAGTGGGGATGGATGAAAGGTGGGTGTCATGTACAAGGACGCTTGTTTAACCGGTGTCTATAAGGCCGACTGCGGAACCCAGAGAGTAAGTTGCTATATCCCCCCCAAAACATATGCCTCTCGATGCGAACGCCCGTACCCCGGTTCCCCTCGGTTACCTATACAAACTAGGCGGCTTCGTCCCGTCGAGGATTTATGCAGAAGCCTCGGTGATAGCTTTTGCGCCTGTAGTCGACGTTTCGACCGTATATGCGTCGTCGTCCTCCACGTCGTCGTCCTCGTCGCTCGAGGACTTTGCTTGTGCGTGGTTCCTCATGAGGATTTGCCCACCGCCTTCCCGCCCGAAGAAGTCTTCCGTGCGGATTCCCCGCACCTTGGTCGGGTCGATAGAGGACATCGAGCTTCCGCTGGCTTTGTGCTCGCGTATGTATTCTCGAACCGGCGCCATGGCGGCATCGCGACAAGCCTCCTTGATATCACTACCCGACATGCCTGCCGTAACCCTGGCAATGTATTCGATGTTGAAGTCGCTGGGGTCGGTTTTAGAGTCCTTGAGGATGAGTTGGAGTATTCGTAGCCGTTGGCTTTTATCGGGCAACGACACGGGGAATTTCTTAGGCATCCGGCGTAAGATAGCCTCGTCGATGTCTTGGATACGATTAGTTGCGCCGAGCACGACAATCCTGGCAGGGATGCCTTGAGTATTCGCCGAGGTAAGACCATCCCATAACGTCATAAATCTGGCTACTGTTAGCGGCCACGTTGGCGAGAGGAAGCTGAGACCTTACTCGGCTTTGACCATGCCGCTAGCCTCGTGCTCGCCGCTTCTCCTAGTCCCTAGGATGGAATCGATCTCGTCTATGAAGATGATAGCAGGCTGAAGTTTGCGAGCGAGGGAGAAGACTGCCCGCACCAGCTTGTTCGAGTCCCCATACCACTTCTCGGTTAATGTCGAAATGTGTAGGTTGATAAAAGACGCGCCGCTCTCGTGCGCGACTGCTTTCGCCAACATCGTCTTGCCACACCCAGGAGGACCGTATAGTAACACGCCAGACGGCGCCGACAATAGAGGTGCGGCGTGCGAGTAGAGATGTGGCATAGTTAATGGGTATATGACGGACTCCTTCACCTCCTCGATGATATCCTCCAGCCCACCAATGTCTGTCGCGGGTTCAGAACCACACTCGTGAGCATCGATTAGGAGTAGGGCAGCTCACCGTCGAATCCAACTGGTATGTCCTCGGGCGCAACGACCTCGAGCGCTACGAGGTTCTCATACTCGTTAAGCACCAGATCCTCGACACGCGGGCCTCTCTTCCCATCGCTGATCATCCCTTCATCGCTCCCCTCTGCGTAGTCTCTTAGCTTTGGTAGCCTCCGGAGGTTCGCTTTCGCCCTGAGCCTGGCCTGTTCGCGTTTTTCCTTTTCGGGGTCGGCGAGATTCGTGAGGAGGTTCCTGGTTAGAAACCACGCTGCTCCGGCCTGGTGGATGGCATTAGCGGTGCGACTGCATACTTGGATCGAGACGGGTGGCCGAGCCTACCGTGCCAAGGATCAAGATAATATCCCAGATGTAGTCGGCGCCATTTCGTCTTCGGTCAACCATCTCGACGGACTGCTTGAGGCTGCTGCGAAGCATTTATTTTGCCTCCCGCTGGGGAAACCTCGGAGACGGGCAGGATGGAGACGGGAAGGATGTAGGCAGAGTAGCGAGACGCAATCAAGAGGCTAGCTTCGCTACATAGGATAATAAGATAAAGCACAACACGAGATTGATCGCACACGCAGTCCAATCCGAGCCGAGGCGGGCTTAAGCGCGATAATAGGTTCCCTTATCTACGATAAGCTTCGTTTGGAATAGGCTGTCTGATACCTCAGGAACCCGGATGCGTTGTGCACCTCTACTTACTACGTGGTACCTACAGGTACCCAAGGTAAACACAACAAGTAGTGGTGTACAAATATATGCGGCTATCGGTAATGGGGTACTGAGTGTCCGCCGACGAATGCCTAGAGGTACCTGTGTCTGTCCATTAGGTACTAGCTAGCCCCTGCTCACTTTTTGTTTACTTGGGTCGTCTCGATACCAATCCTGATTGGCGACTGACGCATCCCACCACCAGCACCATCAGCACCACCATCATCACCATCATCGCAATCTAGGATACCTGCCTCCCTCTTCTATCGTCGCGTGACTGGCGAACATAAACTACCTAATACCGAACAATACATCTGATCTTTAGCACCGCATCGTCATAGCATCGGGCTTACATAATATCACCCGCAAGTCAAATCTCGGGGCACCTTTTCAACGGCGCGGCGCGTGTGGTGAGAACTGGCCATCACGATCAATGTCAAGGACGAGAGCTACTGCTCTGCTCGGGCTCGTGGATTCGGACGAAGAGGCGTCGGATATCTTGACCAGCGCTGCGCTATCCACGGCGAAAATGGCCCCAGCGAAGAAAACCAGGGGGACGATTGCAAATCAAGTTAAAGCGACACCGCAAGCCACGACGCGTCAGACCAGTGGAAGAGCCGCCGCCGCCACCGCCGCCGCATCGACAGCGAAGGCTTCTGTACGCAAGGCTCTGGCGGAAAAACCAGTGAATGTCCAGGAGAAACTTACACGGGGCAAGGGAAACAAGCGGCCTGCTCCCGAAGATGTCGTATCGGTAGATGAGGAGGAACCGGTAGGCGGCGACGATAAACCTAAGAGAGGGAGAGGACGTCCAAGGGTAGCCAAAGCCCCGAGAATCTCGGACATCGAAGACGTATCTGCCATAGATCAGCTACAGCCTACAACCCGGCCACCCGCGAAGAGAGGGCGTAAACCGAAGTCCAACATCGAGACCCCGGATATCGAGCGCGAAATTCCCGAAACGCAGTTTATCGAAACCACGAAAGTTAGCGTCGACGAGTTTGAGGAAATAGAAGATTTGCCGCCCCGGGCTCGCCGTGGCTTTTCTTCCGCCCAAGGTACTCGAACCCATCACGTCTTCAGCGCAAGCCGTAGGGCTGCTCCTGCGTCAGATTCCGAGCTTCATGATCCGTCTATGAGGAGGAGGCTGGGTGACTTGAACCGGAAGTATGAAATATTGGAAGCAAAATATCGCGATTTACGGGAGATCGGCGTTAAGGAGGCCGAGCGCAATTACGATCGACTCAAGAAGCAAGGAGAGGAGAGGGCTAACAGTGAGTTCCGAAACAGGGGACGATTGCGCGGGGAAGTTCTGCTAACGATTCGAAGCCGCCAATCAACTCATTGCGACATTAAAGGCGCAACTCTCTGCCCAGACAGAGCTGGCAAAGGAATCGCAACGCTTAAGACAACAGCTGGAGGCTAGCCAGGGCAAGATAGAGCAACTGCTGAATAAAGTCAACAGCACCGACGCCTCTCTGTCGGAGGCGAAGACGGAGATCAAGACGCTCTCCACGAAACTCGCCGCAGCCCGGTCGGCGGAGACGGCGAGCACAAAAATCCCAGGCAGCGCCATCAAGGGAAGCAGCGCGAACAACCGGCTCCTCGCTAACGCCGAGGCAGCGGCGCAGTTGGCGCAGCTGAAAGAGGTCCTCTACGGGGACCTGACGGGCCTGATTGTCCGCGGCGTCAAGCGGGAAGAGGGCATAGAGACGTACGACTGCATCCAGACGGGTAGAAACGGAAGTGAGTACCGGTTTCTCCAGTCCCGGCGGCCGCATTCGAGACCACGTACCGCTAACACTGTCACCTGCAGCTCTCCACTTCAAGCTGGCCGTAGGCGGCGAAGAGCTCACGGAGAATTTCGACGAGCCTCAGTTTATGTACCTGCCGCAGCTGGATCCGAGCCGCGACGAAGAGCTGATAGACATGCTCCCCGACTATCTCGTGGAGGAGATTGTGTTCCCGCAGTCGCACGCGGCGAGGTTCTACGCCAGAGTTATGAAGGCTCTCACCGAACGTCTCGACTGAGCGTGAGATTAGGGGTCGAGGTCGGGGTCGGTTGGGCGTTGGTGTTTGCGTTCGATACCAGGTTCGAAATGAATGAATTGCCTATCCGTGTACTATTGCTCTACAGGCCGGTTCCCTTAGGTGAGGTTATGTACCTTAGACAGGGACGTTGTTCTCCAGCACCTACTTATGATTTCTGGTACGAGGCGGGACCCCTTGCACCCAGCACTGCGAGGGACTTTCTCCTCTCTCTAATGGCGAGAATAGCCCGTTCGTCAAGGTGGCGCGCCGGAGCCTTTGGTGATATCGCGGTGAGGGGTAGCGTGCCTCCTATGCGACCAGCTTAGCGAATGTACCTACCTACCCCCTGGATTGATAGAATACCAGGTAGGTACCTGATATAGAGGTATTAGGTCACAGGTAGGCACCTTGTAGTCGGAAAGTGACGGGCAGCAAGCCAATGGGGCGTGGGTCCCGCCAACACGGTGTTCTCGGGGAAAGGGGGCCGATATAACACGGGCAGTACTTGGGTCGCACCGCGCGACCGCGTTACCGTCGTGGTACCTCGATTGTACATCGCAAAATGCTTAGCTGCCAATGACCCGCAGCTGGCTGGGTGCGATCCCCTGCAAGGTGCCAGCCAAGACGAGACGAGACGGGTTGGACCCTAAATGGCTTAACCGGCTATCGCAACGTGGAAACTTGTCGACGGGCTTCGCAATTTATATTGGCGACCTCTTCACCACCGACTACCTACCTCTTCTTCTTTCCTCCCACCCCTTCTCCTTCCAATCCGTAATATCCCTACGGAGCCGATGGCTTGCGACTTGCCACGCTCTACTCATACCTGTCTTTTATTTCCTGTCCCTCATTCCCATGGATCCGTTTCGAGCTGACAAACGTCTCCTCTGAAAGTCGGACCTGTCTCACTTTTGACCTGTTTCCTTGACGCCCTCGTTTTCGCTCGCTCCGCTTTACGACGCGCGCAAGACCGACCGACCCCTGACGGCTCGCAACCATGGCGGGCGCCAGCCGCTTCCGGTTCCTGGCCGTTGCCGTGGTCTTCCACCTGGTTTACATCTACTCTATTTTCGACATCTACTTCGTCAGTCCTATTGTTAGCGGGATGCGGTTGTACCAGCTAGAGAGGCCTGCTGGGGAGAGGGCACCCGCCGACCGGCTCGTCCTCTTTGTGGGTGCGTGTCGCTCCTTCGTGGAAGAAGCCGGATCCGCGGTCGATCTCTTGCTAACGCCGGCCGCTAGGCGACGGGTTGCGTGCGGACAAGGCGTTTCAATCATTTCCTGAACCCTACGCCAAGACGGAAGATGACGAGGTTCCGAGACCGCTCGCGCCCTACCTTCGTTCCCGCGTGCTGGAACACGGCACTTTCGGCGTATCCCACACCAGAGTGCCCACCGAATCGCGACCCGGCCACGTTGCGCTTATAGCCGGGCTTTACGAGGACGTTTCCGCCGTGGCAACCGGCTGGAAACTCAACCCGGTCAACTTCGACAGCGTCTTCAATAGGAGCGCTCACACGTGGAGTTGGGGCAGCCCCGACATCCTCCCCATGTTTGAGCAGGGCGCGACTCCGGGGAGGATAGACGCGGATTGTTACGATGCCGACTTCGAGGACTTTTCTCAAGACGCAACCCACCTGGACTTATGGGTCTTCGATCATGTGAAGGAACTTTTTGCTGCCGCCGAGCAGAACAAGACTTTGAACGGTGCCCTCAGGCAAGACAAGATCGTCTTTTTCCTCCATCTCCTAGGGCTTGACACCAGTGGCCATTCGTACCGTCCGTACTCGAAGGAGTACTTGAATAATATCAAAATTGTCGATCAAGGTGTTAAAGAAGTAGCCGAGCTAATCCAGGATTTCTACCGTGATGATAGGACAGCTTTCGTTTTCACTGCCGACCATGGAATGAGCGACTGGGGTAGTCACGGAGATGGCCACCCGGATAACACGAGAACCCCATTGATTGCTTGGGGCTCGGGTGTTGCAAAGCCGTCTGTACATGAGGGTGTCGTCGCACCTGGTCACGACGAGTACTCCTCGGATTGGAATCTTGATCACATCAGGAGGAACGACGTGCAGCAGGCCGATGTTGCGGCCCTGATGGCCTATCTAGTCGGTGTCGAGTTTCCCGCCAACTCCGTGGGCGAACTTCCGCTTTCATACCTATCCGCAGACATCAAGGAGAAGGCCGAAGCCTCTCTGGTGAACGCTCGGGAGATTCTAGAGATGTATAAGGTGAAGGAATCCCACAAGGAGGCGAATGAGCTCCGTTATCGAGCTTACAAGCCCCTGAGCGAGGAGAATGGCCTGCTCCCGGAGAAGCGAGTGTCGATCATTCGAGACTTAATCAGCACCGAGAATTACGAGGAGGCCATCGAAGAATCCGCCGCCTTGATGAAGATTGGACTTGAGGGCATGCGCTATTTGCAGACTTACGACTGGTTGTTTCTGAGAGCTCTCATCACCATCGGCTATCTTGGATGGATGGCTTATGCTCTAACTACGGTTTTGGACCTACACGTATTACATGGGACAACGCAGGCATCGAGAACCCTTGGTGGTGTCGTTGCCTTCTCTTCCGTTCTCGTCCTTCTTTATTCGTCCTTCGTCATCTCTCACTCGCCCTTCACGTACTATGCTTATGCCTTTTTCCCTGTATTTTTCTGGGAGGAAGTATACGCACGGAGAGATAGCCTGATCAAGGGCAGACAGGTCTTGTTCGGACACATCAAAACTGGCGCCAACGTCTTTACCCTAGTGCTAAATATGATTATCTATGTCGGTATCATTGTATCGCTGGTAATTAGCCCCCCTCTTCCCCCCCCCCACACACACCCCTTCGAAGATATCGAGTAATAACCGAGTGGCAGGCCCTCGGATATATTCATCGAGAAATATTTACAGGGCTCTTCGTTGCCGGCGCCTTCTACCCGTTGACAGTAGGGATATCTTTCCTTCAGGAACACATTCTCTTGAGCGTAACTTGGTTTGTGTTGTGTCTACTAATGGGCAGTTTCACTTTACTACCGGCCATGAAGGTCGAAAATATCCCGCTGATGTGAGTTGGCCTGACTGAACTTTTGGAATCCTAAGCTGACGGGCACCGCGATATACAGCATGCTTGGCGGCCTGCTCATGGTCATTGTCGGGCTTCTGTACCTGATTTTTGAGGATAGGCTCTTGGCAGATTTTTCGAGCCCAAAGAGATCCAGCGGCCTTCCAAAGGCTAACAGGGTCTCGAGAGCGTTGGTTGGCATTCAGGTAAATTTGATAATTTTCAACGGAGTGTCCTCGCCGTTAGCCGTATTGACATCGCGTAGATCGGGCTCATCCTATTAGCTATGGTGGTCACTCGGGACAGTGCTCTGTCGCTACAAGCTAAGCAGGGCCTACCGCGCGGAAATCAGGTAGTAGGCTGGTTGGTGTTGGTCGTGTCCTTGTTGATGCCACTGACCCACAGACTTCAGCCGAACAACCACTACCTTCATAGGTTGCTGGTTATTTTCCTGACGTGCGCGCCAACCTTCGTTATTCTCACCATATCCTACGAGGGGCTGTTCTACTTTGCTTTCAGCTCGACTCTGGCCACCTGGGTGCAGCTGGAACGTCACAGTTACGTATTCTTACGGTCAGCGACCGGTGCGCCGGCAGCGAAGAATACCGCCGAGGCGACGCCCAAGACAGTCGTGTCCAAATTCCGGCCGCTGGCTTTGTCAGACACCCGCGTGGCTCTCTTCTTCTTCATCCTTATCCAGTCGGCCTTCTTCAGCACAGGCAACATCGCTTCGATTTCTTCCTTCAGCTTGGAGAGCGTATGTCGACTCATCCCGATATTCGACCCTTTCTCGCAGGGGGCGCTTCTGGTTCTTAAGATTATGATTCCGTTTGCGCTCATATCCGCGAACTTGGGGATTCTCAATAAGAGAATCGGCGTGGCGCCGTCGGCGCTATTCATGGCCGCGATGGCGATGAGCGACGTACTAACCCTCTACTTCTTCTGGGTAGTGAAGGACGAGGGTTCGTGGCTCGAGATCGGGTCCACGATCACGCACTTTGCCATAGCTAGCCTGCTTTGCGTCTTCGTCGCCGCGCTCGAAGGCGTGAGTGCGTTGTTCATCGCCGGCATCGAGGTGGAGAGTATGTATGAGTTGACGGCTGTAAGCAACGGGACGGTGCCAAACGGCCCAGAGCGAGCTACCAACGGGGAGACCAAAGACGATGGCCCGGCTAGTAGATCAAAGGGGGAGATAGATACGCTGGCCGAGTCTACGTAGGCAGCGGTAACTCGTCGGCTCTGGGGACAGACAGAAGATTCGATAGATAAATACGTACGTAACGAGACGAGGCGGAGTGTCAGGCAGCCATGTCTCAGATGTTCGCATATTATACTCAGTATGTACTCATAGTGAGCGCGGGATTACGTAGGTAGGGACCGCAGCTGGGGTGCGCGTTGTTGATGTGATGGTGACCCGATTCGGCAAATTCCTCGGCACGTCTTGGAAGCTTGGACGGGCGTGAAGTTGCCATTGGCCTCACTCTCCACAATGCGTATGCGCCACCGTATGTGGATGTACTCATATATATCTCCCTACCGCTGCCCCGTATGTTTTGGAAGGCCAAGAGCAGGCCACAGGCGGAGAGAATCATCACCCAATCCCGACCGATACGTGCTCCCTCCCCGTCCAGGTTCGCATGCATACACATCTACCACACATCGTCGATCCGGATGCCCCTCTGGCAGTTATGCACAACACGATGTATTATTTATAGACAGCCCGGGCAAACGTGTTTCTAACGTCGGCGCATCTTCACGCACGCACGCACATACCATACCCGTGGGCGGGATCCGGCTAGGACGCGGAGAGGAGCGGGCCTGGTGAAACATTATAAATGACGGGCTGGCGATTTGAGGAATCGGGCTGGGCTGAACGGGGGGGGGTTCTCAAATCGTCGCGACGTGTGGAACGGAGGGTCGAGCCCAAACCGGCGCGACGCCGATAGCGTCGACTGGGGCAGCAAGGATCGGCCGGGAACGTAATCGACTTACACGTAAAAAAAAAAAGTCACACGAGGAGGGGGGAACCACCGGCGTTGCAAGCGCGCCGACTACCACCTGTACGTACCCCAACTCAGGGCGGTTTATAGTACTTCAGGTGTGTACCAACCAAGGTACCTAACTGTACCTACTACAGGAGGTATCTCCTCGCGAATACCGTTGACAGGAGAGGGGGAGTAGGGTTAGGTACGTAATGGGTCCTGTTGGGGCCACCCTTCACATGTCAGTAGTACCTTAGGTGGCTCTTCGCCCCCCTCCCCTGTTGTCTTGGCGGAAATAATCTATGCATGGAAGTCTTCGCAGGAAGAGGTGGTATATGAGGCAGCTAAGGCAAGTCTATAGGTAGTACTTAGGTATCTCCTAATGTAGGTAGGTACCTATATACATGAGCGGTCTTAGGTATCTGTGCCGTACCCGGGTTAGCGGGCGGGTTACGCTCTTACCTATCGGGGCGGAGGGATTCGATGCCCCTTATTACCTGTCAGTTCGTGTCTTGTAGGTGGGATTCCGGCATCTTGTATGTGCGGGTTTCCACCACATGCCGGTCGAGGATGCATATTTATCGCCTGACCCGTTCGCGGGATGAGACAAGCAAACCTGCGAGACACGGTCAAGCAGCTGTCCCGTCCCCGAGTTCGCTCGATGTGATTTCCGCAGGCTTCCGACGCGGGCCCGAGACGACGCAGGACACCGATTCGAGATGATCGCACAGTTGGTCGGGGGGTGCAGCAGGGTGACCTCCCTACGTACCCATATATAGTGGACGGACGTGTGGGTACGGCGAGAGCCATCTGGATCCGCCCAGGGTGTGCCATCAATCCCGCAGGTATTCCCGCCCGCGTCGAAACGGGTCCGTTCTCGAGCCCGCTCACCTCGCGCGCGCGCGCAGGTAGTGAAGGACCTCAGTATAAGGTAGGTGGGTAGGAAGGTAGAGAGATATAGAATTACGTTGCCGTCACCCTACGTTAGCAGCCAGGACGTCCCTGACTGAGGTCGGCGGGAGAGGATGGGGTTAATGTAGGTATGCACTTGGGCGATTAGCATTCCCCATAATATGCACATTGGGGGGCCCAAGTGCGTACTAAGAATCGACGAGGCGCGGTGGCTACGGCAGTTCCGGGGTTTATACACCCATTACACCCATATCCACAAGGTCCCTCGCCCATTGTACACCATAAAAAAAACACACCTGCACCGTTAGCATTGGGGGAGTACAAAGACATCCATCCCATCGCGTCCCATCCATCCCACACCTCCCTGCCGCCGGTTCGCCCGTTCCCCTACGCAAGTGCGTATGGATATTTCCGGCTGCGTTATCTATGCTGTGCCAGGTAAGGTAGGAATGTACATAGGCACGCGCTGAAAGAACTCGCCGGCTGCTACGCATTGCCTACCTATAACATACCTACTTACCAGGAGTGCCCCGGGACGGCCTGGCCTGCTCACCTACCTCGCCAACATATACGTGCCCTACAAAGACGGCCACAAGGACGCCTCCCTCTCCGAGACGACCAGGCAGAGCGGGCAAGAAAGAAGCAGGCAGGAGAGGCGCGCGCCGGAACTACCAAAAAAAAAAAAATCCGAGTCCGCTTCGTCGTCCCTGGTCGCATCGGACATTCATCCCATCACCGCATCGCCTGTTCCATTCGCCGTCCCGGACCTCTGCCCTCTGGGCCTACAGCCTTTTCTCTTCTCTTTTCTTCCCTTTTTTTTGGTTCTCGCGTCCTCCCCGGAGCACTAAAAGGGGGGCATACCTACGTCGCCGTTAGTCCCAGCTGATCGTTCGACGACCCGAGTCTCTCTGTCTCATACTTACCGGACCTAACCTGCCCACCGTACCACCCGCGCACGCAACCGGTATATACACGCACACGCACATACGCATACAGATCTATACGTACGCACCCACACATATATCTCTCTGCTTTATGCGCGCCCGCCTACGACGGCGCGGCTACGAGCGACGGTGAAGTCGACGGCAACTTCGAGCGGCACGGTCAGCGCCTCGGTTCCGGCAGCGACATCAACCGTCTCGACACGAGCCCCGCCCTCCGCACCGAGATACTGTCGCTGGCAGGTGTCGCATCGTTCGCTCTCCGCGGTCGCGTGCATTGATGGACGTCGGCATGGATTCTGGAGGTGAGCCGGCGAGGCCGCAGCCGCCCCAACATCTGAATTCGCCCTCGCAATCTACGCCGGCCTCTACGAGTAGCCGTAATACGCCGCCAGCGCCGGGGTCGACGTCGACGCAGAATTCCCAGGGGCAGATGAGCTTTCGAAGGTTTGTACCGCTTTTTTCACGCCGTGGGCGTGCTTTGCGCCCACGCTGCGATTCCGCGACCGAGTGAAGTGGCTGACTCGAGATGGGGTCCGAATGCGATTAGACAACGAGCTTCGAGAGCTTGCGAGGTGCGCGAATTCCTCTCTCTCCCCCTCTTCTATGCGTGCTGCTCCTATCATTTATCCTTCCCCCTCTTCCATTGAGAGAGCTATGTTTGGTGCCTTGCCTAGATTTATAAGTGCCACCTGAGCTACCCTATCTGGGGCGTGAGGGTGGGATTCTCGCAATCGTGCCGAGGCATCTCGAGCAATGCGGTCCATAATACTTGTCGGCCCTGCAAATCGCTAACTGACCACTCGGCTATCAACAGACCTGCCATGCTAGAAAGGTACGAACCCGACAACCCTTAGCCTTACCGTGCCCGATGCCGCAATCGCCATTGGCAGGCCGGTTGGCACCATCCTCTCATCCTCTTGTCTCACGGGGGCCCTAGTTGACCAAGCCGATTCGTAGGTGCGATGCGATGCCGCGAGCCTCGGCGTCCCTTGTACCAACTGCGTCGCCTTCCAAATCGAATGCAAGATCCCGCAACCCAAGAGGAAAAAGGCCCAAACCAGCACCACAAAGGACTCAGACAGGTGCGTGCATCCCCCTCCCGACCCTTTCGGACCCCTGCTTTGCTTGCGAGGTTGACCGTGTCTTGTCTCCAGTGATCGTGGCGATGTCGTCGAAGCGCCCTCTCCGAAGCCCAACGCCGGCTCGTCCACCACCTTCCCCGCGCGACCTCCCATGTACCACTCCGTCGAAGGTGTCCCCGCGACGACGCTCACCGAGTCTCAGGCCAGGAAAGAGGAGGCTGACAATGATACCTATGTCAACCTAGTCATGAAACCCAAGTTCACGCGTGCCCCCATCACCGACGCCGGCAGGGTCGCGTTCCTCGGCGAATCGTCGAATCTAACGCTCCTCGTCCACGATCGCCAGGGGTCTTCCGATGTTGTGCATTATCCCCTCCCGGGGAACGTGCGTGGATCTCGGGATCGCTTGACCGAGTTGGACAACATCGAGATGGATATCTTGAATCAACGTGGAGCTTTCTTACTACCGCCTAGGTCTCTATGCGACGAGCTCATCGACTCCTACTTCAAGTGGATACATCCTATCGTGCCCGTCATAAATAAGACTCGCTTCATGAAGCAGTATCGAGATCCCAAGAACCCCCCTTCCTTACTCCTCCTGCAAGCCGTGCTGCTCGCCGGCTCGCGAGTCTGCAACAACCCGCAGCTCATGGACTCGAACGGATCGACCACCCCGGCCGCGCTGACGTTCTATAAACGAGCGAAGGCGCTTTACGATGCCAATTACGAAGATGACCGCGTGACCATCGTCCAGGCTCTGCTTCTCATGGGGTGGTACTGGGAAGGCCCGGAAGACGTCACCAAGAACGTCTTCTACTGGAGCAGGGTCGCCATCATTGTCGCTCAAGGGACGGGGATGCACCGCAGCGTGGAAGCGTCGCAGCTGAGCAAGGTCGATAAGAGGGTATGGAAGCGCATCTGGTGGACGCTCTTCACCCGCGACCGATCCGTGGCCGTCGCGCTCGGACGCCCATGCAATATCAACCTGGACGACTCGGACGTCGAAATGCTTACCGAAGACGATTTTCTCGAAGACGAACCGGATAACACGAGTGGAATTCCGCCGGACCCGATCCACGTCCAATTCTTCCTGCAATACGTCAAACTGTGCGAGATCATGGGCTTGGTCTTATCCCAACAGTACTCGGTGGCATCCAAGGGCCGACGTCAGAACGCCATCGACCTCACCCACAGTGACATGGCTTTGGCAGACTGGCTACAGAATTGCCCCAAGCTAGTGTACTGGGAGATGCCGCGACATCATTTTTGGAGCGCATTGCTCCATTCGAATTACTATACCACCTTATGTCTCTTGCACCGAGCGCACATGCCCCCTAATAGCAGCAACGCGGCCAGGTTCCCGGACGACTCGTCCTACCCTTCGCGAAACATCGCCTTCCAGGCCGCGGGGATGATCACATCTATCATCGAGAACCTGTCTGCTCACGACGAGCTCAAGTATTGCCCGGCCTTTGTCGTCTATAGCTTGTTCTCCGCTCTTATCATGCACGTGTACCAGATGCGGTCTCCCGTGCCGTCCATCCAACAAGTCACGCAGGTCCGAATTCGGACCTGCATGGAGGCGCTGAAGGAGGTCTCGAGGATCTGGCTCGTGGGCAAGATGGTATACACGCTTTTCGAATCCATCCTAGGCAATAGGAGCCTGGAAGAGCGGTTACAGAAGGCCGCGGGCAGGCGGCATAGGAAAGCCCAGCAGAGTTTAGCGCAGTTGGAGCAGCATCATCAAAGGCAACAAGAATCGGCGAAGCGGAAGTACGATGAGATGGCCATCGACTTCAGCATCAACACACCGGTCCATCAGGAATCGTACGAGCGGTCGCGCCCCCAGACGCCCAGGAACGAACCGACAGCAGCCCAAGTCCACATGGGACCGCCCCTCAGCTCGCCGAACGCCAGGTCCGGCGACACCTTCATGGGAACTAACAGCAGGCCACACACGCGACCGGCGACCCCGTTCAACCCGTCCTTCTCGGTTCCGGCCACGCCGCCAGACTTGTATCTCGTGACCCGCAACTCGCCGAACCTGTCGCAATCGCTGTGGGAAAACTTCCAGCCCGACCAGCTCTTCCCCGAGAACACCAACCTTCCGGTGCCGCAGGTGTCTCCTTCGCAGAACCAGCACGGCTTGGACCCCAACCTCGTCTCTCCAATGCAGGGCGGTATGTTCTCACAGTTGATCGGGCAGCCGGACCAGGTGCAGCGCCGGATGCCGAACAAATTGACAAGTCCGAACCCGCAGCAGGCTAACACATCGTTGCAACCAGGAGCCGGAGGTTTCCAGGCCCAGACGAACAACAACCTATGGCCGGGCGGCGAGGTGGGCGCGGGACTGCCGGACGGCCAAAGCCCGAGCGACAGCTGGAGCACCGGGTCCGCGCAAGGCCGGCCTGTGCCGGCCGCCTTGAACGTTGAAGACTGGTATGTTGACCCGACCCGACCGAACCCGTCGTGGTAGAGAGACGAGTTTGCTAAGTGATGACCTCGACGATATAGGTTCCAATTCTTCGGTATCAACGGTAACGACATGAATGTAGCGGGGTTCGACGTATCGTTGGGGTGAGCTGCAGACACACGCACACATATACACACACATACACACACATCAATCGGGATTCTGTATGTCCGGCTTGCCTGCACAGAGCCTAGCCGGGATGGCTCCGCTGCGTGAGCCGGAGTACTGCCGTTGCCTGTCCCCGATATTTTCGGGAGACGTGTCGCACCGTGCCTCTAAGCGACTTGGATATATTTGCGGCGGCCGGTGTAATGAGCGGGCTGGCTGGCCGCCATTGTGCAACCCGACCTCGCGGGTTTGGAGTTTTGGGGTGCGCTCATCCTCAGAGGGTTCGGGGATCTATGGGTTCTCTGGATACCTACACGTATATATATGTATGTAGGCCTTACCTAAGGTGGTAGCGATGACGACGGAGGCGACGGCGCGCAACATGTGGATGAAAACAAAAATCTTCCATTATATATAGGTAATATGTGTGTATGTGTGTGTGATGGTGAAGGGGTGGGGCGTCGCAGTAGTGTCTTACCGGCATGCCACAGTACCTACCTACCTACCTGTATTGTCCATGATCCGCCTGTAGTGGATGCACACATATCGCTTTTTTTTTTTAGCGAGTCGGGGACCGGAAACTGGGACGGGCTGCACAGATTGTCTGTCTCAGAGGAAAGGTGCTCACCTAACTTCAAACGCGGGGGGTCCTTGTTCAGCCATCTCCAGGCGGATGTTTTATATGCCATAATGTAAGATGCACGCGCCTACTGACAACGCCTTATATAGGCCTATGTTTAGGACGGGATCATGCCTCATTAGGTAGGTGCCTAGGTAGGTAGGAGGTAGGTAAGCCGTGGTGTTGGGAGGCGGGATGTTGCCCTAAGTATAGATATATCTCCAGAGGAGTTCCGCGCGGCAATACGCACCTAGCTGCCTACTACGACTGTATATTTAGGTACGCAGGTACCTACCTAGACAACCTGGGATACAGGAATGTGAGAATATGATACGTTACCGGTATCTAACTGCCCGGCTAGGCCGTAGAGGAGGCATGTACCTAAGGTACCTAAGGGAGGATGGACCTGCTACGGGTGCACAGTAGGCACAATACTTAAGGCTATGTAAGGTACCTCCTAACATACCTATCCAGGTACCTCCTCTTCCCGATTACCCGTAGGTCGGGTCTTCGGCGCCCGCCAACACCGTTCCGCCGGTTGGAATGAGCTACGTAGGTAGGCAGGTACCTACCTCCATATAGGTGCCCTTTGTTCGGTGCCCAGAGGAGGTACCTAAGGTAGGTTAGGAGGTACCTAGGTAGGTCTGCGGGGTTAAAAGGAGGTCCCTCCCAAGGAATATTAGTACCAACAAGTACACGTATCCATGTACAGTACATGACGTGCATACCCTGGTCGCGATGTGAGATACATACCAGCCTATGGTACTACCTATCGACCTGGGGGGGGGGGGTGGAAATCCAATGGGCGGTACGTGTACATTTCCACCAACTCCTAATGTAATTTGGACTCGTTTAATTCACCAACGGTGCGAGAGAAGACAACGGAGCAGACGGCTGATACAAAACAACATCCATCTCATCTCTCTCTCCTCCTTACTGCCTACCTCACGTAGAGCAGTGGAGCAGGACGGCGCAGAATCTCCTAGGTACATGCCTCGCTACCTGACTTGAACCTCATCTTCACCTTCTCTCCGCTTCGCTGTCTCGCCGAGCTTGACCTTTCCGATCACGCCAGGCACCTCAATCCATCTCCCCACCGCACGACCACAACCCGCTCGCACGTCCTCGCCAGCTTCTCGGACACAGCCTTTCTGTCCTCCGTCATCCCCTTCGCCAATGCCGCCGCCGGACTGGCCCTGACCGACCCGTGGCTGTACATCCGGCAACGTGACGAGACGAGACGAGAACGCTGCCGGTCTTCCCTTCGAGCCGCCCCCTGCCCACGAAATCAATGTTATCACAGGAACAACGCTAGTCATAGCCTTATTAGGCTCGTGTCTTCTTTGACCATGGCCGATATAGGTAGGCGGTCCGGCCCTTCCTCCAGCACGGCTCTAGTGCCGGTCGGTGTCGATGATGCTACCTCGATGCGGTCGCGGAGCAGAAAGGCCCCCGTTCGTCGGGACCCAGCCAAAGCGTCGAGCTTGACACCCAGCCAGAGCCCCGCACCCAGTCGAGGCGCGAGCCCCATGCCTTCTGCCCGCCTCGGCAACAGCCGGTTTACCGAGAGCGGCCGGTCCAGCCCATCTAACGCCTTCTCGCGTGGCTTGCTCGAGGGCCCGTGGGCTCCGAGCTGGGCCACCGTCCAGGACTTCGCGTCGTCATTGCTAGAAGGTGGATACAGCAGCGAAATCTCGCGTCCGAACAGCCGTGGGGGTGGTAAGCCACCCCAGAAATCAATATGGAAGGGACTGGGCGGCATCGGCACGATCAGTAAGAGTGCCGGCAAGCCGCCTGAGAGCTGGGGGCCAGCGCCGCCAGCAGGATCGCGGCCCGCGGCCGAAGACATCGCGGCCGGGTCCCTCGCCGAGCGAGAAGCGCAGCTAAAAGCTAGGAAGAGGGCTAGCGTGCTGGAGAGCTACGAAGGCGTGAACGGCGGCCTGGACGTAGCCGGTCGATACAAGAGGAGGAACTCGGACGAGACCCCGCGTAGTGTAAGCGAGCCTGCTGACGAGGAGCAGCTGGCGTACCTGCACCGCGTGCAGCCCACGGACACGTACGCGGGCGTCGTCCTCCGCTATCGATGTCGGGAGCACGCGCTTAGGAAGACCAATGGCCTCTGGTCCCGAGATGACATTCAAGTACGCAAAGAACTAATGATACCCGTCGACGCGTGCGAGATCAAGGGCCGGCCTTGCGCCCCCCCGTCTTTTCCTACCCAGAAGGTTGACCACCTAGCTACCACGCCGCAACCTCGGTCGGCCGACTTCGCCAACCCCGCCGCATCTGCCCCGCAGCAGACACACCAACCATTTCACGACGATTACTTTGGACCCGTCGGTGGGAAGGCGGCCGAGCAGCAGAAACAAGACGATGATGATCCACCCTGGACCCACGTCCGATGGGTCAAATTGGATTCGGTCCAGGAGCCGGTGGAGATTGTGAGAGTTTCAAGGAAATCTATGGGCTATTTCCCCCCCAGACGAAAGAAGAGCATCCACACTACCTCTGGCTTCTCGACTCCACGCCACTCCCTTGACCTGTCCAAAGTCATCACGAACTCGTCCGAGGCCGTCGATAGCCCGGGCCAGCGCTCGTCGAGACGACAGAGCTCCATCAGCACCCGACCGGTCATCACGAGCCCAGGAGCGTCGTCGTCTGCTAGAAGCAGGGTAAACAGCCTGGGACAAGGGGAGAACGTCCCGTTATGGATGCGTAGGCCGGGAGGGGTGGGGTCGATGGGGAAGAGCGTGAAGGCGCCGGGCCCGGCCAAGGACTACTTAAACACGTGGGTCAACAAGCGACTGCCGGGCCTCAACATCGACTCGATGCCATCCATGTCGGTAATGGGGTCGGAGACGGCGCACTTCGGGTTCGGCAGCACAACGGACGATGCGGCGGGGATCGTCGAGAGCTCCTTCGAGGAGGGCCGGGACGCGGCCTCACCGACGCGGAACGGGACGGGACTCGAGCAGGCCGCGGCATCGATCGAATCGTGGCTGCGCGGCGCGTGGGCGAAGCGGCCCAGCACGCCGAGGCTGGGCGCCCACCGGAAGCCATCCGAGGACCTGGACCTCATCGAGCTCATGGATGCCCGCAGCGACGACGTACGGTCGCCGCCGACGCAGCCCCGGGGCGGAGCCGGTGAAGGAGGTGGGAGGCCGGAGGCTGGTGTCTCGGGCCGGAGCTTTTACGGGTACGGCCTGACTACCGGGAGGAACGGTCAAGAGGGCTCGGCGAGGGGACGCTCGGCACCTCCGGCGACGACGGCGGCAGCCTCGGGAGCGAAAGGGGGGAAGGCGGATTGAGACATGGAGGCCAAGAGAAAGATACGTCGCGAGTATCGGCCGGCGCCGCTGGAGTACCACGCGTGTGCTCTCGAACTATGCGTCCGGCTGGCTGATTCGGTACGGAGGGTTTAGAATGGGAGCTGAACGGGAAAGTCTGCGTGGCACGCGACTGTGTGCGTGCGCACGTGCGGGGAGCAAGTAAGCCTGCATTTTCGAAGGCGTTTAGGGGAATCCACGGCGCCCTATCGTCGTCAGTTTACCTCTTTGGTTTCTCTTTCGTTTTTTTAGCATGTATATACCGTCATATACACATACACCTTTAGACGACCGCATCAGGGGTAGGTCGGAGGGGAGCCGGGAGGCTCACAGTCACTTCGGCCCAAACCCAGAGGCAGACAGTTGGGAGAGCGGGGGTTGAAAGCGGCCGGGCCATCATCTCTTTGGTGAATTAGACCACGCTATGGAATAATAGAGCTGCAAAACGAGGTATCCGACCTCCCTATCGTTATATAGACCAAACCAACCCCCAGACGGAGGCATCTTCTCACACGCGAGCACGGTCCCTCCCTGCGTAGACCGTCCGTTCTAGACTATGCCGACTCCTCAGTTGGATAGATAGGCGTTTTATTCATGTTGGGTTACTGTTGCTGTTTCGTGCTCTCTGTATGTGGTGTTTCCTAGGGGCGGTTGGTAACAAGAAGACGGTAGCGGGAGAATTATACAAGTAGTACTTGCATATAAGAACCTATTAGGGGTAAAGGAGGTCGCTTGTGGTACTTAGGTACATTAGGTGCGATAAGATACCGCTCTACCCCGTGTATGCATAAACATAGAATAGAGGATGGATGACGCGCCGGATAGGTATGGCATAATCCTACCCAAGCCTTCGGTCCCATCCCACCCTACACAGCGTTCACGACCTCGCATGTCTTCGCATCCGCCGCATCGCATCCGCCTGCTCATATTATAGCCAATCTGCCCACCCCGCCGAGACCGACCACCGAGCGCGCGCGCAACGAGGGCAACCGTGGACAGATGGACAGCTAGCCAGTAGCAAACCCAACGACGGGGCAATTCTAGCCATGCTCTCCGTCGACGACGAGCCGCCCTAGCGACAACGACAATAACGGCGGCGAAAAACCACCGACCGACTGATCGACTGATCGTAGACCCCCCTACACTCGCAACCCCCTGCTTTACCCGATCGCCCGCTCGAACAAACAGATAGACAGACCGCGCCGCGGGCACCGTCGAAGATGCCGATCTGCATCGAGTGCCGGCACCCGGTCAAGACGCTGTGGACCAAGTACTCGGGCGCGGGCGACCCGTCGAGCGGCCACAACATCCGCCTGACCGTGTGCAAGAACTGCGGCCGCTTCTGCGACAAGTACGTCGAGCACGACTTCGTCGTGCTGTTCATCGACCTCGTTCTGATCAAGCCGCAGGTATTTTCGGCTCCTCTTTTCGTCCGCCTCGGCCTATCTTGAGAGGTGTATATGTAGTCGGCGAGGGGGAGGCTAACGGATATGCGATGCGCGCTAGGTCTACCGCCACCTCCTGCACAATACGCTGATGCGCGAGGGCGACCAGTTTGACGTACGCCCCCGTCCCTTGCTATACCTATGTGACATGTCCCTCGATCCACACACTCTCTCTCCCCCACATATATTTAGAGGGAGGGAGAGAGAGGGCGGGCGCGCGTGTGCGCCTAGGATAGGAGGTTTCCTTACCATCGTGGAAGACTTTGGCTAACTAGGCCTCGGGGAGGGGAACGTACAGCCGTCCATCATCCGCCTCGGCACTCTCCTACTGCTTTTTGACGTGTACTTGACATGGGCCCGCGTCGAGAAGCAGGCCACGCCTGACACGCCCAGCGGCAGCAACCTGGGCAGCCTGGCGCAGCAGCCCATCGTGCTGCAGTACCTATTCTTCCGTGCGTCTACCTCTCCCGCGTCTACCTACCTAACCTACCTACCCCTTTTCCCACAAACCCCTGCTCGCCCACCCACCCGGCTAACCCAACTCGCCTCTCCGGCCGGCCGGCCGCAGTGATCCTCTGCACCCTGTCGACGCTCGCCTTCCACCTCTCGATCCGGTTCCTGACGTCGTCGGCGTACTCGCCGCTGGCGGTGCTGGGCGGGGGGCGGCTGGCGCGGTCGGCGCGGCCGAACTCGGTGTCGACGGCGCTGCTGGTGTCGTCGTCGACGAAGCTGTTCCCGATCCTGATGGTGGTGTGGGACTACGACGTGCCGGCGGCGGCGCGCAGCCTCGGCTGGGCCGTCGTCGCCAACAACGTCGAGGCGCTCGCCATCCTGCTCGACTGCGGCTACCCGGCCGCGCTGCTGCTGGCCGCCGCCGGCGCGACCGCCCGCTGGCTCGTCGCGCGCGCCGTGCTCGCCGTCGTCGGGCTCGACGGCCTGCTCGGCGACGGCGGCGGCGGCGGCGGCGGGGGGACCGCCGGCGCCGACGAGGGCATGGCGCTGTGGAGCCTGCTCGTGTACGCGCGCGAGTGGGCCGCGAGGCTGGCGCTCGTGTGAGGACCGGGATGTTGGGGGAGGGAAGGAAAGAGAATTAGACTAGAAGAGACGAGACGATACTAATGGAGTTAACGCACGACACACGCGTACACTATAGATAGCGAGGGGTAGAGCAAACCCATAATAATAGCCATTCCGGAACACATCGTCGTATGGTTGTCTTCCAATTCTTCTCTTCTAAAGCGCGCGGACGGAAGGAAAAACAAAAGTCTCGATGTCCCGTAGATAGATATATACACGCACACGTACATTATGCCACTCCCCCTCCCGAGTCAATGGAAAATAATAATGCCTAGTAGGCGTCCTGCTACGTCCACGTAGCCGTGTGTGCGCACGCAGAAGCCCAGATCCCTCCCAAACGCCGGGCCGAAACGACGAGGGAGAGCCCGAGGCGATGGTCTAATTTGCACAGCTCGGCCTCTCCCGTCCTTTTTTTTTTGTACGTCTGCAGCATGGCTGCCTCTGTCTTGCTCGTGCTCGTTGCCATTATTGGTGCGTTTCCGTGCCTCCTCCTTCCTCGCTCCGGCGGCCGTCGGCGCGGCCGATCTCCCGCCGGTAGGTTTGCCGGCTAGGTCCAGCGGTCGGCTGGCGCCGCGGCTCCTGTATCCCTCTGCACCCCCCCTCCTCCCCGTGCCGTCTCCAAACCGGGTCCGCGGTGGGGGGCGTCTGCTCGGGCCGTAGTCGTCGACGGCGGAGGCGCTCAAGAAGAAGAAGAAGTAGCCGGGGCCGGGGCTGGGGGCCGGGGAGGGCGAAGCGAGACGCTCACTCGTGCTCGAAGCCGGCGCGCACGGTGCTGCGCCGCGGCTCGATCAGCGGGTGCAGCTGCGCCAGGAACGTGATGAACCACATCAGGTAGCAGCTGACGAAGGCGAGGATGAGCGAGGAGCGCCAGGTACTAGACGCGCCCAGAAGAAAAGGGGGCGAAAACGCGTGAGCAACGGTCGCGGGACAGGGCGTGGAGGGGAGGAGGGGTGGGCGCGCGCGGCAAACTCACGTCTGGTTCTCCCCCTTCGGCGCCAGGAACCACGCGCCGACGCACATGGCGGCCACGACCACCAGGCCGACGAAGATGCTGTACCTGCGGCGGCGTCAGCGCGTCGCCTCGCTGGGGGTCCGGGGTTCTCGCGGGACGAGGAGGAGGGAGAGGGAGAAGGGAGGAAGGAAGGGAGCTACGTACCCCTGTGCCATGTCGTGAGTAGGGCGAGGTTGGTGTTGTGGTCGTTTCGGTGTTGGATTTCGGAGGGTGCTGGCGGTGGGCGGATTCGGAGGTTTGGATAGCTTGTGGTGAAGTAGTGATGGACGACGAGCCCAGATCGATTGCAGCGCGCCTGGATGACAACGGAGCTTATTACCTAGTACGTTACCTACTTACCAGGTCTGTTACTGTTACCCGCCACGGTCACACTGCACTTGACATGGGTTTGATTGGAGCGTCGGGGTTCGGAGCGCTTAGTCAACCACGCCTCCTAACACAAGTACTTGGGATGCACAGCCCATTTGGCGCATATTTACTTCTACATGCATCTTCGTAACAAGCAAGCACGCATTTCACTTTCGCTGAGGTGAGAGACCCCCTGGGATTCAGAGCCTCAAACAACATTGCTACTGGGTTTCATCCACCCTATCCTTAAAAAAACACTAGTGATCTACCTATCTATCTCGTCCTCTTTGCGATAGACCTAGGTACCCCCATATACCTACACGACACGGCTATTCACGCGTCGTTCTCGAACTTCAGCCCGGCCCTCTTCCTCGCGGCGCCGTATATGCCGGCGATGTCGCCCTTGTCGCCGCCGGCGTGGTCGGCGACGTCCCGGAGGTATTCGTCGGCGACAGCGACGAACCGGAGCTCGGCGCCGGCGGCGCGCGCGACGTCGGCCATGTGGGCGGCGTCCTTGCGCGCGTTGTTGGCGGAGAAGAGCGGCTCGGCCATCTTCCAGTAGGTGCCGGCGACCATGCGCTCCGAGTAGAGGCCGTAGATGCCGCCGAAGAGCAGGTCGACGAGCTGCCGGAACGGCGCCGGCCCGACGCCCGTCTTGTCCGCCGCCGCGTGGCCCTCCGCCAGCGACGTCACCATGTTGAGGATCAGGCTGTTGCCCAGCAGCTTCAGCTTCAGCGCCTGCCCGTACGCCGCGTCCTCGAACGCGATCTCCGCCCTCCCCATCACGCCCTGGATGTACGGCCGCAGCTTGTCGATCGCCGACTTGGGCCCCGCGGGAACGAAGCTGCGCCGCCGAGGTTAGCGACCCGGTTTGTTGAGCATTACCTGGACACCTCCTCCCCTCCCCTGTAGAATGGCGCCCTCGTGAATGAAACAGCACCGTTGGCTTGGAGGCAACTTACATGAGCTGGCCCGCCACGGCCGCCGCCGGCGCGCCGAAGACGGGGCTGGCCACAAATTCGGCCCCTTTGTCCGTCGCCGACTTGGCAATCTTCTCAGTCGTGTCCGGGTGGAGCGTGGAGCATTCGACGAACAGCTTGCCGGCGACGTCGCCCTCGAGGATGGTATCGAAGACGTCCTGCGCCGCGGTGTCGTTGGACACCATGACAAAGATGATATCAGCCTTCTTGACGGCCTCCTCGATCGAATCGACGGCTTCGGCCTTCCCCGCTGGCAGCGTAGCCGCTAGCTCCTCCGCGCGCTTTTTCGTGCGGTTGTAGAGGAGGAGGGGCTTCTCCAGGTTGCCCTTCTCCACCAGGTTCTTCACCATCCCCTTGCGAAGCGAAGTTAGCGAGAGAGTGCGCGTCGTGCGTGACCGGAGCCGAGATCTCTAGGCTTACCCTCCCCATGTTGCCCAGCCCGATCCACGACAGCTGAGGCGCCATCTTGGCTGAACTCCTTACAGACTTGGCGGCCGGTATTGCGAGAGCAGTCAAGTCGAAGCACCAGCAAGTTGTGATTCCTGCTAAAACAGTATGTCAGACAACGGCTCACAACCCAGGTTTACTCGGTGTAGATAGATGTGAGGGGCAAGCAAGTAAAATGCAAAACCAGGAGTAGTACGTATGCTGTGATTGTCTTTATCCTACGATGGGAGATATGTCTATATTATATAGACGGGTATAGGTAGGTATAGGTATATGTGCCCCAGTGGGAGAGAGAGAATGTGTGAGGGAGGGAGAGAAAGGAGGAGAGTAGCGAGCAAGTCGGACGAGCTCGTCGTACAAAGATGAAGCGGTTCAGAGGCTAAGGATTAGATCTCCGGATGGGTGGTACTGCCTGATGTTGTTGGCGCCAGAGCGCGGAGGCCAGGTAAAGGAGGGATATCCATGCCCCGCAAAGTAGCCGGCCCAGACCAAGTCTTGTTCTCGGGTAGATTTTCGTCGCTTCTCGGCTTTTGTCACGGTCGAGTGAGAGGCGAGGTAAAAACCGCTTACCAATTATTAATTCTCTGTCTCCGTCAGTCGCCCCAACTATACCCAACCCCACGTACGCTCACACGCCGCCGTCGGACCCAAGACGAATCTTGAACAGCGCAGCTCTCTCTACCCACGGCCATGCGACGCGCGCCCTCCTTTCCAAGACGGGATCAGCATAGCTCAACCCTCCACAGCCATGCGATCATCCCTCCTCCTGCAGGATGTCATTAAGTAGTAGTAGGGCGCGGACAGGCCTTCGAGATAGCAGCCTTCGTCATCGTCTCACCCATCTCATCGCCGGTCGTCCCCGTCATCGGATTCGATCGCTCCATCTCGCGCCTCCCTTCCTGCTAGACGACTACACCCCGCGATACCAGCTCCTGTCCGAGGTCGAGGCGTCCAAGAAGCGGTCGCTCGCTTATGCGCACCTGCGGAACTGCAATCTCTGCCCCCGGCTCTGCGGCGTTAACCGTTATGAGAGGACGGGCATGTGTCTTATCGGGCATAATGTCAAAGTCAACGTGATTGCGCCGCACTTCGGCGAAGGTTGGTGAGCTTCCGTCCAGCGATTTCTCATCCTTGCGATCATGGCGAAAAGCCGCACTGACGTGGGGGGGCACCTATGACAGAGCCTTGCATCCAGGGTCACAACGGCAGCGGCTCGGTCTTCTTCTCGGGCTGCAACCTGAGATGCACGTTTTGCCAGAACCACGACATCTCTCACCAGAGGAACGGGTTTGACCTGGAGCCCGAAGAGCTGGCGCAATGGTATCTCAAGCTGCAGGACGTCGGCCACGTCCACAACATCAACCTCGTCACGCCCGAGCACGTGGTGCCCCAGGTCGCCCTATCCATCCTACACGCGCGCGACCTGGGGTTGAAGGTGCCGATCGTGTACAACACGTCGGCCTTCGACTCGCTGGCATCGCTCGAGCTCATGGACGGCCTCGTCGACATCTACCTGCCCGACTTCAAGGTGTGGAGCGCGGCGACGTCGCGGCGCCTGCTCAAGGCCGACGACTACGCCGCGACGGCGTCCGAGAGCATCCGCGCCATGCACGCCCAGGTCGGCGACCTGTGCTTCACCCCCGACGGCATTGCCAAGCGCGGCCTGCTCGTGCGGCACCTCGTCATGCCCGGCAAGGAGGACGAGGGCGCGCAGATCATGCGGTTCCTCGCCGAGCGCGTCTCGCGCGACGTCTTCGTCAACATCATGGAGCAGTACCGCCCCGACGCCCACGTCGGGAAGCCGAAGCGGCGGAGAGTCGCGAAGGAGAAGGGGAACGAGGGGGGCGAAGGCGAGGGTGAGGATGCCGCCGCGGTCGAACACGACGCCCGCCCGGAAGACAAGGGGAGCGCGGAGAAGGAAGAGGTCAGGTACGCAGACATAAACCGCCCCGTCACCAAGGACGAGATTTATTCCGTGAGGAAAGCCGCCGAGGCCGTAGGGCTCGTGAGTAGTATATTTCTCATCCCCGACCTTGATTTCCGACCGAAGTCGATAATCACTAATCCCATTTCAGTGGCGCTTCTGCGACCCCCCAAGACACGACGGATTTGCTTTATGAGTTGTAAATATTATACAACCCGTCGGGATCTTTTTACAGACTCTAGATTTCTGTTCTATGGACTGTATATAACCCGTACTTCAACAACACTCTGTGCCCACGATAACCCACACAGCCCGGTCTGGTTCGTACAGTCCATAAGCAGCAGATTCTTGCTGTCTCTATATACGGATGACCCTGGCTCTGGATCGACTTCACATTCCCAACACGCGTTCTATACCATACCTACCTTCTAGAATTGCTTCCATTGCTTTGCCACACGAGTCAGTTCCACGTGCATCGAGGTTTCACTCGTCGTGCGCGGGGCCCTACACGTTGGGCCCTTTACTCGCCTTACCATCTGTTGATGAGAAATAAAAGATGCGTCTGCCTGCTTCTAGAATGTGTTACCGACAAGATCTCAGGATCAAAGGTCTGCGGCCTATATTTTAACCTCCACTGCCCTAATAATGTAGCGCCGTCGTGATGATTGAGTATCTCCCCAACCCCCCCCAATACCGAATCAGCCACCTACACCGCTCGAGCTCTGTTTGCAGAAAGGCGAAGGGCCTGCCCGATATCGTGAACACATATGAAGATATATACCCAGCACGTCCTTCATCTCGGCCATCGTCCATATGCATATGCTCACCCGCAATGAGCACTCCTCCCGAGAAGCCTGACTCCGCCACGCCGTCCAACGTCAAGGAGCAGTCAAGCCAGCACGGGCACGGGCGAGGTTGCGAGCAGCAGCAGCAACATGGCCAAAAGGAACCCCCGACACAAAAGCAGCACTCGGCGACGGCGACGGCGCAACAGCTAGTCCTGAGACCACGGCCGTTCGCAGAGCTGCACGCGGAGCGCGTCTTGCTCCTCGGGCAACTGCAAGACCAAGACGAGCGCGCGGTGGCGCTGCTCGGGCAGCTGGTAGAGGCGGAGGAGGCGGTGCGACGGGGGCGGGGGGCAGACGACGAGGAGGAACAGGAAGCGGAGGGGGGAGGGGAGAGAAAGAGGCGCTGGATGCGGGGCCGCGGCCGCGGCGCGGCGCTCAGGAACCGCGCGCGCCTGCGCCGCAGCATCGCCGACGCGGTGCAGGAGGAGCGTGGGATCCTCGCGCGCCTCGGCGAGCTGCACGTCGAGATCCAGTGCCGCGACCGCCGGCGCCGCGTCGGCGAGGAGAGCGCCAGGGAGGCAGCCGCCGCCCCGCGGCAGAAGCAGCACGCAGCCCAGTTCCCGCCAGGCTCTCCGGCGCCCCGGCCTCCGACCCTGGCTCCGCCGTACTACTACCACCCCCCGCCGGCTCCGGCGATGGACCCGCGCGCCCCGGCCTTCGAGCCGCGGCTCCGACCGGTTCCGGAGCTCGGCGCCTGGCCCGCCGCTCCGTGGGCGCCTCCCACCCGTCTTTCTCCCGCTCCCCCGTATCCTCCTGTTCCTCCGTATCCCCCTGTTCCTCCGTATCCCCCTGTTCCTCCGTATCCCCCTGTTCCTCCGTATCCTCCTGCTCCCTCGTATCCTGCTCCCCCGTATCCTGCCCCGCCACCCCACCCCGATCCCGAACACGCCCTCCAGGCCCTGATCGCAGGTTCACGCAGCAGCAGCGCGTTGCTCTGGTAGCCGCCGCGGCCCGTGGGAGGTGCGGCGAGCGCCGGGTGTAGAGGCCCGCTACGCGCTCGCCTTCGCTACGTGACACGGGGTACGGGTCCAGCGAAGGAGGTGGTGGTGGACAGACGGGTTAAAAGGGACGGGATGGGGGAGGAGGCTGGTCAGAATGCTCATACGCAGGAGCTATTGCCCTAAGGATCTATCATATCTCCATAACAATCAAGACTGCTCGCCGCCGGTGATATCCTCATCATCCTAGTTCGTTTCTTGCGAGAGGCCGTGCCGAACTAAATACAGCAATCGAGATATGCGTAGACAAAGAAGTTGCAGGACAGGTAGGAGCCTGTATGGGTGCCTAGGCCTGGTGCGGACACGTAGGTAGGTAAGACACCACCTGCAAAGTGCATGAGGCCTCTTTAGGCCAGCAGGCGAAAAGAAGTACGGAGGGGTAGGGGGAGGGAGGAGAAAGGAAAGAGATAGAGAAAAGCCGGTGTCGTTTCTGTGCACGGACAAGTGAGATGTGCCTCGATGATATTACCCACCCCTATTCCCTCCCTCTCACCCTCTTTTTTGATCACGGTCTGGTAATGAACATAATGCACACGCATAACAGATACCCCTCTCTCTAAGTGCTTCTAGGCGCTGGTCCTTTTTTCTTTCTTTTCTCAAGACAAGGTGGGAACGAATGAGCCTCTCACGCAAACTCCCCAAACTTCCCGTCGTCGAAGCCTAGGTCCTGCGCCGACAGCCGCTTCGACCGGGTGCTCTGCGTGCTCGGGGGCGGGGGGATGCCACCGGCGCCGCGGGACGGCGACGAGAAGGCGGGGCCGGGAGGAGGGGGCAGTGAGAACGAGCCCGCGGAGGAGGAGGAGGAGCTCGGGGCCTGCGGCGTCTCGGGCTTCCGCCGGCCGAAGCGACCGGGGAGGTTGATGGTGATGGTCTCGCCCTCCTTGAGGCTGAGGTCGCGCAGCCTGTCGGGGCCGTCTGTCCTGTCTGACGACGACGAGGAGGCGGCGGCGGCGGCGGACTTCTTGTCGGGCCCGGCGGCGGCGGAGCCCCAGCCCAGCGTTTTCTGGGCCTCCTGGAGGGCGACGCCGAAGTCGAAGGCCTCGCCGCGCTCCTCGAAGCCGACGCCGAGGGTGGCCTTGCGGCCGGCCTCGTCCTGGACGCGCAGGGCGAAGAAGCGCGAGCTGTCGGAGACGGGCTCGACGGCGGCCGCGGCGGTGTAGGGCGCGGCGGCGAAGAGCTGCCCGGTGCGGGCGTCCTCGAGCACGACGTCCGCCTTGACTTTCTCCTCGCCCTCGCCCTCGCCCTCGGGGCCGCCGTCGTCGGCGCCGGACGCGTCTGCCGTCGGGATGGCGGTCTCGATGACGCGCAGCCGCGCGGTGAAGATCTGGCGCTGGTTGTCGTCGGCGGTCCAGCTCGCGGCGACGTGGCCCTTGCCGGGGATCATCGGCGGGATGTTGTAGACGTGGACCGGGCTCGCGACAAAGAGCACCCGCTGGATGGCGTCGGGCGGCAGGGGACGCCCGGTCGCCGGGTCGATGGTCTCCATCTCGGGGGCGGGAAACGGAGGAGGGAAGGGGTGTGGCCTTGGGTGTTCTACCTGCCTGTTATATCCCCCTATACATGAGTAGGTATGAGGTCGAGAGGCACAGGTGGGTATAGATATATATAGATGGGTATGAGTTTATACTTGGGGGTGCGTATAGGTGGAGTATAGAGAGAGACTATGTGCGGGCGGGAGGGGTGGAGGGACGATCGGGTACCTAAGGCAGGTTATATACCTAGATATAGGTAGTCCACGAGAAAGGAATTCGGCCTGCCCGATTCCACCTATACACAGGATGGTGAATGTAGGCAGGGCGGAAATAAATATAGGGACCTAAGCTGGTGTTGAAGGCTGGCGGTCTCCATCCTTCGCGTCTTCGTATAGGTATGTGCGTAGGAGGTACCTATGCATGCATCTATGTAGGCGCTACCTGAGGTATGAACGTAGGAGGCAGGCCAGTAGGGGGTAGTCCTCGCCGAGGCCGAGTCCGCCGCTGCTCGCATCATAATAATACCTATAACGCCTAAACGGAGGTGGATATATGCAATTATACAGGCACGTAGCCAAGTATAGCATACCTGGATACCTATACCACAGTGCATACGTCACTGTGTTATGGACCTGAAGCAGGGCGGGTCGGGGCTATGCGTGCTCCTGAACTGAGGGGTGGGACCGGTTACATAAGCAGCGACACACCAATCTGCCCACCCCACCTCACAAAGCAGCAGGGACCTGATGTACCCTACTCCACCCCGCAGTGCGTTAGGTGCCGAGCAATCGATAAGCAAGGGCCTCTCGGGCCCCGACGATTTGCCGATTGCATGACGCTCCGTGGAAAAATCCACGACGCGCGACGGGAGCTGCCTAGGTACCAACCTACCAACCTTAGACGTCACGTACTAGGAGGTAGGTAGACGGTCGCACACCAGCCCGCAAAGTCTCTGCTCTCAAGACGTTGAGCCCGGTGGCGAGCCCAAAACTCTACGCCATGGCTGGCCGGAGTGTCTCCCCGGGGGCGGCGCTCCTGCGATCGTCCCGAATGTTCTCGATGCCGGCCCCGATCCCTGCGCCTCTGGGCGACTTGTCCTCGGCGACGAAACACTACTCCCCAACGGCAACCATCAGTTTCCCGACCCATCTCACCGTCACCACTCCCCACTCTTCTCGGATCGTGGGCGACTGGGGCTTCAAGCGGCCCTTTCCCCTCAAGACCACGACCAATACTACCCACGCGCTGGTGCGGGTCAAACAGGTCGACGCTGTCGAGCAAGTCACCGACTTCCAATCCGCCTCGGACCACACCGTCACCTTGTGGAAATACCAGGAGATGAACATGCCCGTTTCGGTGCCGGCCGCGTCCAACTACGACGAAATGGCTCAGATTACGGATCAAAAGTCCGTCTTCGAAGAGGACGGAGACGTGACGGCGTTGGACGACAAGCAAAAGGTTGAGTTGGTGAATAAGAGGTGGAAGTTCACGGGCCCGTGGCTTGCTGGCATGCTGGATGGCGAGTTTAACAAGTACATCGAAAAGAAGGTGCGGACTCGGCGTTCGGAATTCCGCGCCTTTCTGAGGGAGACCCTCGCGGCCGAGATGACGGCGAAGCGGATGCAGGAAGCCAAGGAGCACGACCCGGGTACGGAACCGGCCGCAGTGTCAGCCAGCGAGATCAGCGATGACCTGTTGACGGAATATCTGAGGCATCTGAGGCAAGAACGCGTGACCCTGTACAAGCTTGTCAGCCAGTTCCTCGATCTCGCGCCCATTGATCTGAACACCGCGTATCACTATCTTAGTAGTATGAAGGTCGGGAAGCCCTACGATTTCGTTCGCGCCAATCCGTATGGCTCGAAAGGCCCCCCCATCACGCACCCCTCTGCTGGCCTCTCCTATCTGCGTACCCGGAATTTCCAGGAACATCACCCAATTTATGGGCCCCAAAAATATCACACTCCCATCAAAACCAGAGTCTTAAAGCCAGTTAATCACACTATGGCTAGCTTCAAGCCTAGCATCGGTATTGCCGGATTCGTTGGTAGCACGCTTAGTAACGACACGACGTTCAATGCGATAAAGCAGAGGAACCAAAACGAATTCAGCCGGAGCCTTCACGAACTCGAGCTTGTGAAGCATGGCGGGGCGAAGATATATGTGCAACCTACATCAGCTACCATCGATTCCTCCGGCAGGGTTATTATCACTATAGGAGAAACGAATCCTCAGGCCGAGCTCGTACAGAGAGAACTCGTCGGGGAGGCGGACGTGTTCCAGCAGGTCGTCAAGAGCTTGTCCCAGCCTGTACCGCGCCAAAACCCTAGAAACACTTGGTCAGGATATCAGAAAAGCTCTACGGGCCGTCCCCAAGGCGCTATGATCGATAGCGACGCAGCAAGCTATGGTTTTGGCTCAACAATGCCGCGGTGAGAGAACGTCCACCAATACCGAGCTTACGACAAGGAGGAGGACCGGGGTGGCGACGGCTAGCGATAAAAGGCGCTGTGCGATACCTATGTAGGTACGGCATGATATTCAAAGCCCTAGACGTTGCAACATAAAATTTCTGTACATAATAGGTAGAACATATACTCATACATATATATTACGCCTTACAAGTCCTCTATCTCATAAACCACCTTCTATACAATATCCATGTGCTCATCTCGGATTTTGCGTAGGGGTATTCGTTGAGTGTTAGTGACGGCTGACAACCACCTGCCACGAGTGTTCGCCGGTTCGTTAGGTAGGTACCTAGGTACTTACATAGGTACTTCATCACATCCGTTCTGCCCTAGACTGGATTTTACCGAAATCTCACCCCACAGATTTTAGCTACTTCCCAATCTTCCCATTTTTCAACCCTCAACACCAACTAACTTGGACAAATTTCACATCTCCGGCGTCAAACTCGCATCCTCGTTCCCCGACTACCAGCACACAGCCAGCACCGCGAAGATGGGACGAGTACGAACAAAGACCGTCAAGAAGTCCGCCAAGGTCATTATTGAACGCTACTACCCCCGACTCACCTTGGACTTTGAGACAAACAAGCGAGTCTGTGATGAGATAGCCAGTATCGCGTCCAAGCGCCTGCGCAACAAGGTCAGCAACATGCAGCCCTCCCGACGTCCTGCTGGGGCTGTACGGGCGACGGAATTGGGGAGAGAAGAAAGCGTCACGGGAGCGAATTCCGTCATCCTCGTTATACTAACCCGAAACCCACAGATTGCCGGCTACACGACCCATTTAATGAAGCGAATCCAGCGAGGACCCGTCCGCGGTATTTCCTTCAAGCTGCAAGAAGAAGAGCGAGAACGCAAGGACCAATACGTCCCCGAGGTTTCTGCTCTCGACTTCACCCAGACTGAGGCCGGCCAGCTTGACATCGACGTCGAGACAAAAGATTTACTGAAGCACCTTGGCGTACGTTCTCTAGACCCTCCATACACCTTTCCCCCCCTCCCTCATACAATGCCAATTTGCTTACATGGCACTTCTCCCAATATAGTTCGACAGTATCCCCGTCAACGTCGTCCCCGTCACGCAGCAGCAGTCCATCGAGCGGCCCCGACGATATAATGACCGCCCCCAGCGGTAGAGGGTGGGCCGCAGCTTCACAAATTAAGAAAAGGGGGAAAAAGGTGTACTTCATCGCCGACTTGGCAACTGGCATGGTTTAACGGCGTAGCTAGGTGACTAGGTCCGGAAAATGACCAGATCTTTTCCGTGCTCGAGGTGTCCCCGATTCTCTGGCGCTCGCCGGAGATGACGGTTGATTGCCATTTTCCCTCTCCCCTTCCGGTGCGACGCAGGTGACTCGTTACCAGCCCAATCCACTTAAGCAGAGGTAGGTTGTAACCGTCTGTAGCATACAAACGACTATAGCTGGATACTATTCGTGCGAAAATGCTAAGACTACCTACCCGTAATGTCAACGGTTCGAGGTTTCCTGGCCCCTCGATCTTTTTTTATCTTTACGCCGTATTAGGTACGTTTTTTAGCGAGGTATCGTGTAAGTATCATCTGGGGTATCTCGTTTCGCTACGACCTCAACGTCTGAGTGCCCTTTGTCGCATCCCATCATGTGGTCATGACATCATTATAAATGATGGGCCATCAGTGAGAAAACGGGCTTCTTTTATTCTTCGTCCACAGCCTTTACGACGCCAACGCCCGTAGAAGTTGTTTCAGACCCGAGGCCAAACTTAGTCTTGTAGCCATCCAGTAGCAAATGCACGTCGCCGTCGCCGGCAAGAGGCAACGAAGGTTCTTCCACCGCCTTCGTCATCACATTCTCTGCGATCACGACCTCAACGGACCGGGCGGGGGGCTCACCACCCCCAACTCCGACATCGCCGCGCTCGAGGGCGAGGTCCCGCGCGTTGCGGTTGGCCTTGCGCTCGCCGTCGAGCCGGAGGCTCTCGAGCTCGCGGCGGACGCGCTCCTCGGCGGCTTCGGGGTCGGCGCGCCGGCCGTCCGGGTCGTAGTCGTCGAGCAGCTCGATGCGGATGCTGGGGATGCCGGCGCGCTCCCAGGCGGCGGTCTCGGCGAGCTGGACCTTGACGTACATGGCGCGGCGGGCGCAGGGCTGGGAGCACCAGCGCTCGAGCTCGCGGCGGGGGACGATGTTGAAGTCGGGGCGGCCGTAGCGGACGAGCTTGAAGCCGCCCGAGGAGGGGAAGCGTAGGCGGGGCCGCGGGCACAGCGCGTACCCGCACGCGCCCCGCGCGTTGCGCTCCTCGATCAGGTCCTCGTAGTCCCCCGGCTGGAAGAGCCGCACGAGCTCCCGGAAGCGCGCCGCGTCCGAGGCCGACGGCCGCGCGGCCGGGTCCCCGGCGCCGCCGGCCTGGCTCTTGTCGCCGTCGCCCGAAGTAGGAGGGGGAGAAGGAGGAGGCGCGTGGGGGAACCGCGACAGCTCGATGATGGAGTCCTGGACCCGGTCCTCGAGCTCCCACTGCTGCTGGATGATGTTGGCGCGACGGATGGCGACTTCGCGAGGATCGGGCTTTTCGGTCTTCCCGGGATTCGGGTTCGGCTGCGGGTTTAGGATTGACGTGGAGGAGGTGGCGGTAGTAGTGGTTGCCGAGCTTGGAGGAGCTGTGGAGGGTTTCTTGAGAATGCCCCTGGGAGGTTTCCCCGACCCCGAGGATGTAGACGACATGGTGGGCTCGGTATGTGTACCTATATACCGACGCTTCAAGGCTTTATATCTATTAGTTTGCTATGCAGTAGATAGGTCTAGGCTGGTAGATAGGCGAAGTGTCCAAGATGTGACCTTTATAGATGTTAAAGATGTTAATTGCCTGTTCTGATGAAATCATATGTCGCGACGTTTGGTTGTGGTTTTGAGCGGGCACACGGGAGGTATCTACACGTACGTAGGTACTTCAACCCCCCACGGTGTAGGTATTACGTAGCTACACTGTAAATGATGCGCGCTAACTTGATATGGGCCAGCCCACAAAGCATTGCATATGGCGTCGTCATTGGCCCGTGCGTGTGCTGGATACAGTAGGACTGTTTCCCAAAGTGCCCGAGCCGGCGGTACCTACCTATGTATCGAAACGGGCGGATGAGGGAGATGAGGTAACAAGGTGCCCTGGCATCCAGCTGTCAACGGCAGCTGGCAGCGGGTAGCGGTACCCGGGCGGTACTTGGTGATACTCTCGACGGCCTCGGTCCCAGCCGCAATCCCCGCCGCATCTCGCATCTCGCAGTAACAGATGGCGATAACGGATGACCCATGCGCCGGTACACCCAGGTACACCCAGGTACCTCCCCAGATAGCCCTCGCTAGCGCAGAGCAGCCTGTCAGCGTCGTCAGCGTGCGGGTTACAGGCAATGCCCAGCCCTGCCCGCCTGCATTGACATCCTCTCCCTCGCATTTTGATCCCGTCAGGCGGCCTTCCAGAGCACACACTCCCTCTCTCTCGCACACACAAACCCACCTACCACCACCAGAGACGGCTTCTCGAGGTCGACCGGGTCCCTCTATCTCTCAGCTGCTTTTCAGCAATCCCACCTCAGTTTCCTACCGACAACTCTCCCCTATGGACCGCCTCGGACAGCCTTGGTTGCAGCCGACTGAGACGAACTGACCGCCTGCCCGCCCTCGTCTGCGTAGCCGGTACTGTCCGCCCCCATATCCCGCCCGCTCTGCCTGTGCGATCGTCTTCTGCCCACGATCTCGAGGAGATAGTAATACCTACCGTCTACATACCTACTGGCCTAGTCCAACCAGAGCCGCTCCTCATTCCCTACGTGCCCTACATCCACAGTACATACCGCACCTAGCCGCACTTGACCACCTACAGCACACACGCATACATAGCCGTCTCTCTCCCTCTCTCGTTGCTCGGATAGGCCAAGCCCGGGCTCTGCGGTGGGTTGCATCCCATATAGTGAAGAGCTGTACGCGGTACAGGCCGTTGCGCTGACGTCGAGTATCCCCAGCTGCGAGCTGTGACAGGCTACCACTACTATTGCTACTACCCCGACTACATACGCCTACGGGCAACTTACGGATACGCTCAGCCTCGGGCCATTTGTTGTTGTTGCCCCCTTCTCTACCTAATGTGACCGTCGTGATACACCTACCACCCTCTCCCCCCTCGTGCCGATAAGACATAGACCGCCTCCGCTAAGGTCCTCGGCGTCCCGCAAGAAGACGAAACCATCTCTGCACACCACAGCGTCGCATCCACCGAACCCGCTGCCTTCGACCCCGCCAATCTCTGCATCCGGGTTCGAGAACATTTGCAGTCTACCAGACAAGTCTGCCACACCCGCACACATCATGGCTGTCGTGCCATTCAAGGTGAAGGCCATCTATGAGTACACCTCCGCCCACGAGGACGACCTGCCATTCGGGGTTGGCCAGATCATCACCGTTACCGAGGAGGAAGATGCCGACTGGTACGCTGGCGAGTATGTCGATGACTTAGGTGTGAAGAGAGACGGGATATTCCCACGCAACTTTGTCGAGAAGTTCGAGCCCACTGCTCCACCCCGCCCCACGAGATTCCGTAAAAAGGAGTCAGAGCCTGGCTCGCCCCCTCCCCCTCTACCACCCGTCGCTCCGGCTGAGCCGCTTCCGGCGCAGGAGCCTGTCGACACACCGCGCGAGAAAGCACACATAGAACCACGCGTTGCCTCGCCGCCTCCGTTACCTCCCGTTACGACGCCGCGTTCCCCGCCTCCTGTCTTCGCGCCTAAATCGCCGGAGCCGGCTCCTATCCCAGCGCCTGTGCCCGTTGAACCTCGAGTCCCCACGCCGGCGAGCCCTTCGGTCGCCCAGCAGACATCGAGAGCTCCGGCACCCCCTCGGGCTCCCCCGCCGGCGTCTGAGAAGCCCCCTAGCAATTCCTTCAGGGATCGCATCGCGGCTTTTAACAAGCCGGCAGCTCCGCCGGTTGCGCCCTTCAAACCCAGCGCCCTTAGCTCCGGCAGTTCCGGCTTTATAAAAAAGCCGTTCGTTGCCCCCCCTCCGAGTAGAAATGCTTACGTGCCCCCGCCTCGTGACGTGCCTACCGCCAAAGTCTACCGACGCGAGGAAGACCCAGAGGTCAAGGCTCAGGAAGTGGAGACATTCGAGAGTGCGGCCAAGGCCGGCCTGGTCCCTACTGAACCGTCGGAAGGTCAAGACGAAGAGCAGCCTAAGCCCACTAGCTTAAAGGAGCGAATCGCACTGCTTCAAAAGCAGCAAGCCGAGGCTGCTCTACGACACGCGGATGCCGTTGCGAAGAAAGAAAAGCCTAAGCGCCCTCAGAAGAAGCGCACCGAAAATGACGCCCCGCAAGAGAGCACGCCGGCAGAGGAGGGCGTAGCGGATCTCCCGGGTTCTTCGGAAAGGAAAGACGCCGTCGAGGCTAGCGGCAAGAAATCTATTGACGAATCTCGGCCCCCGAGGCAGCCGTTACCTCGACGAAAGTCATCAACGGCGCCCGTTGAGAATGATGGTAATGAGGCGGATATGTCAGGCGCAGGAGACACGACAGAAGGGCAGGAGGATCTCACTGAGAGAGAAGATAGCGATGAGAAGTCTCGTCCTCACGAAGGTGTCGCTTCCGGCCCCAGTTCTGCGCAAGACGAAGAAGAGGCTCAAGAGGAGGATGTTGATCCAGAGGTTCGCCGAAAGGAAGAGCTCCGTGCTAGGATGGCAAAGATGAGCGGTGGCATGGGTATGCATGGCATGTTCGGCCCTCCGGGAATAATGCCTCTCGGAGGTCCAGCGCCAGCTAAGAAGCCCAAGCCCCCGACATCCGGTGAACGTCGCTCAAGTGAGATATCGGATAGGCCCTCGTCACCCAGGATGCCCGCCCCTCCGATTCCGACCCCGATGGCCCTACCCGGATTTGGAAGGCAGAATCAACCAGAGGATGAGGTCGCCGAGTTCGATCGTGATGAACTGAGCGGACAGGACCCTACTCCTGTCGTCAGCGCTCAGCCCACAGGTTCGGCCTTGGAACGTAGGTCTTGATCTCTCTGTCAAATGCGGGATTTATAGAGCTAACAGCATGATAGCAGTCCCTCCCCAGGTACCTGGAGGCCCACCACCTATCCCGGGAGGACGACCCGCGGCCCCTCCAGTGCCCACAGACTGTCTGTCCCGCCTCCTAAGTTATCTAAGAAGGAAACTAACCATTATTCCAGCTCGGCCACCCCCGCCTCCGCCTACCGGTGTAGCTTCGCCCAGCATAGGTTCCGAGTCAGATGATGAATTGTCCGAGAACCCCCAGAGAGCCCCGGAGACTCCACGAGGCGAAGTCCCTCCGGCCGGTCGGGCACCTCCGATCCCTTTGGCACCCCCGATGGCGCCAACCTCACCCCGGGGGGCTGGCAAGCGCACCTCCTACATGGGCGAGGACATCCCGCCGGCATCTCCCCCGCTACCCCCGCCATCGAACAAGAGGAACAGCCGTCCACCGCCTCCCATTCCCGGAGCCGCTCCGCCTCCTATTCAAAACCGGCCCCCGCCTCCTCCGCCCCCCGGTGGTCCCTTAAGCCGTTCTTCTACTGCTGACGAGAAGATTGCAGTCCCAATGAGGCCGGGACATTTGGACAACGGCGAGGAGGGAGAGGTAACCGAGTACGAAGGTGACTACGATACTGATATCGCATCCTCAGTCCCTCATAAGGATGCGCTCAAGTCGCACGCTCGAGACTCAAGCCTCGACGATAGCATTCTGATACGCTCGCCCGTCACCGAAGCTCCGCCGTCCTTGCCTCCTCCAGTCCCCGACACAGCTGTCCCGCGAGCTAGCCCACCGCCAGTCCCGAGCCAACCCCCACCAAGCTCTAGATTATCGATGGACTCTCCTCGTGCCGTCCCTCCACCTCCGCCCCCACCCAAAGAGGTGTTTTATTCTTATGGCGAGGATTACGATCCTTTCAATTACAATGGCGCGCAAACCTCGCCAGCTACCGCTTCCCGCGACGTAGCACCTGTACGAGAGGAAGAGGAGGAGTCGGAGCAAACACCGCAACCAATGTCTTCCTATCAGTCTCCTCCTCTACTCCCACCAATCAGCCGAGCCCCGCCACCACAACCGCCCAGGGTCACCCGACCATCCGTAGACATGTCGTGGCCCGGCGGGAGGAGATCGGTCGACGCGACCCGACCATCAATGGAGACTGGCTTCGTGGCAAACGAGATCGACTTAGCTGCCCATACCCAATGGTGGCTTGCGCCGAACGGCCTCCCTCCGGTATTCCAGGGCAGACGGGACATCTATACCGAAACTGGCGAATCGGCCTCGGAGACGCTGATTACCAAGGTATTCTTCATCCTCTTCCAAGACTATTCACAGACCGTTATTACCGCCCGCTTCGATAGTCAAAATCCTGCAGATGCCGAACTAGAGCAACGTCACGAAGGCCCACCTCGGGCCCTCCGCCAGGACGAGCTCGAGGAGGCGTATGAACGGTTTGGTCGGGCAATGGCCAGCGCAGCTGCGGACAAGAACCACATAGTCGTTGGCGACGGCACCCCACAGGCGCTCATCTTTGAACTTCTGAAGCCCTTGAAGGACGCCCTTCCGCCAGTCGGCACGCGTGCCTACGGTGCCTTAGTCTACGCCAACATGGCAAACGCGTCGACACAATTGAACGACGAGATTAGACCGGGAGATGTCATCTCCATTCGCAACGCGAAATTCCAGGGCAAGCACGGGCCCATGCACGCGAAATATTCCATGGAAGTGGGCAAACCCGACCACGTGGCCATCGTCGCGGAATGGGACGGTACCAAGAAGAAGGTTCGGGCATGGGAACAAGGCCGCGAGAGCAAGAAAGTAAAACAGGAAAGCTTCAAGCTGGACGATCTGAGGAGTGGCGAAGTCAAAGTCTGGCGAGTAATGCCCCGAAGCTGGCTCGGGTGGAGCTCGGACTAGCAGTCGCGAAGACCATCTTTGGAATATCTGTGGCCTATACTTATGAGGATCGGCACGGATGGAAGGGTCAACGTGGATAGCCCGATGCAGTTACCGGGATCCTGCCGGCTCTCCCAGTAAGAAAGGAGAAACAGGCAAAAAAAAAAAAAAACCGACGCATACATACATACATACAACAACACACACAGGGACAAGCAGGCAGGCAGGCGACTTGGGAAGTAATAGATCTGTGAAGCACAAAGGGAAGCGGAATGGATATCTGAAAGTTTGGGAGAAGGGACATCGGGAGACGATACGGACGTGGATGAGGGGAAACTGAAGGGGGGGAAAGAGAGGACGGAGCGGGGAGACGCGAGAGAGAGAGAGAGAGAGGTGAGTATAGCACAGCAAAGTGTTCGTCTCTTGTACGAAAGCATTCGCTTGGGGAGCCAGTCGTTCTGTCATAGTAGCTACCCTTTTTTTTTTTTCACTTACCTTACCTTACCTACTACTACCTTTACCGAACCTATCCCACGTACCTCGACGCCTTAAGCTCGCTTCACCTTACCTCCTTCACCTTGCCTTACTTGTTTTGTCCGGTCTGGCCTGGTCTGGCCTCAACCTACCTTGCATGTCGTCTACCACTAGTCTGGGTAGCGAAATACCTAACTATTATTATACACACATACACATACGATACGATGCCATCACCACCGCCTCAAGTAGTTGAGTAGTTGTGGCTGCTGCTGTTGTTGATGTATGATGGGTTTTCTTTCGCCCTCTCTCACTCTCACTCTCTCTGTGCTCCCTTCTTGAGCTGTTCCTTCGTTTCGAGGTAGGGTCCGCACGTACCGTCGTTATCGTTGTCGTCGTCGTCGCCCCCGGCCTCGTCTGAGTGTGATGGCAGAGGGGCGGACGGAACGAAGTGGGACGAGGCGAGATTGGGGCTAGATTGGGCGAGAAGCAGAGAGGGAGGGAGGGAGGAAGAGATGGAGAGGGAGTACGCATATCGCAGATACGCCCTCTCGCCCTCTCGCCAACTCCCCGGCACCCGCGGCCCGCCGCTCCTGCGCTGCTGCGTCGCTGGCCTATCGACGGCTCCGGGCCTCGTTGTGTCCGCTCGACGGGTCTCGGTCTAGCTGGGGTTGGGCTCGCCCGCTGGCTAGCTCCTCTCGTCGTGTCGCTCGCTCGCTCGCTCGCTCTGGGCTGGCGAGGTGCGACGCGGGCGCGGACGGCTTTACGGGGGGAGAGGGGAAGGGGGGAGGGGGGGGGACGGGAACGGGACGTGTGGTCGTGTGTAAACCCTAGGGGGGGTGTGGGCGGCGTATATATATAATGTAAATGCATGTTAAGCTGCAGAGATAAGGATCGGGATAGGGATAGGGAGGACAGAGACCGGTGTATTGGGAGGGCTGTCGCCCCTCTTGCGTCCCCCGTCCTCCTTCCCCTCCCTCCCCCGCCCGTCTAGAAACAAGTGTGTGTGTGTGTGTGTGCTACGATCGCCCGCCGTGTGTGCCTACGCGCACCATACGCACGCCCTGGGACCGTCCGCTTGTGTCTTTCCTCGCCCACAGGCGGGAGGGCGGGAACGCTGGACGTCGACGACGCGGGAGAGAGGGGGAGGAGAGGAGAGGGAAGCTAGGTGCACGTATACCCGAGCATTCCGCTCGAAGCGGCAGCTTGTGTGTATGTGTATGTGTGTGTGCTAGGTGCGTAGTAGCAGGCGCGTGGTGCGACCTGGAGGGCGGGCGGAGGGGAGGGAGGGTTGTATCAGCGAGCGAGCAGGTACGTAGATAGGCAGGGAGGCAGGTCTAGGTCGACGAGGAGGCGGCGAATGTGTGAGACGAGACGGGCGGCGGGCAGGTTTCTGTCCCCCCCTCCCCTATTCTCGCCCCGGGTCGTACGTGTGTGTGCGCGTACGGCGGAATGAGATATTTAGGGGGGAGGGTGGCTTCGCGTAGCGTAGCGTAGGCGTCGCCGTCTCGGGAGGAGAGGGGGGGGGGGAGGGATGGGTTACGTCGGACGGATCGACTTGCTCTTTCTGTCTGCGTGTGTGTGAGGTCGGGGGGACGGAGGGGAGTGAGAGATGGTGTCGTAGAGGGGAAAAAGCGCTCGACAGCCAGCGACGACGCCTCGCCCGTCGTGTCGCTGTCGGCGTGCTCGGCCGGGCGCGGGACGACGCTGCTCGGCCAGCTCCGCGGCTACTAGGGGGCGGGCGGGCGGGCAGCGCCCGGAGGGCCTCTTCATCTGTCACGTCTCGCGGCAGACGGGAAGATCGTCTGAGACCTGTCCAGGCGCGGCTCGGCTCCTGCTCAGCATGTGATGCACGGCGAGGGGAGCGACCCGGGGAAGACGGCGTGATCTGTTCTGCATCTGCTGTCTCTCGCCTGCGCCTCTAGATGCCGTCGTTTTTGTGTTCTGTCACCGAGTACGACGTCTGCTACTTAACATATTTACTTGTCAAGAACTGATATACGACCCCCCCCCCACGGTCGGGGAGGGGGGAGCATTCTGCAGCGAGGGTAGCATCCGTAATCGCTCCGCGTTTCACGATCGCCACACGAGAAGATCCGATGCAAAAACACAGGTATGCGTGATTAAAAGCGTGTATACATGTTTTCCAATATCGTATTTTCTGCAGAGCACCTGGATCGGGACCAGGATGGGGGAACCAAGAGCATAGAGATGGGTATGTATGATGAAGACAGCGATTCAGCACTGGATTCTCTACCCTGATTCCCAACGCTGCCCAACGTGCCATCGAATGGGGAACGGAGGGTTGTAGGCATATAAAAGGCAGGCAGGGAGGGACACGAGCTATTTGGTGAACAGAAAGCTACCGCCGTAGCTTATCTCCTCTCCTCTCCCCTTCCCCTCCCCTTCCCTTCCCCCCTTTTTCTTTCGCCGTCTCTTTCTTCTTCCTCCGTCGCATCCCCATTCTCATTCCTAGTTCCCTCCTCTCCCTTCTGATAACCGAGGGCACTCGGAGTCTGTAATAGGAGAGTACAGGGTGAATGCCCAACATATCTGGAAAGGCCTAGTCATTTTTTCAATATCGAGTTCCTGTGAGATATGCCGTCCCATAAAGTTGACACGTTATACAGACACGACGATACGGACACGATGTCGTGTCTCTTGTCTCGTCTATCTGTCTGTCTGTCTGTCTCGTGTGCTTTGCTCCTCTATTTTGACCCGGCCTAAATGAGCACTGCAGTAGTGGCCTGCAGTGAGAATCCGATCTGGAAATTTGGTTAATCGTGTATTCACGCGTGCGCTCTTGCGCTACCGAGTAACTATTATGGGAAGAATACGACGTTTCGAAGGTAGAGAGGGTAAGTAGCGCTGATGCTACTCCTCCCGCAAGTGAGAGCTGCTCGCACATCACCACCACGGCTACTAGTCCCGGAACTACGGGCTCTGGCCAAGGCCGCTGCGATCAGGCCACGCGGGGGTACGCTGGAGGAAGACGAGCCAACAAGGCTTGCCTCGTCAAGAGAAGCCGAGGCTTGGGTCTGCTGCGTAGTAGGTAGGGTGTGATGTTATTAATCAGCAGACACACACGTAGCTCTCTCGGGATCTCCTTGCCTCGTGTCTTGAAGAGGGAGGGTGACGAGGGGTTTCGGAGATTTTCCCTCTGGACAGGCCAACGATGGTGTTACATCCAGCAGCTCGTAGGTCGCTTGGTCATGCTGCTCTACCCAATGTGTTCAAAGCACGACCCCGATCTTCAGACATTCGGAGACCTAGCCGCGGCCGACGAGTCCGGAAGCAGCAGCAAGTAATCGGCCCCCCGACAACTCCACAGCATATAGAGGCTCGTTATCACACGAGTCAGGTTTCAACTGGGGTTCCCCCCGGCCCCCCTGCAACCTGTAGAGAGGAACCACTCGGTTGCGAAAATAGATTGGGGACTGACTTCCAGAAGTCGCCGCAGCGAGCTATACGGCTCCAAGTCGTGGGATGTCTATAGCCAGTAGAAACGAGCCGCGAATATTAAAAAAAAAAAAAATCCGTATCCAATGCCAGCGTGGGAGAGGAGATGGCGAGTTGGTTCGGACCTTAACCGACAGTCTAGAATTAGCCACTGCGTTTCCCGCGTGAGCCCAATAGGACAGCTAAACTTGCATCGCACGGTCGTAGTATTGCTACGGGGTATACCGGCTGGCCAGCCAATGTGCACGGCTGCCCACGCTCCCCACGTTCACTCGCCATGGACATATCGGAGAAAAGCAGCGGCAGGCCTAGCTACCGCAAGGGGTTAAACCGCGCGTGCTTATCTCTCGAGAGTCGAATGGGGGAGCTGCTGGGCCACCCACGAGCCCCCAGAGGATGGGAGGCGAAGCGAGAGAACTTAGGATGGTCCTCGATATCAAAATCGCCGGAGGCGGCTTCGAGCCCGCCCCGTCGAAGAAGGAAGGGATGCAACGTTGAGTGCTGTCACCCACAATTGCTGGGCTTGTTGGTACTTTAGCTAGGCGTTATTGCTGTTGTTATTGTTGTTGTCTTCCTCTTCCTCTACGGCCCACGCCTGCTGATCGTGTACCTACATTGGACACAAGTGGGCTCTTACGGGTAGGCGTGTCAGTACTACCGCCGCATGCGCCCCAAGTTCGCCGGCTCTTGTCTACGGGGGTTGTCTTTCCAACCACCCGTCGAGTCGGGACAGAGTTAGGTACGCTGAAAACGCAAAGTGCCCGACGCGGTCGAAATCGAGCCGTTGCTACGCATCGGAGAGCACTCCTGGGAACCATGGTAGCGCTTTCCTATATAGGTAAAATCTGACGCCTCTTCTATAACTACCTATGGATTTGGTCGACGTCATCAACCTTTTGTTGACTTACGTTGATAGATATGGGATAGGCTCGCACTCCACAAGGAGGTCCGGGCCGTCTGTACGAGGATGGAGAGGAAGAGGGTGATAACAACTACGCCAGCAAGGATCACCCAGGAGGCTTCGCACGGAGGGGCCACTGCCATGAACGGGGCAGGTCCATGGCGTCAAGGGACCAGGACAGGCAGGTAGGCAACATATACCGAGTATCCAGCAGTCCGGGAATGGCCGACTTCGGCTGCTTGCATCTGTGGGGTTGTGAGATGAGAAAGACGGCCGCAGGCCGGAGATGCACAGATCATCAGAGGTTAGCAAGGGGACGGCGATGAATTGGCTAGCCAACATCGTGAAGTTTGTCGACGTTGAGATATGGGATCAGGGGTTCCGAGGCAGGGGGACTCTCCTCCCGGGATCTCTGTTTGAACCACGACGATTTCCCCATCTGAGACAGACATGCCCCTAACCAGCTGTCGGGAACTAGTTGTCGATGGCTAGCAGTCGATAGCTGGCAGTCGATAGCTGGCTGTCGGGTACCCGGCACCTTAGGGCATCAAGGCTTTGCGAGCAGGTCTTGCGCGAGATGTCGAGATCCCAAGGGAGATGCGAAGGGGGCCTTGCTCGTCGCCTCGTTCGTAGCAGACGAAATACGACGTCTTCGGTGGGTGGGCATTAATGTGCATCAATTAAGACTATCCTCTTCTGAGGATAGGGGAGGAGAAGCGAGCGGCAGCAGCCAGCGAATCCGTCGTCCATTCTCGGGCAGGGAGGCCCCAAGGCAAATGCAGGGTGACCTAACCAACCAGACCAGATCCTCCTGCGTACGTTGTATGTTCTCGGCGACGCTCTGTCTCGCGAGAAAAGGAGGGCGCCCAATAGAGCCAATCATGGGCAGGTCCCGAGAGGCATCTCAAGGCGTCTCGAGGCACGCTCGAAGCGGGCGAGCGCCCGGTCAGAGGAGTGCGACTGGCCAGGAGCACGTGCTCGAGTCTCCCTGTGTGCCTGGCCGCGTATCTGGCGTCCAAGTCGGGTCCAAATGCGCCAGCGAATGAGCGGTTGACACACAGCAGCGCCCCGTATTTGACCACCTGCAGAGGGCCAGAGGGCCAGAGGACGGCACAGCAGGAACAGCTACTACGCCAGCTAATGCTAGACGGGAAAGGTTTGGAGGGAGCTCTCTTGCTTCGAGCAGGCGGATGGCAGCTCACCAGCTGTCGCACAGGGAGGCTTGGGGACAAGGGTGATGAAAGCGGGTGAGTGACGGCGACAGATGGATGTCCCATGTGATTTACGCCCCTGTGAACTGGAGACTGGAACAGCTCGCCGGGACTCGGGAGTATGCTGCTGTACAGCTGACAAGGCAATTCTGCTCTGTCTTTCCGCCTCTCTATCTCTCTGTCCTCCGGTCTCTATTTTTGGGTTCCGTCTGCTCAAATCCTCACCCGGGAACTGACTTGGGGGGCCCGCTTTGCAAGCTGGCGACTGAAGCCCAGTGTGTCGGAAGGCCGTAGTGAATTGGGTGGCAGCACATTCACACGCACACTACGCATGCGCAGGTATCTACTATGTAGGGGGGTAGGCGGTTCGCCGGGATTGGCCTCTGATGACAGCGAGGGCGCGACAATTAAGTCTCCACATTGCAGGTGAGAGGAGTGAATGCCGGGGTCGAATACGATGCTTCGGGCTGCCATTGAGGTATTGGTCGGTGTAATGGAGGTGCAATGGCAGCTCCAGGTGCATCGACTTCTCGCCAGCATCTAAAATCTCGACGTGGTCGTGGGAGGGGAAAGAATGGAATTAGAAACAGCTTCGGTTTCAGCCAACGGCATCGACAGCGCAAAGAACAGTATCAATCGAAAAAAAAGTACTGCCCCGGCGATGGAGAATGAGACATTCCAGGCGGGAACTCGGCTTCTGGTTGGGCAGAAGCACACCCCAGATTCTTCGAATAACCCTGGAGCGGTTGAGCGAATTCGACAAGCCTGTGAGGCTGTATTACACACACATCCGTTCTTCTGCGTACTCTCTCTTCCTCGCCTCCTCCCTCTGTCCGTTTCTCTGTTCATCTGCCTGTCCCAGTCCCTCTCCTGGAGCGGAACGGAATGGCGGGAGCCATGACGACGGGTGGAGGTCAATGCTGTTGGTGACATGTAGGTAGGTATGTGGACGGGTAGCAATGCGCTTCCGCAACCGTACCAGAGTCGAAGACGGACCGCAGGTTTATGGAGTACATACAGCAGAGGCCGCCATTATTGAAACGTCATAACAGAGCATCCATGTACCATGCAGCCATCAGCAGCAGCAGAAGCAACAACGGCATTCCTCGTTCTCCGGTTTTCCTCCCCTTCTTCTCTCTTTCGTTCACGAACCGGCCCTTGCTCCTGATAAGCCGCCGTTTTATACATATCCTGTGGGACGAACTCGTGGCTGGTGCATGTAGAGACGATCTGAATGGTCGAATTGGCTAAGCGTCGGTCACGCCCGTATGGATACATACTACGTAGTAATCTCCATACAATTACTGACGAAGAGGCGGAAGAGAGCATGTTTTTCTCTCTCCCTGCCCTCCGTCTTTTCCTCCCGTCTTACGCAGGGCTGCTACACTCGCCCATCACGATCGCTCGATGAGGGCTGGCCGAGAGCAGCACGAAACCGAAAGAAGGCAAAGAAAAAAAAACCCCCCAAATTAAAACAATAAAAGGAGAGAGCCTCGTCGGGGATCTGCTACCGAGAACGTGTGCATTTGTTTCTCTTGTCCACAGACGGGTCCCATCAAGTCGGGCAGCCGTGCAACGGCGTTCAGCATTCAGCTACCGGACGGCGACTGATGAGGTGGGACGGATGAACTTTGGAGAGATAGCGAAGTAATACTAATTCGTGATCGGGCCATGTCTAGATTAGCCTGCTTCGAGTTGGAGACAGGTGAGATGGAGCGGGCTGAGATGAGACGAGAGAGAAATCGAGAGCGCATGGGAATCTGTCTTTCCCTATGAGTATGTCAGTCGGGTCATCTGTGAGGATGCAGAGAATCGTGTCCCATCCGCCCGTCGAAATGTGATTCAGGTAGTTGGAGGGGCTTAGGTAAGAGCAAAGTCCCGGACACGGCTGGCGTTGGGACGCCCTATGAGGTGAAGTTGCCTTCCCGTGCTTTCCCGTACCTTCCCACGCTTTCGCGCAGCAGGTGGAGGGTTGCACCTACCTGAACCTTCCATCCCACCTGCTTTTAGGCACTTGCCTGACAGGAGGTAGCTAGATAGGGCAGGGGCCGCCGGGTTGCTCGATCACCAGAGGTAGCCTCTGTATCTTGGGTGAGATATAGGGCAGGCACAGGCATCTACCGGGGCGCCATGCGTGCTGTGCTGCTGTGCTTGCCCGCTGGACCCGATGTAGGTACATATGGGCTATGGGAGGTAGGTATATGCAGTGTAGGTATGTACCTACATAATGACCGTGCTCGCTCAGGGCTGTCCCCAGCAGGTTAGGTACCTATAGTACCTAGGTAGGTGGGTAGGTACCTAAGGCAGGTTACCCAACATGATATAATCCCGTAAACGAGAGTTGCGCTTAACCCATACCCCCCACGTGGCTCCTCAGACGGAGTGCGCGATGTCGCATATATTAGGCATCTAGGTACTGCCCACTAGCGTGACGAGCTCGAATTCGGGTATGAAAATAAGCACCCGTATACCTACGTCACTACCAACCCGGGACTTCACTATCTACATATTACGTAGCAGACCTGCGTGTCATCGCCGTTCCACACGCACGGCCATGCGTTTATGTACCTATATCGTATGCGTGTATGCATATGCCAAGCTGCCCTGCTGTTATTTTTTATTTTTTTTTAGGAACATACGTGGGAGCGTCAATCCGAACCCTCCCTTTCCCCCCCCATCACCGTTTCCAGTCGTCACCCCCCTTACCACCTCCCTGGCCTCTACGGTCTTTACAAGTCATGTGTCGATCTCGTGACGGAGTCATCGGGTCTTGTTGCAGAGCTCTGTAGAACATGGACAAGTAAGTGTCGAAGCTATACCTAGAATATGACGAGTTTGTGATCTGCTGCTCTGCTCGTCACCGATGGCCTCGCGAACGTCAACGTGATGTGGTTCGACGGACTGGAACCTCGCCACAGCTCGCAGACACGGGCAGTACTGCACAACACCGCACTACACCACCATACTGCACCACGCCGTCTAGGTGTTTCCGGGTGCGTAACCTGCCTAGCCTACACCCTGTGTGTCTGTGCGTCTGCGCCCGTCCAGTCTTCGGGGCATACCCGAGCCCGGAGGAACCGTGTGACGGAATGAGGCAACGGAATACTCTCACTCAGAAACGGGAATCCTGGGTTGCTATGTGCAACACCGAGGGGGTTGGATAAGAGTATAGGTGCTTGCCAGGGGGAGGGGCATACGTAGCCGCCGCTGCGCCGAGTGCCACCTTTTTCGAGTCACTAGCCCTCGACCGTTCGACAGGGTGGACGTGGTAGACGTCGTGGACGTCGTGGATGGACACGCAGAGCTTCTCCCCCCCCACTCGCCGATACCGAAAGGGAAAAGACTGCCCTCTCCTACCAGTTCTGGCCTGGCCTGGCTGTCTCCCCTTTCGTTATCCTCCTCCTCCGCCATCCAGCCAACAGGATCCTCTCGACGATGCTCCCGTCAGGCATCCTGCAGCTAGCAGCAGCTAGCAAGTACAGCAGTCTTCCCAACTAGGTATATCAGCATGCTCGGCAGGGTTAATAGCGCCGACTTGCTGCTATCCACACCCCTGGCTCTCTCCTTCGCCTGCGGTCGTCGTGGTCTTGGGTCAGCGCAGGCCCAACCAATACGTATCAACCCAGACGCCTCTCCGTCGTTCCACCCTCCGCCTTATATCTCTTTTGTTATTGAGCCATGTTGCTCCAGTAGTTTCCTCTCGTTTTATAATGGATCTTATCCAGGCTCGGTTTCGCTGCATAAACTCCCGCTCTGTCCACTATTCTCTGCTTCGCCCATACAATCCCATCTGGCCCTACACGTATTCCATCATTGGGACCCATACACCTTTTTTTTTCCTTCGCGTTGTCCATTAACACGTCCTACCGGCTCCTGCCTTTATTCCCCGGGTTAGGCGCATGTCGAGCAGCTCGCAAAAAAAGCCCTTGCGTCCCGCAGAGATCATCTACATCAGGCTTCAGTGGGGCTCCGTCGAATCATCGTCAGCATCAGAAGTGTCCCGCTTGCGATTGTGCGCTTCAGGGTCCTTGAGATCGCCGGGCGCAGTCCTTGGTGGCTAGACTAGATATAAGAGCTTCCTACTCACCCTCTTTCTTCCCTCCCTACCGCTATTACGTTCCTTCAACAATTCCTTAACTTCAAGCCCAAGTTTCCCCTCCCCTACCTCCTTCCATCATGGCTCAAAGGCGTGATACCTACCTCTCCCACGACACTGCAAGCTCTCGGGATACGAGGCGAAGTAGTGACTCCTATGACTCACGAAGTACGGCGCCCACCTCTCTCGACGACAGCCCGCCGCCGTCCATCAAGGGGTCGGATTCTCGCCCTATCCAATTCCGGTCGCCTTGCTACGACGAGGACCTGTCGCCGGTGACGAGCCTGTACCCCCGCTCATCGGTCGAGACCTATTCATCGCAGGCCTCAAGCGACGAGTCTGAGGATGCGGATTCGGAAGGGTCCTTGGATTATTCCGACATCCCCCCGCTTCCCGTATATCGGCACGAGATCGAGGAGATCAACGTCAGACCATCGACTCCCGATGAATTCGCTGCCCTTTTCCCATCGATGAACCGGCTCAATGTCCGCCACGATGACTTCACCCCCGATGGCAACATGAACCTACGGGTTGACACCGTAGTCTTGGGCAAACGGAGGAAGACGATCCAGCTCTTCCATCTACGCATGTACGACTTGAACAAGCGCGAGTTCTCTCTCCGGCGGTATTGTCGAGATTCTGGTCGCGAGGTGTGCGGCTCGAAACGCAAATACGTCGAACCGGCCATCCCACGCCGCCCCAAGCTGCAGCGATCCATGTCGAATGCGATGAGGACCTTCACAAGGCGACCGACGCTCAGTCGGTCCCCGACTGCTGCTCCCGTCTTCACATCTAAGGGCCGGCCCAGCACGAGCGACTCTTCGGTGACCCACTCGGTTGAAGCCGATGATGACTTTACCGACGTCCTCAGTCAGTCCCTCTCCGGCGATAAGAAGGAGAAGTCTCGCCCCGTCGCGACGAACACGATTAAGCTCGAGTTTTCCAACTACGCACGCGTTGACGTGAAACGGCGCGGAAACAAGAACAACAAGCGGTACGAATTTGAATGGTGGGGTCACAAATACTCGTGGAAGAGGGTGTCGGATAAGCACACCGAGTCCGTCGCCTTTCATCTTCTGAGGGATGGTCAGAGCACTCCCGTCGCACACATCGTCCCGGAAATTCGATCGCCGACCCAAGCCGATGCCGATGAGAGAGCCGGTGGCTGGGTTCCTCCTTGCCACATGTGGCTCAGCGACCAGAGCCTAGTCGACGCTGCGACCGACGTTGCCGAGTAAGTGCTGATCCTGTCTACAAGTCGTAATTTCAATGCTAACTAGCTATCACAGCATCGTCATCGCAACCGGCCTCATCGCCTTGGTCGACAATTGCATCAAGGAGCGCTGGCAGACGAAGGCGAAGGCAAAGAAGCCACGCCGCATCAGTCTCCCACTCCCAACCAAGCCGATAGATGTCGAGCTCATGAACCCGAAATCCTTTGTACAAAACTTGTTTTCCCGTCGGAATTCGGATCATCAACCGCGCCCACCACACAAGGTCGTAGCCGCCTGCTGACAGGCTACCGACGAGAGAAGATCCCATTAATTGGTTGGGGAGCGATTGACCACTTTCCTCCTCGCGCGGGAAGTCGAACGGCCTCGTTCTAATCTAATCTTATACCTACTCGGTTGATACGCATTATCACCACGACTACAGCACCTCTGGCACTCAGTGTGTCGAGGATATACACACAGACGTCCTCTTTTTGGAATTCCTTTCTTTTGTTCATTAGAATCCTGAAAATCAACCACCGAGCGACGATTTATGGCAGACGTATAACGCCGTCTAGTCTCATGTTAACCCCTCAAAAGTTATCCTTCGGCTTCTGTTTTCCCCTCGTCCTGCTTTCTTTCCTTTTGGCCTTCGTTCTGGTTCGCGCCGAAGCACCAAAATTTCGCCTCCTCGCTCCAGACGAGGCCCAGCTTCTCATTTACCTCACCTTTTTATTTGTACATATATATCTACAGCACATCCCGGGGGAGTTACGCATCTAATGGAGTCGAAGCGGTTGCAAGGGGGACATTGCACACATTTTCATCTGGTCACATCGCATTTTGCTGTATAAATTCTTTCCTTCGCGTTTTCTTTAGTTTCCGAAGGAAACGAAGAAAACTCTACTACGTTCTTCTCTTTTACGTCTTTTTTCCCCTTTGTCTGGATCACGATAGCATTTTCCGGTCGCAACGCATGGAATACGGAGCATGGGGGGGCATGGGTGCATATATAAACCAAACCGCTAAGCAGGCAGGAGATCGCAGAGTTTATTAGGGGTGTATATGTTTTTTTTTTCTTTCCTTTTTGCTCTACGTCAATGCATCGTCGCGCGGTTATATTTACACACACACATATACGTATCTGTATGTGTCAGTGCAGTACTTCTTGGTTACGGGCATGCTTTACTTGGTCTGTTACCGGCGCATGGTTTACACGCCGTGGTGGTTGGCGAGGGATGGATTTCCGGGACAGCGAGAGCTACCACCTTCACATCGAGAGACGGGTAGCGAATTTACCTTCACTACTTAGTCGCCCCATCGCCTCTTCCTCGAAGACCACGGGAGGAGGGGGGTATAGGTCGAAGCTCTATATTTTTACAGAGAGGCAAAATCCCGAATTTGGAGATTTTTCCCTCCTGCAATCCCGCGTCCCTCTTTTAGCATGCTTTAAATTGTGACATAACAGCCACCGAAATTAAAACGTAACACGTAGGTAATATCTTTTGTTTTTATCACGCGTTTCTGGCGCTGTGGCAAAAAAAAAAAAACCGCCCTCCCAACTGTCTAGCCCGTCCACGCCCGCCCTGCCGGTCGCCGCCCAGCAAATTACCGAACCATCATCATCTATATCGATCCTACCTCGCTAGCTAGCTAACGCGGGCGCGGCGGCGGGCGCTGGAGACGAAAGCTCGGGGCGCCGCCCTAGTATGCTGGGAGGGGAGGGCTTGGGCTGGGCCTCTGAGCTGCTGGGCTGGGCTCGGGTTGGGCTGGGACGAAGGAAGAGACGGGCGACGGAGGTTAGGTAGGTAGGCAGGCAAAGGTCGGGCAGATATATCGCGTATAGCGATAAACCGGCGTAAGCCTATTTGTGCGCGTAAGCGACGAACCCCTTTATCCGGGATGTGTGAAAGGGGGGGGAAGGGGATTTGTTTAGGCTATCTTGCCGGCCGGTTGGGTTATCGCGCGGCGCCGATGCCGTCATCGTTGGGCTAGGGAGGAAGACGTAGAGGTGGTCTTGGGCAGGTAGGTAGGTAGGGTAGGGGGTAGACGAGGTGGGAGAGAAGGGGGGAGGAGGAGGGAGCGGAAGCGCCTATCAAAACACGTCGTCCCCGAGGTCCCCGAGGTCCTCGCCGTCGTGCGCCGCCGCCCGCCCGGCGTCGAACCACCCGCCGAAGTCGAGCTTCATCAGCAGGCGGTCGATGCCGCCGACGCGGCGGGGCGTGTACCTGGCGGCGCCGTCCTCGTCCAGGCCGTCGGCACCGACGTCGTCCGCGCCGTCAACCGCGGCGCCCGCGGTCCGGTCCGCCGCTTCCGCCGCCCCGACTGCGGCGGCGGCGGCGTCGCCGTCCTCGAGCTCGGCCGCGAACGCGTTGTCCATGCTGAGGGCGCGGAGGACGCCGACGACGGCCTCGACGGCGCTGCGGACGCGCGCCTCGGCGTCGCGGATCGCCGCGCGCGCGTCCGCCTCCTCCGCCGCCAGGTCCGAGAAGGCGTCCACCACGCCCTCGTCCGCCTCCAGGTCCGCCGCCCCCCAGATCCCGTGCAGCCGCCCCGCCAGCGCCGCCAGCCGGTCCGCCTCCACGAGCAGCTCGTACAGCGCGTCCGTGAACGCCTCCCGCGTCAGCAGCAGCCGCCGCGTCAGCGTCCGCAGGTACAGCCGGTGCGCGATCGCGAGCGTCTGCGGGTCGTGGTGGTGGTGCGGGACCCCGTCCTCCGCCCGAGACCCCTCCGGCTGCGAGGCTGTTTTCGTCCGGGCGCCGTCTTTATTGCCGTCGTCGTCGTCGTCGTCGTCATCGGAGGACGAGGAGGCGTCGGTGCCTGGTCGGGTGCCGTATGTGGAGGGCGGTCGGCTGTGCTGCCTAGCGTGCTCTCTCCGACCCGTCGTCAGCCAGGCGTGGAAGTCGTCCCACAGCCCCTCCACAACCTCGACTTGGAGATAGGCTTCGGTCTCGGCTAGGAAGAAGATTGCAGCGCTGCTGGTACTCCAGACGCTCCGCATCGCCGAGGAGCGGGCCGACCAGCGCTCGCGGAGGACGCGCGTCCTCGCGATGCCGCCCTTCGTGGTGCTGTACGGAGGCCTAGGCGGCGGCGGGTGGTGGCGGCGGAGGGACGTTATCTTCCATAGGTCCGTGAGGTGGAGGTGCGAGCGGCGGATCGATAAGAGGTAGGAATTGATCGCGGTATAGACTTGCACGTCGGACGCGGTCAAGAAGAGGTCCAGCGGTGGCGGAATTTGAGATGTGAGGACGGCGGGGACGGAGAAAAGGAGGTTTTTGAAGGGGGTGGCCGCAATGTTGCCGGGCGATACGCTGCCAGCACCAGCTTTGACCTTCATGGGCGTAAGTGGTTTCGTCTTGGACAGATCTAGTCGTAGGAGATCCCTAGCCAATTCGAGCTCCTCGTCTTCATCTGCGTGCTGGCTCTGCATCGAGCTCAAGACTGCCCATGTTTTGTTCAGAACCGCTGTCACCTCGCCTTCTTTGACTACGATATTGCCTAGTCCGGAGCGCTTCTCGTAGGCCAGGTTATCGGCACGTCGCCAGCGGCTGCGGATGATTTCGGCAGCTTGCTGCGTTAAGGCCATCGCGAATTCGCCACGACCGAGTAGGAAAAAGCTCCGATAGAGCCTAAGCATCTCAAGGATTTTGGTCAGCGGCAGAAGCTTCTGTAGAGTTGTCCGGGAGAGCGTGAGTCGAATCGACGTGATAGCCCTCGAAAACGCCGCGCTGCTGAGAGGAGACTCTAGGTCGGCAAGCGTCTGAAGCTGAGATGAAAGATGGTCAGGTCGGCTACCGCTTGGTTCTATGCCGGCCCGGGGTTTCACCCGATTCAACGATGTCCCGATGAATAGCATCGACGCGGCAGCAGACGGCGTCACGAATGACGGCAGTAAACTGTATTCGACGGAGAACCCCTGATCTCGTTAGCGAGGCAGCCTTTCATGGGACACGGGTAGAATGAAGGCTCTCTCACTTGTTCGGCATCAAAATCTCTCCGGATGAAGAAATCCTTATCCCCTAGAATCGGTATTCGCCCGTACAGGACCCAGGCCGCCACTTGCTTCAGCCATGCAGCCTCGGCAACTTTGACGAGAGCGAGCGCAGTCTCTCCGATGTCAGCGTATCCGGTTCGAAGCTCGTCGCGCAGCCTATTGATGAGATGTGACGTCCGACAAGGGGAACCCTCGTTCTCCTCGAAGAGGAACTGGACCAAGTCCCATAGCCACTCCATGCGCCGATTCCACTCGGAGAATTCGCCAATGACGGCAGTCAGAGGCACGATGTTATAGGCGCCTACGAGTGAGGCATCCTGTCGAAGGATGCTTGCCTCTACTTCTAACACCTTCCTCTGGAAGGCGGCTAGGTAGATGGAATTGATAGCGGTGGAAACTGCGCGGCATATGACCGACGGATGGGACGCGCTGATGTGTGCGGTATAGCTTATGAGCTTGCACTGGAGGTCACTCAGATGCCCGGCCGTCCTCAGCAGTTCCCTCTCCGGCGGCGAAACGATGGACTGGGTCCCGGGGCCCGCGCGGGCATTCCTGAGCAGGGGGGATGGGTGCCCCGAGAGGGAGAGCAAGACCTCGTGGAGCATGGAGGCGGCGTTGCGCGGTGTTAAGGCCGGGGACAACGTCCTGGCACCCGTACAAGAGCACCGCGATTCTCTCAGCTGTACCCTTGCGAGGCACGTGTGGGTTTCCTAGGCCTAAGCTTATCGCTGATATTTTGGAGCAGAAGAATGATAGACCCGAGACATTCGTAGCGGCACATCGGAACGGACAAGTGTAATACCGTCGGTGCCCTCTAAGTCTAGCATCGAGACGGGGATCGAGGGTGTCGGGGAAGTCGGTGAGAAGAGAATTGGGTGGGTATGATCCAAACAGGAGGCAGTAGAGGTTAGGCGGTAGGGAGAGAGGTTGGTTAGCAGAGGGTGGTAAGGATAGGCCTTGGTGGTTGTGTTTGCTCTCTCTCTCTCTTTTCCTTTTCAAACGGCGCGCGCCCGAGATGTGTACACGCCCACCGTCGAATCTGGTTGGGACAGCGTATGTATATGAGGTTATAGGGACGGTTGTCTGGCTCGTCGTCGCATCTTGAAAACTAAGCTAAGCCTACATACTTACCACACGGATTTTGCTAGCGCGGGTGAGGTTGGCGAGAGGTTCGAAACATGTACGTAGTACATTTCTATGCTATGCGATGCGATGCTATGCTATGCTATGCATAACTTACTACCTTAGGTACCTAGGTACCTCGGTAGGTAACGCACCTCACACTCAGTAGAGGAGAGTACATTCGATGTTGCCAAGCGCGACTTGCCTTCGCTCAACGCGCACCAATTCGGTACCCTGTGGACGGGTTCCCACGTGACTGCCACTAGCAGGTTCATTACATAATATAGCTACGTTCTTCCCTTTCCGCCCACGTGCCGCGGATCCGCCCACACTGGGCAGCTAACGGAGAGGTATCCCTTAAGGTGGAGATATGCACAGATAGAGGTTGCATGTATGTACAGGTAGTACTTAGGGAGGCACCTGTATAGGTATTTTACCTACCTGGTATATATAAGCAGGTACCTCTCGTGCAATTTGAGTAGGTACTTATGTAGTTAGGTCCATCTTGCAGGAAATGCCATCTTACCTGGACCATTCTCGTGGTGGATACCTCCTTGGGCACATCTGCTAACGACCCGCCCAGGCCCTCGCCTACATGTGGGCAGGTACCTAAGGTACCTACCTTACCTCCTAGGGTAGGATAGATACCTCTAGGTAGGTACCTACGGGTGTACCTCGTGGCTCCGGCAAGGGCCTGGGTGCACCCGAGGTGGATACGCCATCCATCCTCCCCGGTATCAATCTGCCAGGGAGGCATCTATGTTGGTTCGAGTCTTCAACTCTGCCTCCTTTACACATTGGCACATCCACCTCTGCCTGCCTGCCACTGCGACAAGAGGCGTACCGAGAATCCCCTTCGCGTAATTCTCGCAGCGGTATAGCCTACTTTCGCAGCAAATTTTCGCATCCTGCCGCCCCTACGGTCAAGGGATCTTTGCCTATACCCTGGTACGACATTTACTTTTCGGCACCGTAGGAATCTGACGTGTCACACCCGTCTCGGAGCAGCTGACGGTAAGTGGTGGTTTTTGCAGCAACGCCCTCGACTGATAGGCCGTATCGTCTCTGGGTCGGGCTAGAAACTACCTACCTATTTGAGGGTATAGGTTGTGTCGGCCTACGTGCCGTACACACGGTCCTGTGCCATCGACGGGGAGGCAGGTTAAAAAGAAAGAGAGAGGGAGAACACAGCGGTCGTATTGGTTGCGGCTAAGCCGGTGTCGTAGCATCGGTGGTGGCGATGGCGTGTAGGTGTGTGCGTGTTGTATATTTGTCCGGTCGATAGAGCTTCGTGGATGGGCTGCTTACCTGATGCGGTGTCCCGCGTGTTGCGAGGGACTGGGACTGGCTCACCGTCGTTGCACACGCGCTCTTTTTCCCTTGCCGATTTGCTACCTCGGCTGCTGAAAATTCTCATTGCCCTGTCAAATCGAATTCCACTGCGGTGTCTGCCTCATACCTACATACCAAAGCTAGATAGATCCTTCTACCCACCGTGAACGATTATCGGTTTGGTGCCTTGCTGCCCGACGCGCCACTGACGCTCGCCGACTCTGCAGCAGCCGAATGGGCCCGCCGCATGCCGGGCTTCTTTGCCGCCTCCAACCCAGCGGTGTCGTCCCCGACAATGATCTCCCCTCCTCCCTTGACTTTTCCCACCACCATACCCTTCCCTACAGCCTTGATAATCGCCTTTCGCGAGACGCCGGTGACGTCGATGTAGACGAGGCCGACGTTTTTGACGCTGCCACCCAGATGCTTCGATAGCTCGCCCGCCTCGCTACCCCACCTGTGAGTGACCATGTTTGTTGCCGACGACGAAGCCGACGTCAAGAGGTTGCGTGTCGCGTGGTCGATTCCGTCCGCGACCGTCGTGAATGCCATCAGGCTCTTGTTGAGCAATCCGGGCTTGAACGACTCGAGCGGCTTGCCGTCGGGCCCGTAGCCCCTCTTGCCCTCTTTCACGCCCCGCCCCGCGATAGTAGCCCCAACATTCTGGGCCAACTTGGTGACCTGCCCAACCGTCTTGGTCGACAAGTCCGCCACGCCACCCGAGAACTTGCCGATCCGGCGGACGTGCTCGTGTGTCGACGGCGTGAAGGTCACCGGCTTGCCTACGGGCTTAGTGTTTTTGACAAAGGTGTCGGTCCCGCTCTGCATCACGTTGGATACGAGGTCCGAGGTTGTGATGATTAACCGGGAGGCGTATGCCGCTTTCGACACCAGGAAAGACTTTTGGTAGGCAGGGTGCAATTCCATCTCTATCATCTCCGGCGACGCGGGGACCACGGCCAGTTTGTTTGTCCCTTCATCGGGAAGGGTAATCTCCACAGGATCTACACCCATGTTAGATCTTGCCACAAAGGGAAAAGACAGGGAGGGCATCCGTTACCTTTAGATCCTGGCTTCACCCCAGACTCGACGACCTGGTACGACTCCGATAGCTCCCCGATGACGCTGCCGTCTTCTTCATCTATTAACACGATCACGCCGCCCGGCTGGGAGCTTTGGCTGCCCTTTACGTAACCCTCGCCGGGCTTGTAAGAGGCGGGATTGTACGCCGGAAGTTTCTCTGCGGTTGCAGGCTTTGACTTGGACATTTTCGACGACGATGATTTTTTCTTCTCTTTCTCCGGACTGGTAGTCCTGGGGGGAGGCGCCCTCTCGAGAAAAGCGGTGCATTGCGCCAGGATGGTTTCAAAAGTATCCACATCTTCTTGAAGGCCCTTGCGACTACCGACAGGGGGCAGTTCGATTCGCGTGAAAGCACCGCTGTCAGGGCCAAGATCCCAGCGGGGAATGAGGTAGCTCGTGGGCGGTTTATGGTAGATCTGGGTGGTCGCGGGCAGCGGAAGGTCCAATTCGGGCGGTAGGTGAAGATGGAGATAGAAATCTTCGGGGGCCGCTTCGTCCGGGTTATCGGAGGTAGGGTCGGCGAGGGGAGAGGACGTCGGGACCATCAGCAGCGACAGCGTCTGCGGCCCGGCGGGCGTGAGCGATTCTTCTCTGCCGTAGGCGAGGTGGTAGGCCGAGACGCCTTGAATGGCGTATAACAGCTTGGGGTCCTGCCGAGGGGAAGAGGGGGCGCATTGTCAGCGAGTGTCGTAGGTGCCGTAGGTGTCGCGGGCTAGCGAGCGCGGCGTTGCGTCGCACGGCGAATGCAGAGCGAACCAACTTACATGATGCCTTGACGCCATCCCGGACGGCTACGGACGAGCGATCTAGAGTATGGTCTCGGAAGAGGGAGAAGAGGCTGCGCAAGTGGCTCGCAATGCGGCAATGGCGATGTGTCGGGTGTCTAACCGCCGCGACGAGATGCGGTCAATCGACGCGTGGCGTCTGCGTATTTCAGCCGGTCGGCGCACTGCGTATCTGGTCTGGTTATGCGCGGAGGTATGCGCGGAGGGGTGTGCGGAGGGGAGAGGCACGGGTGGTGGTGGTGGTTGTGGTGGTGGTGTAGGCTGGTATTAGCGCAACCAACAGGAGTTGCGGGCGATCCAACCGAGGGTGACAGATCGGAAAACAATCGCACCGCGATCCAACCGATACGGACCGAAGACTTGGGTTGGCGAGCTGGATAAGCCCCGAGAGGCCGGGGGGGAAGGGGGGCGCTTAGAGACAAGCGCTGTGTGGTTGCAGAAGAGGCCTCGCAGCGACGTCATTGGGCGGTTACGAACAAGACCGTCACTACGTAGCATCCGAGGCGCTTAGAGAGGTAGGTATACTCACACCGTAGGTACCTCCAACCGTAGGCACCTACGCCACCCTTTTCCGGTGCACAGGCTTAGTTACATATAGGTAGGTACCTACGAATCTGTAGGTAGGGGCATCACACCTTGTCGATCTCCGTATACCTCCGTAGTAGTACCTTGCCTTGGGTACCTGCCGACCCTCTGAGGCGCCTCTAGGGCGCGCCGCTAGGCACAACCCTCAGACCCTACATGAGATGATGTAACGCTTGCAAGGATAGACGAGGGAGGCGTCCCGGGACTAGCCTTAGGAGAGGTACCTAACTTCGGCACCTATGGCCTATGCCGTTGGTCGGCTTCGCCCTGCCCGCTCTAATTTCGTACCTATATATAGCCCCACCATAAGTTACCGACAGGCAGCTATAGACCTTCGTTCAAACGGCAGATATTTACCTGCTTGCCTACCTAGTAAGCCAGTGGCTTAGGTCTCGCATATATAGGTAATAAAGACATATATTTAGAGATATATATATATATATATATTGCGCGGGCGGGTGGCTGGGTGCGCGTGCGCGTGCGCGTAGACGGCGTGCCGACCCGAGCCTGGGTAGGCAAAGCAAGTCCTCTCTCGGCGAGGACAGGTCCTGTGCATACCTACCTTCTACCCGAGGCGCGGCCACCCATCCCACGTGTCTCACTTTCTACTGATTCTTACGCGAATTAGGTGCCTAATGTTTCGGGTAGGCGTATAGGATAGGTGCCTACCGACGGGTAGATGGATGCCATCCGAAGACGCCACCTCCACGGCGGTAATCCCGATTACTAGGTGGACCTACGTACTTACATGTGCTGCGTGGGCTTGCAGGGCAGATTTCCGTGGGAGGCACAGGCGGTAGTAGTAACTTCAGACGGTCTACGCTGCCCAAAGGTATAAAGACGTGTCTGCTTTAGAGGTATGATCTAGGGTCCTGGGCCTCGACCCTCAGCCTAGGTACCTAATAAAATCCTACCCAGGCAGGTTTGGATGCTATCTTGCGAGAAAGAGAAAGAAAGGGAGAGTGTGTATATACAGTGTGCATGTGTGAGATGGCTTATGGGCAGGACGTCCGCATGCACCGCACGTAGAGTTGGGTCGTTTCCAGGCGAGCTGCCCATGGAAGCCTCTCGCTTCCATGCTCTCTACACACCTCCACACACACACTATAGCACATCTAGGCGAGTCGCCTTTTCCCGAGACCCCTACCCGCTTGTCTCGCATCGTAAGCGCGTACGCAGACGGCACGACACCTTTGGGGTTGAGGAACGGAGGCGGCTTCCACTCGCAGGCTCTCTCTTTCGGATGTTGTCGCGAGCCACTTGCGCCCCTATTTGCCTTACTGGCCCGGAGGTCGGTTGGGTATACGTGGTAGACGTATGTGTCTCATCCCTAGGAGGTACTGTGCCCCAGGTAGGTACTTTTCCTAGAGCACCTCCGCAGCCATCCCGCGAGCGTAAGACACTGCAATAGGAGAGCTTACCTCTTACCTAAGAACAACCTGGAGGGCGTTCAAGTTCATCGAGGATGTGGGGGTGGGCGGGCTGAGGGGTAACCGATCGGTCGTGTACCTGAGAGGTACTTGCTGAATCGATGCACTAGGTACGCTGGTTCAGGTACCTGGGTAGGTACCTAGCCTAGGTACCCAGGTACGTCCTCCCTCGCTCGCCTCTCCCACGCCCCACGCACATCGCCGGAATCGAGGCGCTCGTACATTATCGGCTCATCTGGGTGTACCTAAAGGGCAATTCGTTGGGCGGGCGGCAGGTAGTAAGCGTAGGCGCACAACCTCCGCTCAGAAGGGGCCCCGCGGTGTTCGTGTAACGCCCACGCCCACCCATCCCGTCCCACCCCATCTGATCTATCCATTCCTCAGCGCCACCACCCCCGACTCGTGCAGAGGGCGTTGATCATACGCACACGCACGGGAGAACTTCTGCTAGAACACCCGCCTAGCCGGTACGCCCACCGCTGGAGTTCGGAAGAGGGCCGTCGATCCTGAGCGCCTTGCCGTCGACCGCAATTCTCGACGCGCGCTCTCCGGTCTCCCCCCCTCGCGAAGTCCTCTCGCGTGAGTCCCTTCGAAGCCTCTCCAGCGCCATCGGCGGCGCCCATGCTGCGGAACACCACATGCGGCACGGCCTTCTGGTCCTGTATGGCTTGGAGCGATGGAACCAACGGGCTTGGCCACCGCGGCCGTAGCGGCAGAGACAACGGCAGAGACACAACCGGCGGCGACTCAGAAGCCATCAATCTAATTCTAGCGGCAGCGCTGGCCTAGAGGTTTTCCCTTTTGAGTGAGTCGCTTGGGGCCATGCACACCGACGTCTCTACGAACCATCGAGGGCTTGTCTCAGAGATAGCATCCGGAGTTGAGTCGGGAAATGAGCCGTCCCATCCTCACTTGACCGAGCCCACCCGTGTAGTAGACATGCAGATTTGGGGGCCGAGACCAGGAAACCGGCGACGCGGTCGTCCGGTGCATACGCTACTGTTCTCGAAGCAGTCGTCCACTTGTTCCAGATTACCCGCCCTCCGTGAGGGATGTGGGACGAATCACGGGCTACATATCCGACGATCAGGCTCTCCGGGATGGTCCAACCGGGCACATTTGGCGAACAGCTATATTTCTTTTTTCTTTTTCGCTCTCAGACATCATCTCTCGGGTTTGGTGTTTTTTTTTTCTTTTTCTCTCTGACGATGTTCACGCTCCAATCACTCAAGGCTTCGGGGAGAGACCTCTTTCTCCTCGAGAGCGCCGTCGTTATCTCGTACCAAACACCGAGAATCCCTCCCCCACTAATCTCAGATCTGGTGATTGGACCGACCGGGATGCGAGTGTGCGTCCCGAGGAAGTGAGGGTTCCCCATGTACTGTCTACTATGCGGTCAAGGATTTTGCACAATGGCAGTGGAGGAGGCCGGGGATTGGTGCTGACCGAGACACCTTTTCGATTCTACGATTTCGGGACGCACCTATCACACGGATCCAGCGATGACTATTGGACGCCCCGGGTACGGCATCGCGCCGACTCGGTATCGAGAGCGACGACATGTGCCGATGGACCTCGATATCCCTCGCCTCTACGAGATCGAGGCCGTCCCAAGTCAGCCATTCTTTTTCTTTTCTTTTTTTTTTCTTCTTGCTTTCTCTCGAGCCGCAGAGGGAAGCAGAGCAGGGAAAGAGGTTATCCCCCCCCCCCCCCCCCGGCATGGGAATCAGGCGATTGTCTACCTTGCCCAGGCCCATTTCCACTTGACAGGTCAGTTATGGGTGGCATCGAACCCATCGGCCCGCGGGCGTGTCAAGACACCCAAATACAACCTGCCGCCGAGCCCGTCTCTCTCCAACACCTGGCGTTGGCACGGGATGGGTGGAGGGGGGGTGGGAGAGGGAGTGGGTTGTTTACGATCCATGGCGTTATGGCGTTTTGTTTCTGATTGTTCTGCAGCATCGTATGCTGTTGTAGATGGCGTTACCGCTCCCGCCGCTTACAACCTCCCCCCCCCCCCCCCTCTTCGTCTGCCTGTCGGTCTCGTAGCATTGCCATCACCATTGCAAGTCGATCAATCGTCAGCTCTCCGTACCCGCTACATTCCTCTCCTTTTTCTTTTTGGGGATCCCTCCCTAAGCACAATCCTCCCTCGTTCCCCGCCGCGACGTGCAGATGAGCCCGTCGGGGCCAGGAGCCGCGGCCTGTGCGCCAGATGGGCGTTTTCGATCAGGCCCAAGCCGTCCGTTGATTGGGTGTTAATTGGAGAGTTGATCCTCGTCTTCCCTCCAACATCTATTACCTAGCTCAGGAAGATTAGTCTCTACCCGACCCGTCCGCGTCCGGGGAACCAAATCCCTGGCCTCCCAAGGTGGACTTGGTTTTTTTTTTGAAGACTGCCAAAAACGGAGCTTCTTCCCTTCCTCCAGTCCCCGTCTCGTACAAGAGAATACCGCAACCCACCTTTTCCTGGCTCACCCAACCTACCAACCGACCTACATACCTGCATACCAACATACCAACCTACCTTGCCTGCGCGTCCACCAATATCAAGCCCGATATTCGTGAGCTGTTGCATGCCTGGCCTCCTGCTATCCCTTCTGCCCTCTCTCACGTCTTTTCTCGTTTACACGACCGCACGCCGTTCAACCGGGCTACACGCATCCCTCCCATGTTGTTGATCCGTGCTACCGATTCCATCGCCAGACTTCTTTTTTCGCCTCGCCCATACCGCTATCCCGTACAGCTTCGTGCAGTGCATTGCCCCCGTATTCGGCAGCGGAAGACGACAGAGTCCTGCTCTCCCTCTCTCCCTCCCTCTCAGACAGCTCGGGCACCTCCACCGGCCACCGTAGCCCTCAGTTGCCCGTGATCGACGAGTCACGCCGCCAGCGGATAGTCGCAGCTCCCCGACGTCGTAACACCTTGCTAGCAACCAAGTCAGCACACGATCTGAGGGGTTAATTTTGTTCAAAAGGAGAATCGCGAGGCACAGCGCCCAGGTCCACAGTTACTCGAACACACTGCCACCCCTTCAACATACACGACCGCGAGCATCCTTGTCCTGCCTTCTTGACCACCATCCAGAGACTCTCTCGTCCGGCCGCTTAGCCTCTCCCGCTCCGCGACCCGCACCGAAAGGCCTACCCGGCCAGCTGTACCTCCCTCAAGTTCCTCGGGTCTGTACCGGACCCAACCGCCACAATTTCTACTCCACTCCGCATCCAGTCGATCCTCTCCCCCCCGGATCGGTCAGACGCCGATGATAATTCGAATATATCGTACAGCCAGACTGTCGCCAAGAGAAAGTTCGACGACGAGTTCTCCCTCGCCGGCAGTCCTCCGAGACTTGCGCCGCTGACGGCACTCCCCGACAGGCCGCACGTCAACACAGAATTACCACGGACAGACGTCTTTAGAGGACTCGCCGCTCGGGGGTCGGGGGATGCCGAGACCAGGGCCATGACGGCGGGCAGTCTAGAGGGGAGGAAACCCCCTAAGATGCGGCCACCAATGCGATCGAGCATCGCCTGCCTACGCTGTCGGAAGAGCAAAATCAAGTGTACGTCGAGTCTTCAGGGTCCGGTTGGTCCTGCCCCGGGTACGTACGGCAAAGGTAAGGAGACATTGCTGTCTCGCTTCGTTATCCGCGCCCTGAGCATCCCTCTGTACAGGAATCTCGGATGGCGTCGGCGGGTGCGGACCGCATTTTCTGGGGTTGATCGAGATTGCTGACGCAGACGACGTAGGTGACAACAACGGCACCCACAGCCCGTGTGACGGCTGTATCAAGACTGGGAAAGAATGCATCTTCAAGGTTGCCGACACTCCCCCGGTGAAGAGAAACGAGCCGCCTACAGGGGTTCGGCAAGATCGGGACGGGGGCTCCGACAGGAAGAAGCTGAAAAAGATAGATGACATGTCCAAGGGAGATAACCAGAAGGCTAGCGTTTACGCCGAGGATGTGCTTTCTGCGCCCTTCTTGACGGAGGACCTGTGGGAGCAAGTATTGGATCTGTACAAGTTGCATTTTGCCCCAGAGCTTCCCTTCTTGCATCTGCCAACCATGAAGGAGAAACTAGGCCGCAAATTCAGGGGCCCGCAGCAGGAGGACAGCTCGGACCTGAATCTGGTGCTGTTGGGAGTCCTAACTCTCACCGCTCGGTTCCATCAGGATCTGGTCAAATACCTTGCACACATATGCAACAACCAGCCGGGAAACGCCAGGACTCGGCCAGTTCAGACGCAGTTCGATCCTACTGCGGCGTCTGAATATTATGCCGATATCCTTACCATGGCTCTCGGCTCTCTACGAATCGCAATGAAGACCGCATCCGTCGAGAGGGTAGCGGCACTGCTCATGTTGGGCCTCTACGAGTGGAGTCAGGCGAGACCGAAGTCCGGAGGCCTCGGTGCCTGGATGTACGTTGGTCTCGCCATCCGGATGGCGCAGTACCTAGGGCTCGGGTTCGGCGACATTTGCGAACCCGGGGACTCGCAGGGTAGAATCGCCGACGGCCAGAGAAGAAATTCATGCCACGAGTCCCAAGTAGCCTTGGATAGGGAAATTCGGAGGCGGACGATGTTTAGTTGTTTCATTTTGGACCGCATGCTTGCTTGCGGCAAGGAGCGGATATCGATCATCCAGCGGGAGGACCTCCAAATCCAGCTCCCGTGCTCGGAGGACAAGTTCGATCTAGCCATGGAAGTACGGACGGGTTTCCTGACAGATCCTGTTCGTCATGGCCAGGACGACAGTGTCCTCAGTCGTTTTATCCAATTGGTCGACATCTGGGGCGAAGTATCAAGATTCAGCTCACGAGGTGGTCGCCTGAACGAGGTGTCTTTTCCGTGGGACGAGCGAACCACATTTTTCCAGTTGAATAAGAAACTCGCGGCTTTCGACGCGGAGCTCCCGGGCACCTTCACATTCTCGCGTTCCAACTACTTCAAGCACGAAAATCACCAAGCATCTAGCGTGTATGTGCTATTGCACATGCTCAGGAGTGTTTGTTTGATTATGCTACATCGGGAATATATACCTTTCGTGCCTATCCGCTGTAAGCAACCCGAAGGCCCGTTGGACAGCCCGACATTTCCGAAGGACGAGCCACCTGAAGGATTTTGGATAGCAAGCGCGGAGCAGGTTTTCAAGGCGGCTCGAGAGATCGTAGATCTGATCGACATCTGTCAGAGAAAGGACAAGTTGCCCCAGTCAACCATCGTCCTCTTCGCCATTTGGACCGCTGGCTTCGTCGGGCTATATGCGGAGCACTTTCCCCAGATGGACACGGAGAGCCACATGTTGGGCTACGATTATGAGGACAGCAGACAGGACGAGTCCACGGCCGAAGTTTTCAGGCGCGGATCGGTGGCATTAGCGTTGGCAACGCTAAACAAGATGTCAACGTGGCTCAAGATGGCATCAACGTATGTGGGAATTCTCAAGCATATGGATAAGTATTTCGAGACAATCAAACAGGACTACCATCGATATTCCTCGAACGGGAGAGCAGAGCAGACGACCTTGAGGGTTCGGGAAGGCGGAACTGGCGGCGGGCTCGAGGAATATCGGCCCATGTCTAAGACGCTTAAGGACTTTGGCTTTCTTCAACCGGAGGAACACGATCATGTCGAGGGTCCAGAGCGCTCGTCGTCAGGCACGGCAGAGCGCGCGCCGCCGGGGGGCGCCGAGGCTTCCAGCGCGCCCGCCACAAACAAGACACCGAAAGTCGCCCCCACAAGTTCTTTCACCGCGATCAACCACACACCGATCATGCCAGCACCCGATGCCGGGAATCCATTTAGTCGAGACACGGGATATCCGACTCCGCTTCCGGAGATCTATGCCGATTCCTGGCGATATCACAGCCAGACCCACCAGCAGCATTCTCCTCGGTCGCAAACCTTCTCGACGGGCACGACGCTGGATCCCGCCACCATCGCCTCCGAAGCTAACGAGCGCGTCGCGGCGAACGAGGACAGGCCCGACTCGGTGAACCTGCTGAAGAAGGAGGACTTCTTGGATTCCTTGAAGCGGGAGGAGCCGCGCCGCATCGGGACGATAGGAGACCTCGGGTACTTCTCGAGCGGCGACTCCCAGCTCCCCGTGGCAGAGATGCCCTTCGGAGACTCGTCCTACATACCGGCCCTGGCGGACTCGTCTTACCAGTTTTTGCAGCAGATCGCGGACTACTAGGGTCCGAATTGCGTCAGTCGGGGACGGGCCAGGGTCGGTCGGTCGGTCGACCAGCTGGGGCGCCCAAGTGGAGAGGGGAAAGGGGAGGATCGGAGGAATGACTTTCTAACTCTTATTCACATCTGTGTTCTTTTTGCGGGAAGGGCGTCTCAGGAATAGCCAGGAAAAACGGCATCGGGTTCGCAAGAAGGGGTAACAAAGTGTATTAGCGTTATTCTTGTACGGGTCACGGCCGAGGTCTTGGGCAGGATTTCGGTTCTAATGGTCGGTTTATCTTGTTTTTTTTCCCCTTTATCTTTCTTTCTAGGTCTCTCACACACACGCTCTCTCTCTCTTACCATCTACCTGTCTCGTTTCCCCGTCGTCATTGGAGTATCATTGGTCTGTATGTCACGTACGAAAACCTAGTGATCCAAAGAAAACGCGAAGGGTCAATCCCAATTTTGTTGTCGAACGCGGATATAACGAGTAACTAGCATTAATCTGTCCCGTCTATTTGACCTAACTGAGCATTCGGGGCCTGTACGTAGGTGTACGTCTATAGATTCAAACCATATATCGCTGTCGCAGTAAGACGTAGACGCCTCCTCGATTTACCGCGCAGCTTAGCCGCATACAATGCCACGACTGGCCCAGTAGTCAGACGGGCCGGGAGAGTAATGTTTGACCGGCCAGCCATCGCTGCTGCTACTGCTGCCGCCGCCGCAGAGTGGCGTTGTGTATTGTGTGTGCGTGCGTGTTGGGTGGACGGGTGGGCGGATCGGTCCGGATCGCATCTTGGCAGGGGTACGGGGACTGCCCGGCTCCGGCGCGGCGCTGTCTTTGGGGGTTTAACACCATGGTGTCGTATCCACTGACCTTAAGGCACGTAGGCAGGCAGGCGGGTTGGGCTCTCGGTTAGCCGTATACGTATACGCGGGATGGCAGTAACTATTAGGAGCAATGACAGTGGCGGTGGCAGCGGATGTTCCGGAGCTAGCCTAGTGCGACTTAAGGCGAATGAGCGCCCGATAGCAACGCCACCGTGGCTTTATGTGTTTACCACGTGGGCCGGCCGGTGTGAAGAGAGGTAGGGATGTCTCCGCGCGAGGCCTACGGCTAGGAGAAGGTGGCCGGCAAGAATATGGACAGTTGTCTCACCCAGGATAGAGACGGATGCGTTGGCTGTGTAGGCGCGGCAACGTTCCCGTGCATCCAGCGAGGAAGACTAGAACGCCATGTCGTGGAGAGAAATGCTGTGGTGCATAGTTGAGACACGAGGCCCAGGTCTCTCTTTCTTTTTCTTCCTCTCCCTCTAGCTTCTCCGCCCGGGAACCGGGGCGATACCTTTTTCATCCTGGCCCCCCGATCGCGGTCGTACGCTCGCTGCCGTGCGATCGTGCGAAGCATCATTATGCAAACGCGTAACTAGATCGCTTGCGTATCTGTTGCACAACGGTGTCTCGGCTAGGCGGCGCTCAAGCTACGTTACGGGCACGTATTGGGGCCGACACCCTTACCCGAATCTGCATAGCAAAATAGTCTCTCGCCTGCAGCAGCTTCTTCCGTGTTTGTCGGGGAGTGCATCTGTGCCGGCGGGTCTAGGCGGGTGATGACCTGGTCAGTTGCCGACGTCGAGAAAAGTCTGAACAGCGCCTCCTTTCCCCTACATGTGGAAAGACAATATGAAACGAGGCGTAGATGGGGGGGTGGGAGAGACAATTCTCAGTCGAATTTCGATTGGGCGTGACATCACGAGATTATTCACGGATTACCGATCTCTCCTCCAGCGTTTCTCAATATGCCTAGATGCACGACGAAGCCCGGGTTCGACCGCAGCTCCGCGGATAAGACGTGCTCCGGGACTCGCCACAGGTGAAAAGGCTTGCTGAACTCCTTCACCCAGGCATCGAAGATTTCCGGATCTCTGAGCTGCTGTGCTACAAGACAGACCGCCGGCCTATGAGGACCACCTTCGTCGGCTGACCTCAATTTGCAGGCGTCCGCGCAGGTCTGCACTAGTGGCAGTATCAGCGCGTCATTATAGATGCAATCGCAGGCGATGACGACGTCAAAGCTCTTCACGTTCTTCGTGCCCGTAAGCGATGATGTCACTTCATCGAGCTCCCAGTCGAGAGGGGCGAATCGCAGGTTCATATGCGGCTGGATGGACGAAGACCTTACCCTCCGCTTCTGAGTAGCGGTAGGCTTCGACGTCTTCGACCCGCCCACCACAACGTTCTCCTCGATGTTCTTTTCCACCAACCTTGAGACGTAAGTCTGGTCAGTCAGTGTATATCGCGCAACGAATGGCGCGAGCACCAATCCCACGAGACCGGAAATGCCACAGCCCAACTCCAGAACGCTGGAAGAAGGCGACAGGATGCCAGATACTCGGAGCAGGTTCTCAGGCATGGCCAACCAGCCGGCTACGAGGGGCGTAATTTTCCACACCACCGCGCCGGTGGTGCTGCCCGGACGATTCAGGATGGCCGGAGACTGATGAATCACATAGTCGTTGCCTGCGATGCTCAGGTCCAGCGTAGATGCCCGGGGATCGACGAAGCCGAGGTTTTGTGAGGGGATAGCCTGGGAGAAGAGTAAGAAGGTTTCTGCAAGCCTCGCAACATCAGCAGGGAACAAGCTTACCGCCTAGGCGGTGTATGAGTATTCTCAAGGCCTTCCCTTGCATGCGAAAAGAAAGAAATACGACCTTACCTTCGTCTGGGTCTATTATCTCTGGCCCGAGCCGGTCAAATAAGGATTGATGTGTCATATTGGTTTAGCCGCATAGCCCCTGGCGCACGAGTGTGAGTGAGGTCGCACGTCCAAGTAAGCAGCATATTCGTTCCCATCGTGCTGTTCGGAGCCATTTGTACTAACCTAGGTAGCTGGCGCGGGATGACAGGTATCGTGGACCATCTATCGGTCACCAGAGGCGGGGTGCTAGCGTCGGGTCGACGGCGGGATCGCACGTCGACGAAGGCCTGAGTCTCTGCGTTATAAGACGATGCGAAGCCTAGGCGCTAGGTAGCTAGCGAACGCGATGACTGTGGCCTGTCGTCGTTTATGCGGGGGTGACTTGGCTAAATCGCCCCGGCTACCGTAGTAAGTAGACTAGCTGGCCTTGTCCGTTCTACTAACTACGGCTTAGCGAGGACGCGTCCGGGTTGGTAGGGTCGTGTGTGCCTCGTATATCGTATGAGGCGGATTGTTTCTGGCCAGGGCGCGCCGGGCCTGTCCTGTTCGTGTATAGAAGCGAAGGAGAGGGCTGCGCCGTTGCTACACAGCATGCACATGTGTATACACGTACATGTGCTACAGGATCGCGGCAGACCTGTCTGATTTTATTTCGGTCTCGCTGCCCGCTGCCTGTAGAATGCAACGCTGCGAGGTAACTGACTGGCTCGCGCCTCGACCCTATCGGGACCTCGACGTGCTGCGCCCCCGTTGCGCGGAAGGCAGTGAAACGCCGGGTTGATGATGGATGGGGGGAGGGGGGAGGGGGGCCAGTAGCAACAGCAACTGTGGTGGTATGCGGCGACGCGCTGCGTTGTGCTCTGGTCTGCGCTGCCGCCGTGCGGGCTCGCTCGTGCTGCTGCTGCTGGTGGGAGGAGGAGGAGGAGGAGGAGCAGGAGGAGGAGGAGAAGGAGAGGAAGAGATGGATGCGAAGAGAGGAGGATAGGGAGGTACCTGTGGTGATGCGTCAACGTGATATCGTCGCAGAGGTACAATAGAAGAGGCATCATACCTGCCTCATACCTACCTTGCTCACAGGTACCTGCCCTGACGTTGTGCGTCGACAGCACCTGACCGCGAAGACTACCTACTAGGTAACTAGCTGGGTTGAGGGGTTTGTGTGGACGTGCACAATTTACCGCTGTAGCTGCTACCATTGCTACAACCTGGACGGCGGTTCTACTCTACTCATATTCGCGCAATTCAATATCCCGTCACGTCGAATGTTGAGGTCGGTTTACTCGATAAAATTGGAGAACCTTGGCTCAGATTCATTGCCCGCATGCCTCGGGTCCACTCGTCCAGGGATAGGCAGTACGCAGCGGGTACACGGGCTGCTTGTACATGGCTCAGGCCCCTCAGCGCCTGGCCGCCCGCTGCGTGGGCGGTGGGACGGTGGGAAGGTTGCGGTGCCTGCCTCGGGGGGTGGGCCTCATACGACACCACTCAGGTACATGGCGCGTAGGTACATCCCAGGTAGGCGGCGGGTCCGTCGAGGTCTCGGCACCCGGAAGGGGAAGGGACGGGCAGGGGTCGGCTGGCGCAGAGCGATCGCTAGTGTCGTCATGGGGCAAGCTTGGAAAGTTGGGAAGGAGCTTGGATCCCCAAAGAGACGTGTCTTCTGCGCTTGCCACTTGCTTGGGATTGCCCGCCAGATCCCCTCTCCCTTGTCGCTTCCCTAGCCGGACCCTGCCCGGCCCTGCCTATAAGGATTGAGAAGAAGGAAGTCCCCTTCTCGTCCGCATATTCCCTCAGGTACACAATACCGCACCGGGGCAGGTAGGTAGGTACCTACGCTCTAGGCTGAGGCCGTCCTAGGTACCTCAGGCCGCGGCGTAGGGAGGTAGGTAGGTAGGTAGGTATCTACAGCTGTGTGCTGTGTGCTGCATACTGCATACGTACATAACCCCCCCCCCCTCGCGCGATGCATACGGTCAGCTCGTCGCCCGTCGCTCGTCGCGCTGGCGCTATACAAGACGACTCCGCCAACTGCGCGGCCGGGCCACTCAGCGTCTCCCCAAAGAAATGCCCGGCTGCGATTTGGGACCTGCTAGCTCGACTCTTAAAACGCACCCAAGACCAGCTAGACGGCCTCCAAGAACCCCCCAAGACTTCTTCCCCATACATGCTACCCTAACCGGTTGGCCTCCGCCTCCAAACGCGCCTCCATCTTCCACAGCACCATCCTTACACACGTAATAATAATCACAATAATACCTCTCCACGCCTTGCCGACCCTGACCTACCGACATCCTCCCCCGTAACAACCGTAGCCCCCTTCTGACTCGGCTCGAAGGGTGTGATCGCATCGACTGACCGATCTCGACGAATAAGAGGAGCTGGCCAAACCCTCGTCCCTTCAGCTCGCTACCTAGCTAAGAACACCCATACCCAGCTAAGAACCTAACACCCACGCCTATACCTATACGCAGGCCCGGACGCAGACCCGGACGCAGACGCACACACACGCCAACACACGCACGCACACACCCTATACTTACTACCTTACCTACCTACCTATTATTCTTGTTATTATAAACCTACTACAAAATCCGCCATCTCCAACTCCGTCTCCTTGTCCTTCCCCCCCCCTCTTCTTCTACCTCCTTATCCTCCTCCTCTTTCTCTACTAATCTGTAAGCCCCTATCCTAACCTACACATCTCGACCGACACCTCGTGTGCGCAATTATGACGACCGAGTGGCGAGAGTCCAAATTGAAGAACCTGGCCCTTGTGCCCAGGTCCAGCGCGAAGGGCCTGTTCTCCATCGAGTCGCCCGGGGCGGAGGCCGTCGAGGGAGAGACGAAACCGCGCCGACATCCCCTGGCCGCGAATGGGCTCATCACAAAGCCATCCGACGACATCAGCACCGTATACGAACTATTACGGGTGAGCGTCGCCAAGTATGGCAACGCGAAGGTACTCGGTTCTCGACGCCTCGTTCGTACCCACCAAGAGACCACAAAGGTCAAGAAGATCATCGACGGCGCCGAGCAGGAGGTCGACAAGAACTGGACCTATTTCGAACTCGGCCCTTACGAATACCTCACCTACAACGAATACGAGCAGCTCGTTCTCAACGTAGGCTCTGGCCTGAGGAAGCTGGGCATGAACAAGGACGACCGAGTCCACATATTCGCCGCCACCAGCGCCCACTGGCTAGCCACCGCGCACGCTGCTGCCTCGCAGTCCATGCCCATCGTCACTGCCTACGATACCCTCGGCGAGGAGGGCTTGCGGCATTCCATGGTGGCCACCGGCGCCAAGGCCATCTTCCTAGATCCCCATCTGCTGCCTACGCTAGGCAACGTGCTCAAGGATGCCACCGAGGTGCGCTACGTCATCTGGAACAACCAGAACCAGGTCCGGCAGGAGCATATCAACAACCTCAAGAGCGCCTACAGCCACGTCACCGTCGTCAGCTTCAAGGAGCTCGAGAAGCTCGGCAAGGAGAACCCCTTCGACCCCGTGCCGCCCACCCCCGAAGACCTCTGCTGCATCATGTACACCTCCGGATCCACCGGCACGCCGAAGGGGGTGCCGCTGAAGCATAAGAACCTGATCGCCGCAGGTGAGTATACTCAGTTTCCTGCCGGGTTTGCCGTCATCTCGGGCTGACTAGGTCACCAGTTACCGGCGTCAGCGTTGTCGTCCAGCCGTTCATCGGACCCGGCGATGGGTTGTTAACCTACCTCCCCCTCGCTCACATCCTCGAGCTTGTCTTCGAAAACGCCGCCATGTACTGGGGTGCCACCATGGGATACGGAAATCCGAAGACCCTATCGGACACCTCGGTTCGTAACTGCGCCGGTGATATTCGCGAATTCAAACCCTCCATCCTCGTTGGCGTCCCAGCCGTTTTCGAGTCGATAAAGAAAGGTATCACCGCCAAGGTCCACGCTGGTGGGCCAGTCGTCCAGAACATGTTCTGGGGTGCGCTGGCGTTGAAGAGCCGACTGATGGCCGCCGGCCTGCCGGGGTCCGGCATTCTCGATTCTGTTGTTCTCAAGAAGATCAAGGAGGCTACGGGCGGCCGTCTCAAACTCTGTATGAACGGCGGCGGCCCCGTTGCGAGGGACACGCAGCGGTTCATCTCGATGGCCATCGCACCAATGATCATCGGCTACGGTCTTACCGAGACCACGGCTATGGGGGGGCTTATGAACCCGCTGGAGTGGTCGTCGGAGACGATCGGCGCAATGCCTGGGAGCATCGAGATCAAGTTGGTCGACTTCCCAGACGCAGGCTACTACGCGACCAACAAGCCGAATCCCCAGGGCGAGATCTGGATACGAGGTGTCAGTGTTATGGAGCACTATTACGGCAACGAGAAGGAATCCCAGGAGAGCATAGCCCCGGGTGGTTGGTTCAAGACGGGCGATATCGGCGAGTGGGATTCGCGGGGCCACCTCAAGATCATCGACCGCAAGAAGAACCTGGTCAAGACCCTGAACGGCGAGTACATCGCGTTGGAGAAGCTCGAGTCTATCTACCGATCCGCCCATGTTGTGGCCAACATCTGCGTGTATGCCGACCAATTAAAGGCCAAGCCCATCGCGATCATCGTGCCCTTGGAAGCAACCTTGAAGAAGCTGGCCGATGATAACGGAATACCGGGCTCGAGCCTCGAGGAGCTCGTGCATAACAAGAAGCTCAACGGCATTGTGCTGAGAGAGCTGCAGGCTGTCGGACGAGCCGGCGGCCTGTCGGGCATCGAGATCATCGAGGGCGTTGCGCTGTCGGACGAGGAGTGGACGCCGCAAAACGTAAGTTGCCGACCTGTCGATTACACGTGACGACGGCTGCTAACAAACGCGCACAGGGTCTGGTGACGGCGGCCCAGAAGCTCAACCGCAAGGGCATCCTCAACAAGTACAAGAAGGAGGTGCAGGAGGCCTACAGCTCCTCCAGTTAGTCCTCCGCGGCAAACGTGTCGATATATCCTGTCTGTTATGGTTCGAATTCGTGGGACGGTGGCGGCTAGGGATCGGGAGAGGGTGCGAACTCGCCTACTCGGGTCGAGGGCGGTCCGCTGTAGGATTATTCGCGTCGATCGAGGAGGGTAGACTGGACCCGACGGATTCTCAAGAGCGCGCCCAGCGTCCACCCTCAGTAGACCGCGAGGGTGCGGCTCGAGCGTCATTTCATTGTATACCTCTGTACATACACAGTAATTATACCATAGGGGTGTCCGACGCACATGGACCGGGATGTAGGCAAATGGGATTAATTTGTTCTCTCAAGTCTACCCTGCGTGTGCCACTCTGCCGCTGCGCTTCGGTGCGATCGAGGAGGAGACGGGGAGACGGGCGAGAAGAACCGGCGACAGCGGGTTCCCCCATCCATCTACCTTCTCAGGCACGCCAACTTGATTCTTGCCTTGCTTACGAGAACGGGGGGGCCTCTCCGCATTCCCCTCTCGTTCCGGAACCGTGCGGCTCTCGAGCTCGGGAGCGCGCCCTCTGCTCTGGAGCGCCTGAGGCAATGTCCGAGTGCGTAGGAGGCAAGCGGTCTCTTTCCCGCGAGTCCCCTGCCCTTCCCTCTCCCACCCTCCTGGGAACCATCGACTCCTCCCCCCTCCCCGCCCCCTTCTCTCCCTCCGTCCCTCCTTAGGTCACTAGCTACCTGCTAGCACCGCGGCCTACGTCTTTCCGCCTCCGTCCAGCCAAGGGGGGGGGGGGGGGGGGGATTCCTCGCTTGTTCGCAGGTGGGCAGGCGGGTAGGGCAGGTCGCGTATAAGTAGAACCAAGAGAGGGGGGGGGGGGACATGTGACGTCGTGACTCGTGCGCGCGCAAGGCCGCGGGCGGATAAAACTTAAACCAGGCCTCTCTGGATTCAACCGGTCGACCCGATCAGGCCGATCGACTCAGCCTTCGACGACGTTACCGTTGCAACGGCCAGTGCACACTACCGCCGCTTACCCACGGCTTTCCCCAGGTTACCCCCCATCACTGCGGCTCCCGCTACACCAAGCCGGACCCGGTTGGATCTCACCTTGCCAGTTCCGCGCCATGCCCAGAGGGTAGGGCGGGACGGTTCGGGTAGTCTCTGGACGAAAGCCCTGTCTGCGAGTGAATAACTAAATGTCTGGTAGAGGTGCATGCCTAAGGTCTAATACACAACAGGGTGCTTGTAGGGAGACGTCTCATAATATAGTTCACCTGCCTATATGCCGCTCACTTCGCTTCACGACCTGAAATTTCGTGGAGAACCCAGACGCTAAGAGAAGCTTGGCGGGTGTCCCCCATTCTAGGCGGCAAGTCGCTTAACCGGTGCTTGACGCTCGCATCGGACTATCCTTATCCAGAATGCCAGAGTCGGGATCCGGTCGACGCTGTAGCCGCTCCTGCCCTTTCTGCTGCCGCGGATAGATGCCGATGTGAAGACGGGAGGGAAACGGGAATAACATGTTGGCAGCAGCCCTCTAAACGGAACCCTCCTTGTCTTCGCCCTCGAGTTCCCCTCTCCTAGACCGTATTCCTCGCACCGACACTGTTTCCATGTTCCGATGAGTTCCCTTCCGTGGATCGCAACGTCTCTACACCCCTCTGCCTCGGCGGAACCGTCGGGTCACACCAGCCCATCATACAGGGACAGAGCCGACACTATGGTCTCGTCGCGCTTGCTGCCTTCCTTGAATTCTTCCATGTCTAGACTGCCGTTCTCATCCTTGTCCATCATGCGGAAGATCTTCCTCACACGCTTTTCGGGGGTATCTTCGTCTTCCGGGAGCTTCACCATCGAACCGACCTATCCAGAGCCACGCCATTAGCAACCACTCATCCCAGGCAAGTCCCGAGAAGGAGCCAGGAGTAGCCCGTACCATCTTGTAAATAGCTTCCACGATCTTGAGCATCTCGTCGTAGCTGATCTTGCCGTCACCATCGATATCGTACAATTGGAACGCCCAGTCGAGCTTATCCTCCATTTTCCCACGACTCGTGACGCTCAGGGCGCAGATGAACTCTTTGAAGTCGATAGAGCCGGACTTGTCCGAATCGAAAACGTTGAAGACGTAATCTGCAAACGAGGATGGATCACCGAAAGGGAAGAATTGTCGGTATATCTTCTGGAATTCCTCTTTTGTGAGCATACCCGACGGGCAGTCCTTGAGGAAGCCTGCGATACGGTGAGCACGGTGCTATCCGGCCCGAAGGGAGCGATGGATTGAGGGAATGCCTACCCTTATACCATTGTTGCAGTTCCTTCTTGTCGAAATGCGTAGATTTCTGCAGTTCGGCCAGCTGCTCTTGAGAGAGCTTAGATTGACTAGATGAAAGAGCCTGGTCAGCCAACTTTGCCCAGCGCGCAAGGTAGCGAACCTCAGGTAGCGAATTGGTAGCGGTAGAGGTCTCCCGAGCATCCCTTCTATAACTACACAACGAGAGAATTCTCGCACTGCTCTTCGGAGGCAGCGTCGCATGATGGGGATGGACGCGATGCACCGCCGGGCGTGACTTACGATTTGCCCATGTTCGGATGTTTTAGTCCCGTGGCAGTGGAACCAGGGTATCGTCTGTAGATTTCCTGCGAAGAAAGTTGGATTCTCGACGAATTTCCCTGCCAGGTGTCGCGAAGGCAGGATGGGAAAGAGGGGGGTTTGTTGGTAGTTATGCGACGAGTTGCAAGGAAACGGTGCTAGGGTGGGGTTGTCGCGACGGTGTGAGGATGGCAGTAAAACCGACTAGGGAGGTCTCATGCGTCTCATCAGAGACCGGGTAACGTAGAAAGGCGAATGGTCTGATTGATGTCGATTCCAACGTCGGCGCGGTATGTTCGCAATAGGCAGGGTATGCTAGAGCGAAAAGAAAAGTTGCGTCCTCTTTTTTTTTGGACGGCTTCGGCGTGCTACCGCTGCTATAGGTAGGGACAGAAAGCCGGTGCTGCGCAGCGATTGCTTCGTACGGGGACGGGGGAGGACTGGGGAGAAGGCAGCAGGTCGAGCACTGGTTGGCTGGGTGGGCTGGCTTGGCCGGGGATCAAGGCTGGTCTGGGCTGGCTTTGGGGTCACGGCAAGGCGGGATGTCGACGGGATTGGACTACGGTGGTGCAGAGGTTAGCTAGGAATGGTTGCAATCTAGGAAGGGTGATGTTATCGCCGTCCCGGACGCGGGTGGGCCGCTCATTACTTACATGATCTCTGGGGACGAGGGAGAAGCGCTGATCAGTTGGGGACTGCGACGATGTAATGCAGGGTCGAGCCTCCCTGCCCTTGGCTAGCCTAACAGACAGACCTGCGTATGCCCTGTGGTGGTATGGAGGTATGCACTGCTGGCGGTATATGCGTGTGCGGGAGACCGAGACCGAGAGACGATGCCGGTGAGCGCGAACGTCATGTCACGCCCCGCGGTTGCAGAGGGGAGGGAGATGGGGTTGTCGTTGGAGAGGAGCGGAACTGACTGGGCTTATGAGAGAGCGAAAAAGCGATGCTGTCGAATACCGCTGCTGGAGAGATGTTGTCCTAAGGAGGTGATGAACAATTCCGGGCTGTTGAGACGGCGGGGTTGTTGACGTTTTATTATTAATATAATCCAGCCCTCTTTTCCTTACCCACCTGAGGTACCTGCCACCAACATCTCCTTCCTGCCTGCCTGCCTGCCTGCCTGCCCGTGGAGTTGCACGTAGGGACTACCTACATTATACCTACTTACCTGGTACCTAGGTATATATAGTACAGGTATGTGAGATAGTGTTATGAGGTAGGTATGACCTCTTAGGTACCTAGGTAAGTACCTAAGGTATCTCCTCCTAACCTGGGGCACCCTTGCTACTTCCCATCTTCGATGGTATTAGCACCCATCGGATGTCTTGGGTTCCAGTTCTACACTCGGGTATGTACTACCGCATAACTTCGGGTACCTAGGTGTAACCTAAGCAGATACCTCCGAGAGACCTTCTGATGGCTTCTCCTACCTTAGGTTCTACGAGGTACCTGTAGGTAAGCATATAAGTACCGCTATCTACCTAAGTATATACTTAGATAAAATAAGGCCCGAATTATTCTGCTTCGTAGAATAATTCGGGCTTATTTTTAACGTAAACGCTAAAAATAATAACCTATCCGGAGGATAGAGAGATATAGAAAGTATACTTAGTTTATTTAATACCGATTTTTAGAGCTACGAACTTTATTTATTATAGAAAACCTAGAAAACGTAAGAAATTATATATAGAAAACTTATAGTTTATACGAAACTATCTTTTATAAATTCGAAACTAGTTTAAATTTTTACGTTAACGTATATTATATTAAGTAAAGCGTATATTATTTACGATAAAAAACGTATATAGTAAAACGAATTTAAGAAGAATAAAATATAAAAGAAATTTAGTATAGAAAATTTTTTTTAAAGTTAAAATTACGTAGGTACGTAATTTCTATATTAAAAAAGGGCGTTATACCTAATAAAACTACGAAACCCTTAAACTTATATCTTTATTACTTCTTTCTACGTTTCTTTTCTATTTTTTTCTACGTACCCGTATTTTTTTCTCGTAATATACGTAGGATTTCTCGTAATAATTCGTTACTAGAAAGAGCGTTAATATTTAATCCTTATTACTTTATAACCCGCTCTTCCGCTTTCCGGATTACCTTTCTAGTTTTCTTATAGACTTTATTAAAAGCTTATTTTAAATTAGAATTTCTACGCTAGCGTACTTTATTACGTATTAACGTACCTTTTTATTAATTTTTTTAAAATCGAAAGCTTTTTTTAATTCTATAAATTTAACGAGCTCTAGCTCGGCCTCCCGGGGTACCTTAGCGTAAACGTAGTAGCCCTTATAGTAGTAATAATAGCGATTATCTTTTATATTTATTAATTATCGCGTATACGTAACTTTTCGCGTTTTCTACGCTATTTTATATACCGGTTCTTTTTACGTAAGCGTTCGCTTATAATCGATTAATTCGTTTAAAGCATACCTTATAAGGTAACGCTCTTTCCTCGTCGTTATCGTCGTCGCTACCGTCGTCGCTATCGTCGTCGCTACCGTCGTCGTCGTCGTCGTCGTTATTAGCAAGGAAGCGGATTCGGTTTATAGGTAGATTCTATATAGTAAAATTAACGCCTACGTATATTATTATTTAATCGCGTACTTTTTTTTATACTATAAAGTTCGTAAAGTATAACTTACTTTATAAGGTATACTAAGGGAAGGAGGGTCGCTACCGCCGCCGGCGGCCGCTAAACCGTTAGTATTACTTATCGTAATACTAATATTAGTTACGCGGTAGGCGTCGCTAGCCGATAACTAATCGAGGCCTAGGTTAGCGAGTTCGGTAATCGAAATCCTAGATACTACTTTAATTAGCTAAATCTATCGCGCGCGTATTAAATTTCTTACTTTTTTTAACTACTTTAATCTTATTTCATTAAATAAAAGATTACGAAATATCGTTAGCGTTCGTTTTAAGCTTAATTAATTATATATAAAGGTTTAAACTTACGTAGTTATAGGAAGGGTAGGAGGCGTAAGGAAAAAGAAAAGGAAATAATAAAAGTAATTAATAATAGAAAATAGGTTATTTTATTTCGTAAATAAGGAAGCGTTATAGGAAGTCGCGATTAAAGGAAGGTACGGCGCTAGTTACTAAGGAAATCGCGATATCTTTATACGTTAAGAAGAAGCGGCGTACTTTAAGAAACGCTTCGTAATTAAAGCAAAAGAAACGTACTTTTATATAGAAAATAATATATTTACGTTACTTTTATATCCGTATTTTTTACTTTTACGCGGTCTAGCTATATAAAGATTAATTAAAGTATTATAAACTATACTCGCTCGATAAAATTAACGTATATACGCTACTTTTATTCGTTATTTATAACGTTAGAATACGTTATTTATAAAGGCATCGTAATAAGTATAAAGGTTAAGTAAATAACTATATACGTAAACGGAGATCTTTATCTTTTAACTTAGCTTTTATACCTACGAAATATATATTAACTTAAATATTAACGAACGTAAAAAGAAACTTATTATTTATTAGTTCTTTATATACCGTATTCCTATGAAACGATTCGTCGAATATTAGGCCTTATAACGAGGTAACCCTAAAGTAGGCGACGTAATTTAACCCTAACGCGAATTCCTTCTCTATAATTCTAACGATAGCGTAAAGAATAATAATATCTTACGTTTTATAAACGGTTATTACGTATGAAATAGTTAGGGGGAATTATTCTCGTATATAAGAGATATTTTTATAGTCGAACTCCTAGCGCTCGCGTAATATTAATACTATCTTTTTCTCTCGAGAATCGCGTAGCTTATTTTCCTAAGTATCTTTAAACCCGGGCCCGTCGTAATCGTCGAAAGTTATTATAACTATTATTAACGGCTTACGTTTAGGATTAGCGCCTTACGCTTAACTTATATCGTAAATAAAGCCTTAGGAGCTATTTATAAGCCGTATTTCGGAAGAGATATTACGTAATAGTATTACTCGAACGCCTATATAAAGTAATAGCTTAAAGGAGAGGTTACCGGCTAAGTCGCTAGGCGCGTTTAGCGTTTTTCGGCCGTAATAAATAACGTACGTTTAAATAACTAGCGAATTAAGCGTTACGAGATAATTAAAATTATACTAAAGTATCTTTTTACGCGTGAAATATATACGTACCGTTTCTTTAAAGCCGAAACGATCCTACTTAATTAATACCGCGGCTATTCTCGTAGATAAAAGCTAGAACGACTCGGCGGAAACTTACGTTAAGCGTAATTCGTTTAGCGCTTTTCGAAAAGGCGCCTAGTCCTCGCTTACCTAGCGCTAAACTACCGATAGAAATACCGACTTAAAAAAAGCTCTATACGTATTATAGCCGACGAATTCGTTTACCGAAAGATACGTCGAATTAAGAGTATAGATAGGCTTTAATAATACTAAGGATAACTAAAAAAAGTCGCTAATTAAGATTATATTTACGTTATTAAAAACCCGCGAACTACGCGGAAATATTTACCGTAAATAGCGGTTAATAAACCTAAGTATACGTAGCCTTAATATATTCTTTTCGTCGATAATTAAATAGCGAAGGTTAATAAGGCGTCGTTATATCTTAGCGAAAGCGTTATTAAAAAGCGGTTTAAAGCTACGCTCTACGGATAAACGAAGGAAAGAATATATCGTCCTCTTACGAATGTTATTACTCGTAGCGCTAATTAAAGTAATAAAAGCTACCGAGTCCTAAGTAAAAGCCTAGCGAACGTAAGAGGCTAAAATCTTAATTAGATACGATTTTCTAGTACCGTTATTACCGTCGATTTAAAACAGAAGCTAGTTTTAATTACGACTTTATACGTAGCCGAAAACGGTATCGTAAATTAGCCTTTATTCCGGATTTAACGTATTACGAGTATCTAGGGAAACGATTTCTTATTCCGGCGTATTTATAGTACTTATTATCTCGCGTTAATAAATAAAATCGTAAAAGTAAGGATACTTATATCGGGCTACGTATATAACTTAATCGTAGTTTACGTCGATATCTTTATTCCTAAGTACGTTAAATATTTCCTACGTAAGCGCTTAGTTCGGGAGTAAATACGTTAGTTTAGCTTAGTTCTTCTCGTTTAAAGCCTGCTTTTCTTTCTCTAGGAGCTCGAACTTCTCTTCGTCGGGTCTGGAAAGGTCGCCGTAATAGTTATCCTCGTATTAGTAGGTTACTTAATATCGCGTATACGTTAATATATGCGTTAGAAATTAAGTACCGTTAATTAAAAGTAACTCGTCCTTATTAATATACGAATGATTTAATATAAACTTAACGCGGTAAAACGACTTTAGCTCGCTAGGGTCTTTATTTACGCGGTAAATAGGGTAATAATTAAGTATACGTTCTTTTACGTTACGTTAGAAAGGGCGTTAATCGCGAGCGTATGGCTTATTAAAATTTTAAATCGATACGAAGCGAAAGAAGTTTAATTTAATAACCTCTGGTATCTTTAAATCGCGTTAGAGATACTTTTTATAAATATTACGCCCGCTAGAAACGTCGCTAGAGCCGAGCTCGAGGCTATAGTCTTATTCCGTTAAAGGCCGGTAATTTACGTTACGTATAATACGCGAATTAACTTATAAGGATAGCCTATATAATATATAGTAAACCTTTTACGTAAAGTAATTTCGCTCTCCGATTAATTTATTTATTAACTTCGATATAAAAGAAAGAAGAAGATTTACGCTAGAAACCTTTAAGAGGATTTACTTAATAAGGACGCTATAATTATCGGTTTTAATTTCCGCTTTAGAGTAATACTTCGCTACGTAATTTATAATAACTTTTACGCTAATATAAGGCGAAATATCGATATTAGTTAGCTAAGTAAAGGTAATTACTCGATTATATTAGTTTAATTACTCGTCGTTACGCTACGCTTTAAATGATTATTAGGTTTTATACGACCGTATAATAATCTCGGCGTAGGCGCGGTACGGCCGTAGGAAAAGAAATCGGCATTCTAAAGGTAGTAAAACGTTATTACCTTATTCCGCTTTTCGCGCTTTACGCTTATTAATACGGAGGTAATATACGGAAGAATATTTATAGCGTTAATAACGATTAATAATCTAAAAGAGCTAACGAAACGACGGCCGCGCGTTTAAAGGCCGTAGTACGAACGGATTATCCTTATTTTAATCTAAGCGCCGGCGCGGCTCTGGATTAACCGTAGAGGCGTAATAGCTTTAAATACGAGCGTAGTTTTAGCGTTATTCGAAAGAGGTTATATTAAATAACGGATTACCTTCGAATTAAAATAACCCGTAGTAATACGTACTCCTACGCCCTTAAAATTCGTATCGATATTAATAATCGCGTAAACCGAACTTCTTAATTAAAACGATATTACGGAAAAGCTAATTCTAAGCGTAAAAATGCTACGCGATAATATAGGGATTAGTTTTTAATAGCTCGTAGGATAAGCGCATGCGTTAGATTTTAAGGGAGGAGAGCTATTCCTAAAAGCGTAGCATATATTAAAAAAGGCTCCGCTAGTAAAGATTAATAAGGCTTAAGGTAAGAAAAGCGCTAGGAATTCCGAGGTACTTAGTAAAAGTAACGTACTCGCGTTTTCGTTTAAACTAAAAAGGCCGCGTACCCTTTAAATAAACTATAACGCGCGTAATATTCCTTAATAACGCATTAGCTTCGGTATTCTTAGGGTTTTCTAACGCTTACTCGAAATCCTATCGCGTAATTTATTATTACTAGGCGCCTTTTCTCCTTACGAAATATTTACTTATTATTATCGCTTATTAGCGTATAAGTATATTAAGCGCGATAAAGCGGAAAGTAAGGTATTACGCGAATCGATTATCGCGTTAACGTATAGCGTATTATACCTAATCGTCGAAATCGATCTTACGTTACTTTGGATATATAAATTTAACTTTTTTACGCGGAAATAAAATAAGAAACGCTAGTAAAAATAACGTAGTTAAACGTATGAATTCGTTAATAAGGGTCTAGCGAATAAAAGGCATAGATAAATAGTAGGTATTTATAAGCTTAACGGAATAACCTTTAGAAATAAGCGCTCCCTTTAATTCTAACTTTAAACGCTTTATTTTAATTTACTTTAACGTAACGTTTAGTATAATAAATTTATCGTATTAAGCTTCTAATCCTTCTAGGTCGTCCTCCGTAACTAGGTTAGCCTAAAGCGCTTAACCGTTATCGACGAAGTTTTAAATATTAAGTTATTTAAAAACATTACCGTCGTTAGGTAGCTCTTTTAACGCGGCGCGATTTCATTTAAAGTCTTTATAACCTAGGTAGTTATATTTTAAATACTTAAGCTATATCTCGATAACGCGTCGGCGTATTTTAAACTTAGTTTAAAATTAGGTTATTTACTCGGGATTTTATGCTAACTCGCGTAGGTATAATAAGACGATATTAAAATACTAAAAGAGGAGGGGAAAATAATCGTATACTTTATTAACGTTACGTATAAAGTATACGACGTAGCCGCGATATTTATACTATTAGCCGCGGATTATAAGTATATTTATTACTACGTAAACCCGCGTAATAAATAGTTCTTCGATTATTATTAGCTTTAATAGTAAATTAAAAAAAGAAAGGATATTAAAGTTAAGATAATTATCTACGCTAAAAAAGAAGGGCTTATTTACGCGCCTCTTTTAGTCTTTATTACGATAACGCTTATAGATATTCGCGGTATTTAGATCTATATTAAACTAATATTCTCCGTAATGACTATAGTATTTACGTCGTTTCTATTTTAGCGCTAATTAAAACCGTATTAAAATCGCGTAATCGGTATCGCTAATTACGCTAGCGTCGAGGTCTCCCTTTTACCGTAGCGATTTAATTATAAACGAGCTTTAACGATTAAAAACGTTATTAAGTTCTTAAGAGCGAGCGATATTTAAGGGGAAGGTTTAATTAAAAGGTCGGCCTAGGCGCGGTTATTCTCGCGTTAGTTCTAGCGTAAGAGATTCTAACGTAAGGGGCCGTAAAGGTCGGCTTCGACGTACTTATACTTACTTTAGTATTAATTCTAACGTAAACGCGCGTAAAGGTCGGCTTCGACGAACTAGCTCTAGCGTTAATTCTAACGTAGGCGTACGTAAAGGTCGGCCTCGACGAATTAACTCTCGCGTTTATTCTAACGTAAGCGTACGTAAAAGTCGGCCTCGACGAACTAACTCTCGCGTAAGTACTCGAGGAGGTCGCCCCCGGGGCGCTAGTTTTAACGCTACCGTTAAATCCGCTAGTTATAATTATATTATTAACGAAGAAAGTAAAGGAATAGGAAAAGGGTTACCGCTATTACGTCGGATTATCCTATGCCGTTTTCGAATTTATTATCGTAATACGTTACTTACGCGTAAAGTTACCTCTTTAGCGCTTAAATTATATACCCGAGGCTACGCGGTAATAAAATATAATCGATAATAAGTAATATTTAATCGCGGAGCCGGTTAAAGCGTCTTAAGCGTAAAATCGGATCGGAAATCCTATATAAAATTAACGGTAAAGTATAAACTATTAACATAAAATACTAACCTAAGTAAAACGGCGTATATTTTCGCGGCAAGAGAGATAATTTTTTATAGATATAGCGTAATTTCGTAGATTAATAAATTACTCGATGGCTTAAATTCTTCCGTAAGTACGACATTCTTTAACTTAAAGCGACTTTATCTTAATTAAACTAAGAATAGATTATAAGGATAGATTATAAGATACGGAAAAGAATAAGAATTATATAAATAAAAGTAGAAACGTATAAATAAACGCGTTAGTAAATATACGTAAGGATCTTAAGGGATAATAGGGATACGTTAAATAAAAAAACCTCTATTTATCCCGCCGTTTTTATTAGGTATACGTATTTTTAGGGACCCATAGCGCGTTTTTTAGCTAGTAAAAATAGAGTTTCCTCTAAATGATACCCCTTTATAGGGTTATTTATAGGGTTATTTATAAGGCTATTTATAGGGGTATTTAACCCCGTAATTAATTAGTATGACAGGGGGTTATGCATATTATAACTATCCTCCGGATAGGATAACGACGTAGATGCTGACCAACCGGCTCCTGGTGGCTGCCGAACGCGCGCACGCCCCGAGGCAGCCTGCCTCTACCTTATGTGACGCCCAACTTCCACGCCTTGTCTGCATTTCACAATTCCGTCCGAGAGGCAGAGACAGCCGTGCTCAGAGTTGGAGCCTTGCAGACCTTCGGTTCCTCTAGTTACGTGTGCATCAGATACTTCCACACACCTGCCTACTGCTGGATACCTCCCTTTGATGCGTCGGCGTACCTAGCCTAAGGTACCTCTTACTATTCGTGTTGGTTCCTGACGTAATTGGACCCGTGTTAGAAGGCAAAGCCGCGTTGCTCTCACCTACAGGGTTCGTAGGCACCTAATGTACATTCTGTGCATATAAGCACCTACCTATACCAAACTACTAGGAGGTATCTACCTTATATGGAGATTATGTGCAGAGGGTCGGGTCCACCTAACGCCTCGGCAGCCCTGCAGCCGCCGATCCGACGTGCCACTTCGCTTATCTAATACTCGCCAACATAGGGGCAGGTACCTGCTCTTGACGCACCAACCCGTAGGCTTTTTTTTTTCCTCTCTCGACTCCCCCCAGGATGGACACACTGGATCCGATCCAACATGCCAATACGTAGTTCGTCGGTGCCATCGCCGGTCCTCTCGCCGACTGAATGCCTAACAAGGAGCCGGACTAGGCTGGGGGCAATGGCTGCGGGTTTTCCCAAGAAGCACAGCCACACACTCTCTCTCGTTACCGAAGTTCGGAAAGGGAGTATTCGTTGTTTTGTTAGTAGGCGTCTCCTCTTATATCTCACCAATACCACTCCATCCGGCCGCCTCGCTGCAATCCCCAGAGTTCCGCGGCCCGACCCTTTCCCCCATGTGCTTCGTCCGCACAGCCGAAGTACGTAGCGGTACGCGATACGTGGAGGCCGCCAAAATTCGGCTGTGCGATTGGAACTAGTCACGACCTGGAATTTATGGAGTTGTTCTCTACCGGTCCCTTTCGTGGCCGAATAGAGGGCGGTGCTTATGTGCGTTCAAGCGAGAGATCTGGGCTGGCCCCACGGCGTCGACGGCTAGGAACCTCGCATTGTGACCGGTCCTGTCGGTACCCACGTGCAACTCGACTTGGTTGCCAACGCCGGCGGTCCAAAAAGGCAGGAGAAGAATGCCGTGGCGTCCGGGCCGGCCATCCCTCATTTATATTCACGGCCGAACCCACCCTTGTCCATCCCAGTTCGTCTTGTTCTGATGCGAAGGGCAAATATTGAAACTCTCGTTACTCGGGAGAAGTCCGCCGGCGTCTTCGCGGTGGAAGAGCATTTGCCACGCATGTCGCGACTGGAGAACGGCACTTCAGAAGTCGGTGAGTCCTGAGCTAAAGCCGCCGTTGACGTGTCATAGGCATGTCGCGTCAATATGTCCTAGGTGTGGCTGAGACAATCGTGATTAGGCTTGACCGGGTTTGGGAAGCATGTAGGGCGGCTGGGTCAACAGGAAGAATCCTGATCATTGCTAGTGACACTGCACTATTAGATTGCCGTGATAGTGTGCTACGCCGTTAATACTGGGGCTGGTTTTTAATCAATCTCGATGGCCGAGTTGGGAAATGCCCACGCCAGCAAAGTAGGCAGGTTGTGCCGAATTGTTGACGTACCGCCTGGCCGGAAATACATGTGGTAGTAACCCGACCATCTGAATCCAGGCTCATACCGACGGAGCCAAAACGTGCCAGCTAACTCACATGACACGTACAGACAAAACCCAGCTGGGCCTGGGGGTTAGCAATCGGTCCATATCTCCCACTTGACGGACTGCGACAGGAACTAGGGCACTTGCAACACGGTCAGGGAAGTGTCTACGGCACACGCGAGGCGGGTAGATGGCTAGGCCGCGCGAGGGGATGAAACTGCAAGCATATTTTCCTGTTGTGGTGATATCAGATATGTGAAGCTCTCGCCGCGCCGCGCAGCGGATTGCTCGGCCGGCACGGCCGGTACAAGATTTCCTATTTACAGTAGTAGCCCTGGCACACACGCATGCGAAACACCTCGCCTAAAGGCCCCAGTCCGTCGTCCTTCTTCGTGCATCATTCAAAGCTGTATGCGGTTGGCTGGTTGCAAAACGTGGCAAAGCATTCATTTCGTATGCCCCTTGGCAAGGGGGATTTTTTGTTACTAAGCTGGGGGTATGGGAGGAGTTAGAGTGTGTTAGAGGGTAAGTGAGGGGATAGGAAGGAGAGGGGAATAGGATAGGGGTATGGGGGTATAGGGGGGGTTGGTATAGGAAGAGGGCGTGAGGGACGAAAAAGGTTGTGTGAATTATTAGTTGGCTATCCCGAGCGCCGAGTCTTGCCATCGTATTATATATAGCACCCCGACAGGATATGAAAAAGGGGGGCAGGAGGATCGGTCGCCTCGGTGCGTTAACCGATGACGGTCTTCTGGCTGAGGCTCTCGAGGAATCCGCCGAGGTCGTCCTTCCGGACCTCGACGACGCAGTGCTCGAAGCTGTCGATTCGCACGCGGGCGTTCGTCTCCCCGACCACGTCCTGGAACGCGCTGCCGAATTTGTTCAAGCCGTAGCCGCGGCCTCTGCGCAGTTCCTGGTCCTCGTCTTCCGACTCCGACTCCGACTCCGAGGCGTCGCTCTCCTCCGACTCGGTCTCTCCGTCCTCTCCGTCGTCGTCGCCCGCCGCGGCTCTCGCCGCGCGCTTCTCCTCCCTCACCTTCTCCCTATTCTTCCTCCGTAGCTCGCGCTCCTTGGCCTTGGCCTCCTTGGCGGCCTGCTTTGCCTTTGTCGCCTCCCGGTCCAGGAAAGCGAGGTCCGGCCCGCCGCCGCCGCCGGTGCCGACGACGACGTACACGCCTCGCTTCTCGTTCAGGCTGGCCACTACGAGCGGAGTCCCGCGCCCGCCGTGAGACAGCTTGCCGTTAGTATCTTTCTCTTGCTCGGCGAGCGCTTCGCCGACCCAGAGCGCGAGCTTCGTAAGCGCGGCGGGGTGAGTAAATAGCGGCACGTCAGGCCCGTCCTTGATAATACAGAGGCGGAACGCGTGCAGATGCTTGATTTGCCGCTTCCCGATGAGCGAGGTGCCGGTCCGGAAAATGGCGCGGTGGAGATACTGTGCCGTGGGTAGACCGGCTTTCAGAGCGTCGATGCTGGATGATGTTAGCGATCTGAGAACACTGGTTCGCCTCGGTGACGGGACTTACTTTTCGAGCGCATCATACGCCTCCCAGAATCTACCAACCCATTCTTGGGATTCAGCTGCCCCACCGTCGTCTTCGATGTCCTGAACCTGACTCGCCCGGACGCGGCTATCATCGTCAATTAGGGCATTATGTTTACCGACTTCCAGCAAAGCGCCGATGATCACTCCTACATCTTGCGCGCTAAGGGTCGCTCGCCAGCCCCAGCTTCGCACGAATCCCCATCCATCTTTTGCTCCAGCTCGGTCCTTGCTATCTGTTTCTACCGCGGGCACCATGTCATCGAGGTTATATAGGGACGCATACTTCAAGAGCTTCGTACGCAGCTCTTTCTTCAGCATCATATCCATGTGGGTATAACTTTGCTTGCACTGGACTAAACTCACGCCCATCTTGGCGAGAAGTTTATGTAAGCGTTTAAGTCCGCTTTCGCTCCAAATACGTAGCCGGGAAAATAAGTATGGCGAGTGTAGCATGCTGTCGTAGAGGCTCCAGTGCCTGATCAGCAGGAATTTTGGCTCTGGGGATAATCGAATGCTTGTATCCTCCGGGCTGCGGGCGGTGGTTGGGATGATCCAAGCACCATCTGTACTTGTGACTCTCCCTTCCCTTGAGCCAACATCTGGGGGGTTGAGACGTCGCACTTCGTCCCTTAGAAGCTGCCGGATTCGAGCACCACGAATGCCCATCCAACCGTTCGTCGGCTTGGTCTCTGATCCTCGGACTGTAACAGCTACACCAGCTGAGGTTCGCCCGTACAGCTCCATGGATGTGACGCCAACGATTGTTAGCCAAAGGAGATCATTATCCTCCCGACCCAGCTCTGACGCTAGAGAATAGATCATCGCACTGATCGGCTCTGAGTATGAAGAACCCATTCGATAATATTTGCGTAGCACGTCTTCGTTCTCGTTGCGCATTCTCAGCAACCTTTTCCGGAGCGTACGGGCGGAAGGGCCGCGTGGAGGCTGCGCGGCAGATGGGGGGTTTTCTGCATCATCGGATCTGGCCACGTCGGAGTCCCGTATGGATATGAGTCCCCGCGGGGCCGGGCGACGCGGCGATTCGGGGATAGGAGTTGACTGAAATATGGTTAGTGAAAGATCCCCACGCGAGTGGCGGGGAGCATCCTACAGAGTTGCTCCTCCTTCTCTGCCGCGGTCGATCGTCATCCTCCCCGCTACTGTCATCCCGATCCGACCAGGATTTCCTTTTCTGGCCAGAACGTGGCAGTTCTACCTCAACCCCGCTTTCGCTCTCGGAATCGCTATCCCCGCCGGGCTCATCGTCGTCCTCAATCTCGGGCATGTCAACCAGCGCTAGGTACGCCTCCCGCTCAGCATCTAACCCTTCTGCGATATCGCCATCGTCAAAAACCACAATTCCGCCTTTGCCAGGCTTGTATGAGCGGTTGATCCGGCCGGCAAGCACACCTCCGGGGGCGCGTGCCCGATAGCTTGCGCTCAGTTCCGAGGCAGGTTCTAGGGGGTACCCGCCGAATACGTTGCCCAGGTTCCACGGCCGGTGCGAGTCGATGACCCATACCTCAACACCATGGAAGCCCAACTCCTCACCCTCTACCTCCAGACCGAGGATTGTGCCCATATCAACCATGCCGCCAACGCCAAGACACACGACAACCCCCCCGCTCCCGCCTCGCGTCTCCATCATGGGGCTAACGAGGTCCCGGCCGGCCCGCTCGAGGTCTCCATAGCCGGAAACCGGCTGTATCTTGTGCGGGATGTAATCATGTTTGAGAAGCCTGGTCAGGATGCGGCAGGCACACAGGGCATCGGGTTCGAGTGCGACAAGAATTAGAACCGGAGGGGAGAGGGGGTGCCGGGTATTCTGGAGGTGAAGGTAGAGTTTTGATATGAGATCGCGTGGCAGATACATAGCTGAGGAGTATCTGGACGCGTCTTCGAGCCGGCTATGGCGGATTCATAGGATCGGTAGCGGAGAGCGTATGTGCAGGAGGAGACCGAACCCTCAACGCGGGCAGCTGGGCGAGGAGCGCTACGCGACTTAGGCCTGTGGGTGAGATCGCTTGCCGGCTGAATTTTGCTGGGGGGTTTCCTAGGGGAAACAATTGATGTGTACAGGTGGGAAAGAAAATAAAAAAGAAACAGAAGAGGTAAACCAGGTTGGATATGGATGCTAGGTATTGTTTGGTGGTGCCTAGGGAACGGCAGATGGAGTCAAGCCCAGGCGTCAAGGGCGTGAGTACATGTGTATTGGATGTTGCGTAAGTGTTGATGGCCCTGAGGCACGGAACGCGGTTTAAAGTGGGCAAGACGCGATCTGATCCACGGTACCTGAGGTACTTTGGCTGTTATTGAGGTAAGCATTGGTGCGGGACATGACCTGGTCATTGAACAATTTACGCTTTCGGGGTGACCTCTCAGCCACAGCCTCGCCACAACCATATATCAAGTAAGATGTATGTATCTGTAGGTACCTCTAGCACATGGCATACTTATATTGATACTTATATATACTTAAAGTACTACCTTAGGTACCCAAGGTATATTCACAGTAAAGTATCCACTTAGGTAAGCAACAGGTGAGCCCCGCGCACATCAATTACGTACCTTATTCCCTTTACGTGCATATTGGGCTACGGCCCTGGTCCGTGATGCGATGAGTACTGACAATACTTACTGTACCTATATACCTACCTAGGCCCATTATTGCGGAACTCGGGTACTTCCCCCTTAACTACCCGAGAACCACCAACCCACAAGCCGGGCCGCTCTGAATCGGAGCTCCACCCATGTTGAGCAATAGGGATGGCTTCATCATCGCCTCCGTCATCATTATCGCCTGCAGACCAGCTGCTTGAGCTTTGCGCCGATGCTACCACTTCCATCCAAAGTGAGTGCCTCTCGGTGCTGTCTGGGAGTGAGTCCCCATCTACCGAGCACTCGTTAGCAGGATGCGGGCTCGCTCTTGTTGATCTGCTCTCGCGGCAAGCCGCCCAGATCAGCGTATTCTACCGGGACTTGCGCTCTGCCAACCTAGCCGCCGCGAAGACAACTCCGGAAACGCGGTCGCTCATATCGAAACGGCTAGAAGACATCCTCTCTATAACTTATTCCCGGTTCTACGCATATCTCTTTCGAGACCTACCGACTTGCTGGAGGCAGCTCTACACTGATGCAAGCATCCTGAAATTCTGCTTTAACGTCGTGGGATCTCCTTATATTTACGGTGGTCATCTCACATCACGGGGCGCTGCCGATTCTGAGCGGCCGCATGGGGATGGCTGTGAGCTAGGTGAGCTCGTGAAAGTTCTCGACTTCGCGCTAATTCTTGCTGGTGCTGCCGGGAAACAGAGAGGTAGGAGCTGGATTAATGGCGCTCTTGACCTTCTTCACGCTGTTTGGGCAGACTCAACCCCTCCAGAATCCGTCCCGGATATCGGCCAAACTCGTGAGAGGTCGAGGCCAGGACAAGCTCCAGATTCGTGGCCGTCGGATGTTGGGATCGAGGCAGGGGACACATTTTCCGCGGACGAGCCGTTTGGGCCTCCTGTGAGATTTCCAATTAAGCGTGTCGATGCTCTCTCCATGGAGTCGTTCCAAGCATATATAGACAACCCGCGGGACACAAAACTGGGACCGGAGCCTCTCATTATACGCGGCAGTATGGAGAATTGGCCGGCTCTCACCACAAACCCTTGGTGTAGGCCGTCGTACCTCCTATCTCAGACCTTTGGCGGTCGCCGACTGGTACCCATTGAAGTTGGCCGTAGCTATGTGGATGAGGGCTGGGGTCAGAAGATCGTCACTTTTGGTGAGTTCCTTCGGGAGTACATCGACCCATCGCTTTCCCGGCTTCAAAAGGAGTCCAACCACGACGGCGATAGCGCGTCCCCCTCTCAGACGAAACCCATCGCCTATCTAGCCCAACATCCGCTATTCACTCAACTTCCCGCCCTGCGAAAAGACATACTCATCCCAGATTATTGCTACACGGCACCACCACCGCATCCGACGGACCCTAGCATCGACCAGCCAGAGCTGGACGAACCCCTCCTCAACGCTTGGTTCGGGCCGCCAGGCACTATCACACCCCTACACAATGATCCCTATCATAACATCCTGACGCAAGTCGTGGGGCGTAAGTACGTGCGTCTCTACTCGCCGCTAAATACGGAGCGGATGCAAGCTCGGGGGAAAGAGAACGGAGTTGAGATGGGAAACACCAGTTTGCTGGATGTTGGCGTGGTTGAGGGGTGGGACATGGTTGGCGGAGGAGATGAAGAGGGACAGCCTAGCAGGGAAGACACCGCCGCATTTCGAGCTGTGCCGTTCCTAGACTGTATACTAGAACCAGGCGAGGCTCTCTACATCCCGATAGGATGGTGGCACTATGTGAGAGGGCTAAGCGTGAGCTTCAGCGTGAGCTTCTGGTGGAATTGATTCGGCGTCAGCTTATGACGCGGTCTAGGCATTATTGCCGTTTTCCCTCTATGCTGGATATACATAGTTAGATCTAACTAAGTATGTGTAAATATTTCACAATCTAATAGCATGGGACGTCCCATCCCTTCTCCTTTCATCTGTTTCCTATCTAGATATGTAGAAATGCCTACGCAGTAAACTATATGCAGTTAAACATAATTACAGATTACCTCTAGAAAATGAATGCCATAAACCGGGACAATTTACGATCTGGCTACGTGCATAAGACACCACCTGCGTAGGTACCTACCCAAGGTGGTAGTTGGTTGTCCACTGCTTCGTTAGGTATAGAAACACCGTAAGGGTCCAGTCAACAAGAATACCCTTCTGAATTACATCTTCCTGTTCCTCCTCTGATGTTATTTCACGGGCTTCCTTTATCCTCAGCCGCTCCCCTGCTTCGAACAGTCGCTGGAATACCCCTCTCTCGCGCTGCATCTTTCCAATGATACCTACTATCCACGGTGGTTGAACAAGGGTGCACGATATATCACCCAGCCCGACTCCCTACGCTCCCGCCTGGAGACGATCTGAGTCCGTCGAAAACTAAACTAAATATTTTTCAACATGGACGCCCCCGAGCAAGATAAGGATATCGTAATCCAGAAATTCTCGGCAGACCTGGCCGCCGATCTCGATCGGTCTCTAGCCCCGTTCCTGAGGAAGCCCAACGGCCAGCTGAGACGGCGCGTGCGGATGAGAGAGACGGCGAGGCTAGTATCAAATGTAAGTGCGTCCCCGGCACCGCAGCGCGCAGGCTCGAGAGGCTCACGGGCGACGTCGTGGAGGTTCTGGAACCGTTCCAAGAGCTCCCTCAGCTGCTCGATCCGCATCTGCCCCGCTGGCTGCCCGTCCTAGCCGAGGCCTACCTCGAATGCTTGCGAGATCGCCGGAAGACCAGGTCGCTTTCTATGCGCTCTCAACTTCTACATCCGCTCTCCAACGCCATATGCAGGATCCTCTACACCTTTTGCAAGATACGGGGCGAAAAGGTCATCGTCAGATTCCTGAATGTCGAGACTAGGTTTTTAGAGCTTCTGCTCTTTGCCGTCGAGGAATCAGAGCGCGAGGCCTCGGACTCGCTTACCTCCTGGACCTGGCATGAGAGGTACATCGTCCTGCTCTGGCTATCTCAACTGTTCTTTGCCCCCTTTGATCTCTCGACCATATCGTCTGGCGATGCCGACGATCTTGATCGACTAAGCGTTCCCGGGTTCCAGTGGCCACCACAGGTCCCTGGTATCACACTAAGGGTCATTCCTTTGGCAATCAAGTATCTCGAATCCCCCGGAAAGGAGAGGGATGGGGCTAAGGCTCTCCTAGTCCGTGTTGCGATGCGAAAGGATATGCAGGAGCTAGGTATCCTCGATGCCCTCATAAAATGGGCTCTATCAACCCTCAAGCCATCGGCAGATACTCCGACTAACTCTCCGTATCATTACATTGGGGTCCTGTCCTTTATAGCTGGGATGTTAGGCGCTTCGGAGGGTACATCTATCATGGACCCCCACCTATATACTATATTCTCTACTGCCCAGGCGATTGCCACAGAGAAGAACTCTGTTTTCGATATCATCAACGGCTCGGCGCTAGCCCGTAAGATGCTGATAAAAGCCATACGCTCTGCGGCCACACTGATATTACGGAAACCGGAGCAGGCCGTAACCGAGACCGAAATTGTCGAAGCGTCGATCGGGTACCTGCTGGAGAGACTGGCAGACAATGACACGCCAGTCAGGCTTGCTGCTAGCAAAGCTCTGAGCGTTATTACTCTCAAGTTAGAGCCCGACATGGCGTCTCAAGTTATCGAGGCTGTTCTAGAGTCGCTGAACCGTAATGTCCTTTGGGTTAAGAACAAGGCAGACCCGTCTGCTCCTCCTACTCGGGACCTGGTGGCTGTTGACCCGCTCGAATGGCATGGTTTGATGCTTACGCTCTCCCACCTCTTGTACCGGAGGTCACCACCGCCCGAACATCTGTCAGATATTGTCCACGCCTTGTTGATGGGACTCTCTTTTGAGAAAAGAAGCCTGTCAGGTGGCTCTATAGGTACTAATGTCAGGGATGCGTCCTGTTTTGGGATCTGGGCGCTAGCCCGCCGATATAGCACATCTGAATTGCTCCTAGTCCAGACAAAGTCGGTGCTGGTTGCTAGAGGGCACGACTCTGCTGCGTCTATATTACAAGTCGTAGGTACCGAACTGGTTGTTACTGCGTCGCTCGATCCCGCGGGTAACATCAGGCGTGGCGCGTCGGCTGCCCTGCAGGAGCTTATCGGTCGACACCCTGACACCGTAGAGAAAGGCATCAGCGTCGTACAGACTGTCGACTACCACGCCGTCGCTCTCCGCTCCAGGGCAATACATGAGGTAGCTTTACAGGCAACTAGGCTATCACCGCATTACGGGCGCGCATTACTCGAAGCGACCCTAGGGTGGCGAGGTATCGGAGATATGGACGCGGGAGCTCGGAGAGTAGCGGCCGCCTCGTTCGGTGCCCTGACGACGGAATTAATCGGTTTCGGGGCCTCTGACCCTCTAGGTCGCATCAAAAGTTCTATTACACTCCTCCTATCCCGTGTCAGGGCTCTACAGGTCAGGCAAGTAGAAGAGCGGCACGGGCTCCTGTTAGGTCTTGCAGCTGTCCTGGATCTCCTTCCGAAGCTTCTCGAAAATGAACTCTCTCAGTCTCTCCAGGCGGTTCCCGCGGGCGAAGTTTGTGCTGCTCTCAAAGAAATCCTAGAAGATGCGAAGACCACCAAGTATCGGAAGCCGGAACTAATTGCAGAAGCTGTTAGCGGACTTGCCGTGTCTGCGGCTCCGATACTTCTGATACTTTCTCTGCAGCAAAGCTCTTCGGAACCGGTGCCATCACATTTCATAATGCCCGGGCCAGAAATTGTTGAGGACGCGGACAACACCTCAATAAAATCGCTTACGGACTTGGTGGATAAGCTACAAGCCAGCCGCCCGACCCTAATCGAAGAATTGTTGGTGGTATTACAAGATACACTGAACGAGTGGCTCGATAGGGATGAGAGCGAGGTGGTAAGGGCTTCGTCGAAGGCTGGACTGATCCTCCTCGTCTTCTCGAGCCGGGAACGCCGCGCGCAGATTATCGACGGGTGGTCCGATAAGGTGCGTCGTCCACAAGCATCTCGTAGCAGGCACGGCAATGGCTTTTTCCACGTCCTGGCCCGCACGTACCAACTTCAGCATGATCACTCGGATACCATCCTGGCGATCAAGGTGCTCTCTGAACGATGGGCGCAGGACGCCGACGTCGAGGTTCGCACCGCGATTCTCCAGGGAATCGTTGGCAGGGCGATTCTTCGGGACAAAGCATCAGAATTCGTGGGTATCATATCAGAGGGTCTCGACGACTACACGACAAATGCCCGTGGTGACGTCGGCTCCCACGTTCGGCTAGAAGCGATCAAAGCAACCAAAACTCTATGGGCAGCAAAGGGACTCAACGAAAACATCGTCTCGGATCTCTTCCCTCGCGTGCTTCGGCTAGCCGCCGAGAAGCTTGACCGCGTTCGTATCGAGGCCCAGTCTACATTGGCCATGCTCTTACGCCCCGAGTGCGTCCACACATATGGCATACCTTCCAGTATCAGAGTAGTCTGTGGTTGCTAATAGCTACGCAGGTACGCGAAGACGTTTAGCGAACTGTCCTTCTCCTCGAAAGAGTATTTCGACTTTTTGTTTCGCCTATGTGGCACGGAAAGACTGGCCGAGACCATAGCGAAAACCGAAACGGTGGACACAGACAAGTGCATATCAATACTCCTCGCAGGCCTGGTGACCTCGGCCGACACGGGGAACGAAGACTTGGTCGTAGTCAGTAGGGCAGCGCTCGCCGACTTCTGCGAGGGGTCACCGGAGAATCTGAAGCAGATATGCACAGGGCTAGTTCGTAACCTCAAGCACCACAAGGGCCAGGACCGAGTCGTGGTCCCCACGCTTGAGGTGGTAGCGTACCTGCTTCACATCGGTCAACTGCAGCGGTGCGGCGAGATCAACCTACGGCAGCTCTGCACGCTGGCGCGAAACGCGGCGTACAAAACGAGCAACGTGCGCAAGCTGGAGGCCTGCATCAAGGTGTACGGCGCTATCGCGGCAGTCGACGGCGACGGGCTGGCTTCAGCAGCGATATCGCCCGAGCTAGCGAGCAAGAGACGCGAGGGTATACTCGAGGCCCGCGCAAGGCTCGGGGCGCTCATGGCGCACCCCTGGCCCCGGGCTAGGAACCTCGTGGTCGACGAGCTATGGAGATTGATGGGCGAGGACGGTGGGCAGGCCAAACTCCTGACCGTCGACTGGGGCAGGGCGGAGGCGGCGCGCGTCAGGGAGGCGGTGGCCGAGCTTGGGCTCGGATAAGGGCCTTTCGAAACAGAAGAGAGTCGTGTGCTCGTGGGTTTGCTTAGGTACGGGTTAGCGTCGTGGTCGAAGCCAGACCCCATCGCCCAACGATCTCTAAAGCCAAAGTGCCCTTACGTGTAGACAGGCTACAGCTTGTCAAGCTTGTTTAGTTTGTTCCGGGAAAGGGTTTGAGTAGTAGTAGACGGAAGCCAATGGCATGGGACCACTAATGACTTGACAATCTGATAGTCGGTCTGACCCGGTATTTCCCTATCTACCTACGTGCCAATCTATCCGTCTGTCCGCCTAACTGTAGGTGCCGCAGGTATCTGTTGGTGGCCTGAGCTGGCGGGCTAAGGCGTAGGTAGGTACCTAGGTGACTAAGTCGACTTAACAGTCTCTCTCTCTCTCTCTCTCTCTCTCTCTCTCTCTCTCTCTCTCTCTCTCTCTCTATGACTCGACCTACTACCCTCTATGATCGTACGTCTATCTGCTAAAGGTACCCTGGGAGGTTACGTTAGGTTAGGACGAGGTAGATAGTTAGTTGACTATCGACGCATCTGCAAGGGCCCAGGCCTGGCACATTGCAAATTGTAGAGTAGGCATATCTCTCGCCCTTGTAGGTAACAAGACATGTATGGAACCGATAACGGTAGGAGCCCACTGTCAGGCACGCAGAATCCGTTAAACCCAGCGTGGTAAATGGCCCGCCTGCGCATCACTTCTGGTCATGTTTGTTTCCACACGCTAGCCTAGGGGGTGTCTGCGGGTTTTGGGGGGTCTTCTTCCCCCTCTTCCCAGCGTGAATGGCGAGGATTTGCCCGCAAACATACCTTTACCTACGCCAGCACACAGGTATATAGGCACATTGCTTGCCTACACCTAAAGATATTACATACCCAGGGAGTAGGTAAGGTATGGAATCCGTATAGGAGATACGTAGAAGGTTATGCGCGTCGTCTCCGGTGTCGTGGCGGTAGTTTCAGGTATTTTGGTCAACCGACCAATTGCCTATTCGGGCAAGTCGTACTAGGGGGGTTTGTTGGAAGACGCCGTCTCCAGAGAGGGGATTGTCTGACGGGGTAAACCCTTCTTCCTCTCACAGGCCGGAAGCGAGGGTGCGCGCGCGCAGCTCCTCAAACAACCAACACACGCCTATGCACATACGCATATAGATGCGGTGCTGTTTCGTCTAGACCTCTTCCTTTTATATCTGTAGTATATTAAAAAAAAAAAGGCGCACGGGGCGGCCTTTCGCGTAAGGGGGTTACGCGGCCTAGGGCTACATATGTACATATCGGTCGCGGACAGGGGGGGCGACAGAAGAGGAAGCGTACGGAGGATTGTGCTTATATTCGGAGTTGCGCTCGCGCTCGCGCGGCAAGTTCGTGACGCGAAGGCCTCGAGATAGGATGTGTGTCGATGAGAGAGAGAGAGAGGGGGGGGGTCCTCCGCACGCGCGATTATGCTGACGTGAAAAATCTTTTCTGGCCTATCCCTTGTCCGACTCGACTAGTAGATCGGAGCGGTCGGCAACTAGGTGAGGTTGGCCGGAGGGCCTATACTGCTTACGCCCAAGAGCGCGTCCAGCGCAACAAACCAGGTGGCGGCGCACCACGCAGCTAGGATAAGGGAAAGCAGACGGCCGTTGGGCTTGTATGGGATCCCCCGTTAGAGAGGCGGGCGCAACTGGCACGTTTGAGGGATTACCGCCGCCTAACCTCCCGCCGCTCGAGGCCGCCTTGGCGATATCACGGGATGGGCAGACGGAACCAGCGAGTCGAGGGAGGGCCGCGGGCGAATCTGCATGTGCAAGACATGCCCGCGTACGCACGCATAGTAATGCATCGCGCGCCCAGCCTTACCCGAGGCTCGATCGGTGTGCATGCATGCCCGTGCGAAGAGGCGACGTGGTAGCGGTAGCAGTGGTAGCGGTGGTTGGCTGGTAGATTCCAGACCAGAGCATCAGGACGGACACCCTTCCATTTGGTGCAAAACAAAACCCCCCGTGCTCCCCCCCCGCCGTAAAAAAAAAAAGGACTGAATTCTTAGATTCGAATTTGTCCCATTGGCCTCGGCTTCTACGACTAGCACCATCCCACCATACCTAAGTCGAGTTAGGGTGTTGGCCCTGTGTGTGCCACGACCGGTCCTAGCTTGTTGGGAATAGGCCGGGGCCAGTGTCTGCTTATGTACGGACGAGGACGCATTGGACAACGGCCTTAAGCGTCGGGCCAAGTACCTGTATACTTCAGGTACCCAAGTACAGTACCTCGAGAAGCTAGACTCGACCGGGCCGATGCCCTTTCGATTAACCCAACCAACGAGCGCAGCGGGAGCCGCTCGCTCGGAACAACCCCTAGCGACAAACCAAAAAGCAGAAGTCCTGGAGGTACCTCGCCCGTTCGCCTATTGTTACCGTGCGGCTCAAGCTACCCCGTACCTACCCTCCTAGGTAGGTACCTCTGCTATCCGCACATACAGCCTCTGTACACGGAGGCAGGTAGGCAGGTTAGGTGGGAGGCATGCACCTGAATATAGGCAGGTGTTTATATTTAGGTATATTAAGCACCTAATCACCCACCTTGGATATTTGTGTGCGCAATGTGTGGTTGCAGGTGACATTACTATATACCTCGAAATGAAGCCGCGCACGGTTCATTCCGGGGAAGCCCCTATTCTTGGACGTCGGCGACGTGGAGCCGGGCGATGGAGCGCGGATTCGTCGCTGTGACGCGCCCCCCCCCCCCTCTCCCCGTTTTCCCGCGATCGCGTGTGACCGGTTCGAGCCATCGCCGCCGTAGGCCCGACAGGGTAATTATTGCGAAGGAGGATCGGTGAGAGCTGCCCGAGGACGACGAGGCCTCACGTGCCTTGGCCGGGCGCGAGATCTGTCCAACCACGGGCGCGGAGCGTCACGGACAGGCACTCGACGAGGCTAAGGTGAGGGAGGCCGTCCTGAATCGGAATGGTCGTTGGCGGACGGCCTGGATATGCCCACCTCGGGCAGAGAGGTAAGGGTTGGGACATGGGGGAGGGGCGGTAGTAGGCTAAAGTCGGTAGGTAGGTATATACTACGACCTAATAGCAACGAAGCTATGCAATTGGTGTTAGTCATTTCCACGGATGGGTTCCGCTTCGGTCATTTGGCCTAAACCTCCCCTAACCCTCCAGTCGGAACTGGCGAGATAATACCTCGACGTGGTATGCAAATACCAGGTACCTAATGACCGGAAGGGCTAGGGATGTGCCTGTCTCCTATGCATATTGTGCGAAGATGATGTTCGGAATAGGTGTGTGCCGTGGGAACCGTCAAATGAGGCACATAATCTCCATTACAGGTCGGTAGGTACACAGGTACCTCTGCTGCACGTAGTACAAACGTGCATTACGTGAGGTGGGTGCATGCATACGTAATGCGGCCGGTTGCTTCACATACCTACCTACTCATACCTAACGGGGCCTTCTCCGTCTGGGGCCATACTGCCATACCACACATGCCTACAACACCTACTGGCCACCCTGTACGCACCCAACACGCCGACGTCGACGATAACCCCCCCCCCCCTTCTCCCTCGCCGTCTGGCTCCCGACTCTCTGTCGCGTTGCCCCGCCGAAGACCCTTGTCGCGATGCGCACCTCTCCCGATCTACAGGGCCCCCCCTCCTCGTCCCACCCACCCACCTTTCTGTAGGGCAGGAAGGGAAGCTCTTAAGATACCGCATCTCATGGGTCCATTCATCGCAACCCGGGTTATCTCTGGGCCGCGACCTCCCACGCGGGCTAAGGCGCTGCCACTCCGTATCCCTCTCGCGTGCAACGTGACCCGCTCGTGTTGCGAGATGTGCTCTACGCCTGTCCGTATGACGTCTTCTTCCATACAGGTGAGGAATGATCTTCCTTGTCTTGGGGGGGTTAAAAAACCAGGGGCGGGGGTGGAGAGGAATAAGACGAGAATTAGAAGAAGGAAAAAGAGGGAGCGAGAGAGAGAGGGGAAAAGAAGGATGCATACGCATGTGCATCTACCTAATACTAGCAAGTGAGAGGTCGGTAGGTAGGTAGGTTACCTACCTAAGCTACCTAATCTGCCGTACCGCAGCCGAGTCGCAAGGTCCAGGATGAAAATCTGTGTCCCGCTAATAAGGTGGTCTGCCACCCATCACACTATCACCAACTTCGCCGAGATGATCCAGAAGGTTGGGCCCGAAAAGGACTCCTCGAGGCCTGGACTTTTGGTAGCGAAACGCCACCCTAGAACATCGTGCATTCTATTACTCTGGTGCTGAACCAGCTTCTCGTCCCTTACCTCGGTTCTTTCTCGAGAGCTGAGAATCATATGAACCCGCCGCTCGCATTTGGCGCCTCCAGAACTTCCCCCGCATCCCAACGCTTGCTAATTGATGCCGTCCGTTGCCGGCCAGTAAACGGGCCGGGCCAGGTCACTACCAAAGTAGGCAGGCCGGCAAGCCGGCGGCGGTACCTCGACGTGAACACTCCCCCAAGCTCGTCGAGCGCCCCCCTCCCCCTCCCCCCCCTTTGAAAGGGCGGCAGTGGCGCCGACCCACCGCTATCGCGCTACCCAATTCTGATCACGTCCAGATCGCCGCTGCGTCTCAGCTGGGCTACCTTACTGTTGAGAGACGTCGGCGACTATCGCTCACGGATCTGCATGCATAATTCTCCTCTGCACCGGCAGGTTTCTCTTCGCCTAGCTGCCTGAGCCTACGCACATCCTGCGGCCATATGTGCACACACACATACACGCGTACGCACACACGCACGCTCACCCCCAGACGTGGCTTTGGAGGGAACATGTGACGCCAGGTCGGGTAATGAGATGCCATCGAGTCCTTTTGACAATAGGGAAAAAATAACCGACAGACGGGACGGTGGCACGACTAGAACCGGTGTCTAACCCGACGAGATAACCGACAAGATTCGTCGTCTCCCTCCGAGAGGCCAACCCCCTCTCCCTCCCCGGTCTTCCCTACCAGCGCCTATGTAGATAGGTATGTACACGTATTTTACGACAGTAAAAAGGGAGGGGGGGTTATAAACACGCGGTTCACCTCAGCACCTCCCCCCCGTCGTCCCAAGCCGCCACACATGTCACTTATTACTACGGACGATGTAATATGATTAGAATTAAGGAGACCGAAACCTTGGAATTCGGCGCCTACAGGCCCTACCTGAGGCTGAGAGGATGGGGTAATATACACACACTTGGTATTGGACATGGGGCAAGGAAAGGGGGGGGGGGGGGGGTAAGGAATGATTATATGGCAGAGGGGGGTAGCCCCAAAATCCTTCTGCTCCTCGTCTCGATTTCCTAGCCGTTCAACCCGTTAATCACGAGGGCGGACGGGGAGGCCAGCACACGTCATGTGCGGAATCCGGACTTGTAAGTCGCTGAGCCGCCTATCAACTCTACCTTACCTCTGGAGGAGGGGTTGTGCCGCGTTTGCGCCTACGACGCCGAGAACCAGTATCGCCCTTATCTAGGTGCGTAGGAGGCTAGGCTAGGCATGTTATGTATACCGACCGATAGATAGACAGGCAGACGGGGCTGGCGTGGCACATTTGCTAGGTAGTACGATATCGAACAATTCCCCTCTCGGCCTCCATCATCCCATCCGCATCTTTTGGGTGTTCTTCTTGTCCCTATCCTGCTTCCCCTTCTTAAGTCCGAAGGCGCCGGGCATGGGGGCACACACACGCATTATTCGCTGCTGTTGTTGTCGCCACTCGCCTCTCCGAAGGCTGGATCTTGGTTTCCCTCGGCGACAATATGCGCGCGCACAGCATATGTCGATGGCGTAAAGGCGTTCAGAGCTCGTGTGCGTCCGTTCTAGCTTGTCGTGCCGCCCTTCTTTTGTTTCCTCGCTGCGGTTCGCGACCTCGTTCGAGAGGCTTTACGACAAGTGCACCACCGGGGGGGGGGGGAACAACCTTACCTACCTAGAGCTTAGAGTAGAGAGGTACAGAGGTACACATGTTTGTTGATAATACGCTCTCTCGCTTAGAAGATTCGCGATAAGCCAATCACGCGAGACCCACGAAGGTATTGGGTGACGGGCGGAGGCGCTAGAGAGGGTGGAGCGTGGGGACGGCACAGATTGATGCGATTGTGCATATAGTATACCTATAGGTAAGCATGTACCTGTGTGTGGACGGGTGTATGGGAGGGTACGTTTGTGGGTACCGGCAAACACAGGTAATGGTATGTTATATGCACATCAGTTTGAGCAATGCTAGGAGGAGGCACCTAAGGAGATGTGTTTTCCATCCGCCCATCGCATCGCGGTGCATAGGTACCTCCTACTCATAGGTACGCCCGCAACGCACCCAATGTGGCTCTCGCCTCGAGGACCCCTGGGAGTTGAACGCTAGGTTACGTTAGCAAGGAGGTCAGATACCGTACCTCCTCATGCACGTATGTACTTCTGTACGTGCCTCAGCCCTCGACGTTCCATTGCTTGGTAGAGGCAGGGCAGTTCCCCCCCCTCCCTGCTCTTACTATGTACATATGTACATGTGGTCTGGTATCCCCACACTGCCCTGCTCAACACCATCCACCATCCTGGAGGTCCATCCCATACATCCTTGCTGCGTGCTTTGGGATCATGGAGGCTGGCTTCGTCGATGAGGATGGGAGGGATGGAGGGGGAAGGATTTCCTCGCCGTCTTTTTGAAGCACCTCCCCCCCCCCCTCCTCGACTTTCAAACCCATCCCACCACCTGATTGCGTGGGCTACGCGACGTGCGTGTGCGTCCGGAAGAGAACGTGGAGGACGGGGGCACGTTCTACCTTGTTTCTGGTCTGGGTACCTGGCCGAAGTACCTACCTACCTCTACCTACCTCCGATCGGGAGATACGTGTAATATCTCATCTCGTACTCGTGTGGTTCCGAATGGTGTGCTCGCACCGCATATGTAGGCGTGCTCGCAGTTCACGTAGTACCTTGCGTATTAGAGCAAGGCCCTTCTCTCGTCGAGCGTGGAGAGGGCTCGCACGAGACCGCTCCGCTCCCTACGGACCTAGCTAGCCTGCCTGCGTAGGGGCGGATAGCGATAGCGGTATGCGCGCCTGGACGAGCTCGTCTTACCTGACACCCCCCCGGCCGACCTGCTACGTGGTTGGTCTGCGGTTCGAGGTCGCGGCGCATCGTTCTACCAACACCAGACTGATCGTACTTCACACACGTGTGTCGATATGGGTGCTAAGTTAGTACCTATCCCAGTCTGGTACCAAGGAGTGGATGTTTCCTTGGGATTTAGAGATAGGCTGGTAGGTAGGGTATATATATAGACTAGGTTGGTACCAGCTACGCGGTATGGCCACCCATTAGCGAATGCCTGTACCTAGCGACACCACCACCGGTCCCTGTCTCCATTTGCACTATGCCCGCCGGCCTTCGTGTTTCTCACGCTGTTTCTTTTCTTCTTTTTTTTCTTCTCTTCCTCTCCCTCTTCTTTTTCGTTTTCTTTTTCGCTAATACAGGGCACACGTACCCACCTAGGCAATGCATATGCGCTCGTGGATTAGGAGGTATGTTGCCGTGCATTTGTCGTTGATTGATCTCCGGCGAGGATGTAGGCGGTAGATCCTAGGTACACCTCCCCTTAGGAACCCTTCTTATAGCGCCAAGCGAGACAACAGGCTGCGTACCAGACGTCTATTTGCCCATCTAGGTACCTAACCTTACGTATGGGCTACGTAGTGGGTGGTGCATCCCCCTGCCAGATCCCTCCAACTGCATCTTCCCACTTCTTGGGGTGGAGCCCGTCCGGTCCCTCTCCCTCTTCTCCTCTGTAACTGGTGAGACGACGACGGCCTATCCTGGCGTCCTGGCGATATCGCAGTGGACCCAGCATACGAGCGCGAGGCAGGTCTAGGTAGGTAACCGCTACCTGGTCTCTTTATCGCCGTCAAGTACCCGGACCCCGAGCTGGCCGGCGACGGCGCGCTCTCTTTCCCCCGTCCAGGGTACACGATAGCAGGCCCTGCGCAGGGCGGACGGAGGTATGCGGTACCTACATGGCTAGGTATGCGGTACGTACCTACCTAGATATATGAGCAGGTACGTAGGATGGATGCCAGCGCTATCTACCTCCGTGGTTTCCACGCGTAGGTACCTACTTCCTAATATCATGTTGTTTCCAGTCTGCTCCGGAGGAGGAGCACTACAGCGGTCCCTGCCCTGCCCTCTCGATCGCCAGCTCCCGGTCTGCCCAGCCCCAATCGCTATGGTACTGGTCGTCTACCCCATGTCTCCCCATGCTAACGGGCGTGGAAGCCGTGCGGTACCTATGCTCGTATGTAAGTGTGTATATGTAAGTATGTACATGTGTCTGTCCGTATCCTTGGGTTCTCCCGTGCCCTCCCTGCTCCGCTGCTACCATAACTACACCTCTCTCTCTCTCCTCTGTCCTCCTCGGGCGGCCTGTCTATCTCGCCGTCTACTCTCTCTCTCTCTCCGCTACCACAGACGCGAAATCCCCCTACGATGTGTAGTCTATCGCTCTTCGTGTCACATCTCCCGCTCTCCCGACGCTGTTATCATCGCATTGTCCATGCATCAGGGAAACTCGACGCTCGTGTTACCAGCCAGGGATCGCAGAACGCTTGTCCAGCTTCGTGACTGGACGCTGATGATAAAGCTTTTGTTGAGCTATCTGAGTTGGCTGCTCCTACGCCGTGTTTTGGCCTGCTCTGAATCGATAGACAGCGCTCACGTAACACTGTCAACTTGGATTTTAACGCGAAGGCAGAGAGGAGTGGCAGGGCCGAGTCAGCTCCGGCAGGGGAGGAGAAGAAGAAGAGCGAAAAGTTCTCGGCATTCCCATGCTCCGGCCGGAAAACTAACTCTACGTCTCGTCTCCCGCGCCGCCGCAACTCTCGTTAGTTCACCCGCGGTCAGTGTCGTCTGAAGGCGACCTCCCGCTCCCCGCTCGTCCCCTCTGCGGAGGTTGACGGGCGTGGCTAAGTCTGAGGAAGGGACAAGATGTCCCTGTACTCGCCGCCGCCGCCGCTTCGCACTAGCGATCAGGACAAGCCAACCTTGCTGGTTTGCTGGTGGATCACCCTGTTCTGCATCACGATAATCTTGTTCCGCGTCGCCGGCCGATTCATCCGATCCGAGAAGCTCTTTAGAGAAGACAAGATAGCGGCGCTGGCTATCGTCCCGCTGTGTCTCCGCATGGGATGCGTCCATATTATCCTCCTCTACGGCACCAACAATGCCCAATTCGCCGAGCTGACCCACGATGAGTTGCGTACGAAGTCTATCGCCAGCGGTTTAGTTCTGGCTAGTCGGGTTCTCTACGCGGCAACGTATGTGGTATCTTGTTCCTCCGAAGTCCTCGGGCTCCCTCGCGCGTGGCTGCTCTGGTCTATGGGCGTTTTATGGGACCTTTCGAGGCCGACTCTCACCACTAGGAAATGCTAACTTTCTCACGTCCAAAGGCTCTGGATTCTCAAGTTCGCCATTCTCGACTTTTTCAAACGTCTGACAAGTATCACCTGGAGACGTTCGCACGAAATCACTTTGGCCTTCATACAAGGTACTCTGGTCGCGACATTCGTGGCCATCCTCATCGCAGATTTAGCAGAGTGCCAGCCGTTTGAGCACTACTGGCAGGTTATGCCCGACCCCGGCGGCCAATGCCGTCAGGGGTACGCCCAACTTCTTACGATGGCGACGTGTAATATCGTAACCGATCTCCTCCTCGTCTTCTATCCAGTTCCGATCATACTCACAAGCCACATGAGCACCAAGAAAAAGCTGCAGCTCACCTCGCTGTTTTCGATAAGTTTGACCGTGGTAGCAACCACGGGGTATCGGGTCCCGGCGATAATTCGTCAAGATGGAAGCCAGCAGATTCGCTCCTTGCTGGCTTCGGTTGAACTCCTGTTCGCAACCGCCGCTGCGAATACCCTGGTACTTGGGTCCTTCGTCCGGGATCGCGGCGTAAAGAAAACCAAGTACAGGCATAACTCTATTGCCGCCGAATCCACCGATCGGGGATCCGAGCTTAGGCCCACGCTCCATAGGCGTTGGGGCAGCGACGAAGACCTCGTGAGAGACTTGGGACTGAGCGTGGACCGCGAGCTCCGCAGTACTATGCAGATCCGGAACGAAGGCGACAAGCTTCCTAAACCAGCGGCGGCTATAGACCACTGGCAGTTCCCCCTCCGCGTCCCTAGTTCTGCCGCGCGAAGCGACGATTCTCTCCTCCCTAGTGACCAGTTCGGGGTATCACGAAGCAACTCGACTCTTACCGCCCGCAGAGTCTCTTTCTTCGACGTGGGCGGGCTGCTAGACAGCGAGCCGTCTCAAAGCGTACGAGAGAGCTATAACTCGAGCTTCGAGCCATCCTCCGCGACCCCCCCTTCGCCCGTTATGCAAGCGCCCCCTAGCGGTCTCCGACGTGGTTCTCAGTTGCTACTGCAAGATCTAGGTGGTCTTCTCGCCCCCTTCGGTTCCCGGCAACCCCGCTCCAGCTCTAGAAACGGGATCGAACTAGAGCCTATACCACAACACCCCGGAGAAACATTCGTCGAACCTGGCAAGAGCCCTGATACGCCAGTCCTTACGGACGCTAGAGAGTTAGCGAAGTGACGCCGCTAATCTGTCACAAAAATGGATCTCATTATCATCATCACTGTCACCGTTATACCTTATACCTCTATTCTATCTCCAGAGAACCAACTTTTTCTTGCCATGACGTTTACCGGCGCCGGTATCCGGAGCCTTCTTCCACGCGCGGTGTACGAATAACACACACATATATACGATGATGCTTTGAAGACGATACGAAATCGGGGAGATACCCAGTTTGGGCGTTTGGACGTTTCGGTTTGGTTTTTCAACAACCCGGGGATGGAAAATCGGACCCGATACTGGGTAGCATGGGCGTTTTTTTCGGGAACTGTTTACCTGTTCTAGGGGGAAGAAAAGGGGGCATTTACCGTGGCCAACGGAAATACGGCGCAATATGGGCCACGCTCATGGACACATTCACCAACGGGATTGGGACGGACAGGTATTACAGTGTGGGCAGACATCAAAATCAGGGGTGCCCGGAGGTGTCCCGGATAAAAGGGGGGACTTTCACCGGAGGGACCTTTATCAGCTAGACCTTGGCGTCATATCAGCGCCGGGGCTAGCCCCAGGTTCTTTTTTTCGAGTTCTCGTCCGTCGTCTAATTATCCCCTCATACCCTCTTCTTTCACGTTTGTCTTCTCAGCATCTACCGCGGCTGGAACATATACATAATACCCCTTGGGCGACGGAGCTGCCTTCTACTCTTCTTGATGTCTGTACTATCTTCTACTTCTTACCCGCCGCCTGTTACGAACTTTATTATGCTTACAATTCTTGCCGTCGGTCTATAACCTTTTCTTTTTTAATTTATTTAGTAAATACCGGAGTTTTCTGTCACAGAAGTACGAAGTAGATCTCTGGGACCTCGCGAGTGGTTTTCATCTTGGGAATTAGAGCTCTCGGGGAGCAGAGGATCTTAGATACCAGAGAGGCTGAGGGAAAGAGGGAGGGAGAGAGAAGAAGAGGAGGAGGGGGGGAAGGAGAAAAGACAGGAGACGAGAATGCAGAGGAAGAAATGTATATGTAATTACCCGCAGTTGACTTGTCTATCGACCAGTTTACCTGTGTTATTGTTGTGCCTGCTTTGCGCCGAGCCCAGCTGTTCCGACAGAGCGATTTCGAATGATTAGGGGCTATAGGATTCCAAGCGTTGTCTAGTCCGGTCCTCTTCCCTCCCCCCGTTCCCCGCTATCGAGGTCTGCCTGGCCGAGATAAACCGCAATCTACAGCTCAGCTCTGTCAAAAGGATAGGCGGGAGGGGGGAGGGGAAGGGATCCGCTCATTGGCTGGCCTCTCTCTCTTCTAGGACTGTCTTCACTACAGTAAGTCAAGGGCAGCAGCCGCTCCTGATGTCGCCCCCCCCCTCTAGGCCGGGGCCAGATGGGGGTAGTATAGGATAGGGACACAGGATAGGGTAAGATCGAAGCCTTCTCCTCCTCCTCCTTAAAAAAAAAACGCCACCCCCTCACCATCACTGCTATCAGGCTGCCGTCGGTAGCCGTAGGCCGCGGGCGTTGCCGCCATTGCGGGCGCCGCCGCGTCGCCCTCGCGTCGCCTACGCTCCTTCCCCTTCGGTGCAGCCCAGGTATGGCGTCAATCAGGGGGGACGCGCGGGGGTTGAGCGTGGGTGTGGGGGGGGGGGGAGGCAGCAGGGCGGGCGGGCGGAATTCCGAGCGTGCGAGAGCTAGGTATACGTTTGTGTGTGTACTATAGGGGGGAGGAGGGGAGGGGGAGGTTGGACTTTGCCAACGTCGGGTCATCGTGCTCGGCGTGGTTGGCGGCCCGGCCGATACGACGATGGGCGACGGGGGGCGGATTCGCGTTCCCGCGCTCGTCGTCGCGTTCCCAACGCCACCCCCACCCCACGTCTGCGTGCGAGAAGGCGGGACGTCGGCGCCGGCGGTGACGGTGGCTATAAGTAAGACACGAGGGATACAGGCCGAGCGAGCGAGCGGACGGTAAAAAAACGTGGTGCATTGAAGTCTGAGCCTGGTATGTACAGGCCTAATCGCGTAGGCACGCGTGCGGTCAGAGCAGAGCATGGGGCCCCGGCTATCGAGACGCTGCGGATCGGAAATGAAAAAATTTTTAAGAAAACCCCCCCCAAGTTACGGCCTGTGGCTCACGCACCCGCCCCCGAGGAGCCGCCGCGTGTCGCACACTTGCCGTCTCTCTCTGCTTCCCGCACGGTGGCCCGATGCCGTCGCGTGCCCGGCCCGGAAGAGGGGGCGGGCGAGAAGAATGTCCGAGAGAGTGAATTTGTTTTATTGGTCGAGACCACACCGAACTAAATGGTGTGGATGATGATGATGATGATGATATGATATTAGGACGAGGACGAGGACAGAATCAAATTACCTATAACATTTATATGCGGACCACGCTAACGCCACCCCTGCCTGCCCGGAATCAACCATGTCATGCTCATAGACGCCAGCCTTGGTTTCTTCGTCTTGTTTCTATGCAAATCTTTTTCGTTTCCCCCCTCTGCTGCGCCGGGGGCCTGGAAGAGGGCCGGGGAGGATGGACCTGGGTAGGTCACGACGTGAGAGCGACCGCTCTCGTGAAGACAGAGAAAGAGCCTACACGCAGAGTCTGTAACTCGCGTACCGGCCGGCGGTTTCGCTCTTCCGGATGATCTTGACGATCTGGCCACGCTTCATGCCGAAGTACTTTGCGACCGGGTCCTTCTGGAGGATGCGGGGGAGCTGGGTCTCCTTGAGGCGGTAGCGCTTGAGCAGGGCCGCCTTCTCCTCGCGGCTGAGGACGACGTGGCGGGGGACGAGCTCGTGGTGGGTGATGTTGATGAGGAGGTCCTCCTCGAGGAACCACTCGATCGAGGTCCACTGGGCGAACTTGGCGATCTCCTTCTTGGCCGACGCGGACACGGCCACGTGCGAGACGAGGATGCCGGTCCGGTGGTGCTCGTGCGCGCAGAAGCGGCCGAACTTGCGCATCTGCTCGGCGCCGAGCGACTCCTCGTCGAGGAACTCGACCCAGACCGTGCCCACGTCCGCCTGCGGCTCCGGGTTCGCCGCCGTCGCCGGCGGCGTGAACTTGTTGATCATCTCGGGGCTCGGCCGCGCCGAGAACTTCATCTTGGAGCGTCTGCCCAGCCCGGACGATTAGCCGTCTCTCCTCCGGCGGAGAGAGGGGGAGGGGGAGGGGAAAGGGGAGGAAGGGGCCTTGTCGCGTTCTCGGGGGCGGGGGAGAGGAGGGAGGACGTACACGACGCTGCCGTCGATGTTGCAGTACTGCATCTTGAAGGAGTCGAGCGAGATCCTGACCTCGCTCTCGGCAAGCTCGTAGCCCTATTCGCAACCGCGCGTCAGCACGCGTCCACCAAGACTCTTTACGTTTCTTCTCCCTCCGCGCTCGCTGCCCTGGCACGTTCGCCGAAGCTCGCGCACGGTCGTGCGACATCGGTGGCGGTGTCTCACCCGGTCCTGGACCATCTCATGTACGGTCCTCCATGCTCGCCACGTCTTGACCACGATCTTCTCGGCAGCCTCGTTGATTGGCGAGTCGGAATCTGCCATCGCGAAAGGAATGATGCGCGCGCGCGCTCTGACTGAGGGGGGCCGGGGCCGGAGGGAGGATGGAACGTCTCGAGGCTTCGCGGAGCTGGCAGGAGGAGGGTTTGTCTATCGCGATCTGGGGGGAGTAGGATTGGTCGTCGAGAATGTGTGGTGGAGTTGGGACAATGGATGGGTTCGAGACGGGAATGAATGGATGAAAGAGGAATGGGAGGCTTTCCCATGGGTCAGTCAGTCTCTCAGCCTTGTGCTCGGAGGAAGAAGAAAAAAATCCCAAGGCAGGATGTACTTTGTACCTTTCCAGTAATACACATATATATGCATATGTGTATATATGCATGTACCTATATAGCTACGAAGTTCCCCTATTAGGTAAGTACCACAGGCACCTTATGGCAAGGTAGTACCTGACTATCAGTGCATTGGTGGTGCGACCCACCCAGCAGGTGGCTTACATTAGGGAAGCTGCATAGTGTCGCTCGGGTACATGCTGTCTACCAATCTGTACTTTCGGCAGAAGTTCGGCAGGCGAGCTCCGAGCCGCCATACGCACTACGTAGCATATATCTAGGTACCTATATTGGTACCGTGACGGTAGCGTGGCTGTCCGTTCAATTTTGTGTGCGCGCCGGTCGGTGCACGAGCCAGGAACCATAGAATGGGAAAAATTAACGGCGCCGGCGGGAACTGGATAATGAGGTCTGAATCTGAACAAATGCAACGATGAGTTGGGGCCAGCCATTCCCTCCCAGCTTTTCCCTCTGTTAAATCTGCCGGCTTGACGCTATCTATTATCGCTTGGCCATAGTAGAGAGAGAATTGGCCTCCTCTCCCTTCCCTGCTCTCTTGGCTAATCGCTCGGGAGTCCGTGGCAGATTTGGCTTCTCTTCTTCACCCTCTCTCTCTGCAGCTGCGCACATCCACGTCACGTCCAGCGTCCTTTTTCTCTCTTCTTCTTACCTTCTCTCCCAGTTGGCCTGCTGCCGTCCGCCAATTGCGTGGCCGACTTGTCCTCATTGCCATCGTAGCCTATACCAAGGAGCACAGGCTACCTTAACCTGCTGGAACCATGGCCGAAGTTGCTACCACATCCACTCCTACCGCTGCGGCTGGGGAGAAGAAGAGGCCAGAGAAGCCCAATCTCGAACGCTTCAATGAGGAATCCGAAAAGGCCGAGAAGGAATACCAGGAATCCTTGGCTAGATATGTAGGCTTGCGCATCCTGGCCCTTCTGATAGCACTCCCGCGGGGGGCACATACCGGGGGCGCGTGCACAAAAGATTTGACTGACACAGAGTGGTGAATCTAGAATGCTGTGAAGCAGGAAGTCGAGCTCGCTGCCCCGAGCAAGAACAAGGACACCCAGAACCCTCTCCAGAAGCGCCGCCAGGAGCTCATTGCGCAATTAAACGAAATCCGCCAAAAACAAGGTGCCGGCAAGAACTCACGCAGCTCCAGACAAGACCAGATTAAACGCCTCGATGAGCAGTTGCGCTCCCGAATGGCTGAACAGAAGGGCGCCCGCGCCAAGGTCCAGTTCAAGAGCGTAGAGGACCTCGACCAGGAGATTGAACGCCTCGAAAAGCAAGTGAATGGGGGCCTCATGAAGATTGTGGACGAAAAGAAGACCCTGACCGAGATTTCCAACCTCCGCAAGCTGCGCAAGAACTTTGCCCAATTTGATACTGCTCAGAAGGAGATCGACGAGATCAGGGCTAAGATCAAGGAGATCAAGGATAGCATAGATGACCCCGAGGCTCGAGCGCTCAGCGAGCAGTATAACCAGATCCAGGCCGAACTCGACACCATCAAGGCCCAGCAAGACGAAGCTTTCAAGAATCTGAACGAGCTGCGCGACAAGCGAACCAGGCTGCAGGCCGAGCAACAGGAGAAGTTTCTTGCTCTGCGTAAAATTAAGGATGATTACTATAGCGCTAAGAAGGCTTACTCCGAGTTCGAGCGCGAGGCCCGCCAGCGACTCCGTGAGCGACAGAAGGCGGAGCGAGAGCGCTTCGAGAAGGAGAAGAAGAAGGAGCGCGCGCAGAAGATTCTGGAGGACGCCAGCGACCTTGCCTACCTCGAGGAAATCCGCAGGGCCAACGGTGTGCTCCGCTACCTCGACCCGGCCACCGCCCCGACCGAAAAGGCGCCCCTCTTGGCAGACAGCGGCCTGGGCGCCCAGGCTTCGCGCAAGGTCGACGACAGTGGCCTGAAGGGCACTAGGCTAGTGCGTAAGGAGGACCGCGAAGATGATTACCTCCCGGCCGTGAAGAAGGGCAAGAAGGGCAAGAAGGGTGGTTCCGCCGCCAGCGGCACTACCGAGAAGGGATTCAGGTGCCCCCCCTCAGTCATAGACGACTGCACCTTCTTGGGCGTCGATCCGCCTATGACTGCAGCCGATGTTCCGGCGACGATCGAGAAGGTCAAAGCCAAGTTGGACCACTGGAAGTCGGACCAGAAAGCCCAGACTCAACGAGTAAGCAACAACCACGCATTTTTTTTTCTTAGAGAACACCAGTGCTAATATGGCGATCCTCTATAGAATATCGACAAGGCCAAAAAGGAGATCGAGAAGCTAGAGGCCGAAGAGGCTGCCGAGGCTTCGGGCACAGCCACCCCTAACGGCGCTGCTGATGACAAGAAGGCCGATGATAAAGTGGAGGCTGTGACGTCGGACCTAAAGGAGGCGTCGCTCGAAGAGAAAGCGGAATGAAGCCTTCTCAGACCCCAAACCCCCTTTTCCTCCCCACCGTCGTCGAGGGGAAGTATGGGGGCAACCTAGGATCGGCGAGAGTTAAAAAATTCGAAATCTAGGTACTCCCGGTTGCCTCCGATTCGACTATTTCTTATAAAAGAAACCGAAAAAAAAAGAATGGACTAATTTCTTGGGGGGTTGGGGATACGAAGGAGAAAAAAGCTCGAAGGGTACAATCGAGATCCGAACTCAAGTCCTTTTTTTCTTGCCGCTTTCACGACAGCCAATACCCGGCATTGAACGTATGTTGCTGCCCATATATCTCATTTTCTCCTCTTATTCCCCGGCTCATCCGGCTGTATGTTAAGGATACGGAGCGTGGCGGGTCTCCTCAACCGGTTGGCATCTGGCTTGTCGTTATATAAGCATGTGATGGGTATACAGAAAATATACACAAGAAGGAATGGAGAGTAAGAAAGCGGGCGAGACAGTCAGCTGTTGCTAGCAGACTTGGTAGACGATACTAGCTGTTGATGAAAGAGGAGCTTGCTTGTTTTGAACTACATATTCCATCCCCCTTTACGTCCGTGACGCGCAAACTGTCTATAATCAAACTGACATACGTAATCCCCAGCCAGTTCCGTTTGGTAGGGAGGTAGGAAGAGAGAAAGGGGGGGTGTATATCTACCGTCCTGTGCCATGCCGTGCTGTCCTGTCCCGAGCCGAGGCAGTCCACCCCCCCTCTCCTTTTCTCTCGTCTACTTCGCGATCCGCGATCCGCGATCCGCGTGTCCGCGTGCTCGGGTACTTGTTGCTTATCGACCATGTTTTTTTTTCGGTCTGGACGGGGTTGATGATTCGTCGCTTTGGCTGCTGTCCCTCTCGCCTGTTTCTCCATTCCCATCCTCCTCCTCCACGCTCCCCCCCCCCCTCTCTCCCTCTATCCGTCGACGCATCCCCTTCCGCCGGAACTCCTTCTTCTGTCTGCCTCTCCCCGTTGTGGAGAGGCAAGGCGTGTGCGTACGTGCATACATACGCACATATATACGCATACACATACCTACATATACGCGCACATAGGTACATCCATACATATATAATATGCCCATATATAGGTACCTAGCCGTACGCGTGCATTTGGGCATTGCTTCCAGTCCTGCCCATAGGTACATATCTATCGAACGGACGTGCCTACATACCTTACCTGCCCGTCTGTCTGTCTGACTGGCCTGGCTGACCAGGTGCCCGTCCATCTGTCCACCCGCCTGCGTGTCTCGGGAGATTGGGCTCGATTGGGCCGGTCTCGCACGGGAATGCACAGATATATAGGTGGGCAGTTGGGGAGAGCTAGAGGAAGAGAGAGAGAGAGAGAGAGAGAGAGAGAGAGAGAGAGAGAGAGAGAGAGAGAGAGAGAGAGAGAGAGAGAGAGAGAGAGAGAGAGAGAGAGAGAGAGAGAGAGAGAGAGAGAATGCTTGCCTCCCTACTGACTGACTGTCTGCCTGCCTGTCTGCCTGACGGGATTCCTTACTGACTAATAGGCGGATAGAGAGGGGGGAGAGGGGATGGATGGGGTGGAATGGAATGGGTGTGTCGACGGACGAACGGTGGCCCGCTGACGACTGCATATCCCCGTCGTCGGCGGCAGTTGGGAGGAGGGGCGCCATCGAAGATAAGTTGGCCGAACCACGATCCCCCTCCCCCTCCCCCAAGCCAACCCCTGTCGTCGTTGTGGCTCTTGACATCATCGTCGCCATCGACATCGTATGCTCTGCTCCTGCCCTCCGCTCCCGAAACTGTGGGTTGGGCTGCCTGCGTCGGATGTGATGCTCCCCGTCGGTCGGTCAGTCCAGTCCAGTCAGCCTAGCTTATTATGCCCGTGTCGGACGGACGAGGGGAGGGGGCCAGGAGAAGGAGAGAGTGAGAGAGAGAGAATGAGAGAGAAACGACGGCAGGTAAGTGTGTGCTCGCATGCCGAAGTAGCCTAGCCTGGTAGCCGAAGTGAGACAGGGAGGGATAGAGAGAGAGAGAGAGAGAGAGAGGGAAGAGGAGAGGAGTAGAGCCCTACCGCTGCCACACCTAAAACGTGCGTCTGTCTCTGCATGCTCCCCGACTGGCCTACCGACAACACGTATCTATCATCTATCCCCTCCTCCACCCTCCCCTCGGAAGCAGATGTGCCAATGGCTAGCTAGGTGACCTGGCCCAGCGAAGTCGACGAGCGGCGCGGCGCGCAGGCAGACGGGTGCAGACGCGGCTCGTTCGTGCCTATCCTGCCCGTCCGCCATCCCCGTCCGCCATCCCCCATACGAGAGCGGGCGACCCGGCCACGGGAGAGGCAGATGCGTCGCTCGGCCAGACTGTCTAGACCTCCTGCCCTCCCCTTCCTCTCGCTCGCTCTCCATCGGCACTAGTACTAGAGACACCAGCGGCAGCGGCAGCAGCAGCAGCAGCAGCTTCTAGGCCCTCGCTGCTCGCCGCCCGCAGGCCCTCCCCCCGCCGCGCACTGATCCGCCGCGATCTACGCGCTTGCGTGCTGACCTCGGACCTCCTCCCTCTGCGCCACGGCGCTGCGCGCGCGCGCGCGTGCTCAGGGTGCTGCCGTCCCATCTCTCTCTCTCTTTTTTTTCTCTCTCTTTTCGCTTCTCCCCCCCTTCCTCCCCTCCCACGTAAGCACTCATTCTCCTTCTCGCCCCCCCCCCCTTTTTTTTTCCTCCCTACCCCCCCCCTCTGTCTCCAATCGCGGCACGGTCCGCGCTTGTTCTTGCACTTGGGGGGGGAGAAAAAAAAAGAAAAGGAATTGGATTAAAAAGAAATAGATAAAATAGGTGCGTAGGTCTACAGGTTACCTACCCCCCGCCGGCCGTACCAGCTTCTGTGCTCGCTCGCCAGTTCCGCCCGTCTACGTGTCAGCCTAGTCGCCATAGGCGGACGGGATGGGGAAAAGGGGGGAGGGAGGAGAGGACGACGACGAGACAGGCAAGACGCGTGACTCGCTCGCGGGGCGCGGGAAGCTACAGTACGGGCTTGCTTTTTACTTATTTATTTAATTTCCTCTCGGTTTAATTCTTTTTTCTTTTTTTTTTTTCCGGTAAGAACAAACAGCTGGCGTCCGTTTGTTGATGGCGCCGCGGCGTCTTATCCCGCATAGACACGACGGTCTGCCTTACCTACATGGACCGGTAGGCTGCTAGGGAAGCCCGTACGTGACGCGAGGCGTCAAAACAACAGGTAGGTGTGCACATGCGTGTCTCATGCGTATGCGCGTATGTAGTGTGTATCCGGAAATTAGGAGGTGGCGGAAGGGCTCGCGAGTGAGTGAACGGGCGAGAAAGCAATTAATCGATCGATCAATCAAAACAGAGGGTTTCTATCAACACGTAGCTTCGACTGGCTTGACTGGCGACTTTCTTAAGAGACACACGTTAGGTATCGCTCACACTACCCCCCTTTGCTTCCTTTCCCCCCCTCCCCTCGCTCTCCTTCGCCTCGCGTGAACCGGTCCCCCGGCACCTAGTCAGGTAGATAGATAGGTAGGTATGGACAACACGACATAGAAGAGAATAGTTACACTGAAAGCAAGCAACAAATTGCCTGACCCTGCCCGCGTCCCTAATATTCCTTAGCACTCCATACGCCTAAAAAAATAAATATACTTCTCCCCGGGAGCAAGAGGTGTAATACTCTCCTCCCCTCTCCCCCCGCCCCGTCTCGGACGGATCCGAGCTCCCTAGAGGGAGAGGGAGCGAATTGAGTGGCCCTTAGGGTTTTTTTTTTCCTTTGCTCTAGAAAGATCTAGAAAGTCAATTTTCCAATGGAAACAAAGCGAAGATGTGTTGGATCGGGAACATTTCCAGTAAGAGCAGTTGTCTCGCCGCTATGCAGAAAAGGTGTCGTTACCCGGGATATGTTTCTCTTCTTTCCCCTTCTCCCCACCCATGCAGTGAATACGCTGATCATAGTATGCGCTCGTGGTCTCGTAAATGGGGTTATTTCTCTTGCGAATTACTCATGAAAATAAACCTTGTGTGTGTAATATATTGTTGCCGTGATCCCATCTTTCAAGGTCTCATGTGGCAGTACTTGTGGCACCTGTAGTGGTGGCGGCGGCGGCGGCGGCGGTAGTTATTGGTATTCATTAGGTGGTTAGAGGAACGGGGCCGCGGACCACTTCCCTAGGCCGCTTCAGTAGCTGAAGTAGGCAGTGCCCGGTGGCGGCGCCGTCGGAGGTCGGTAAGAAGAGTGCCTTCGGCTATTAGCCGGGGGTGCGAGCGGGTTCGCGACCGGTCCCGGTCCCGGGGTCCTCCGGTCCATGATCGGCGGCGGAGGCGTTCTCCGGGCTAGGGGGTTCCTTTCCCTCTCTTGGAAGCTCTCGTTTGCTAGCGTCGCCGTCGACGTGCCTCGCCTGTTGATCTTTCGTGACCCGCTCAGGGCACTCAGAGGAGGATCCTTAACCGCGGAATCGTCGTCGCGCGGCAGCGTCAGCTCGACTAGGCTGTAGAAATACTCCAGCACCTCGGGGTATCGCTGCACGCTCGACTGCCAATCCTCGTCGATTCCTCGCTTCAGCGTTGATTGGGCCGCTGCGATATCGTTTGGGTTCGGAGGGGCGGAGTAGTAGTGGAAGGCATGGGCCGTTAGCCGTTCCATATGAGCCTGATGTGCGGCTTTGCGTCGTTCGCTGAGTAGACGGAAATACTCAAGGATGTAGTCTTGGGCGTGTGCCCGGACCCACGAGCTAGTTCAGTTTAGCAAGCCGCCAACGCTAGGTCGAAGTAGCTAGCACCTCCTAATCACGCTCCCAGGGGGAGAAGAGAGGGGCGAGGAGAGGAGGAAGGGCAGCAAAGCACCAGGGTCTTACCGGATGTCGCTGTATACCGCGGCCATCATGCGGTTCTCCGCTTGCTCGACGGCGATCTCGAGCCCCTTAGCCTCGCAATCGCAGGCGAGATTGGCAGGGGCATGGCAGATGGCACAGTTCGGGTCCATTCTGATGACGGACTTGCGGGGTTTATATTCTCTGGAATACATCTTAGCGGTGTGAAGCCGATGGCGGCGGAGAGGAGGGCCGGAAGATGGGAAGGGTGCACATGGGCGGAGGCAGAGTAGAGTATAGCTTCAATGTGGCACGGCGTCGTTCACTTGATGACCCGAGAGGGTCCATGGCGCGAAGGGAGGGGGGAGGAAGTAGAAGAAGGGAGAAACAGGACGGGGTAGGGTACGAGGGGGGAGAAAGGTGAGACTGACCTGTATTATGAACAACGAGAACTGCAGCCAGAACGAGACAACACACAGCTGGCTTGACAATGGGCAGAGTCACAGCAGACGACGTGGGAGCCCAGAGAGGGGGGTGGGAAGGTGGCCGACAAGGAATAGCAGTCAATGGCTAACGCAGAAAGTCGCCTGCAGGAAGCCAAAGCTGACCGCCCTGTTGAACGCCGCGAAGGTCAATCGAGGGCAGCAAATAAGGGTGTGAGTTGGGGGGGAGGGAGGTTTGCGTGCCGATGTGGCCGGAATCATGGGAGAGCTAAGATACGGCAGGAAATGGAGCGTGGGGAACGCGGAGAGGGAGAGAGCGCGCGAGGGCGAGAGAGAGGGCAAGCCTGAGAGACACAGATGGGAGGAGGCGAGCAGCAGAAGTCGGTAGACCAAGGCCGCTATGCTATGCAGACGGGGGTAAGGGTCGAGGAATAGAGAGAGGGAGAGAGACGCAGCGAGTTGCGTGCTTTCGTGTGCCTGGCAAGAGAGAGAGAGAGAGAAGAGAGAGTAGCAGCAGCAGCTATGTACTCTCTCTATTTCTCTGGGGGGCTTCTTGTCTCTCGTCTCGCAGAGCCTGCAGCACCGAGACCCCACACGAACGCCAATCGAGAGACGGGGGGGGGACAGAGACAGATAGACAGACGAGAGGAGCAGGGTACAAGTTAAGTACCACTGCCCAGCGCGGCCCAAAGACCAAGCCTTAGCGAAGAGGGCTTAGGGGGAAGCGGGAAGAGGGAAGAGGGTAGCGGAGTGGAGGTAGAGAGAGAGAGATAGAGACAGAGATAGAGATAGAGAGGGGGTTAGTGGTGCAAGAGAGGGAGAGGGAGAGGGAGAGAGTGTAGAGAGTTGCGTGTCCACGTTTGGCCACAAAAGAGGAAATTTGGATGTCGTGGCTCGAATGGGCGGCAGGATTACTAGTAGCATGCAGTGTGCATGAGGGTAACCCAATTAAGAATTTGCATAATCCAGCCGGTCTGCTGTTGTTGCAACGGGCCAGTAATCTCTCACCCGCGATGATATTGGGAGCAACGCTTCAAGTGTGCCATAGGGGATGGTGCGTGTGGCATGTACAAAAGGACGAGGGTGTTCCTCTGCTTCTCCCAGCCCCTCGAGGGAAAGGAGAGAAAAGGGAACCGGCGAGGGATACGGACGGACCGGGGCAGCAAGTAAAGGTCGCAATGACAACAGCAACAGCAACCAGACGAGATATACACAGAGAGGCCCAGATGCTTGTCTGCTTATGTGTACGTATGGGCGTAGGGGTAAGTATATATAAGTTGTGTGTTAAAGGTGTGCGTCTCTTGAGTGCGTACTGGAACGGGGTTTGTGGGTGGGTGGTGAGTGTAAGTGAGAGCGCGCGAGAGAGGAAAAGTGAGAAATTACGGCAACATACCTACCTACGAGAGAGAGAACCCGGAGACGGGCAGAGAAAGAGGAGAAGCAAAAATTCTCAGTCGAAGACGAGAGATCGGCAGAGAGGAAGAGAGAGGAAAGCCCGGGATTCTATGTAGGTTATGTATAATATGTGTCTCGGAGATAGTATGGACCTACTACTTTTCTCTCTACTAAGAGGTGACGGGACGAGACGTGTGTGGTAGTGTGGTAATGTAGGAATAGAAGAAGGGAGAGGGGATCGGCAACGAGGAGTTGAAAAAAAAGAGAGAATGTATAGAGAGGGCAGGCTAAGGCGGAGAAGAAGAGAGACGGCGGGAAGAGAGGAGAAGCGAGGCGCGAATGGCCGTGACAAACAGAAAGAGACCAGCGAGAGGGTGTCAGAGCTGCGATGCGATGGGCTCCGGCTCCATCGAACACATCAGGGCCGGTCCCGCATGGAAAGACCTGGTTGAGGCTCCCCGACGCCCATTTGCCTGCCTACCAAGGTCGAGAGGCCGCGATTGGCAAGGCGACTCGACGTGTGCGAGGGATTGCATGCGGTCTCTCTCTGAGACGTGATGCTTCCCCATCCCCGCCATCCCTGCCACCCTCGTACCGTACACTCATACATATCATGTGTGTATGTATGTATGTAGGTATGTACGTACTCGCTCACCCTGCTCTGATCTGGCGTCTGATCTGGCGTCGATTTTTCTCACCGCCTTCTGCCGACCGGCCCTCATTCGGGCGCCTGTAGCGGCTTCTCGACGCCTCGTCTCCGTCCGCGGCCAACTGGCGTCTGGCCCCCGTCCAACCCAAGCCAGCCACTCGGTCGAGAGGGGAGCCAAATGAGCAGAGGCTGGCCAAAGCCCGATCGCTAAGATCGTTCGGCGACATGGTCAATGTATCGTAGCAGCCAGTCTACGTATTTAAGGCACCCGAGGTCGCATCTATTGGGTGCTCTAACCTCTGCCTTGGGTCACTCCTGTTGTGTTCTGTTCTCGTCGCCCTCGGGCAGGATCTGGTTCCGTCTGGCACTTCCTGTCAAGCGCCAAGTTGGCGTTGTCTTCTTCCCCTGTCCGTCTGTCGTGGTGTCGTGTGAGGTGCCAAAACCAGCCCCCTCCCAGCCGGCCTATTCCGAAAATGAAAAAAGTCGAAAAAAAAAAGTGACGAGAGTTGCCATTGGAAATGTGCCGGTGCTCATGTGACCTTTCTAGCCGACGCCGGCATTACTTGGTCCGGAATCCCGGGTGGCGCTAAACCTGGCTGGGCAGCGAAGCTAGGAAGGAGCCAGGGTGACCCCTGCTGACCTCGGGCACTTGCCTCTGGATGTGGAAGGGGGTACGGAGGTACACACACCCATCTTCTTCGGGCTTATCTTATCAAGCCACAATTCAAGAAATTCATGATCTTCTTCGCACACTACGCGCACACCACCACCACCGTTTCCAACCAATCTACCGCGCGCAGATCCGCCGTCTCATCCCCCCTCCCCCCCCACGAAAACGGTACAGCCCGAGCCGCCTCCGGATTCCAATGGAAAGGATCCCGACATAGAGACACGGCGTAGGCATTGGTGGGTTCCGAGCACGCCCTCCCATCTGCCCGGCAGCCATGGCTCCCAGATGTTCGCCAGGGTCCGGCATATTCCTCCCTTTCCTGTACCCGTCGCTTTTCCGATCCACCTCCGCTCCCATCGCCCCTCGCGTAGGCCGGGCGGGCATAACCACCTTATACTCGAGCTCGGATGCGGCCCCGGACCGTAAGAGCACCGAGCCGTCCTCCTCGAGCGACAGCCTCCCCCTCTCGCGTCTAAACCCGGCCCCCGGCGACTACACCATCTCCACCTTCTCCGACAAGGCCCAGATCATCGCGCATGCCGGCCGCGGCGGTAATGGCTGCATCTCCTTCCTACGCGAGGCCTACTTCCCCGACGGTCCCGCCGACGGCGGAGACGGCGGCCACGGCGGTAATATCTACATCCAGGCCGTCCACGGCGAGAGCTCGTTGCACAAACTCGTCCGCCGGAATACCCTGCGCGCTGGCCACGGCAGGACTGGCAAAGGTAGCAACTGCGGCGGTGCCCACGGCGAGAACCTCGTCATCCAGGTCCCCGTCGGCACCGTCGTCCGGGAGATCGAGCGCATAGACCCTACGATCGAGGAGAACATACGGTATCACGAGGCGCGAAAGAAGCGACGCGAATACGATAGGCTAGTCCAGGAGGCCGAGGCGGCGGCAGCGGCGGCGGCGGAAGCAAACGGCGACACAGGACACACGTTCCATCCCGGCCCGGATTTTCCGGAGGCCCCCGAGCACCCGAACCTGCGCAAGTTTTTACTCTACCCGGGCATCTCGAGCAGCGAACGGCAGAGCCTGGCGCTGCCGCGCCTGCCGCGGCGCGACCGGCTGTACATGCAGCCGGAGGCGCCCATCCACCTGGACCTGTCGACGCCGACGCCGCAGCCGATCCTGCTCGCCGTCGGCGGGGTCGGCGGGCTGGGCAACCCTCACTTCGTGTCCAAGGACCGGCCGCGGCCGGTGTTCGCGACGCGCGGCGAGAGCGCCGTCAGCATCCGGCTCGAGCTCGAGCTCAAGCTGCTCGCCGACGTTGGCCTCGTCGGCCTGCCCAACGCCGGCAAGAGCACCCTGCTCCGCGCCGTCACCCGCAGCCGTGCCCGTGTCGGCAACTGGGCATTCACCACCCTCCAGCCCAACATCGGCACCGTCGTCCTCGACAACCACCGCGGCCGCCCCGCCCTGCCGCTGCCGTCCAAGGACGGGCGCTCCGCGGCCCCGCAGCACGCCGTCGTCAACGACGCGCGCTACGGCCCCGTCGTGGTGTCTTCTTCCCGCTCCCGCTCCCGCTCCCCATCCTCCTCCTCTCCTTCCCCTTCTTCTTCCACTCATCACCTCGTCGCCGACGACTTCGACTCCCCAGGAGCAGAGCAGGGCACGCCGCGGACCCGCTTCACCATCGCCGACATCCCGGGGCTCATCCAGGGGGCGCACCTCGACCACGGCCTCGGCATCGAGTTCCTGCGGCACGTCGAGCGGGCCGGCGTGCTCGCCTTCGTCGTCGACCTGAGCGCCGGCGACGCCCCCGCGGCGCTGCGCGCCCTCTGGACCGAGGTCGGGCTGTACGCGCGCATGCGCGACAGCGAGGAGCGCGACCGCCGGGCGGCGGCCGCGCGCGCCGAGCGGCTCGGCCGCGGGGATCCGGCGGCGGCTCGGCCCCGCGGAGGCCTGGGCTCGATGGCGGTCGCGGAGCCCGAGCCCGAGCCGCCGAGGTCGGCCTGGGACAGGCCCGACGAGGAGTCGGAGCCGGAGTCGGGCGGGCTGCACATCGCGGCCAAGCCGTGGTTCGCCGTCGCGACCAAGGCCGACCTGCCCGGCACCCAGGACAACTACGCGCGCCTCAAGGAGTACCTCGACGCGGTGACGGACCGGCGCGAGCCGCACCCGAGCGGCGTCGCCGGCGCGTGGACCGAGGACTGCGCCGCCATCCCCGTCAGCGCCATCCACGGGCACGGCGTCGACCGCATCGTGCGCTGGATCGTCGAGCTTCTCGACGGCAGATGAAAAAAAAAAAATTTGCGGACGGACAAACGGACGGACGGACACAACGGGGGGCCGAATCAAGGCGCGCACGGGGGACGGAGGGACGGGTACGTGAATTCCAAAGACACGACCAGTCTAGTATTGTCTTGTATATCGCACGTGCGTATATGTACATACATCTACCACTCGAACACGCGGGAGCGCAGACGAACAACCCTTTAGCTACCTGTACCGTGTATAGAAGGGGGAACCAATCGAGACGCGCCCGCGAGCGAAACGACAACTTTTTTATTTTCGGGGTCTGCGAGTGAAAACGGGGAGCGCGGGAAAGAGAAGAAAAATAAGAGATGCCTTATCCACTCCGATTTCCCTCGCGACGATGAGATGTATAGCTACCCCCTCGGGGCTTTATATAGGCTAGACCGGCGCATGTAGTAACGACGTGTGTCGTCTATTCGCCGTCTCCGGCCCGCCGTTGGGTCGCCCGAAATCGGCCTCCTAGTCAGCCCCTTTGACGGGTTCAGCTGCTTCCTCGACGCCGCCGCTATCGGCTTCGTCGGGCGCCTCGGGGGCTCCGCCGGGTTCGTCGGCGTGCTCGGAGGCGGCGAGGTCTTCCATGGGCACGTCCTGGGTGGCCTGGACCTCGCCCTCGTCGGCGCCGTCAGCGGTGGCGGTGGCGGCGGGCTCGCTCTCGGCCTCAGCAGCCTCGGCCGCCTCGGCCTGCTTCTGGGCCGCGGCGCCCTTGAGCGTCTGGTTGATGACGGGCGAGGTGTCGTTGAAGAGGCGGAGCAGCATCGCGGACCGGTCCTCCTTGGGCAGCATGAGGTTGAGCGAGTGGAAGCTCTTCCACAGCGGCAGCACCATGCGCTCGGCGAAGCCGGGGTCGGCCCCGTCCGGCTCCACCACCAGCAGGCAGCAGCCCATGCCGATCTGCCGCGCCCGCTCGCCGATCTCGCCGAGCTTCTTCCAGTCGTCGCCGACGAACTTGGGGAACATCTCCCGGAGCAGCGTCCGGAACGTCGCCTTGTTCGTCAGCCGCACCACCCGCTCCGGCCCCACGTACCCCTCGATCATCGGCATCCCCTCCGACTGGATCCGCCACCGGCATACCTCGGCCGATGGCGCGTCCTGCTTCATGAACATCTTGACCCCCCCGTGCACGAACTTGACCCCCCGGCCTTCGTTCTCCGTCAGGATGTCCCGGACGAGGGAGCTCGTGTAGTAGATGGCCTTCGCTGGCTCGCCCGTAGCGTTCCGTACCATGAAACGGTTCGAAGGGAAGCGCGGCGAGACCTTGTAGAATCTCACGATATCTTGAATCACATGATGATCTGGCAGTAGGTACTTGAAAGGCTCTTCGTAGTTGCCATCCGGAGCCTTGGCCCGTCGGTCGGCTTGACCGGTATTGTTAGGAATCGGCCTGGTTTCTTCTGGTTTAGTTTCCTCGGGCTCGGCTTTAGAGGTCGCTTGCTCCGTTTCGATGTCTGGTTCTAGTTTTATCTCCGGTCGTTCGCTTGATAACGAGTCAGTCCTCTGCTTCTTAATTTCTGGCTTCGTCTCGGCATCATCATCATCGAGAGTCCTCTTAGACCCCGCAGTTGGAAGAAGATCTTTCTCCTCTCCTAGCTTAACTTTAGCCTCCAGCTCCTCTTTTTTGATGCCGTTGGGGGCCCGGGGCCTTGATTGCGACTCCGGTTTAGCCTTGAATTCTTCATTCTTCTCTAGTACGGCGATGAAAAAGCCGCCAGTATCTTGTTGATGGGCGTAGACTCGCATGCAGCGATCCAGCGGGAGCGCGGAGCAATCACTAGAATCCGTTCTAGGAAACATGGTTTCCGAAAGCTTTCCCGGCATCTGCCCGCCGTTCGTCAGGGCATACTGCTGAACTTCCTCCCAGCTGCCCCAGATGCGACCTGACTTGTCCATGATCTGCCACTGGAGCATCCCCGGTGTGCGCTTCAGCAGCGGAAGCCTATCTTGGCAATCAATGATCCCAATCTTGTCGGGACCGCCGCAACGCTCGATGGCCGACACTATGACAGCTTCGTTTTCGACAGGATTCATACTGCAGGTCGAGTACACGACCTTGCCACCAACCTTTAGCATCTGCAGTGCCCGGACCAATATCCGGACTTGGGTGACGTGAAGCCCCAGCGCATTGCCCGGTTGCCAATCCTTCCACAAGTTGACATTCTTCCTCAGGGTCCCGTCTCCGGAACAAGGCACGTCGGCAAGGATCCTGTCGAATCGTAGGTACTGGCCTTTTTCAGGTCGTGCCGGGTCTCGCGGGAGCCTGATAGCCGGATACAACGTTGCGTCGTGGTTCGTGACGAGGAGATTCGGGGACGATAGTCGCTTCAGCTGGTGGACTAGCATGTGGCTCCTCTTGTAGTCGGCATCATTGGCAATGAGCAGCCCAGTCGCGCGGCCGTCGTCGCCAGAATCCACAGCAAGATCAACATCTTCTTCATCTGTGGCGGGCAGGGGGCCAGCTTCACCGAAGGACTGCATCACCTTGCGTACTCTCGCCTCCTCCCCCGCGTGGACCATCTCGAGCAACTGCGCAGCTTTGCTTCCGGGTGCAGCGCACATGTCTAGGACGGTCATGCCTGGGTCGATGTCCATCAGGAGCGGCGGGATCATGCTGACAACCTCTTGCCTGCTAATATTGCCAACGCTAGTCTCAGACACCAGAAATTTCTGAAACGCAGCGAAAGGCGGGAATTTACGGATGACGTGCTTCGGGGTGTTCATCGAGTACGCGAGTTGGTCGGGGTACCACGGAACCGGCTGGGGAGCTTGGACGGGCTCGCCATCATAGCGCTCGATCTTGACGATGTCGGGAGCGTACCTCGTCTCTAGCAGTCTCTTGACGGCGAGGGCGTGGCCTTTGGAGCCGCAGAAACGGAAGGAATTGGGCAGCTCTCTCTTCAATGCCTCCCAGAACTGAAGCCGCTCGTCGTCATCGAAGGGTAGGGCCGAGTCGTAGAACTTCTCCATGTTGACGTTCTTCTTCACAATTTCGCTATACGATTGGAAGGGCGCCGGTCCGTCGCTGCGGGGACCATGATTGGGACCGCCCTTGCGGCCACCCTATATATAATTACAGCAGGTTAGATCAATGCAGCATATAAGATGTAGGTGGTGTTTCATAGGGGCCGATCCTCACTCGAAACTTCTTGCGTCCCATTCTTCAGCCGTGGACAGCAACCTCAGGTTGGATGGTAGTTGAGCTAGTTGAGGTTTGAGAGCTGCCGAAGAGAGACACTGGAGATACCTACCTAAGGTGAAGTTTTCAAATGCATGGGTGCGAAGCTCCAGTGACTCGCTACCTACATACGTAGGTAGGTACCTAGTGTTACCTACCTACATAAGTACCTAGGTACCTAACCTACCTACGATAGCGGGAGGGTCTATCGATAGGGTCTATCGATAGTATGTCTGTAATACTATGTGCGTTCTGCCAGGTTCCTTTCGTGGCTCCGCTGCCTTATATATCAAGCATGCAAAGCGTGTTGAAAGGTGAACCTATTTAATCAATTAAAGGTGTAAAAACTAAACTGCTGAAAAGCTTTAAATACAGACTCTAGGCCCTAAGATCGACCGTTAATCCGGCTGTAATACAAGAGGCCCTAGTTTTAGGACCTCGCAATATGCCAGCCCAGGTTATGAGATAGTACATTGTGTCCTGGACCAGTTTCTAGGATAGCACATGATGTCACAGCACAGAAGTTAGGATAGTACATGGTGGTATAGCACAGTCCCTGGCATGGTACGTTTAGTATCACAGCACATTCATTCACAGCATTACTATCCCAAAACACGCCCATTAGACCCCAGCCCTATTGTGTCAGACTCGCCCGCAAGGACTGCGCCTCAGCAGCAAAATTGTCCTTCTCATGCTTTCCTGGCGCCCATTTCCTCTTCCGATTTCGTCTGTTGACGTTGATGGGTCCGAGAGGTTGTCGGGCATGGATTTCCGCCAGCATCAAATCCATGATCACGCATCTGCCAGTGCGTTTATTGTAGAGCACGTTGCGTGGCTCTGCATCGCGGTGGAGGACCCCGTGCTGATGCAATCGACCGAGTTGTTTGGACGGCACTGCTGGCTTCTTGTGCCTGACGATTCTATCGGTGAGGTAATAAAGATCGCGATCTCGCTTGGATTGTGTTGGCGGCGCGGAGTAGATAGTGGAAGTCCTCTTCAGAGAGTTTCTCGAGAAGCGAGACAATGTGTTTATCATCAGCCACAGCAGCAAGGCAGGCAAGGGATTGGGTTCCACCATAGTCATAGAATCGCTTTTCCAAAGATTCCTCGTCGATAGTTCCCTCTCTGCAGGCGGCAGCAATTGAATTTAGGCGATATGGAATCTTATCTCGCTCAACAGTGAGCGAGCGTTAAAACGTTTCCTGTGCCTGGATGCAAGCGACTTGTGGATTATTGAGAGGGACCAAGGCAAGAGCTTGGATTTGCGTTTAGATTGAGGAAAACTGGCCATTTGAAGCATTCTACACGTGTAGAACAGTCGTTTGAACGATTTGAACGGCTCAAGATATCGCCTGTAATCGATCAGTTTGGACTGTGTTATCCTTCCGAGGAATCCTAGAGGAAGCCTTCCTCTTTGCCAACTGGGCCGGCCTCAAGCACCTTGTAGTGTCTAGCCAGCAGCTCTTGGGTGTTCCCCCTACTTTGATCCTACTTCCTAGTCTTTGCCCGAACAGTGCGGGCCCCTTTTGTTGCATTCCTCCTCGGCATCGGTGTGTCGTCCTGGTCGCCTCGTCCTCGACCGCCCCGTCTTGGGCGGCCTCTCTTTGCAGTCTTCGTTTGCACAGACCTCGGCTGTCCCCTCTGCGGCTCTGCCGGAACGTTAGCAGCCTGAGCAGCCTGTTTTGCTGCAATTCTAGGGCTGCGGCGAAGTGGAATGGAAGTAGCTTCGACTCTTTCCCCTCTGGTTCTCTTGGTCGTAGACACTGCTCTTTCAAGTGTCGCACCCTTTGTGACAACATTCCTGGGGTGTCGAGTGTTGTACCTCGACCGTTTCGGAAGCTGCTCGTCGGCGACTGTGTCGGATTCGCGTGTGCGCTTAGATCGACGAGGGCGGGAGGGTATATTGCTGCGTTCCGAGGACGGCAAATCCGCTTCGGCACTCCTAGGACCTCGAGTTGGTCCGTCATCAGTGCGATCATTAGCAACTTCGTGAATTGGCGCCCGGGCGGAGAGGTAGGAGTATCGTGTTAGGGTAGGTTGTCTGCCATCGGCGGTATCGCTCGGCCGCCTGCTAGAGGGATTAGAAGGGGGATGGGGAGCTTCCCCAACCCCTTCTTCCTCATCCTCAGGCTCAGGCTCTTCATGCTTCCACGTCCTTCCCGGCTGGTCATCCCACTCGGGGTGCCAGACCCCATCTTTGATCCAGTTGTTCTTGACGCTTTCGTAGGCCATGGCATCGAGGTCGATGGCGCTACCGGGTGCAGTGTGGGCCATCTCATCTTTGATCCATTCACGCTCCTTGGATATCTGATACACGAATTGGTGGTAGGGGCGAGATGCCTCAGGATTGCGAACGGTGGGTATCGGAATGGGGTATCGTGCAACCGGTCCCCACGGTGTCTGGATATACCCGATAGGCCGCCGGCGAGGAGGCTTTGGCCGTTCCGGTTGGCGATAAGCAGGATCGAAAATACTCATGACGGGACGTCGTTCCTGCTCTTGCTCTGGTGCCGACTCTGGCTTTGGTTCTGATTCCGATTCCGATTCCGGTTCTGGGTCAGGTTCCTCATGACCCCAACGAGCGCCTGGCCGGGAGCCCGACGTGGTAGGGTTATGGGGGCCATGGAAAGGGCCACCCCCTTCATGTAGCCATTTCGTCGTCAACGGTTGACTGTTCTTGGGCCAGGCTGGGCCCCAGTCGTCCCCCCAGATGCCTTGCTCTACCCAACGGCTTCGGATATTGTTCTCGGAGTTGGCCATCAAATCCAGGGAATTGTCCCACGGCAGCGTCTGTCTTCGACCATAGCGCACCTCTGATAGCTGATGCTCGAGCCGCTCGCGCTCACGTTTAGCCTGGCTCTCAAACTGGTTTATTGGCGTTGACTTGTAGTGAGCCTCCAATCGTAGACGTCGCTGATACGTCTTGTCAACAGCGGGAGGAGGCTCGGGGGTCGGAGGCTCGGGGGTCGGAGGCTCGGGGGTCGGAGGCTCGGTGGTTTCGCCCGATTCTGAATACGGCGGAGGGGGTTCGTCGTAGAGTCGATCTCTCTCATGAGCAAGCTGTTGAGGGTTGTCTCGTAATCGTTCGAGCGCTTCGATGACCTGCGGCAGCGGCAGGATGGGTCGCTGACGGTTGTTGAAAATGACATCCATCTTTGCGAGGATGGTAAAGCACACCAACTTGGGAACTAGAGCTGCCTTAGGTATTGAGGAAAAGAAGAATGAACTTCACAGAGCCGCAGGGACGCGGAAGGCGTTTGTTTGCGAAGGCACTCGCGTAACGCGCGCGCTAGTTGGCTAACTTGGCGATCCGGGAGACAAAGTGGAGGCGGGGGTGGCGACAGGGGAAAAAAACACACACGATCTATATTGATCCATTACACAGCGGCAAGTCGACCAAAATGTATCGTGTAATTTTTCTCCCTGTTGGGTGGTTCCCTAAAGCCCGTTGCTGCGCCCCACCCCAGCTGAGATGCGTCAGTCACAGACATGAGACCATGGCCTGAACGAGTGGAGGAGAGCTCTCTTCATTCCTGACGCGAACAGGCGGCTAGCGGTTAGACGTCTCGTGCCATTCGTTCACAGGTCTCAGCTGGCCAGGCGAGGCTTCAGGCAACCGCCCTGCCTTCGCTTCTATCGGCTTTGGCTTGAACAATTGGTGGAGAGCTCTTCGCATCTGGGGTCACACAGAATCGGCTCGCGGTTAAATGTCGAATGCCATCTGTTGACTAAAAAGGACCGGAAATCTCGCAACTCGGCGCTCCCATCATGCTTAGCAAAAGCATCGTCGTCTACCATGCCTCGCGATGGCCCTCATCCTCTCACTTTCTTTTCGCTTGTGCCTCTAAACGATCGGGCTATAGCGGTTCTCGAGCACCCCGAAAACGCCCACCTTGTCTCGATTTTTGAGGACAAAAAGAACAACAACGACGCCCTACATGGACCCGACATCGGTCCTTTTATCGGATCAAAGTCACGCTACACGCTTGCCACTATCGGGCGCTGCGGCGATGTCATAGTCGAAGGATGAGGCATCTCGCGAATTCATTGCTCTTTTGAGCTCCACGAGGGCAACAAGACGGAAGTTATGCTCCAGGATCGGTCAAGCAATAAATCGACCAAGCTTTTCGGGGAGACGGCGATGGGATTCGAATTAGAGCGTGCCCACCGCCGAGTCGTTGTCGACAAGACTATCAATCTGGTATTCGGTCTTGGTGGAGTAGCTTGCGATCTACTGCAATTCCGGATAGTATGGCATCCTCATGACAAGCGCGCGACCGACTTGTATTTCGACTATCGAGAAGACAATCCCCGCCAGACTCGCACCATCCCGGACGAGCCGCCGACTATCGCACCCTCTCGAGTCCTTACCCGGATCCACACTCCGAGCCTTCTAGGGAAGATTAGGTACTCGACGCGGGAGAGGCTTGGAAACGGAGCATTCGGTGAGGTTTGGAGGGTTGCTGATGTTGATACTGGCAACTATCTGGCGGTTAAACGGGTGAAGCAACCTGCCCTTCTTACCCACGACTATTTTCGATTAAAGCGGGAAGTCGATACGTTGTCTCGAATTTCACATGTAAGCAAAAGTCCATGGAGATCTGTCTTATTGACAACCACACTCGCTAATAGCACTAGAGGAATATCATAGAGTTTATCGCGGCCCAATGGGGGGACGGCTATTTGGATATCGTCATGGAAATCAAGCCTGGAAGCGTTGAAGACCTGATCCGGGATAATCTCTTTATAAGAGAACGATCTTTGGCCTCACCATTTCTTCACCAGATGCTTCAGGCGCTCGACTACCTTGAGAACCAAGGCATCGTTCACCGAGATGTCAAACCCGAAAACATCCTCTACTCACCTGCAGTAGACGGTGGCTATCTGTACCAACTTGCAGATTTTGGACTTGCGAATATGGTTGCTGATGCTCGAACGTTTGCTGGGTCGAGAATATATATGGCGCCTGAGCTGGAACAGAGCCCACAATCGCCCCAGACGCCGAAGATGGATATCTGGTCCCGATTTGTCACTCTCGTCTACGCGATGAATGTAGCCGGCTTTCGGGGGAAGATGCTGCACACAACCCCCCAAAGAATCAAGGCGATTCAGGAGGCGGCCAATGAGCAGGAATTTCGACCGCTGCAAGACATGGCAATTGAGGATCCTAGCCAGCGAGCGACAGCGGGAGACATGCTGGACAAGCTCTTCGCAGGAGAGGGCCGCACTACTCCCCACAACCGGACCCGTGCCACTGCAATCGGTGCCGAAAATGCAGAGCCTGGGGCGCCGGAACAGCGCATCGAACACGGCGACGCCACCACCGGCAAGAAACGTTCGAGGGAACGGAAAACAGCGCGGAGGTCACCGAGAGAAGCGGTCGCTGCCGCGAAGGGGAGGCGTCCGAGGCCCCCCAATCCTGGGACTGAGAAGCGGTTGCCCGGTCCTGCAGTCCAGACTCCAGCACGCGGAACACCAGGTCGCGGTCCTAGAGTCCAGAAACACACAAGATGTGCCTCGATTGCCTGGCGCATTCCCGGTTAGCCAAGGCCGTCGTGGAGAGAGGCCTTACTTCACTTGATTGAAACCCAATCACAAGCACTCAAGCCAGGACTTTTGGCCCTTGCCTTCAGCGACTTCAACCCCAGCTGGGCTGCCGGGGAGCCGTTTGCCGACAAGCCTTTCAAAGGCGTTGACGAGGCGGGCTGCTAGTGCCATTTCTCCCTTCTCATTCTCGAGCGTGCCCGAGCCTGAAATCGTCGACATACCGGAGTTCGGTGGCGGAGTTGATCGCAGGGACGAGACTAGGTGTAGAGGGATGTCTGCAATCAACGATGTGTTGTTTAGTTTTGAGTTGTCACGTAGAGAGCCACCTATACATAGCTCTCTACTTCTTCTCTGGTTGCTCGCTTACCTAGCCTAGCTCCCAGCTTCCTATCCTCTATATATAGGTAGCTTGCATCTCCTTTGTTCATCTCCTTCCCTCTTAGATAGTCAGTCAATTCACCTTCTTCTTCCCACATTCCGTTGCTCCCAGAAGCAACCTCAGTGCCTACGTAGCTCTCCCGATCTACGTAATATGAGTTCTATTACAAATGATGGTGTTTTGATTAAATCGACGCGCCGAACGAGATCGCGTCGTAATATCAAATTTCCGGGTTTTCTGCGGCAGTAGTTTCATCGCTTGACAACTCGAAACCGATCGATTTATCATGGCGAAGGACCGTGTAGAGTGTTGGCGTTAAGAATGGAATGAGAAGAGATGGCTACGACGGCGCAGGTCTTGTGATGGGTTCGTGCAGGTGGGATTACAGCCGATAAAGGTGCCGAGTACATCCGATCCTGCAATGCTCATGCAATGCTAATGCATCTATGCGTTCCTTATTCACGAGTTAGGTATCTATGGATACAACCACCAACCCCTGTCCAGCTTCGAGAAGAAGAACACTGCGCAGCAAAAGGCAGCATGCATACCTACATCCGAAGCTAGTCCGATCCTCTCAACACCTTCAATGCCTCCCGGAAGTTCTTCATGTCGTTTCCCAACTTCTCTCTACGCAGCCTCACGTGCGAATCTTCCCCAGCGATCATGTCCAACTGGTCCTCGTTGAGGTCTAGCACCATCTGGGTGTTGAAAATCTTCAACGGGCTACCCCGACCCGCTAGCAGATAGTGGTTCACGGCCTGTTGGCAAACGACGTCGACGAACCGTTTGCGCGATACTTTGTAGTAACTCTTGAGAACGTCATGTATGAATTCCCGTACATATTCCGAGTTGGCCATGTTTAAGGAGACATTCTTCATGAGCGCTTCATCAAAGACGAGTTCCGGTTTGGTCGCACCGGTCGGTTGGTTGTATCCATCCAATATCGGCGTTTGCTTGGTTACACAGAGCGCTTTCACTACCTCTACGAAGCGGCTGCTCTGGTCTTTCTGTAGAGTATCGTTGAAATAGTGATTGAGCGTAATGGGAGCCTCCTCTTGCTCGATCTCCAATAGGAACTTCGCATGGTCCATGGCCCTGCGGTAAGACTTCAGGAGTTCGTCGAGAAGGTATTCGTTCCATAGCTCATGGTAAACCCGACCATCATCGGGGCAAACAGTTTTGACCGCTCCAGAGATAAAATGGTGGACTCGGATAACGACAGCAATCATGTGTTTCATTGTGAGGCTTTTCCACTTCTTGGATTGCTCTTTGAACATCGTCGGTATAACTGTGGCGCCAAACTGCGTAAAACCGACTGCTATTAGCTACCACCCGTCTTATTAGTCTTTACTAGGCAGCTTACCGTGCCGAGCTCCTGACCACGACTTCTTCGGTACACCTGGTCGATATACTTCATGATATCGACCTCCCCATCGGTGTTAGGCTCGGCAACATCAAGGGCGTAAGCATTAAAAAGTTCTTCCAATTCGGGATAGTGGGTTTCCTGAAATATATCTTGGAATAGTGGGACGCCGGCGGACGGGGTCTCTGCCTGACTCTGACCCGTCTCTGAGCCGGTGCTTTTTGCGAATGCCCTCGTGTGTCCTGTTGTCCTCATCTGCTCCGCATACCAATCGTTAGCCTCTACTATACGAGTGATGAGTCGGAGGTCGTCTCCGTCCTCAAACACTGGGTGGCCACTGTAGTATGCGTTGAGTGCATCTCGAGCCAAGGCCTGGAATGATTCGCTCAGGCGGTTGAGATAGGTTCTCTGGGTATGCTGGTCGGCTCGCGACTGTCCCATGGAGCTAAGTTCGGCGCTCGACGAAGATAGCTTTTTCGCAACCTCCGCTCTCAGTTTCGGGAATTCTCTTTTTATCAGGTCGATGAGGAGTTCGCGAACTCGTGCCTTAAGAGCAGGTATCCCGACCTTCCCGGTGGACCGAAGTTCTGACCAGGGCGCTTTGGAGAAGAACTTCTTCTCGTCGGCTTGGCCCTCTTCGAGGGTCTTGCCCACATCGTCCGGACCGCGATTCTTCACAATGTAGTACCCCAAGGTCAGATCGCTCCTTGTGCCACCCACGAGGCTGATGGCAATATTCTGTATCGTCTTCTCTATTGCGAGATCCGGCTTCGTAAGAACGGCCATGGTCCTTGCCATTTTCGGGTCGGCGTTTCTCGCTAATTTCAGGATCTCCTGTGTTGCTGGGTCCACGTTGCTGGGCATAATTGCCAATATTCTAGGAAGACGGGACGTCAGATTCCAGTTCCTACCATGACATAGGTCTCTCCTCACATGGTCCTAGAGTCTTTCACTGGAATAGAGGTTAGCACAGCGGTCGAGCTCGATGTATTGAGGGGTGAGTTTTCTTGAACGTACTGTACTTAATCACCATGTTTCTCACGAGCTCTATATCGGCCTCGGTCGTGACCCCTAGAAGTTGTCGTCTCAGTATGACACCGCTTCCACCAAATTGTTATACTATGCAGTAGATGTGCTCACCCTCGGTCTCTTTTCTGAATATTCCTGGCACGTCGATGACGGTAAAATGGTCCTCCTACCATCCCACATTAGCGTCACCGCCCTTAAGAATACCTACATTATATAGAGCGATACTGACTGTCGGCCCAAGCTTCTCAATCTTGAGCATATGCTCACTGAACGCCGAACGGTCGGAATTTTTTGCAGAAGACTTCACGGTGCTGCGGATGCCCATTGCCTCGTTTGCCTGCGGATGAAGTTTAGCTGGAGCTCACTGGTATGTGAGCCGACTCGGGAGCATTGGACAGACCTCGGTAAACAATTTCGCCAGACTCTGGGGTGTCATTTCCTTCATGGCATGATGGAAGTTCCCAACACGCTCCCGTTCATCAGACGAGGCGTCTGGACTGGGGATAATCGAGACGTTTATGCTCTCTTCGGATTCACGACGGCAGGTGATCTGGGTGGCATAGCGCGTACAGAGCTCTGCATCTCGAGGAAAGGCAAACCCCGTCAGGCCTTCGAGCACCGAACTCTTACCCGACGACTGGTCTCCGACGACAACGAGCTGAGGTTGTTAGCATCGACACACGTATTCTGGGCCTGTCCGTACGAACCTGAGGTAGGGAAACCCCGGTACCGACCAGCTCACGTAATTTATCAATCCTGGTCAAAATAGCGAGATTGCCGTGGTTGGGTTGTTCCCCTCGGGAAACATCGCGGACGACGCTGCCCATATTGGCGATTCTAGGCATGAGGGTGAGTAGGTGAAGGACGGGCCAAGCTCTGGTCGGGCACCAGCGTATGTGAGATCGGTACTGCTTTCTGCTGCGCAAGATGCCGTGCGTAGACACAGGTAGGCAAACCAAACGTGGAACCTAGTTCTATTTGTTGACTACGAATGTCAGACGAGAGGTTGGATCGGTAGGTTGGGAGCTGGGCTCCATTATATATGTTTGTTCCCAGCGTCAACTTACCTACTAGCAGACTGGCCCGTATACGTGAGGCGGCCATCGCTACATACATATGTAGGTATGTATGGATGCCCTCCCCTGCCGGCGTAATACAACAGTTCAGCCACGTCAAGGCCTACCGTGCGGGAAACGATCAAATTCTCTGGCCCAATCGCGCGGCTTTTCTCCGTAGCATAGCCCTCTGTTCGAGGCATGGTAGACATGGGCGAGATGGTTTACAACCAACATCAGCTATCAGCCAGAGGCGCCCGGGGCTGAATGGCAGCGTCTGCCTAGGATTGTTCGGGGTGTGCGACCGAGATGCCTCTGAAACGGGACGGCGGGCGGCTCTACGACTTGTGTCGTATGTAGGGGTGGAGTAGCGGTCGACTTCTCGGCCAACAGCTAGCCACGGCCTCTGAGACGAGAAGGCAGCCTACATACCTAGCCCAAAGCAGGGAATCGTCCCAGATGAGGATACTGTGCGCATGCATGGCTCCAACCCAGTCGGTCTGGCACAGGGGGGTTTTTTCCATTATGCCTCGAGGCTGTCAGAATGCCTGCGGGACGCTACAAACGTCGATAAGAGAGGGCGGCCTCTACTGGCGCCGGGCCGTCCCAGAAGCTTCCAAGGGTGGGCCCTAAGGCGGGCAGTTACTGGGTAGGTACCCTGGGGTAAAGTACCTAGGTAGGTGGTAAGTACTACCTCCGGAGGTACCTACGTGGAAGGCCCGGGAGTCAGCCTGGGGTTGAAATACGGGGTGCAGAGCCTCGCACACGTAGGTACCTAGCGAGTAGGTACATACCAACCATGTAGCCGCCCAGGGGCAAAGCGGATCCGCAGCAGCTTCCCGCTCGATGCCACCTGCCCGACATTTCGGTCCTGAAAGGAGCGTCCGTTGGTAGCTGCCTGCCTACCTACCTAGGTAGGTACCTATGTATGTATTAGGTAACTCTGTACCTCCTGTAAGAGGTAGTGGTGGTAGTGAATTTAACGTCTCTTATTCTACCTATTTACCTATAGATAATAAGACGGGCCCGCGATGACGGCGGTATAAAGGATATAGGTAGCTATATAATCGCCCGTTTAGTCAGGAAAACCCTCTACGGTTAGATATCTACGGTATCGTATCCGTATCCTTCGCTCCTTAACGTATTCCGCGATAGAGACTAATATTTCCTTGCCTAACTATATAGTACGAGGAAAAGGTTCCAATCTACGTACTATACCCGTTAAAAACCTCTACCTATCGTAGGCTTACCTCCCTAAGGGCGGTAGCGGGGGGTCGTTACTCCGTGGAGTAGTAAGGGGGAAGGGGGGGAGTAAAACCCCCTCTAGTTCAGCCCTGCTTACTACCCCGTCGAAAGCAGGGTAGGGAAACGAGGAGGCCGCCTCGAAGTAATCCCTCGTAATTTTTACTATCGCCGTTAAGATGGACTTTTTATCGATACGCGCCGTAGACTTTTAACCGTAAAACCGAGCGGCGGCCGAGACCGAGTCGAGGCGTCCGTTGCGCTTCTCGAGAAACTCGAGAACCTTCCCGCGCGCGTCGATAAACGATGGACGAAAGGCGAACAGGACTAGGCCGTTAACGGGAGATAGGAACGGCGAGACGTGATTAGTTAGATTAGTCCTGGGAAAAAGATGTTCGGGGGATGGTTCCTGCAAGAGGTACCTAGGTAGGTAGCAACCTCGCGTGTATACATCAACGTGATGCCCTTTATTTACCTACCTAGGTATATGCCTAGGTACCAGGTAGGTAGGTGCCCGACACGTCTAGATATGCCCGCCTCCTATTCGGTATCGTGTCGGTAGGACGGGCGTACGTGATGTGCGTAGGTACCTCGACGGGCCCGATGCAGGTATGGATATCATATCAAAGGAGCCTGAGCGGCATGCTGCCCGTCCACCATACCTAGGCCCTTAATACCCACCCCGTGCTGCATCCGCCCTGCACCAAACGCCAAATGGGATGCCGAGATTGACAGCTTCTTCCTCGAGGAGTGGCCGCGGCCGTCTGTTGGGACAACTCGCCGACGCACCGCTGGATGTGCCTACACTCATACGTACCAGGGATACTAGGTACGGTGCCGACTTGTTCTTCTACGCGGCGTGGCGCCGTCGCACGGCAAGCATGAGACACGACTCAGAGTCTGCCGTTGGTATGTGCCACAAGGATAATACGGACGGGCGCCTACAAAGTCCCCGTTTGGAGAGGTCGGCTTATCCGTAGTATGGCCGCCTACGCGCGACAGTGTGAATTACATATACCTGCGTTGCACACCTCCTTGTCGACCAGCTGAGACCTTCACTACGCAGCTATCCGCGGTATCCCTGCCATCCAGGTTCAACTTGCCTACTCGGGCCACGTGGCAGTCATAAAACATCGGCAGGTCTTCCATTGCCTGTGAATCGTGACACCACAGAGAGCAGCGACCTCGCGCGGCCGTAGCTGGTCAAATTCCATCTGGGTTTCCTGACGTATCACGGGGCAACGAAGGGGTTGTATGTCCTAATAGAAAGCAAAGTCAACAAGTAGTGGCCGAGATTAGTAAGAAACATGTGCAGTGTGGTGGCGCTTCATAGCATTGGTTGCTGGACACGTCAGAGCTCGATGTTTCTCCCAGGTAACCTACCTCTGCGGGCCAGTTTCCGTGGTATGGCGTAGTCAATCCACCGCCGTTATCACTTTTGCCATTTTTAATCAGCTCGGCTTGCAAGGTAGGGGGCTCGAACTTCCTTCGGGGCCCGGTCTAACACTGGTTGTGTAAGGCTTGTTACGATCGTCCGTATCGAGACTCGTTAGATTACCGAAGCCACGTCCACGTAGGCAGAACTTTTCGTATCGTTCTGTGGGTTGGGATCGTGGGTGTATGCTCAATACCACCGCCATCGACGGTGAAGTCCCCTCTTCTGTCCCTGTCTGGACTTGCTTGTTTGTCTGTACGCCATCGAGCGCCATCGAGCCGTCAAACGGGTACTACTATACGGGAGTATAAACCAAAGGCGAACCAGAACGCGGGAATCCTAAGCCACTTGGGAGTAGTGGAGTACGATAGAGAGGCGCACACAACGATTCACCTCGAGCCTGTATCCGTATCACGCAATCGAAATCCGCTCCGAAACTCTCTTCGCGTTGCCTGAAGCGCAAGGTCTTTTGTCCATATACTGTAGGGAAGGTTATATATCATAGAAACAACACACTACGACCACGAGTTCTGCTCTCGCAAGCGCAACTCGGTCCCGCTCCGAGGGACGAAGTCAAAGAGCCTTCTCTCTCGGGCCGGTGACTCTCTCGAAAGTATCTAAGGACATCGTCAGGGAGTGCCTGCCGGCGGTCTTACTACGGAGGACGTTGTCGTAGTCGAGCATCTCGACGAATGGCACCCGGGCCGTGATCTCGAGCATTCGTGGGCGGCCGATCTGAGTTTCCCGCAGCGTGGTCTGGAACTCGTAAGGGTCTGGTGGTGCATAGATGTCCTCTACGTCTACGAGAGTACCATCTCGGGCCGGCATGTTTTGCATATCCTTGATCTCGAGGACGTGGCCGCCGCGAACGGAGTGGATATCATGTTGAACCGCTCCTGCTGATACTTCAGGGCAGACAATCGTAGCCAGCATGACCGGCTCGAAGATACTGACTGTCCCCTGCTGGTGCGCCTCCTTAAGTGCCGATCGTACCGCCTTGTGAGCGGCGCCGGCGAGATGCGCCGGGGGGGCGGGCCCAAATAGGTCGGTCGTGGTGTCATATGTGATCGTGACGAGGCACGAATGCATCGGGGAATTGCGACGAGGGCCCCTGGCAAGCGCCGATATCGCACCATTCGTGAGCTGCTGTCTAGTGATTTCGACATCAACTGAGGGGCTCTGCTGCGCAAATTCCACCTGGATGATGTTTCCGTCCCGCTCGATGTGAGGTCCCAGCTCCGTCGGGCGCTCGCGGCCTTGCAGAGGCTCGATGACAACCGAACAGGCCGCCTTGCCCTCTTTGCCCGCTACTACCTTGTCGAAGACTGCCCGATGCGGAGCTGTCGGCACGGTTAAGCATTCTTTGTAGTCAACCGAGATAGCGCCCCAATACGCCTCGGCCTTGTAGTGATTCTCGAGGCGATCCCGTGCGACTTCCAAGTGCAGCGTGCCCATCCCGGAAAGCGTGTACTGCTCCGTCTTCTCGTCCTTGGACCATCGTAGGCTGGGGTCTTCTCTCGAGAGACTCTCCAAGGCCGCCTCGAGAGCCTTGGCACCCGTTGGGCTCAAAGCGTCTAAGACGATAAAAGCCACAGCGGGAGGGATGTCCGGGGGTCGTACTTGCATGGTGGCAAGATCTGACCGCAGCAACTTGTGGGAACCAAAAGTCAACAAGGTGTCGCCAGTCCTTGCGGCCTTCAGACCAGTGATTGCGCCTATTTGCCCCGGAGATAGGTGCGGTATTTCGACCGTCTGCGCAGCCGATATCTGCATCATACCGAGGGGCCTCTCGGATTGTTGTAGGTTGGCATTCCACATTGACGTGTTCTTCTTTAAGATACCGTGATAGACTCGCACAAAGGTCAGCATTCCGCGACGAGCGTCGTTGACCACCTTGAAAACGGAAGCGAGGGCATCGATATGAGGCTTCGGCTTTTTGGAACCCGTTGTCGCGGGGAGAACCTTGCTAAGTGGTTGATGGGTTTGTCCAACCCGCACCTCGAGCTCGGGACGATCCGAAGGACTCGGTAAATAATCTGTAACCGCATCCAGCAGGGCGGCGACGCCGATGTTCTTCAAACTAGATCCCGCAAAAATAGGTATCAGAGAGCCGTCGCATTCGTTGATGACGCGACGAAGGCTTTTTTTAACAGCTTCCGCGGGCAGATCTTTCCCTTGCAGAGTCCACATTTCTAGCAGCTCGTCATCCTTCTCGCAGAGTTGCTCGATCAGATTCTCTCGCGCGCGCTCGGTCTCGTCCTTGATAGACCCTTCGAGGATCTTGTCTGATAGTTCTTCATGGGTATCTTTCGTCCCGGCCCAACTGACAACAGAGCGCGTGATCACATCGACCACGCCGCGTATAGTGTCTCTACCCCACCAGGGTATATGACAGACCAGAGGCATCCCGTCGAGCTTCAACGCGATATCCTGCACGGATTTCTTGAAGGAAGCGCCGTCGCGGTCGAGCTTATTCACGAAGATGACTCGAGGCACCTTAAACTCCTGGGCGGAGAACCAAACTCTCTCGGTGTGCGTCTCGACACCCTCGACGCCATCGATGATACAGACGGCCCCGTCGAGAACGGGCATACAACGCTCGACCTCGAACCTGAAATCGACGTGGCCGGGGGTGTCGATCAAATTGATCACATGCTGCCTGCCGTTGTGCTTTAGGCGCTCCTTGGGAGGCCAGTGGAAGGTAATTGCCGCGGACTGGATGGTGATACCCCTCCGCCTCTCCATAGGCAAGAAGTCGGTCACGGTATCTCCGTGGTCGACGTCTAGGGTGCATTAGTCAGACACACGAGCACCCGCCTCCCTCGCACCCCTAATGCCCCCTCTCCTCTCGGGCTTGCGATAAGGAGGGCACGGGCAGCAGTGTTTACTTACTGCCTGCGTGTTTCAAGGCGCCACAGTTGTAGAGCATCTGCTCTGTGGTCGTCGTCTTCCCCTGAAATACCTATGCGTGAGTATTTCAGAGTCTATGGCGGCTTTGGTCACCAACGTACAGCGTCGATGTGGGCTATGATGCCAATGTTGCGGACATACTGGATGCCAGTATCGTGGTACTGGATCCCGACATCGTGGTGTGGGAGAGTGTGACTCGAGAAGCGTCTAGCATTGGAACGGTTGACGCGATATGTTAGAAACACGGACGGTAATCTCGATAGCCTGCCCAGCCGAGAGGACCTGAGGGAAGCTCGGCATGCGAGTGCGAATCGGCTCATACCCGCCGGCTACCTAGCGACGAGAAGAGAAGGATGGGTTCATTCCCCTATCGGGATGCCGTGTCCTGGGATATCCGCAAGACGGGTGCGTAGATATGCCTACCTATCGCTACGACCAGACCGGCGAGGTTACGGCGCACAGCCAGTAAAGTATGATGTTGGGGGGGAGGCGGCAAGTCGGCTTTCTCATAGGCAAGTATACCTACCTGCGTTCCAGGGTCACTAAAAAAATATATCGATTCTTTCCCGCCCCCACCATCGTCGAAATGTTGATACCTAATGCCTACCTATGTAATAATATGTAACAATGGGGATGTGCTTGTAAGCGTTATCGATTTATCCGTAATATACGGGCAACCTTGGGATGCCCAGACCTGAGGAGGTTACCTACAGGCTACAGGTAGGTACCTAGGTAGGTACCGGATCTCCTCAAGAGGTGCCCATACTCATATCCAGCTCGGTCGGCGACTCGGCATCAATCCCCAGGTATGAGTATATTCCACAAACAACGACAGAAGAAAAGCCGCGGAAGATTACTTAACGCTAGGAGGAGGTACCTTACCAGGTACCCACATTAGGTACCTTCTGTACGTACGATTACGTACCTAGGTAGGTACCTACCTCCTAACGTCCATGTTCATGCACGGGCCAACGGGTCCATCCTCCTTCTTTCTTCATTCGCTCCCCCGATACTTCAAATTTACTGCCAATGTGCGCCGTCCACCACCGATCGACCTATCGTGGTGATGATTTCAGTGGGCAGCTTGGCTTGCGAGACAAGAAATAATAATAAAAAAGACACGGCGGAGTCCCGACCTCTGCACCTGGCACTAATTACTGCCCTACGGCCTGCTGGATCCGACTCGCCTCGTCACCGTTAGGTAAACCCCTCCGAGCGCTCTCGAGGGTTGATCATAGCGAACACCGCCGGCCCCGAATCTCCATAAGTCGACTCTCTTCGCCGCAGGTGTTCCCCCCTCCCCCCTGGCATCCGCACGAACCCCCCGATGTTTTACGCCCATCCTACTGTTTCTACCCATTACCTACACCTCGCCGACTCCCCTCAGCCTGTATTCATCCGCCAGCCGCCAGGGTCTTCCATCCGGACGCAATGGACTACCGCTCGCCGATAGCTGATGACGACCACCCGGCCGCTGTATCCCCTTGGGGATCCTCGCCGCCCGCCTCGCCGCGCCGCAACGAATCCACCATCCATTCCTTAGGCAGTGGCCACCCCCCATCGTCGCCGTACCAGTATGCCACCCAAGACTCCAGCAACGGATTCGCCCACGAAGACCAGGGTATTAATGCGTTCCGACGGCCCGGCACCGCCAGCAGCACTACTTCTACGCCCGCCTACGACCCTTCGCCCCAATCGGAACCCTCGCAGCAGTCCAGCCACGGAAGCGAAGCAGATCAACAGCACCACCACCACCAGCAAGGCTCGCCGCAACAACATCCGCCGCACGGCAGACCTCCCGGCGAGGGGTCGGCGGCAGAACCGGATCTACAACCGCGACGGCCTGCCGGCCCTATATTTAAATTACAAGCCAAAATCACGGGGCTGGAGCGAACTGCCCGCAAGGATCCCATATTAAGATTCGATGTGCATGTAAGTAGTGAACGAGGGACATGCGCCGGACCTGGCTAACGGAGTACACGCAGACGAATATACCCAACTTCCGAACTACGCAGTTCCGCGATGTCCGCCGTTTACATTCCGAATTCGTCAAACTCGCCGAGCACCTCATATCCGCCAACCCCGATGCCATAGTCCCGGCGGTGCCGCCTTCGGTGACGTCCGCTGGTGCCGGGACCGACGAAGACGAGACGAGGGTCAAGGCGCTGATGCAAAGATGGTTCAACTACGTGTGCAGCAACGAGGTCCTCATGCGGGACGATGAGATGGTCTTGTTTGTGGAGAGCGATTTCGGGTACAGCCCGATGGTGAAGAAGAAGCAGCCGGCGACGGGCGTGCGGAGGAAGCTGCTGAAGCAATTCGCCCCGCCGCCCGACGATACGCCCGAGCTATCCGAGGCGCGGCCCATAGTGAAGCTCTTCTACCTAGGCTCTATGGACGCGGGGCATAAAGTCGACCGGCTGGTCAAATCCCGCAGAGGTACGCCGACTCCCACCTATCCGGTCTTGTCGCGACGATGTCTATCTGCAGAGAACTAACCGGGGCGGGGTGGCGAGGGAACAGGACTCGGGCTAGCCGAATCCGACTTTGGCGTCAAGCTGGGCTCGATGCACGTCCAGGAGCCGCACCAGGGGCTCGCGAACGCGTACCGGAAGCTCGGCAAGATCGTGCAGACGGTGGGCGACTACCACGCGGCGCAGGCGACGGCCGAGGCGACGACGCTCAGCGACCCGTTCCAGTACCATTCGCAGGACGCCTTCATCGTCAAGGAGACGCTGACGAACCGGCAGCTGCTGATCCGCGAGTTCCTGCAGGCGCAGGAGGGCACGCGCAGCAGGCGCAACGCCGCCGACCGGCTTAAGTCGGCCTCGAGCGTGCGGCCGGAAAAGGTCGACGAGGCGCTCGCCGCCCTGCAGGAGGCCGCCGCCGCCGAGACCGAGCTGATGCAGAAGACGACCCGCGTGTCCCAGAACCTCGTCCAGGAGCGCCGCAGGTGGTTCGCCCGCACCGCCGCCGACCTGCGCCTCAGCATCCGCGAGTTCGTCACGCGCGAGATCGAGGCCGAGCGCCGCGCCCTCGCCCTGCTCGAGAGCGCCCGGCCCGACATCCGCGCCATCGACGCCTCGGGCGGCCTCAGCCGCCTCGGCCGCGAGGCCCACCCGACCGTGCGCCGCCCCAGCCTCGCCACCAGCCAGGGCCCCAAGGGCGACGCCTGGAGCGGCGTCCCGCGCCGCACCGACCGGAGCAGCATGTCGGGGAGCTTCATATCGAGCGGCGGGGCTACGGCCGCTGCCACCACCCCCGACGACGACGACGGCGACAACGGCAGCCAGCGCCCCGGGTCCCGGCCGCTCAGTGGCAGCGGGTCAGCCGGGGGGCTCCCCGGCGTCGCCGAGGAGGACGACGAGGACCGCGTGGACGCCCGGAACGCTGCGAGCCGGCTGGCGACGAGCACGTTCTGAGGACGTTTGCCAGACGAGAGCGTCAGCCAACCAGCTGATTAGGGGAAGCGCGGGGTCATACAAATAGCAAAGAATAGGGGTTGATTTTTTTTTCTCTTTCTCGCCGCGACGAGAACAATAAAAAATTTGCAGCTTGTTGTATACCTAGCGTTATCTATACGTGGAGTGTCTGTGTTTCACGGGTCGAATTCCAGTTCCCCTCTCTACCAAAGCGGGACCGTCCTTCGAGCAGAGGACCCGCCCTGGGATGTAGGTCTAGAGTCGTTGTGCTCAACTCGGAAAAAAAAAAAAACTTGGTAACCGCATCGGCCTGACGACAAGTAGGTGGTAAGCCCGCGGCGCCTGGCCGCATTTTCTGTTGCATACGCACTTGGCTCAGTCATGCCGGTTTAAAGTCGATTAGCATCTTTGGTATCTGTCACGAGTCCCAATAACAGATCACGGGGTTGATCTAGGGGGAAAACGCTCGTCAGCTAATCGGGAGGTAGGTATGGAGGGCGCAATAGCAGAGTAGCTCCCATATCTGAGAGGACGCTACTATGCGGATGCTGTAAGAAGGTGAGGCAGAGATAAGTAGGTACCTAACCTGGTGGCTAGGGTGTTGTTGTTTCTACCTACCTACTTTCTAGAAGAGGCAACCGAGCCACGATAAGCCAACGTGGGGCGGAAGACCAAGAATCGGAAAGCCAGGAATCGGAAGCATCATGTAGCATGTGAAAGCTGCTTATTCTCTACGAGTATTATTATCTCCGTATAATATTGCTCAGATTCAATTCGCGAACCACACGATGCGCCGCTGCCGCCTCTAAGTGGACCGGCCGGTGGGACCTCGTACCTCGATCCCTGACTGACTCTTGCGGCCGCGCGCCGATATCATCTCTCGATCCGTCAAGTTACCCTAGGGCGCCCTCTCGATACTTGCCGCCCGTTCTGGAATCCTTACGCGGGCGTGATGGATGCAGTAGAGCCCACTTTAGCAGCTTTTCGAGTACACCCTCAGCCGAGTCTCATTTCTCCCTACCCCCATTTATTGAATCTCGGCCCTCTCTTGGGTTATTTTACTACGTCTTACTGACCCAGAGTCATCCCGCTTGCCAAGCGAACCACATTTTTCCCTCGCCGCGCCCCCCTCTAGCTCTCCGCGTGCACGCACTCATCCCCCAAGCTCGTAACTGAATCTGGCACTATTACGGCTTCCGGCTAGGAACGTGCAGGAGAGACGGGAGAAGAGAAGAGGGGGGGGAAGGAAAACCGAAAGGAGAATAAGAAGGGGGAAGGAGAGCACCATGATGGAGCAGGGTATGTCTATAGTCGTGTTCAATATGCTGCCAACATCAGTCCAGTCACGGCTCCCGGCTCTGCAGTCGCTACGTCGGCCCGCCGCCCTCGACCTATTCTCCCCCCGGCGCCGAAAGGAGCTACCGCAAGACGACACCGTGCCGGGAGCTCTAACGAACAGCGACGAGGAGCCGGTCGTCGAATTGCAGGCATGCACAGCGGCGACCACAACGTCGACAACGACGAGCGTTACGAACCGCACAGTTGGCGGAGGGGACGGTGCGAAGCTTTCCGGTGGCCTCGATGGCTACGTCCCTCGTCTAGGTATGGGCATTAACTGGCGGTATGCTATGCAAGGTACGGGGTCTCGTCTCCTGCGGCTTTTTTGCTCGCAGAATGATCTATCGCTCAAGTATTGAGACCCAGCGCGGTAGGCTCCTACTTGCAACACTCCGCCTCCCAGGAACGAGAGGATATGGCGTTTGCGCGGAAGTCGTACATCGATAGCGTGGCGTACATGCTCAAGGCCCTCCCCGGTGACATGGACGACCACGAAGTTAGCATTATCCAGCGGGCGCTACCCAAGTCTTGCGCACCAGACACCCCGCAGAGCCAACAGGACGGGGCGGCCACGATCCCCGTCCGGGCCGACCGAGCAAAAACGCTTCTACGTTTCGCTGTCCAGGGCTTCGTCGCGGGCTTCGTCGTCCTCTTCTACACCCTGATGTCCCTCCTCGCCGCCGTCGTTCGCGCCGGGGCGCACTACGAGCGCCAGTATAACATCGCCGAGCACCTCGTCTCCCTCGGGGTCGTTCTCACCACTGCAGTCGGGAAACAGAGCGGTGCTTTGAGTGGGAAGAGTGAGTAGAAATGCCCAGTCTTGCCTATTTTACTCTTCTTCTCCAGTCTCCACTTCCGCATGAGGGCAACCCTCCTCCCTCTCGTACCCCTCTACCCCGGAGCTCGTTTCGGAACCATAGACTCGGGATGCGGCCCTCGAACCCTGGCATTCTGTTTGTTGCCCCGTGCGGCTGGAAATTGCTAATGCAGTATGTTCCAGTCGGCGCCATGAGCGAGGGCAAAGTAGGCAGAGTGGTGACCGATATCGCAGCGTGGACGGTAGAAGGCGTGGCCGGAGGAATAGAGGATGGCATTGGACAGGGTTTGCATTTGATCAAGCAGTAGCAGAAACGAGACACGATACCATTGATTATTATGTTATTTATTAAATAGGCATGGCGCGTGAATAGAAGGCAAAGGGAGGGAGGGGGGGTTCCGTTATTGTTATCAATGTTGGCTCCCGCAAGCACGTTTGAGAGATCCTGAGGTCCGTTGAGCGATTTTCGAGTACGGACGCACAGAAATGCCCGCTGCTTGTGTAGCACCCTCGCGGGTCTTTCTAGTTGGCGGCCATGGTGTTTCCCCGTCAACATGCCTGTAGCGATTTTGAATCTATCGGACATATCTTTAGATTTGAGCATTGCTGCCATTCGCCTCGACTAGACTTTGATCTAGGTATGGCAAGCTCGTCGGATGTGAAAACAGGACATTGAATATACGGTCTTCGTCGATTCGAAGCTATGGCGCCCATCGAGCAGGTTGTCGCAGGTGGTGCCACTATTGTGCGTGTTGGGTGGACTTCTCTGCCGCTATCTTGGCCTCCATCTTCTTCCTCGCTGCTAGGATCATGTCGTCTCGCCGTTTCCGCAACGATGCCTGTCTCTCGTCCCGGTTTGAGCTCCACGCCTTAGGCTTGGCAGCGGATTCGGGGTCTCCTTTGATGCTGACTTTGTCTTGCAGCTTGTACCTGGTAATCAAGTCAGGCTCGGCAGGCCTCGGCGGCGCTTTGGGAGCTAGCGATTGTGCCGTTGACAACGGACGCAGAGAAGCCGGGGGAGGCTGCGGCTGGTAGGTAATAGGGGGCTTGGAAGAATAGATATGTTAGTAACGTCGGCTTCAATAGACAGAGGGGATAGTTGAGCAGTGGTGCCGTAGCTGGGGGACTTACGGTTTCTATTCGTCCCGACAGTATCCTCTCTGTGGTCACCGCGATGTTCCCTCCGTTGTGGCTCAGATCCCAAAGGACAGTCCTACGGTCGACCTGGGGGAACATCTGCTGTATTCGATCGACGGCAATCTCTCTGGCCCGCGACGCCGATTGGGTATCCCGTGTTTGCCGCTGGGGCGGGGCGGGCGACGAAGAAAACAAGTAGCGGATGATGAGGCCACCGATGACCACTATTAGAATTAAAGAGGCGAGCGACACCTGTTCATCTGCCATCTTCTCCGACCTTCACTGTGACTGATGGAGTTTCCAACGAGCGTCTCGACGACTTAACAACCTATAATCGCTGCACGAGGCGTAGTAGGGGAGAAGAAAAAAAAAGGAAGCTCGAGTGGGCAGATGGCGTTACAGCGGATCGTTGATGGGGCGTTTTGATGGAGGTTAGGATGACGTTCCCGCGAGGAATCCTTGGAGGAGGGTTTTCTTGCAGGCGCCTGTCCTGGGCATGTGTGGACTAGGGCGGAAGTTTGGGACGCAAGTCGCGTGCCATATGTAATATAGAGGCTTCTGGCGGGCGGATACGGTGGGTTCGAGTTGTTACCGGGATCGCCACAATCCATCGGGCGACTTTGCCTCGCCTCTCTCTAAGAGAGGTACCTCCTAGGTATCCAGGTATCTCCATGCACCCCCTGAGAGGTATTAGGTAAGACAATAAGGTACGGATATACCTGGCTTTTCCTCCTGTGCCAAGTTGCCATGATCATCCCGTACTACCGGTAGGTTGATTCCCTCAAGGATCTCAACAAAGGGATCGTAAAGGTCAGGTGTCCAGATGCCTATTATTTGATATTTGGCCTGCACATCTACCGAAGACGTATATCTTCAGGTTCATGCACTCTTCTATCTGCAAGTGTGGTGACGGCGACCCGAAGTGCCTCAGGTACCTCCTAAGCTACCTCCCTCCTACCCGCCTGCCTCTTGGAGTTGGGTGCCTGGGTGCCTCGCGTATTGTTGGAGAGCGGCGTCTCAACGAACACAACACATACCCCTATGGTGACTTATCAGATGGAAATATCCGTTGGCACTGCATACCTAACTACCGATTCCATAGAAAAGATACAAATAGTAACGAGAGTTTTTCGTCACCTGAAGCCAGCGTAACACCGGAGGAAGAGCGAGCATGGCCACGCGGAGCATAGAGGACACGCTCAGGGAGGCCAAAAGTCAGTGGGATCGGGGGATCGCGTCCCTGTGCGGCCCTTTCGGGGATCAAACAGAGAATGCAGACATCTGTGGTAGTTACAGCAACCAATTAGCGAATGATGCTTCATCAGAACATCGTAACCCTCTGCAAGCTGGTGGTGGCCCGGTTTGGCAGGGAGAAGGTGAGGGCAAGATAGAGGGGGGCCCAGGATTCTGCCTTTTCTGACCGCTCCCTCGTCAGTATATCGACATCTGTATACAGGTATATACGCCAAGGGGGTAGCACCTACACATACACGTAGGTGCCTGCTCCGACGTACCTGGGTACTTAAGAGACCCTTAGCCCTACAAGCCTCAAAACCCCCCGCCTGCCAAAGAAGGTTGTTCTAGGAGGGGGTATACATGGAGGTGGCTAGAGAATAAGTACCTTATACCTTCAACCTGGCCAGCTTGAGGAGAATGGCCCCTCTTTTGAATGGATTGTATACTAGAGGTAGCCAAACCGAAAGACGACAACGAAGAAATGATCAGGGCCTGCCTAACGATAGGTACACAGTACATATCATGTACGCCAAGCCCACAAGTTCCATCATCCAGCTTTGTCTCCATGTACCCTGACCCCCCTTCCCCTGTTTGTTTTTATTGACCTCAATCGCGTTGGCAACGAATTTCATATAGGAAAAATCCGTTGTAGATGCCTTCACCACGCAACGGCAACGAACATCACCGACAATTTACATGAGGACCCAACTGGATTTTCCAATATGAGGGTTACGGAGGTGATAATAGACGTATGTGCATCCTGAGGTATCCACAGCTGTGCCTGCTGACCCCGGGTCGTCTCGAAGGGCTTCAAATCGTACGCGGTCAGGACGGTCATTTCAGGATGGTACGCAAGCCGTCACGGTTTCCCCTGTCGCATGGCTAGGGCTGATGTCGCGTAGGGATGAGAGCTTCAATTCGATCACTGGCCTGAACGGCAGTGGCAAGTCCAACATTCTAGATGCCATCTGCTTCGTTCTCGGCATCACGAACATGTCTACCGTTCGTGCCCAAAACTTGCAGGTATGGAAGGCAACCCCACCGACATTGGCAGTCTCGCGCCCTCTTACCGTTCCCGTCTAGGACCTCATCTACAAGCGTGGGCAAGCCGGCGTTACGAAAGCGAGTGTTACTATCGTCTTCGACAATCGAGACAAGGTGAAGTCACCGATCGGCTTTGAAGAATACGCGACAATCAGCGTCACGAGACAGATCGTACTAGGCGGCACCTCGAAGTATTTGATCAACGGGCACCGAGCTCAGCAGCAGACAGTCCAAAACCTCTTCCAGTCGGTACAACTCAATATCAACAACCCCAACTTCCTCATCATGCAAGGTCGAATCACCAAGGTTCTAAATATGAAGGCGGTCGAGATTCTAGCCATGATCGAAGAAGCGGCTGGCACACGGATGTTCGAGGACCGGAGGGATAAGGCACTGAAGACTATGGCTAAGAAGGAGATGAAGCTCCAGGAGATCACAGAGCTGCTGCGCGACGAAATCGAACCCAAGCTCGAGAAGCTGCGGACAGAGAAGAGAGCGTTTCTGGATTTCCAACAAACCCAAAACGACCTCGAGCGCTTGACGAGAGTGGTAGTCGCACACGACTACATAAAGTACCAGGAAAGGCTTCAGCAATCCGCCGCCGATCTAGAGAACAAAAAGCAGCGCCAGAAAGACCTCGAGGATTCGGCAACCAGGCTCAAGAGCGAGATATCCCATCTAGAGGAGGATGTCAAGAGAGTCAAGGCGCAAAGAGATAAAGAGCTGAGGAAAGGGGGCAAGGCCCAGGCGCTGGAGGACCAGGTCAAAAAACATTCCAACGAACTGGTCCGGTTAGCTACCGTCATGGATCTGAAGAAGTCTAGTAAGACCGAAGAGGAAGAGCGGGGGACGGCGGTCCAGAAGAACGTCGCTGAGTTGGAGGCTACGCTGAAGGAGAAGACAAAAGCGCATGAGAAGATCAAGGCCAAGTACGACGCCGTGAAAGCGGAGAACGAAAAGCAAACTCATGAAGCGGAATCGAAGGAGGAGCTGCTCCAAACGCTGCAAACCGGCGTTGCATCCAAGGAAGGACAGGAAAGCGGTTACCAAGGGCAATTACAAGACGCAAGAAACCGGGTGGCGAACGCTGCTACGGTGCAAGAACAGGCAAAGATCAAAATCGCCCACCTCGAGAAGCGCATCAAGGAAGAAGAGCCCCGAGCCAAGAAGGCCAAGGAGCAAAACGCCGGTCTGCTAAGAGATCTAGAGGGTCTCAAGACCCAGTCGCAGAAGCTCCAGGCTCAGCTTGCGAAGCTCGGCTTCGAGCCGGGACAGGAGGAGGAGATGTATAAGCAGGAGTCAACGTTACAACAAGCGATTAGGGGCTTGCGCCAAGAAGCAGACGCCCTCAAGCGCAAGGTTGCCAACATCGACTTCAACTACGCCGACCCAACTCCTAATTTCGACCGCTCCAAGGTCAAGGGGTTGGTCGCTCAACTCTTCACCCTCGATAAGGAACACACCAGGGCCGGCACCGCTTTGGAAATTTGCGCTGGCGGCCGCCTCTATAATGTCGTCGTCGACAGCGAAGTCACGGGCACGCAACTGCTCCAGGGCGGGAAACTGCGGAAGAGAGTCACCATCATCCCGCTGAATAAGATCGCATCATTTACGGCCTCGGCGAAAACCATCGCGACAGCACGCGACATCGCACCCGGGAAGGTCGATCTAGCCCTGTCGCTCGTGGGATATGACGACGAAGTGTCTGCCGCGATGGAGTACGTCTTTGGCAACACCCTGATCTGCGAGGATGCCGAGACCGCCAAGAGGGTGACCTTCGATCCGAACGTACGGATGAGGAGTATCACTCTAGAAGGAGATGCCTATGACCCTGCTGGCACGCTGTCGGGCGGAAGCGCGCCTAACTCCAGCGGCGTGCTCGTCACGCTGCAGAAGTTGAACGACATCAACCGCCAACTTAAGGAAGCGGAAAACTCTCTGCGCGAACTTCAATCCAACATCTCGAGAGAGAAGGCGAAGCTCGACCAGGCTCGGAAGGTTAAACAAGACCTCGACCTGAAGGGGCACGAGATTAAGCTAGCGGAGGAACAGATCAGCGGCAACTCATCCTCTTCCATCATCCAGGAGGTCGAGAATATGAGAGAGACCATCGTACAGCTTAAGAACGAGAGTGCCGAGGCTAAGAAAAGGCAGTCGGAAGCTGCCGCCGATGTCAAGAGGATAGAAAAGGACATGAAGGACTTCGAGAACAACAAGGACTCGAAGCTGGTGGAACTCCAAGCCACGATAGACAAGCTGCGCGCGACGCTAGCTAAGAACTCGACTGCCGTCAAGTCCCTGCAAAAGGAGCTCCAGAGTGCCCAGCTAGACTCAGAACAAGTCTCGAGCGACCTCGCCGCGGCAAGAGAGCAGCTGCAGGAAGTAGAGCTGGCCATAAAATCGCAGCAGCGGGAGATCGAGGACCTGGTGAAGAAGCAGTCGGATCTTCAGGAGACCCACGACCTCGCCCAAGCGGAACTCGACAACGAGAGGGCCAAGCTGACAGGTTTCGACGACGAGCTGCACGCGCTCGAGGAGGCGATCCGGTCGAAGAACGCGCGAATCACCGAGGAGGGCCTCGAGAAGCAGAAGCTGGGCCACCAGGTAGAAAAGTTCCACAAGGAGCAGCAGCACGCGGTGCAGAGCGTGGCGAGCATGGAGCGGGAGCACGAGTGGATCGCGGAGGAGAAGGAGAGCTTCGGGCGGGCGGGGACGCCGTACGACTTCAAGGGGCAGAACATCGCGGAGTGCAAGGCGACGCTGAAGACGCTGACGGACCGGTTCCAGGGCATGAAGAAGAAGATCAACCCGAAGGTGATGAACATGATCGACAGCGTCGAGAAGAAGGAGGTGTCGCTGAAGCACATGATGAAGACGGTGATCCGCGACAAGCGCAAGATCGAGGAGACCATCGTCAGCCTCGACGACTACAAGAAGAAGGCCCTCCTGCAGACGTGGGAGAAGGTCAACGGCGACTTCGGCCAGATCTTCTCGGAGCTGCTGCCCGGCGGCAGCTTCGCCAAGCTGGACCCGCCCGAGGGCAAGACGATCAACGAGGGCCTCGAGGTCAAGGTCTGCCTCGGCAAGGTGTGGAAGCAGAGCCTGACGGAGCTGAGCGGCGGTCAACGGTAAGAGCCCAATTTTCCCTCTACCCCCCCCCCCCCCCCCCTTTTTTTTTTCTCTCTTCTCCTCTTGCACCTCCTCCTCTCCCCCCTCCGCTGCGATTGCGCACGAAAGATTCTCGTTCCGAGGCTGACGGCAGATCCCCCCCCAACGACAGATCGCTCGTGGCGCTGTCGCTCATCATGGCGCTGCTGCAGTTCAAGCCGGCGCCGATGTACATCCTGGACGAGGTGGACGCGGCGCTGGACCTGTCGCACACGCAGAACATCGGGCGGCTGATCAAGACGCGCTTCAAGGGGTCGCAGTTCATCGTCGTCTCCCTCAAGGACGGCATGTTCCAGAACGCGAACCGCATCTTCCGCACCCGCTTCAGCGAGGGCACCAGCATGGTCCAGGCCCTGACCGCCGCCGACTTCAAGTGAAGCAAGCATACACGCGCGCGCATCGGTCCCGCGTGCCCGCGTGCGCGCTGCGCGTCTGCGTCTCTAGCTTTTCTTCGTCTTGTCCCCTCCTCCTCCTCCTCCTTCTCCTCTTTCCGAGACGGCTCGGGCCGGACACCTTTTCCCCCGCCCGCCTCCTCTCGGCACGGGCAGAAAAAGGGGGGAGGGGGGCGATATTATCGGATATGCGGTGGCTGGCCGGCCCTGGGCGGAAAACGAAGAGGGGATAGATAGGCAGGCCCGGTTTGATGACCATGACACGACCCCCGACACCCACTGTAGAGCAGTGCTCGTTCTATTCCACGTCTTATGATTGAGCTGGCGCGGAAGGGAATACATGAGGAATGAATCGGCACAGGCACGGCACGGCTCCGTGGCCTTGCGCGCACGAACTGTCTACGCATAAATCTGTGTTTTTGTATGTGTATGTCTCCGGTAACGGCAAGCGGATTAGGAGATAGCTACTCGTTTCTGGCCAGTTTTGGTTGATAGCGCAGTGGCCCGCTATGCTAGGCTTGAAGGGAAACGGATGGTCTTGAGATCAACTCATCGTCTCAAGATGGCTCATCCTCTAATCAGAGAGCATGAATACTTCGCCCATACAGTAGTACATTATCTTGTCTTGCTACCTATGGCTTCTGCTCTACTCTTACATAGGGAGGAGCGTATCTCTACTGTACACAAACTTACAGCGCGACTCTCGTCGCGCACACTCTCCTTCCATCCCTTATTTCCTATTTCCTCTCTACCTTTGCATCCTGAATATTAATAATAAAAAAGGGGGGGAGGGGGCGCGCAAAGTACAAAACGTAGCAGCCTCGCCCTACTGCTTAATGTACAGATGCTCACCCGTTTTCTCGACTTCTATGGTCATACCGACGGCGATCCAGCCGGTGCGGTCCTCACCCAGACTAGAGTCGAACAGCGGTGTGAGCTGCATGCCTAGGCAGCCGTTGAGCGGGGCGCCTTCGTCGACGGCCCGCTTCGCCCTCAGGGACCTGTCCGGCTCTTTCGCGTGGCGGAACCCGTTGTTCGGATCGACGTTGGGTAGCTTGCATCTGACGGTTCTGCACGACACGTGGAACACGGCGTCGTTGTATAAGCCCGAGCTCCCCGGCTTGAGCCGAATCTGTTTCCACGTCTCTTCCTCGTAGGCTGCGGCGCCCGAAACTGTAGATACGCGTGAGATGTGGTGCTTAAAAAAGGCACGCTTTTTAGTCTGGTGCAACTCACTGATGATGTTCGGCCGGAATCTTAGCACGTTGAGCTCTTTGAGGTCATCGTCCTTGGGCACTTCTGAACTGAACTGCTGTACGCTACTCAGGTTCATCAGATGGAGGGGATACTGTGTTTGGCGCCGTTAGTATAACACGCCGGCGGTCGAGAGCCCGCGGGTGACCCACAGCATCCTGAAACCCCGTCACAGGTTGGTAGCCGGCTTCTTCTCCGCTTGGGGCGCATCGGTGAACCTCTCGCAGCGCGTCCGGGTCGATCCTGAAGAGGCTCAGTTTGTTGCTGACGCCTAGATATCGTCGCAGCTCGTCGGGAACCTCGTTTTGCATGTTGAGGGCCGTGACGGTGTCCCTCCAAATTCGGACTTGGTCAAAGGTATAGCCCCTTTCCTTGATGTCGGCCTCGGACGGGAAGTCCACCGGTATTAGGACCTCTATCTCGGGTTCGGCGGCGCGCCCCCGAGCAAGCTTCGCTTCGATGACGGAGTAGATACCGCGCCAGCCATCGCTTTTCCATGGGAAACGTATGATTAAAAATGCCTCGGTGGACTTCATCGACTGCTTCCGCAGCTTCATCTCATCTGGCAGCCAGAGGTCGACGGTGACGTTTGCCAGTTTGGAGAACTGGCGCTGCGTGATGAACTCCCACTTGTGCTCCGACTTTGCCGCGTGCGTCGCATCTATGGCGACGGGGAAAGGGCTCTTGAGCTGAGCAAACGTGAAGAGGCGATCATATTGGAGTCCCGAGGGCAGGAACCTACTCCTCTTCAGCTCGATGCCTTTGCACGACTTGACGGGGTAGATGGCCAAGCTTTGGACCTTGGGCGGTTCGCCGGCCCGCGGGGCGTGTTCGGCGGAGAATTGACTCTTCAGATTGCTCTTGGAGCCCTCCACTCCAGCCTTCGTGTGCGTCTGCAGCAGCGCATCGCTCTTCTGAAGTCCGACGGGGGGGAGAATCAGAACTACCGGAATCAAGAAGGCGAGAATAGTCATAGACAGCAAGAAGACGGCACTGAAGTCCAGGTTGAGATTCTTGAGCGTATAGGGATTGCTAGACAGGGATTGATCCATGGTGTGCGACGTGTTTAGATTGATGACCGGGTTAATTGGACAAGTATGTCGCGTCTATGGTGCTCCTTGGCCGGCAAGAAGCATATATCCTCGGGATTCCGCACAAATGGGTACACACGCGAGTGGTATACAAAGGAAATAAGAGGAATACGGCCACGGCGAACGAGAATGCAGCGTGCCCGGATTCTCCGTGTCGACAGAAATAAGGAAAGGGAGGTTGAGAAGGAGAGAATTGGGACCGTTGAGAGAGCAGCGCGGGCGCAGCGATATCGCGGCAATCCTTTGAAACAGATTGAATATCTAAAAACGGGCCGAAATAGTAACTAGCAGCACATGCTGTCACAACACGTGACCCACAAGCCGTAAGCGTGTCGGCTTAGTCAGCAGAAGTTACTCGGGTCGTCGAGGGCGGGGCGTATACAGGGAGGCCGGTTTCAATACCGCCAGTCCCTAGCAGGTGGGTTTGTTCCTTGCTACTGCTAATTGCCTTGTTGCGAAATTATTGCCTATCTACAACTATTCCTACTACGCAGGTAGTACCTACGTGCGTGCGTACTGATCCATTCTCGGATGGGGAGAAAGGGGGCGAAGGGAGGAGGAGGAGGAGGAGGGGGGGTTCTCACCAAGCAGCTAACCAAAGTACCCAAAGATATATAGGTAACCTAACGAGATCTTGATCCTCCATGCTGATGGATATGCAGGAGTATCGTTTCCTCAATCGCCAGTTGCTGTGGCGCGTACCGCAACGACCCGACACGGCGTGTGGTGGCAATGACGAAACACACTGGATGTCGTAACTGGATGGCGTAGCAGTCCGTGGTCGGGATGTGACAAATCATCACCCTTCAGGGCGGATGGAGGCGAGGGAGGCGAGCGGCGAGGACCTCTGCTCGACGGAATCCCGAGTTCTTTAGGGACAGCCTCCGAGCGATATTGCCGGTACCAGCCCAGGATTTTAACGAGAATTGCAGCAAACGAACCTATGACATATCCCCGACGGGCGACGAGGAGGCCGTCGTGCTTATGCGGTGGTGTGAAGGTAGCACCGGTGACACCCCAACTATCATCAAGGTGACGTATCGGCTGAGTAAAACTTCTGGAATTATCGATAGGGAGGCCGGTATCAACATAGCAAGTTCGTCATAAAACCCGAACAGCCATCAGGACCAATCCCAAGCTGCCCTGGCCCTCAGGGTGAGCCTGCCAGGCGGCGCATGGCCCTCTCCGTTGAAGGAAGACCCCCAAGGTATGCCGCTGCCGCCGCTGGCGATGGAACCCGACGAAGTGTAGGGCGCCGTGCGTTTCGGCGTTAGGCATCGAGACAGAAGCGTGGCGGGCGGAGAGGTGCTCCTGCAAGGCATCCCGGGAATAGCCAAATAGTGAGATCGGAGTGACGGGATTTCCGGGGTCGAGCTATCGGGTGCTATACTCAAACGGAACAACGGTCTGCCACTGGTAACTAACCCCTGGGTCCGGAGATATCGGGATAGAATTCACCCAGCTTATGCAAGGTACCAGGCACCTTGCCCAGCGGATAGTAGAAAGGCGTGAGCAATGATGAGACCTGGTATAGAATTCCCGGCTCCGTACGAGGCTGGAGGCTGGCGGCCAGGAGACGCTCACCGCCAGTGCTGGTGACTCCGATTACAGCGACCAGAACGGATTGGGAGGAAGCCGGGTGACGGACTGGGATATCGAGGTGCCGCTGGTGAGGAGCCCGACGCGCCCTTTAGCGCCCACATGCAGAACTGGCCTCATAATGGCGCCAGTCCGCACGCCAGGCTCCTCTCCCCTCGCTCGAGAGCGCGGCGCGCGGCGCACCTCTCTCGTCGCTTCTGCCAAGGACGCGTTAGCGCGGGAGTGCCTCCGCACGAGCTTACTACAAACGGCCGAGGACGATGGGAATTCGTGATGGCATACCCAAGCCTCAACGATAGGGGATGCAGCCGGCCATTCTCGGTAGGCTTTGCTGCCGGGGTCGGGCTTCTCGTGTGCATACGTACACGTATATGTACGTATATGTAAGTGATAACCAGAAAACAACCCAGCAGTCCACAGTAGTGCTGGGGCTGTCTGGTGGAGGCCTAGGACTCTGCGAGCGATGGCCGGTATTCTCCGCGTTTCCCTTATCACTTGAGAGAAGGGATGTACTGTACGTGGAGGAAGAGAAGAGGCAAGCTACCTAGAATACCTGCCGGCCCAACGTATCTAGACTTGAGATGGGGCTTCGGAAAACGTTACCGTCAGCCTGTGTGTATGGCTGGGAGGTTATGTAGAGCTTATCAACAACAACCCAACAACCCCCCTTGGCCCCTCTCTCCTATGTGTGTCCCTAATCCTCCCCCCCCCCTCTCCCCTCTCCCTGCCCCTCCCCTACTCCCCCATCTCTGCCCGGAGTTCCATGTAGGTCGGTAGGCAGGTGTGTACAAATACTGTCTCCTGTCATCTGTCATATACCTGTCTCGAGTCAAGGTTCATACATCTGTATCCTACTTGAACGGGAAAGCCGCGTAGCATGGCTTCTGGCTAGTAGCATATCCTTGCCCAACGGAAGCGTCCTCTCGTCACAGCGACTTGTCAGGCACCAGCTGAGAGTCACACATACGGTGCGAGCAGGATGTGCAGGACTCTCTCTACAGGAGGCGTGCGTTGTAGAGGCCTATCCAATTTATGCCTATGCAGATCTCGGTAGATCTGAAAATACTGGGCACAGAGGGAAGCCGGTAGGTAGGTAGGTAGGTAGGTAGGCATGTACGTGCCTAGCCAGCTACCTAGCCAGCTACCTAGCTAGCTACTTACCGACCTACGTATTAGCCCCTATCGTCGAAGCCGCCGCACATCCAATGTCGACAAAAGCACCTGGTATGGGAGCACCACGTACGCACCTCTTCTGGCCTACCCTGCCTGGCCCCCTGCATGCCTGTATCAGACGCCCATTTCAGCCTGTGTTGGCACGCATGCATAGCTCGGTAACTAGGGGTGTCAGCGCGATGCCTACCTGGAGGTCCGCATCCCTACTGCATATGGTGTTCTCCCTACCTTGGGGCCTTGACTAGAGGTACCCTGGGCAGGTTAATGACATCCAAGAGGTATCACTTGCGTCCCGGGGAACGACTACGATACGAATCCCGTTCCGGCGGCCCGCACGTTACGACCTGCACCCACCTACCTACCTCTGCCTAAGGTATTAGTACCTACCTGCAAGTAAGGCACCTAAGAGCAGCTGGCAGCTTAGGCGGGTGCCTCTAAGTAGGTCTAGGTAGCTTAGGTTACCTAGCAGCTGGCTCCTCCGAGGGAGGGACATAAGCTCAACCTACATATTGTGTGCTAAGATATGCCTACCTACCTACCTACCTACCTACCTGCCTGCCTGCCTGCCTGCCTACCTATACCTTAGGCACGGGCAAGCTACCTAACGTGACTAGGGTGGTAGGTCCTAGCATGTGCGTAGGCACGTAGGCACGAAGGCACGTAGGCGTGCCTAAGTTCCTCCTATATAACCTGCCTTAGACATGTATATGATCCTCATTAAGAGCTCGGCGGAGGTGGGTGTGCCTGGGTTAGTATAGTCTCTGTCGTATAAAATGAAATTAGTTTGCGGCATATTGCCACGCATAGATATGTGTGTTGCCTATATGTCAGTTATATACCTACTTAGATAGGCACCTGTCTACTCGCATACCTGGGGGATCCCTCCCCGCCAACCTACGACATATAACCTGCTTGATTCTATATCGGCCGCCTTGAATTGTGTGCGCAGACGGCTTAGTAGGAAGGACTGCTACCTGGCCGGCCGACAGGTAGGTACCTAGGTATTACGTGGTACACAGAAGCGGTAGGTAGCATGAATCGGTATTTGTCTCCTGCGCAACCGCCCTGCCTGCCTAGCATATCCGGGACTACATAAGAGGCCCCAGGGGCATATAGGGAGGCACACAGGCTCGTGAATATCACAAGGAATAGAGGCAGATGGATAGGTAGGTACCTAGGTAGGTAGGAGGTAGCCTCGGAGAATGAGAATGAGTGGTATGTCACCCAAGAAGGTACGTGACTCGTGTACCTCGTGTACCTACTGATGTAGGTAACGATGTAATTTTAGGCACAAGCATCATGTGCGTACTTACCTACCTCCCACCTAGGTACCTACGTGAGGAGGCACATATTACTTAGGAAGGTAGGTAGGTATATGTAATACTACCCGTTTAGGTAATGGATTGGGTGAGGAGGAGGCATCGGAGGTACCTGGAGGTAGGTAGGTACCTGCTACCTAATGTACCGCCATACCAGGTAGTACGCGTGTGTGCCCTCTCCCGTATATGGCCATCCGTTCGTGCATGAGACCGCATTCAGCCATACCGATTCGTCCGTAGCTTTGGAGCTCTGCCGTGCTAATTTCCATCGACGCCGTCGAGCTCCGCCGCATGAACAACCGCAATATCGCGATGGCGCTCTAATTATTCTTGTTCGCAGATGGTCCCATGTGCTCGGGAAATTCGCTTTCTCGGTCGAGAGCCGCCTAGCCTGGGGCATCCCGATGAAAGGTGTGAATGCGTCGATGAGTTAGCCCCATCCGTCCCTTGCAATCCCCCCCTATGATGTTTAATATCGTCATCCGGCCGCCGTGGCTGCGGCCGTGCTAATTAGAACAGGGATCGTGGTGCCCCCCCCCCCAACTCGGCCGGCATGATGCATATTTCGCATTTCACAAGCCGCCACAACGTGCCAATGTATTTCCTGGGTTCCTGGGCTCCTAGGTAGCCTTACCGCATCGCCATCGGTGCCGGAGAACAAGTCCATCGCATGGAGGCTTACGCTTGCGACAACCATAGGCCGACGTCTTCTGGAATACGATACCACTACACCATGCTTGGGCATACCTAGTTTCTCCGTGACGATATGGCCTCGCCGGCGCGCCATTGTCCCTATTCCTTGTCGCGGCGGTTCTATCTACCCGCCCGTCCACCCATCCGTTCGTTCGTTTGTTCGTTCGCCCATCCACACCGATCCAAGATCCTATTAGTACTGTGCATGCTGCGGGATGTGACCAGGTGATCCGATACAGGAAGGTTACTTCGTTTCCTCTCCCCCTCTCCCCCTCCCCCCCCCCCTCCCCGCCTCTTTCTTTCTTCGTGAACGAATTGTCGAATTGGGGGGGCTTGCAGATTCGCGACATGGTTTTCCCGGTCACTGGTGTCGAGAGGGTCAACCAGAAGCTAATCCTAGGTGATTCGCGCTATAGGGCACTCGTAGTATGGTAATCCAAACGCGGCGGAGACGCAGGTGACAATAAGCCGGCCTATATCATCAAACCCAACCGCGAGGAGTAGGGCGGTCTCCACGAACCCCCCTTGGTGTTGGTAACAAGGCGCTCCATACGACGAGGAGTGTACCGCGTACTAACCACATTGCATGGATGGCCGGTCTGTACACAGGTAGGAAGGTATACGATACGCTAGCAGGCCCTCCGCCCGTGTTGGTGCTCGACCGGTGGAGAACTCTTCGGGAGCCTCAAACCGTGAAATGTGGGAGCTTGTTGCTGCTAAGAT